AAAGAAGTTATTTAAAATTTTAAAAATAATTAAAATTGTATATTTTAAAAAATGTAAAATAATATTTTAATATTAATAGTTATACCTAACATTTATAATTTTAAATATTAAAAATATATATTATTTTTAAATATTTTATTTTAACTAAAAGTCATGTATTACTTATATAAATTATTGATGTTTGTTTAAAAAAATTTCTAGTTAAAATATCAATATTTTTAAATAGCATTTAGTATACTCCCTCCGTCCCATAACAAAGTATCTATTTTCCATTTTAGTCCGCCTCATAACAAAGTATATATATTTTTTTTAATAACTGTACTATCTACCTAACATTACAAATACTCTTACAATTTACAATATATTACACAAATGTCATTACCTTTATATCTCACGTACTAATAAGGTTATTTTAGTTATTTCTACTTTATTCCTATTATATTCTAATATAATACTAATATTTATAAAACTACGTGCAAAAAACAAATGGATACTTACTTATGAGTCGGAAGGAGTATTATTAATTATGAATTATTATAAATTAAATTTATTTTTCATTTTAGAAATTTTATTATAAATTTTGAAAAATAAGTATTATGATTATTAAAAACGTACTCCCTTCGTCCCATGTAATATGGGTGTATTACCGTAGACACGAGAATTTAGGTAAAATATAATTAGTAAATAATTAAGTAGTGTATTAGTAAAAATAATTATTATTTAGTAAAAATAATTATAGATTAAAATAAGTAAAAAATTTAATTAAAATTAAGAAAATTATAAAATTTAAAATGCTATTAAAATACATAATTATATTTCCAAAAATAGAAAGGACAAGTTACGTGGTACAAACGAAAATAGAAAATATGAACAAATTACGTGGGACGAAGGGAATATTAATTTATTAATTTTAATTTTTTCAGTTATTCTTTATTATTAAATATAAAGACATTTTTATTTAAAAAAGAAAGTAAAGTTCAATTATTTCCGTGAAGGAGAAGACAACACAATACAATAAAACGCAACATTAACGTAACACAAGGACTCGACATGACGTGACATGACAAGACAGCACAAATTCGCACAAGTATAGAAAAGTCGAAATGAGGGGCGTGAGGGGCACGCGTGGGAGAGCGAGAGTGAGTTGAGAGTTGTGACAAGACTAAGAGTAGATCGATCGTATGGCATATTAAAAGCATGCGTACCCCTAACTGCTAACACCTGCCTGCGCCACTAGTGGATATCTATAATTTATTTTAATAGTTCATCCGTCCCAAATACCATCTTCATGTTGTCATTTCTGTCCGTCTCACGTACTATGCTATTTTTTTTTGGAAAATGATTACACACTTTAATCTCATTCTAATTTTTTTTTTTTAATTTGAATTAAACTAATTAGTTATCTTAATCTTAATTTATATTTATTTATATTATATGATAGTTATTTTCACTAATACATTCTTAATTATCTACTAATTACACCCCTCCTAAAATACAGTCTCTACAGTGTAGCAAACACGGTGTTTGAGATGGAGAGAGTATTTAATTAATAAGTTTAAATAAAAAGACAATGACATAAATACATACAAATTTAAACAATTTTAAACAATACTTATATAAGATTGCATTAAAAAAATATCATATTTTAATATTAATAAAATTATAAAAAATAAATACTATATACGTCCGACTTTCAGGATCTTATATACTTTTGTGTACTGATCTTCGAATTTTAATTATTATATCAAAATGTGGTATAAATTAAGAAAAAATTGCAAATATATTTATATTTGTGTCTTAAAATACTAATAGAATAATATTTGTACAAAAAATTAATACAAATATAAAAATAATTTTAATATTATATACAATAATGCAAAAAATAAATATAATTTTACAAAAGGACAAAATGAATAAGATATTTTAATATTAATCAAATTATAAAAAGTTGGACTTGAGTGGCAATTGCCCCGAAATCCTTGAGTATTGACCTTCTCCTCCCAATACATTTGGATGGAGATTAATTCATTTCCAATATTTTTTTACTATATCAATTAGCGAGAAATTAGATAAGTGGAAATGAATTTGAGTTTTTTTTTTTTTTTTTTAACATTTAACTTTATATACAATCAAAATATGTAATTGTAGTCCGGTAAGGATGACCTGGTGATGTGGGGGTTGAACTTGTAATTTATTGTTAAAGTATTTAAATTTTACAATTTTTTAAAGAAATTGTACTAAAACATAATTTTAAAAAACATCGTATATAATTTATAATTTTTTTAAAAAAAAGTCATTAAAAATATTTTTCATAAATTTTCATTCGTTAAAACTTTTTTTTTATCCGGTTAATCATTTATTTTTGTTTGATCCATTTATATAGTTACATTTTTTTTTTACATTTTTCAACTGAATTCTCTGTTTTACGAGAATTGATACTTATTTTCTACTCAATTTCATTTATTGTATCAAACGCGACCTTAATATCTTTTAGTTTGAAAATAAGATTTGATTTTTCTTTTCTTTTCTTAAAATTTGATTTCTTGTTTTAAAAATGATCATTGTAACAAAATTTTTATGTTTGTATGTATAGTTAATATAAAGCAATTTTAAATATCTTTAAAATAAATATTTGATAATATTTAATTACTGAATAGTTAAAAATAATAATAAAAAATAAATAAAAGTGGCACTTACTTATGTGGTAGGCCCTTGCATTATGTAAAAAGATTAATGTTTTCTTTTTGACATGATTATAATGAAGGCTCCAATGGATGATGGGTCGTTTTTTAACTACAACTTTTATTTTAATATTTGGAGACAATATGATGATTAAATCTTGTCCATAATTATAACCATTACAATGGTTGTGTTTTATCTTTTTATTTGTGTTATCTAATCTATTGTTTTTCTTGAAAAATGTAATTTATGTATAAACATTATTTATGATATAAGTGCAACTGTAACATACATATATTAAATATTTCATCCGTCCAATTTTTATTGTCCTAAAGTATATTTGCACAATTTTTTAGGGGATTTTCTTTTTTGTTATAAATGGACAAGTTTGCCCTTAAATGTATGATAAAAATTAAAAGTAATAAATAAATATAGGGTAAAAATATAAAATTTTTGTTTAAAAAATGAAATAGGACAATAGTTGTTGGACGTCCCAAATAGAAAAGTAGGATATTAGTTTGTGAACGGAGGGAGTATAAAATAAGCATAAGATTAGCATGAAAAAATTCGAAAAAATTCGTAACCCAATAGTCATGTCATATATAACTGTAACTATTTAGGTAAGATGATCATTTATATCGTCTAACATGATATTAAAAGTTTTAGATAAATAATGTGTATTCTAATTAGTTTCACATAAATGTGTACATATATTTTATTTTTATTAATATTTATAAGAAAATCGTGTTAGATAAAATTTATTGGGTGAACAAAATCTTCATTAAATAAATAGTATATATATATATATATTTATTTTTTTCTGTCAATAATATGAGCATTAATTGACATGTGACATCTAATGAACTTCTATTATTTAATTTGATAAAATAAATAAGATAGAAAGCTCTTCCCAAAAATAACATATAAGTTTCTTTAAAGTAATATGCCTTCTTGTCGTGTATCTATTTGGTAAAACATGTCTATACTATTTATATTTTATACTAACCATATTAATCAATTATTTCTTTATACCAAACTGATATAATATATAAATCAAATTCTGTACACGCTAAAGTAAAATAAATATTTTTATTTATCATATTATACAAAAACCAAACATTTCATTCAAAATAGCACACCATTTTATGTTAAGATTATTTTAATTTAATTTTTCACTATTTCTAAACTTTAAACCAAGTTTCCACAAAATTTTTCAAATATAAAATAAAATAAATATAGATTATTTTCCACTATTTCTAAATTTTCTTCACATAGAATTAACACCATAAATTTATAACTTTTATCTATATAGTTCTTGAATAAATATATATATAATTTCTTATCTTTTTCAAATTATTTCTATTATATAAAATTTCAATATTTACAGTGAATATGTATTTTAATCAAATATGTAGCATACTATAATCCAACTTATTATTATTCTACTAAAAAATAAAAATTTCAACTACAATTTAAAGCTTGTAACAAGTAACAAAAGAAACGCACCTATATTCTTGGTCAAACCTTTCATTATTATTATTACTATTATTTTTAATTTTTTTTAGATACCCCTCCAAATAATTCCCAAATCAGATATACCCAAAATTACCCATCAAATGCAGGAAGTAGTCCATTCATTTTTCCTTTTTTTTGTTTTTTAAAACAAAGTCCAAAATTGGTTGCGGTGAATGATGGGATGAGATGATTTGGTTGAAAGTTGAGTAAGATTGCAGTGATCAAATAAAGCAACAATATTGAACAAAAAGATGTTATTTTAGTAAGTGACACATCAAATCCAAACCCTCTATCCTATCCTCTATTATTATTATTATTATTATTATTATTATTATTGTTGTTGTTGTTGTGGATGAGCTGAGCTGTCCACAAATGCTTCAATCTAATTTCATTTTCTGTCTGCTATGGCTCCTGTTTGTATTCTTTCAATCAACACACAAAAAAGTAAAATTTACCAAAAAAATAATAATACTACTTCACAATAAATAAAACTGTATTCCAACACAAAGAAGATATTTCTTCAGGTTAGTTTGTATTTGTCCCCTGTTTCCAATTATTTTATTACTTAAAATGCATTTCTAAATTATTTTATTGGCTAAACTAAAATACATCTGTCTCTGTTATGTCCCCTTTAAGAAAAAGGGTATTTCAAGAATTTTAAAATTATATATATATATATATAAGAACACTAATCAAGAAAAATATATAAATATATATATTTTTTGCTGGGGCTGAAAAATGGTAAAAGCTAATGCAAAGCAAAAATGAAGCAAAGGGGAAAGAGAAAAGAGAGTGGGTGTGGGGCAGAGCTATGGCTGTGGGTTCTGTACTGTCTTAACTTGTTCCCTCCAAATAACACACACTCATCTCTTTCTATCTCTCTCTTCGTCTCTGTTCTTGATTCTCACTCATTAGATAGATACATACACACTCGTATGTATGTTGAAAAACAGTCAAAAGGGGCATTCCCACATTGGCTTCTTTTGCCTTTTGTATTGCCAAGCAATTGTCCATGTCTGCTGCGGCTGCTCCCCCTTCACGGAGCTCAGAAATGGGGGAGGAATCATACTTTGAATTTCTAGTTATTATTTGATTGATGCCCCTCTTTCTCTTTCTATCTCATCTTTTTACAAAATTAGGGAACTGCCATTGATTTGCTCTCTCTTTTTTCTCTTTGTATTCCTACAAGCAACTATGATGTCTGTTGGTATTGGGGTTCTTGTAAAAGCCCCTTTTGTCTTCCTGTCCAAAAGGGCTACCTAGTTTTTAATCACTCGCTTCATTAATTTCCTATCAAATGCCTTTTGCCTCTTTGCCCTTTCTTCGTGTAATGTTGCCTCTGCTGCTACACTGAATTCCAGTAGCCTAGGAGAAAATTTCGCAATTAATTGGAGGATTTCATGGAAATCGACCTGAATCATGATTTGGGTGAGGAGGAGAAGGCTGCATGTGTAGATGGAGAGGAATCTGAGAAAGGGGAAGGTAATAAGAAATTCCCGGGGTTCTCTTTTTTTTTTGTACAGTCTTTCAATTTCCCAAAATCTCTAAAGAATTTTTTGTTTTTTGGGGTTCTTCTTGTACAGCGTCTCCTCCTCAATCCTCCATGTATTTGGAGCTCTGGCATGCCTGTTCAGGTCCTCTCACAAGCCTACCCAAGAAGGGGAATGTAGTTGTTTACTTTCCTCAAGGTCACATGGAACAGGCTGCCTCTGCCTCACCTTTTCCACCCATGGAGATGCCTACTTTGGATCTCCCTCCCCAGATCTTTTGCAGGGTTTTGGATGTTAAGCTACTTGTATGTATATCAGTGCTGAATATGTACATTTAGTTTGTTCTTGATTTTCTATCGAATTATTAATTTTTTGATACAGGCTAGCAAGGAAAATGATGAGGTGTATACTCAGCTGCATCTCCTTCCTTTGCCAGAGGTATTATTCTGTTGATTTGAACACTTTCTTGGTTGTGTGTTTGATCTTGAAAATCTTGTTTGTTGATTTTGCAATTTCTGCAACTACAGACGCCTTTTTTTTATAGCCAATTTTCAGTAGTTGTGTCCTCCAATATAGTTTTGATCTTGTGGAAACTCACAAGACTTGCCATTCCAGTTATGGACTATGTTGAAGTATTTGTGCAGTTGGTAGGGGTGAAATTGGAAGGCAAGGAGAATGAAAATTCGGGTTTCTCCGAGGACAGGAATGGTGTGGTGCCTGCGAAATCGACTTCCCATATGTTCTGCAAAACGCTTACTGCTTCTGATACCAGTACTCATGGGGGGTTCTCTGTTCCTCGAAGAGCTGCTGAAGATTGCTTCCCACCTTTGGTGAGAGTCCACTTTGATCTCCATCACTTACTCGATGTAATAAGTTTACGAGGAGATGTGTTCAATTATCTTTACTTATGTTTTAATTCATTTTAGCTGTATTGGGAATTGTTGTTTGGAATTAATTTGCAAATTTGGTTGCAGGATTATAAAGAACAAAGGCCTTCCCAGGAGCTTATAGCAAAAGACCTTCATGGAGTCGAGTGGAAATTCAGGCACATTTACAGAGGTGGAAATTTCGATTCTTTATTGATTTTAAATGGTGTATTTATGCTGATTGAGAAACTCTTCCATGTAGGCCAGCCAAGGAGGCATTTGCTTACTACAGGATGGAGCATTTTCGTCAGCCAAAAGAATCTTGTATCGGGTGATGCTGTTCTGTTTCTGAGGTGCCTTTTCATCTGAACTTGAACTATGCTATTCAAGAACTGTGTAGGAAAGAAGCCTTGTTTCATATGGACCTTTGAGTTATCTGAGTAAATAGAAATTATATAGACACAATACAAGCCTTTTATTGTGCAAGCATGAATTCCGGGTACAAGTTCTTCGTGAATATGTTGTTGGCTTCAATTAGGGAGCAGCTTCTGTATTACAGAAATACATACATAGTTACACACATACTTATGTACACATACACATTCCTGCACATATATATCCACAAACATGCGTTAATCATCACTGAATTTGCATTGCGAAACATGAAAATTGTGGGCATTATATAACTTCAAAAGTGTTCTTAAAAATATTATGCCTGGGTAATCTGGCTAAGTTTAATGAGTTCATTTTCAAATCACAACTTATAATGTCTTGTGCAAGTTCTTATGCCTATTTCAGTATTGTGTTTGGCGATATGTTGCATTGCTGATTCGATCCGAATTTTCATATTAGAAAAGCACTGAATATTTTGTAGAATGAATATTACATTCAAACTACCTAAACTTATGTAATTCAAATTTGATGCTCACCCTTGATTATGTACCCGATTCACAGACACTATGCATCCTTTTTTTTTTCCTAGCAAATAAATTAAGAAAACATAACTGTCTCGAGCAACCACAAGAAAATATCCAACCGGACCTCATCATTCCTTCTGTAAAAATATAGTTTCACCTGTTTTTTCTATTGCTAGAAATTCTTCTTTAAATCATGCTATCTGATATTGAAGGGGAGAAGGAGGTGATCTGCATCTGGGGATTAGAAGAGCTGCTCGGCCAATAAATGGTCTTCCTGATTCAATCATTAAAAATCAGAGCTCTTATCCTAACGTACTCGCTCCAGTAGCGAATGCTTTGTCAACACATAGCCCATTTTCTGCATTCTACAGCCCAAGGTACTCTTTGATGGCCTCGATCTTATATCCAGCTGCAAAAAACTTAAATTAGGAATAGGAAAAGATAGAATGACATTTCTTCTTCGGGTTTTGATTAATATGGTTGAAGATGTGGTAATACTTTGATTATTGCTTGATATAAATTTTGCATTGAAACACGTTGAGAATGTTTGTTTGACGATGACGAAACTACCTGACTTAATACTCAAATATCTGGATTCAGCTCTTTTGATTTTTGTGATCTTGGAGAGTGAAATCATTCAAGAGAATGCATGCTTGTTAAGGATTTTCTCAAAAGATTCTGGTATTTCTGTTGTTGATTCTATGATAGCAAAAATGTGAAAGTTTAGATAAATTTGTGTTGTCTTATGTGGGATAAAAAGTTCACCATAATGTTCTTGATGGAACGTTAGTCTATCCCTTATTTGGACCAATTCTCAGCATGTTTTTGTTAATCAATACCGAAATGTGTATGACTTAGACCTGTTATATGAATAATAAACTTGTTATAGAAGTACTTTTGATGTGGCGGAAATGAAAAGACAACTCGTCACCATGGGATTATAGGGCATGACACTATTGATACATATGGTCTCTTACATCCAAGATTAAATAATAATAATAATAATAAATTAGAAGTCAGAATCAAGTAAAAAGGCAGTGTCCCCTAATGGGGCAGGTGTTTGATTGAGGCCAAACAGGCTTTGAGATTCAATGATCTCGAGGATGACTTGTGGGTTTGCTTCTTGTATAAACATTCTTGAAAATGATGATCTATTTTCCGTTCAAAGTTTGTTTGCAAATGGTATATGACACATGTGCTGCCTAAACCGATCAATGGGATGTATGGTTTTATGATGGTTATCTATATTATGAAGTCCTGGATGAAATTTAGCATGTTTTTGCCGAAAAAGAATATTTATCTTGTGTTGAAATAGATGTGAGTATTTGTGATTACCAATTTCATGTACAACCAAAAGGTTTCATGTGCTCTGGTTGGGGAAAATGAAATGATTTGTAAACAGGTTGCTAGAACCGTAGGCAACCCCAAACATGAATGTATCGTGATATTAATACATGTTTTCTTTTTATTTTCTCGTGTTCTCGTTTATCCTGATGTACATGATTTTATGCTACACTTCTTGGTTGGATTACCTATTTTGTAGCACTTCTGTTGCAGAGAGGGTCACAATGATTTTATTGTACCCTACGAGAAATACGACAAGTGTATGGCTAGTCATATACCTGCTGGTACAAGATTCAAAATGAGATTTGATTTTGACGACTCTCCGGAAAGAAGGTGAACCCGTAAACCAACTAGAATACCCGTAAATTGAGATGCATCTCGATGAATTTAATCAAATTTGCTTTTGCAGGTTGAGTGGAGTGGTGACTGGAGTCAGCGATATCGATCCCTACAGATGGCCAAACTCAAAATGGAGATGCCTAATGGTTAAATGATCATCTCAAACATAATATCGAATACTATAATTTATCTTCAATTAATATTAAGTACTTCTGAGTTTCGACACGGGTTCCTTTCTTGACTAACACAGTTGCATCTGATGCATCCCGACAGGTCCGTTGGGACGAAGATATTATGAATAATCACCGAGAACGTGTTTCTCCATGGGACATTGATTTCTCAGGTAATTATACGCCTCTCAGCGTTCAGTCCTCACCTAGAATGAAGAAACTGAGGTCGAGTCTGCAAGTGACCTCACTTGGCAACCCGATTACCGGTGCTTATCTTTCCATTCAATAAAAACTATAAAATGTTCGAATGATTAATGATTTTGCAACATACGTCTAATTCTTCCGATTTGTACCAGGAAGGGGTGCTCTTTTCGACTTTGAGGAATCCATGAGATCCTCCAAGGTCTTGCAAGGTCAAGAAAATGTAGGTTTAGTATCACCTCTCTACAGAAGTGATCGGGTGACCGGCCACCTCGATTTCGAAAAGCCGAATTCTGCGCCAAACAGTATGGAAAAGATCAAATACGGCGAGTTTATAAGAAGCCACGCGCCCACCACTTTCACAGGCTATTTGGAATCCAATTGGTTTCCTAAGGTCTTGCAAGGTCAAGAAATTTGCTCGTTGAGGTCTCTAGCTGGAAAAGCTGATCCGAACTTCGGGCTGGCGTGGTCGAAACCCGAACTCGGTTATAATGTTTATAACAACCCACATCAAAGACCGGTGTCAACCCCGTCACCAAGCTTCTATCCACTAGCTTCCGAAGGTGCGAGAAACATTACTATTCCTCACAAGGGAATATTCCGAGCCGGTGCCGCACAAGGGCCTCTCGTGTTTTCAAGCTTTCCGTCTTATCCGACTGGAAATCATGTTTTGTCGGGGGCTACAGCGGATATGAGTCGAGCGGCAAATATGGTGAACGAACCGATAGCAATGGAGAACTCGTTGACACCCCAAACATCGGTGCTTCATTTTAAAAGCGACGATGATTCGAAAGAGAAGGCGCCGACGTGTAAATTATTTGGAATTTCGTTGATGGACGATCCGGGTGTGCTTGCATTGCAGGGTTTGGGTAAGAGGAGCTGTACAAAGGTGAGATTGCGATTTTTCGGGAGAATGAACATGAAAGATTGTGTATGTAAGTTGGGTGTATGATTCTCGACTCTTTTTTTGTAGGTTCACAAACAAGGCAGCCTGGTTGGACGAGCCATCGATCTGTCGAGGCTGCACGGGTACGACGACCTGTTGGGTGAGCTCGAGAGGCTGTTTAGCATGGAAGGTCTTTTGCGGGACCCGAACTATGGATGGCGCATATTGTACACTGATAGCGAGAGCGACATGATGGTGGTTGGCGACGATCCCTGGCGGTAAGTCCCTTTCGTTTTTTTTGAATGGTTTATGTGTTGAAGGGACAAATCAGCATTTGCCTAAGTCAGTACATATAAAAACAAGCGTCAACTACTTTTCATTTTTAGTTTTTTCAAACTTCTTATTTCTTTTTTTAAGAAGTAAATTTCGACTTAATATCAAAATATTCCTATTTTTTACTTCTATACATTATTTTTAAGAGTAAAATAAATACTCTTCTCGTTCCAAAAACAATAGTCTCATTTTCCTATTTTCGTTCGTCTTAAAACATAAGTCTTATTTCCATTTTTGGTAACTAGTTTTTCACCTTTTTACAAAACTATTTCCATTTTTTCACAACATAAAGTAGAGGATATTTTGGTACTATCAATATTATACTATTATTTTTAATTTCCGTGCTTATTCCAAATATCCATATTGTTTTAAAACAAAGGTAGTATTACATTACTTTATTACATTGCATATGTATAGAATATTAATTTATCTTAATTCATATGTACAAACAAACATGAAGTTTACTACAGGGCGGAGGGAGTATGATGTTAATATAAATTGTGTATTATCTGTTTTCATATTGTGTGTTGTCAGCATAGAAATAGCCGTTTCAGTTCTCAAATTAAATGAGAGGGAATGGTAGTTTAATTCGGTTGGGTTTGAATTGAATTTTGCAGCGACTTTGTCGACGTGGTAACAAAGATCCACATATACACGCAAGAGGAAGTCGAGAAATTGAGCCTGGGGATGAATAGCGACGACACGAAGAGCTGTTTGGAGGAGGCGCCGCCTGCGCCGGATGCCTCATCTGTAGGACAGCCGGAGGATTCATCTCCGACTAGAGGTGGGATGTAAGGATTATTTATGGTAATGAAATAAAATCAGTTATGTTTAAGTTTGTGACTGCAATTTGCTTTATATTATTCCTATTACTATTATGATCAGATCACTCCTGCTTTTAAGACTGTACTACGTATGTATGTGTATGTAAGAGTTGGACTTCTTTTGTATAGATTATGTGATCTTTTTGCTGGCTAGCATTGTTATTTTTATGTACTTTTTGTATTTAATATATTGTTTGTGTTATTTTGTGATTTTATTAGTTTATTTATTTATTTATTCTTTTAATATTGTTTTGGATTAAAATAGTTATATCGTGTATGATTTGATTATATACATATATATATATATATATACATATACACTACGTAAGTGTCTATTCCACTTAATTGACTGAATTTAATAGTTTGCAAATTAGATTCGACAAGATAAATTATATTAAGACAAACTAGATGTGACAGATTTAGGTAGGTTTGAATGCGTTGTTTGAACGCATGATCTCATAAGTTTATCCACATATCAGTTTTATTTTTCAACAATAAGCATGTATTTAGGATTTGTTTGGTTTGTGTTTAATTTAAGTTTTTTTTAAAAAATAATATATTAATATGATATTTTATAAGAAAGTTTTTTTTTTTTTTTTTAAATTGAAAATTGCTCTGTTAAATAATAGTACTCTCTCAGTCCAGCACCCTCGTTTGTTTTTTTTTTTTTTTTTTTCATTCGCATGGTGTAATACAAAAGTATATAAAAGTAATGACATTTGTATAGTATATTATAAGTTGAAAAGATATTTATTACGATAGGACGAAAATGAAAAATGGTAACCTTTCAATAACACGGAGGGAGTAGTAAAAAAAAATGCAAATTCAAATCAAATAAATTTTGAATTTTGTTCCTTTCGCACATTCGACCCGAAAAGCTGCCTATTCGGGTCGGATCTGGACCGGATTATAAAAGCATCTCGTTTGGGCGGTCTAGAAGGAAAGGACGAACGGTAAAGCTACAGTTCAAACTCCAAAACCCTATCGATGGGAGGATTTCAAATTTTGGAACCCTAACAAGATTTCATCACAGAAAATAAGTGATGGATCGAAGCGGGGGACTGCAGCAGACGGCCACCGAATCGCGGCCGTCGAAGTTCGCTGTGTACCAGAATCCGGCCCTGTCCGCGGCCCTAACTTCGAACAGCCTCCGTCCCTCAGCCGTCACGTTCCTTTACATACTCTCGGTGTTCTCAGCTTCTGCCATCGCTCTTCTTATCTCTCTGAACGGGTACATTTTTGCTGTTCTATGTTGTTTCGCTTCCTGTTTTTAACGTTTTTAGTTGCATATTGCTAAATGTAATAGGTTTTCAGTTGGTTCATGTTTCTCAATTATGTGGTTTTTCATCACTTTTTGTCTTGGAAACAAACAAATTGGTTTTTAAGTGTATCTATTTAGAGCTCTTACTCATGTTTGCTTGAGAATTTTGGCCGTAAAACGATGATCATTGCCTTGCGAATGACAGGAGGATAACATGGGGCTAAATAACAAATTAAACCATATAAAACCTGAGGTGTTGAAAATCACCTTGAGAAACCACAGGGAAACTCCAGCATATGTTCCACAACAGCGCAGTTTACCTCTTCACATGGATTCCGTGGTGTAATTCCTTTTTAAGGCAATTTTTGAAAGAAAACGTCATAGGTTCTTACGATAGGCACGTACAGTTTGGAGAATATGGGCTCTCCAAATAATTTTATAAATAATGAGATTTAGTCATCTCATGGATGGGATAGAGCAAGCTTTAAAAATTCGTCTGTGGGATAGTAGACAACATCAGTGGTGTTATTTAGTGATTATTTACATATTAATTCTGAATGCTGTATGGGTAATGAGATTTTGCAATTTACCACTTACCATGCTATGCTAGCTAGTGTATTTTTGTTTTGTGTTGAGTTTGAATTGTATAGATAATGTTGTTAATTATTGGCCTGTTTTTTTGTGTGATTTTGTGATGAGGTCTTTTATGCAGATATTAGTAATTAGCTGATCCTTCTCTCTATATTATTATAGGGAACATACAGGTGTTGATTTTGGAGTTGGTTTTCTCTCTCAAGATGTTGCTTGTAAGTGATGTTACAGTTCATTTTGGAATGTTTAGACCTGTTAATTTTGTTCGAGATTATAACATTTGATTCTTGATAATATGCCAGGCTTGTTTTACAAGGTGACGGCGACCACTGCATGTATGATTTTACTTGGAAGTTTTTTCGCCTTTATGAAAGCTGTGTCACAGTGGAGAAACAGAAATGGCCTGGATGTGGTTGTTTCATCTCCTTCCAAAGGTACGAAGGAGATGAAACGCCTTACAAACCGGCAATTGGGTCTTCTGGGATTAAGATCAAAACTTGAAGTGGATTCTCAAGAGTCTTCGAAGAAACCTCCTAAGTCAAAAACTAACTCACCTTCTCTATCAAATCCCCTTGTCCCGCTTCATGAGTCAGTGACAGGTTCAAATCTATTATCTCGAAAGAGTGGTGGAAAATCGAGCAGTGGTGGTGGGAACAAGATGCATGGCTTTAGCACACCATCCAAATCTCCACCTTCTCCATCTATGTACCTTGTTCCAACTGCCTCAATGCTTTCTCCGATTCCATCTTCGTCCCTGCAGGCATCTCCTGCTTCGGATCAGGTCGTTACAACCCCTTGGACAAATAGGCGTCGTACTTTTCATAAAGGCATAGCTACAGAGGAAGATCTTGAAAGTTTTCTAGCTGATGTAGATGAGAAAATAGCCGAAACAGCAAGTAAATTGGGTACTCCAAGTAGCACAAATGGATTTGGTATATCAACCACTCCAAACACAATCACCAGTTCTGTCAGCACACCGGGAACTAGAAGTACACCCTTAAGGCCTGTCAGGATGTCTCCTGGTTCCCAGAAGTTCACAACTCCTCCAAAGAAAGGTGAGGGAGATCTTCCGTCGCCAATGTCCATGGAAGAGTCTATCGAAGCTTTTGATAGGTTGGGTATCTATCCACATATTGAGCAATGGCGTGACAGCCTCAGGCAGTGGTTTTCTGCTATTGTGCTTAATCCTCTTCTTGATAAAATTGAAACCAGCCACCTGAAGGTGAGTTATCTTATTACTTCTTACCTGCATAAATTTATGTTATATAGCTAAACATGGTTTTGATAACTCCAGTTAAGAGATGTAATTTCCTGTGGTGGTCTTGTTTTATCACTGCTTTTTTTTTTAAAAAAAAGAAAAAAGACAATGTTCTCCACAATTAGAGACTCATTGAAAATTCAAAACTTTCCAGATTTCATTTTGGCCATGTCAAAACAATTAATATATGTGTGTGTACATCTTTTATGTTTAGTGTTGTACCATGTCAAACCGTTGCTTGAAAGTTTCCTCGTAAATAATTCAATTTATGTCTTGAACAGAACGTGGTTGGGTGAATATCTACTAACATATGTATATATATATATAATTTATGCATGGTGCCATAGGGATATTTTTTGTACTTTTGAAACCATGTTATTGACAGTGCATCTTTTATTTCCAAAAATGCCCTTAATTTATCAATTTCCGCGTACTTTCAGGTAATTGAGGCTGCTGCTAAACTTAACATCCAAATCACCATTAGTCAAGTTGGAAGTGACACTTCAAATACACCAACTGCTGCTAATGTTTCTCCAATTGACAGAACTGATGATTGGAAGCCGGCATTTGCAGTAGATGAAGATGGACTTCTCCATCACCTATTTGCTACCCTTGTTCAAGCTCTCGATGCTTGTATGTACCACAGTGCATTCAAATATTTGATGACTTATTGGGCATTTTTTTCCTTTTCTCTAGATAACTTCTCATGGTTACTATTGTTCTTTTTCATCTCTAGCAAAGTTGTCTACCAACAGTTTCCAGCAATCCCATCAGCAGGCTACTCCTCTTCTGCAAGAGTGCATAGATGCCATTACCGAACACCAAAGGCTGCATGCTTTAATGAAAGGAGAGTGGGGTAAAGGTTTACTGCCACAAAATAGCGTCCCAGCCGACTATACTGTCCAGAGAATTCGCAGTAAGTGTCTTAAATATACTCTGATGTTAAACTGAGTGATGATGAACTTGATCGATCTTGGTCCTTTTTTTTTTTCCTGTAACCACTCTAATTTAATATTTCATGGACTTGCCCAAAATCTGTAGAGCTTGCGGAAGGAACATGCTTAAAGAACTATGAATATCTGGGGAATGGCGAGGTCTACGACAAAGTGAATAAGAAATGGACTCTTGAACGGCCCACAGATTCTCATCTACTTCTATACCTGTTTTGTGCTTACTTGGAATACCCAAAATGGATGCTGCATGGTGATCCGACAAGTTATGCTGGAGCACAGGCAAGCAAGAACCCTCTGTTTTTGGGTGTTCTTCCTCCTAAAGAAAGGTTTCCTGAAAAGTACGTAGCTATTATATCGGGAGTTCCCTCTGTGCTGCATCCCGGGGCTTGTATTTTAGCCGTGGGAAAGCAAGGCCCCCCTGTATTTGCCTTGTATTGGGACAAGAAGCCCCAGGGCTGTCTCCAAGTAAGTTATACTATGACATTTAATATATATATATATGTGTGTGTATGTATGCATGTGTGTCTGAACTTTGAATTGCTTGCAGGGAAGAACGGCACTGTGGGATTCACTATTGCTTTTGTGCTACAAGATTAGGATCAGTTACGATGGCATTGTTAGAGGAATGCACCTTGGTTCGTCGGCACTTGGAATTCTTCCAGTTCTTGAACCAGAAATGGATGATTGATTTATTGCTGCAAGCTCAATAAGAATTGCTTTGCTTAGCCAAAATCAGATCCATCCATTTGGTAACATATATTCTTTCTCGGTGGGTTATTCTTTAGATCTTTTATTCAGGTGCTGCTGATATGCTAAATGATTTCTGTATGTTCTTGTTGACGTTTAGTTTACGCCCCAAGGGAAGGAGGATTTTGATGGAAATGCAAGTTTTGTTAGAATTTACAATACTAGCTTTTCATTGCAATATTATTCATAATTTTAAAAATAAAAAATTGCCCTTATATTAACAACTTGAGTAAGACCAGTACAAGAGTTCTTTAATTGATTTAAAAATTTATAAGCATATATGTGGGCCATGCATGCAGGCCCGGCCCAATCCTTTGCTGAAACCTTTAATTCAAGGAGTACAGTGATGTACAGCTTAGAAGGCCCAAGCCCGCAAAGAAGTAGCACCGGCCCATTATAGTTAAACAGGCTTGAGCTCGATAATCGGCCTGTATGGCTTTCATATGGGCCGACAAATAGAATCAATCCAATGAGATACAATCGGATCGATTTTGGGCCTATGAGTTATAGTCGGCCCAATACAGACCTGGGCCCGGCTACACCAGAACTGTATATGGGCCTTCTCATGAGCTAAAATTAGCCCAATAATGGCTCGAACCAGCTACACTAATAAAACAGGCCTATTCTAATCTCTTTTTAAAGACTTTATTGGCCCAAAAGGTAGTGGTTCTATCTATCTACACAATAAAAGATAGATACCCAATAATTAATAAATCAGCACATATGGCTACTACACTACAGTAATGAGTAACGGAGGATCATGTGCTGACCTCAGCATATAATATAACTGCATGCATCATATGCGTATTTGATTGGATGAACATCGATCCGCAGCCCAAACACAAACTAAAATATCATAATCATCATCATATAGTTAACTACATAAATGACGTCCAAAACATGTAAAATAGTTTACCAAGTTGGTCAAGATAGGTATATCATCATCATCTACTACACATATGAATGCCATTTACAAGCTTCATTCTTCCTCCCTTTCGTTTTTTTGTTTTCTCCTTTAAGAGTCGAGAATAAGGTGAGAGAGACTGGCAAACACACCCTAAGCCTCCTATAGAATTCTCTACAATAATAATAATAATAATAATAATAATAATAATAATAATAATCTAGGAGGGAGGGAGGGAGGGATGTGAGACATCATAATTAGTTCAACCCCCTCTTGTTTTTCTATTACCATATTACCAGTAATGAGAGACACTGTCAAAAATTAAAAACATACAAGCAAGACAAGAACACTATATATATATATATATATCATAATTGCCCACCATACAAAACCAACTTACAGCGAGTACAGAGGATAAGTTACCTGATAACCACTTCTCCACTGCTGGACTCGTTAAGTGTCTCTATGCACTTCCTCAACAGACACAACCACTGCGCCCCCGCAAGAGTTTACTCAGATTCAGAATCAATAGACAGGTATAATCTTGGTCTTACAGACCGCCTTTGGCGAGGGAATGAAAAAGGCCCATCTGATGTTTCCCTACTCCGAGCCTTCTTATTCTCATTCGCACCAGGTAAGAATGCGGCTGCCAATAACAAAATTTCAAATATAACAAAATGGTGCAAATAATAAGTTTATTGGGGAGTTACTTGCAGCTGAAACTTTCATACAACAAGTTCATCGTTAAACTCAACACAAAAGATTTTTAGGAGCCTAATGCATGATGGGAAGTATGGGGATTATGTAAGCCTCTGAATATTATATTGTTTTTTAAGATCTAACCTATTTGTATTCAATCACAAAAACACAAAATCAAACTGCAATGAAAGAGAGAGGGAGGTTCATGTTACCTTGATCTGCTGGCGAATCCAGGTCATCATCTACTGACGGTAACTCATGGCCTGAAACCAATTCATTTGGGGCGCTGGATCCACCTTGGCCACCTCCACCATCTCCTAGCCTGAGAGAAATCCAATCTTCGGTATGAATACCATTTGACATTTCCGGTTGGTCTCTCAAATCAGATTGAGAAGGCAGTACATCGGACGGCCTTGTGGGTAGAAATATTTGGAGGGAGGGGTCGTTGCCTGTGTACGCCAAACTATTATCCACTAAACCATCATTCATGTTGGAATGTTGATCAATCAGCTCAGGAGCATGCATGGCAGATCCCATGGGAATGTCTGCAGTTGCTGTAAGGCCATTTACAGACGATGAACAATTGAGTGTGGTATGCGGCATGCCAAATAAAGGATCGGGGACATCTGCATCAGAACCAAATAACTGAAAACTGGAAACTCCCTGACCTCCGGAAGGTGATGGCCACATATTACTCCCAAAATCATCGTCATTTGTGCTGTAGAGATCGAGGAATGAATTTCCACCATTCGGTAGGGGAGGGTTTTCAAAATAAGGATCAGACATCCCAGGAAGCAGAGGAGCTGAATATCGAACCCCGCCAGCATCTGACCCATTGTTCGGGAAAGCTGTACCAGATGACATAATGGGGTCAATTTCGTCATCCGAGTCACTGAGGACAATCAATTCAGCATCAGCAGCAGGAGCTGCAGCAGTATCAAATGCTGGAGCAGTTGGATTAGCATTTAGGGATATTGAATCATATTCTAAATCATTTATGATTGGGAAGTCGCGGTTTCCTCCACCACCCTGATTCACACTAGCATCTTCACCATCTCTGCCACTAGCAGTGGCACTGCTGCTCATTGGAATTATATTGTGGCCATTATTCTCAAGATCTTCTTGAAATATATTGGCGGGTGAGATTCCACGCAGATCATTGGGTTTATTAAATTCCCAGCAACCATTTTGATTTTTCCTGATTCCTAATTTTAGAGCAGCATGGCTATTTGAACAAGCTTCTTGTTTTGCTGATATTTCTGGTTTGGGCTTTGATTCCCAATCTACAGATGGACATATCGTACCATCAGGGAAATGCCAGAGCCCAAGCTCCCCCAGACCTTTACGATCGCCCTCTGACTTAGCACGCCATGAGCCATCAGGCTTTACCTCAATCTCTGCTACTTCTTCTCCAAATTTCCGCAACTTCAAGGAAAACAATACAACATGAAAGTTTCAAAATTCAAGACTGCAGAAACTACTGCTTCATATATAATGGAGACAATACCTTCAATGCTATCTGATTGAAATATGGATCTATAATGATTTTCTCCCAGGAATAGTTCTTCAAACAAATAGGACATTGCCACTATATCCACAGAAAACAAAGAATCCAATCAATCATGTAAGAATTCGCTAAATATAAGCCACCTCAAACTAAAAAACATTCTAGCAGGTAGGGAAAACATAAAATTAAGGCATTAAACAAGAAAAGACACAATTATGAAAGATGCCAGAGAAAATTAATTGTGAGAGCAACAGACAACAAACCAACATGGCATGAAATTTACTTGCCTTCCTAGTTCGTTGGTTAATTTCAACAAACACTTCGAGGTCAAAACAACCCATGTGCGCACAGGGCTTAAATCTTCCCGCCACCTTCATTCTTAAACCACTCATCTGAAGTAATCAAGCATATCAATACAGGTAATTCAGTTCAAGATACATAAGGCAAACTTCGCAGAATGCGTAGGGCAAGGAAATCCCTGAATCTAGCATGTTAAAGATAATTAATTAGTGGGTTTTAAATTAAAACCATTATAGAATTCTATGCACAGTCCATACAGAAAATCATAATCAAGCAACATTATTGTAAATAGAATATCCAGAATTCTGAGTCACTCGTTTGAAATCAAAGAGAACCATCACAGTAAATATGTTATTTTGTTATAATAAACAGAGTGTGGATGTGGTTCCATTTTTTGGAAAACTAATTTTCCAGGTATGCTTGATTAGTGTTTTAGCCTCTTAGGAATTTTAATCCCTTTCCTTGAACAGATTATTTTATCTCATATATATATATATATAATATATTGCATAAAACATCACCAAATGTGATTGAACAATTCGTGACAGCAATCCTCATGGGGAAAAAAAAGAGAGGGAGAGAGACAGAGAGCAGCAGAACCCAACATTTAGTGCTTCTACGACAGACTAGATAGGAGACTCAAAAATCTTAAAACATATCTACATATAGGATGAAGTCATTCAACTTGAAATAAGCATGCTACAAAATATAAGCAAGAATATACATAAATGTGTTTGTTTGAAAGATTTTACAAAAATTTTACTATTTACCAAATCTTTTCCTCCAAAAAACATCAAATAGAACACCTATTTTTCATTTTCTATACTATACTAAAAATCAATTTTTTTTAATTCAAAACATCACATCAATGCCTATTTATGTTACAACATACAACTATTCTAATTCAAAATTTTTACTATTCAAACCCCAAACCCAAAATCAAACAAACACACCCAAAGTGAAATTATGGCCAGCAGTTGACGTGGAAATATAGAAACTACTTACAGGACAACGGAGGTTGACAGGAATGGAATCAGAAACGACTTCAATCTCACTATCACTATCAGCATTTTCTGTGTCAGCCCCACCACCAACACATCTACGCACACGAGCAAGTGCATCCTCAAAAACCTCACCATCAGACTCCTTTGGAATCATGCTGAGAATCTGGCCAAAGAATTGTCTAAGTACAACGTCCTCCTTGCCAACAACCAATATAGAAAAAAGAGGGTGGCATTGCTAACTAAATCCTAATATCAGAGATATTATCACTATTCACATGGGTTTTCAAACAAGTTTTGGCACCATTCATAAAAAAATTCGGTTATCTAAAATATATCACATCAAGTACCTATGTCTTGTTTAAAACAATACATAAAAAAACTACTTTCTAACAAAACATCATATTAAAATACCTCCTTTTAAACTCCAAAACATATCTAAACACAACCCATGTTTTAGGGAGCAGTGAGGATAAAATTCCTCATCTTCACAGAAGTCAGTTCGAGCACAAGTTTCCTCCAAGTCGAATGGGAAACATGCAATCCAACATACAACTAATAGATGAATGTTTGATATAGTTCAATAGCTGTCCAAAGGCCCGATTCAAATGATATTATTCAGTACTTTTGGATATCAAGGAACAGTTGACAGGTCATATTTTATAGAACCGCATCATTCATTGTGACAAAAGTGAAAAAGTTCATATTAGAGATGATTGTCAAAGAAACAATCTCCTACTGCCCACATTCCCACAGTACCTACATATTTAGCTAGAGAAAATACTGGAGGACCAGCTCACCTGATGCACAGTACGCCGCCTTACAATTCTGACACCAACACAAAATATGCGAGCATCACATCCAGTCAAGGAAACCTTATTAATCCCATCTCTAGTGAACGGTGTGATCTGGCAAAAACACAAGGTATGCTAAGTAAAAAAACTGAAAATAGAGAAGCCACAACAAAATCCAGTTGAAGCGATTGAAAAATTAAATTATCGTAGATGTCTGTCTCCCTAGATAGAAAGCAAAATCTATCATCAAAGGGACATATTGGTTAAATTAGGGGAGAGGGGGGGGGGGGTGTGGAAATTATGGCTAAAGGTAGGAAAAAATCAGTCTGTGATAAGTTCTGAGATAGAATTGTATCATCCAAAGTGATCCTCAAGGATCAACGATCTAAATTAGGTATCAACTTCATCCTTTATTTTCATGACCTTCAAAATCAGGATAATATAATAAGTGTAGTAGATGGGCCAAAAATAAGAAAAGAGTTGTTGGCAGTAGTTTAAATTGCGTATTATTATAATGCCGTTTAAACATTTACTTAATCTAAAGATTTCACATTGTTCTAATTCTTAAATAAAATGGGATGGTGAATGCAGTGGGCAATAAGTTAGTTCCATAGTCAAAGTGATTTTCAAGCGACTTAATTCAGAGAGAAAGAACGTACAATAGGCCCATCATCTCGACCATTAAATCCAAGCAACTGAGATCCAGGTCTGTTTATTGCCCTCACTGGTGCACCTGTTGTTCAATGTGAAATTTTGATTTGTGAATAGAACAACACATGTTAATATTTCTCCTTTGCACATGATGAGTACAGTTGACAAAGTGCAACTTGCCAAGGTCAGGACTAAAAGATAGCAATTACAAATGGGATCCTGGTACTGTGGAAATAGAAAGCTAGCATTGACATTGAAGAATATCTAAGAAGAGGTTACCATTGACTTGGAGATCTGCATACTGGGGCCACTGCATCCTAAATGTCACCTTGTCATTAACTAACATGCACCAAACCTAATCATCATAGCACATCCTTTACAATCAAGAAAGAAATCAAGCATATCCAAATGAAGACAAAATTTTGTGACATTGCCAGTATTAGTATTACTATCTCCTCACTAACCTGAACATCATAGTCTTGTTTAGACAATAATTCCTTATCTGATCTTGATAGTTGAAATGTCCTCTCAATACTTAGGCCAGGATTAGAGCTGGAACGACAAAAATGAGCAAATTAGGCCATATGATAAGAACGCCAAACAAGCAATCATCCAGTTCATAACAATTGAAAATATATGAAAGAAGAACTGATCATTTCTTCTGGTTTAGTTATTACATTCGACTTCTCAACCAATTGAAAATATATGAAAGAAGAACTGATCATTTCTTCTGGTTTAGTTATTACATTCGACTTCTCAACCAATTCACGTAGACCAAAAAGGTGCCAACAGAAAATTAATTTGCAGCCACAGCACTTGCTGCCAGAAGGAAAAGAACTTAAACCCAGCCTCAGCCCAGGTTAAAAAAGTACCAACTATGAGTCATTTAAGTTGCAACAATTGTCACAAAGCCATAAAGGTCAATAATAAACATCCTGAAAATATAAAGGAATAAAACATAATATTACAATCTGAAACTTCTGGGAAGGGATATAACACATCTTACCCATCTGCAGGAACATTAGTAATATTCAACTTCACGGGATAGAGTTGATGTGCAATGGTATCCCAAAATCTGCACAGTCCAAAAATACATGCACAGCATCAAGCATCTAAAAGAGAATGACAGGTGCTATAAATGAATAAAAACTATCAAGTGTATAGGTCCTCAAAATGCACTATATATGTGTATTCTTTCTTAAGCTCTTCTGCAAAAGGACTTCTATATGCTGTACAATTAACAACTGTTTGTCTAATGATACAATACTGTATTTAATGAATAATAACAAATCAGTATTATCCGAATAAAAAAGGCAGCAAACCCAACATTTTTTAGCCTAACCATAAGACCATGCTTGCACTTCACTTTCATTATCAGACAATACAACAAACTAAATTGGTTGGAAGGCGAAACAGATAAAGAAGTAACTTTAAATCCTGTAACTACTCAGTCTTACTAAAGGTTAACAGGTGTACGAGCAACCAATATAAAATGCTCCATTCAAAACTTAGGAAAATAACAATCAAAAGGGCTGTTTCACATATTCCTTAGGCTGCATTTATGTGTCTAAATAATGGAACAAGCAAAAGAAAGACCAGATAGGATGAGAAGAAAGGTATGGTATGTTTGTAGTAAACAAGAAAATTTGAAAAACAGCAGCAATGAGAAGATCTGAAGTAAATGATAATACATAAAAGGTAAAAGAAATTTTGAGACTTACGGATCAGCTCGACTCAGTCTACAAATTTCACAATAAAAAATGTCTGGCGGGTTAGGTACAATATCCTCTGTGGGTTTCTCAGGAATCAGTACACAAGGTATATGTTGCCAGGTATTGCACTTAGGGTCTTCACACTGCAGCAACATGTAGATCATTAATTGAATTAGAAATACTAACAAACAGAGCCAGGAACCAGTTAGAGAGCAGAAAATGTTAACAACTGGTTAAAAAACTACTCCTTTAAGATGAAGAAATAGATTTATCAAGAGTAGCATATATTAGATATTCAAATTCCCAACTGATGTATAACCTTTATCATTGAATCAGTTGGCAGTGTGCCTCCACAGAGACAGCGGATTTTATCTCTTTGACATGAATCTGCAGTTTCCTCATTAAGTTTGACATTAGTGCTGTCAGAGTCACCTTGTGATTTTGAAGCCAAATCAGCTGCTCCACTACCCTGCATTTTTCTGAACATGACAAAGGAGGCATAAGATTATGAAGTCCACAGACACCCCTAACCCCTCTCACAACCCCCACCAATAACTCTCTGAGATTTTTACCATTGCGTTCTTCTGTCCCTTCCAGAGCTTTCATTGTGAAATATTTCAATCATTTGTATTTTATGAAGGTTGGGAGTGAAGAAAATTAATCTTTTATTAGAAGATAATATGAGAAGTTCACGGGAGGCAAAATTGTTAATCATTAGCTAATATTGGGTTTACACATGGGCTAAATATTACAATAGCACAAAAAAAGGGGGTGGGGGGTGCCTAACCAATTTTTGATTGGGTTGAAATCCCAAACAGAAAGAAGAATACCTATATGTATCATCAACAATCTTTGCAACATCGTCCTTTCCAACAGCATTTTTCTTGACCCACAGCCCTGAAACTATGCGCAAAACAATTGCATCCATGTATGCCACGTAAGTTAACATTAAATTACAGGCACATGGGTTCATGACTCAGTCAATGTCAAAGTTCAAAAACCTTGGTTTCAGCCACAAGACACAGAAGTGCATATTCACACTATCAAACATGATTATTCATTGCTTACATAAATTAATCATTCATCTATTCTCGCTTTCAAACAATGAATAGTGCAAATGCTTTTTTACGTGAATGAATACAACAAAACTTCATACAATAGTTTGTTACGAGGCATGTTTCACAATATTCTCCTCACTGTGCACATTATGTTTAGCTTTCTCAAGGTTCCAGTTAGATTATGAAAGCTACAATGTGATGAGTTCACTGAAATTCTAAATACAATATGATCATGTAACAAAAAAAATATATCTTACACTCTAATTTCAAATATAATGCATGATGAATATGAAAAGCTTGCACTAATATATCAAACCAAGGAAAGAAAATCAGAGTACTCTGAAATACAAATAGGTCATGTGAGAATATCTTAGACTCTAATCTCAAATATCATACATAATGATGAATGTGAAAAGTTTGCACTTATCTATCAAACCAAAGAAAGAAATCAGAGTACTCTGAAGCTGTATATTAATGACTATGAATCTCAGATTGATATGCATGTTATTTGTGCACAGTTGTTCATGTGTGGGAGACAAGGAGGGAGAAAAGGATCAACCACCATGTTAATAGATAAATAGTCATACAGCACACCAAGACAACATAAACACTTCTTATTTTCCAAAAAAAACTGTGCAAGCATAATAAGAGGTTAACATTTGTGATTTCATTCAATGCTTTAGTTAACTTTTTTAAGCTACAAAAGTAAAGTCCTCTCCATTTACCTTGCTCATTGGAGAGAAGGGCTAGTATTCGATCAACAAGGTCCTGTTCCACGTCAAAACAGACAAACAAAGAAATATCATTTTACTGAAACAAACATCAGAGAAAAACAGCTCAAGGGTATATCATGTCAATCCAGTAACTTTACTTAGTCCACAGGTTGAGTAATGTAAGGTTAACTGCAGAATCAGGGATTGGATGAAGCCACATCCCAAATGGATGAATGGCTCTAGGTTACACAGGGCTGCATTGCGGCCATTCATAACCATGAACAAATATATCAATGAAATAGTATCAAATTGGTTTAGGAACTTGGGGCGATTCAAGGAACAGCAACAAACCTGCTTCTTTCCCTGCTTTGAAAGACCAAGATGGTTTAGTACCATCTTAAGCTCCCTTATTCTAAAATATGTCAATTTTTCCTGCAAGAAATAAATAAATAAGATCACTAAGATTTTGAGAGTACAAAGGCAGGACCATCCACCAGACTATTACCAAATGCTTTACACAAACAACAGCAGCTAGTCAGGAAAATGAACAAAAATGAGCTGGGAACTTAGAAAATTGAGGATAAAGAACCATTCAATTTGAGTATAAACTCGATATCTATTTATTAGAAATAATATAACTTCTTTTTCCATCAATTTCAATTATCTGTACTACAGATAAAACCTGTAGAAAAGGGTTTGATCCGGGTCATCATTGCCCACCAGACTTCCAGATAATGTTGGTATACAAATTTCAGCCACTATGTCATGAAACTTAAGTATGGCAGGCAAATAGCTACGATTCAAAATTCAGCTTTTCTAGTAACATTGTACTTGTACGATCATAGCACTGCAGTAAACATTGATCCCATCAACTTAAGGAACAGATAACACAAACAACAAGATCAACTCCAAATTGCAAAGCTCATCAATAAGCCAGCAATTTTCAACATTCAATTATAATGCTACAGAGCGTTCCCTGCTCAAACACCATTGATCAGCAAATATTTTCACCATGTTTCACAGCTAAACAGTAAGCCTCGCTCGTTCCAGCTTAACCACAATAAATTAGCATACTTGAACACTAACGATCAAAGCACTGCCCAACCATCGTTCACGAGTTGATGAACCAAAAATCGCCAAAAAGCCCTAATCTACAGATTGAAAGCACCGAATTCCACTCGAAACTAAAATAAAATAAAACCATAAACCAATATTATATCGACCTTGCAACTAGCCACCAAGTCCATCCTCCTCCACCCTAAAAGAATCACCCGCCACCGCAGACGCTGCCAATTGATCAGTCAAAACTTCCAGCCGTCAACGCCGCCCATGCACCCTCCGAAACAATCAACTCCTCCACTTCAAAAAAAATAAATAAATAAGGCAAAATAAAACAGAACATGATCATCCATCAAAATCTAAGCCAGACGCACCATCAATCGAACTCGGCAACTCAAAACCAGAAACAAAATCGCATGAAAATACAACTAACCGCAACAAAATCAGACATAAACCGCAGAGACGACGCCGCAACTCGGAGGGAAAAGAGCGAAACTGGAGGCGCCGGAATAAAATTAGGGTTTTGTTGAGTGAGTGGGAAACCAGAGGCCGCCTCGCCCTCGCAGTCGCAGCTCTGTCTACCTCGCCTTGCAGTTTAGCACTGGAAAATGCAGAGCCGGAGGAGGTAGCCATTGTCGGACGTATCGTCGTTTATTGAATTCAGTTTTTTCTCTCAAAACACGTCCGGGTTTTGATAGCCTGCGCTCGGCTCCACGTCGCTTCCGATTTGATTTCCCCTTTTATTTTTGGGATAAAAAAATAAAATAAAAAATGATTATCTTTCGTGGGAATAAAACTGTCAGATTGCGGAGTTGATTGGGTCTTTTTTTTATCCAAATTTCCGATTTTTTTTTTTATTTTTTATTTTATAAAATATTACTCCCTCGGTCTTTCCGATAGATAGAACTTTTTGTTAGAAACATTTATTTTAGGTAATATAGATTATTAAGTTATTAATAATAAGTTAAAATAATATTTTATTATTTTTTATGTGTAGTGTTGTTATATTTTAAATATTTTTACAATTATATCTCAGTAAAATATATGCAATATGGATATCGACAATAAAGTTTTATATAACACAAATGAATAAAAATATATATATATATTTATTTATTATTATCATAAATTAGTTTTATAAAAAATGAGGAATTTTAAAGATAGATAAAAATATTTGTTAATTGACGATAAATATAGAAATAAAAGGAGTTTTAATAAATTAATTGTAATATTATTGTATTATTTTTATATAAATATTGTTATTATTTTTAAAGTAAAAATTTGTATGTATGATTAAAATAAATTTAAAATAGGTATTAAAATTTTTAAATACTATAGTTCAATAAATATACTATTGACATTATTTTATAGTAAATAAATTTTATATAATACAAATAAATAAAAAACTATTTATTTATCTATAATAAACATAAATTAATTTTAAAAAATAAAATAATTTAAATATAGATTAAATAAATATGAATATAATATTTTATTGTGAATGGTAAAAGTTCAATAAAAATTTATTGATTTGAGAAAAGTTTGAATTTGATATTAAAATAATATTTGATCGAATGTTTTATAAAACAAAAGTTTATTTATTTGGAGAACATAAAATCTAAATAATAAAAAATTAGAGGTGTGTTTTGTTTATGGGTTTGGATTTCAATATTTGAATAATAAAAAATGGAATATAGAGTCTATTTGTTTGTGAATTTAAATTTTTGAATAATAAAAATTTAAATTTAAATAATTATTTGATGGTTTAAAATTTAGTTTTGAAGTATTAATATTTTAATGCAAATCTACTAATATTAAGCTATTATTCAAATCAAAATTTAAATAGCACAAACTATTGTGTATTTTAATTTCATTTTTTTAACAAATAAATAAAATAATAAAATAATAATAGTAGCAATAATAACATCCTTAGGTAATACAATAAGGACATTATATATATATATATATATTCATTCCAAAAAACTTATCGATAGGAAGGCCAAAAGATATGGGAATCTATGATTCCATCTACATACAAATTTTTACATATTTGAAGTTGCAAAAAGATAATCTAAAAATATTATTTAAATCAAAATTAAATTTATTAAATAATACAAACCTCAAAGTTCCTCAAAAAAAAAAAAAAAAAAAACTAATTACTAATCAGAGCAAACTCACGTGACATATTAGTGCATGGCATCACTTTTCCAATGTAACTCTTCAAGAGCTTCTTCGATTCTTCACGGTTTTTGAACCACAGAACACCTCTGTTCTCGTTACGCATCACTTCGATGCCCAAAATCTGAACAGGTAACATATATACAGATGAATTGCATAATTTAGATTGCATAGTTTGATTTGAGATGTTGAAATTGATGAAATTTTCAAACCTCGTGTTTGATTTTATAAAAGGCCTTGTAGTATAAATAGCTCTCATCCATCCATGGTAGCAAGTTATCAACCACAGTGCAACATAGATTTTTTTCAGTTTTATCTGCAATATCAGTGTATAAAAATTTATTTCATTGTTCACGACTAATGAAATTTGTTAATAAGGTAGTTCGTTAGAAAATCGAGGATTGATTGAACTAACCTGCAGATTTCAAGTTGTACGGTGCAGATCTGAAGATATAGACTCTGTAACTGCTGCAGAGATTCTCCCGCACTTTGGCCTGGTAATGGCTCTTCTCGCCGGCGGTATCCACTACCTCCATAGTTATGTAGTAGATAACTTTGGCGGAAGGTTGCAAGTTGAGGTTCACGATACTCACGAATTTCAACGGCAATCCGGTTTCACCTTCGGCTGCATTGTTGTGCTCCTCCACCGCAAACCTAGCCGCGCGCTCCGCCCTAACGTAATGCTCGCTGGCGGCGGAACATTCTCCGGCACGACGGATTGCTCCGACCATCGAAGAACCGTCTTTGCTCGGCGTCACATAGAATCCCTAATTCCACAGAAATCGTTAAAAAAAAAAAAAAAAAATCTAGAAGAAAACAGAGCACACACACACAAGAGAGAGAACACAAATTCTATTGCGAGAAAAAAAAAAAAAAGGAAAAAATCAATCAAACCTGGCTGTAGTTCAAGTCGTCCATGTATTCGGAGTAAGATGGGGCATCGAAACAGAGACCTTCCATTGCAGAAATAGATGGAATGAATTAACAATAGTAGTATTTTTCTGTAACTATGTGTGCCTCGTACGGCTGCTCTATTTATAGGGAGCAGCGTTGTACGGATAATTGATCCTTCTTTCTGTTATAAATCAATTAGATATTTTCATACCAAAATTATATATTGATTCCAAATAATCTCCATCCACGTATACAGATGTGTTTGGTTGAAGGATACGATTTTGAGTTTTGATATGATACCAATAAAAATAATAAACTTTGCTATTATATTTTGAATTTAAATTTAATATTTATTATAATGTATATATATATATATATAAATAAAAGTTAAATGCTTGATTTTATATTTGAAAAAATAGTAAAAATTATCTATGATGCATTTGTTTGGAGATTTATTTTTGTTTTGAGATTTAAATAATAAAAAATTGAATTTGAATAGTTGTATAATATGATAATATTTTTAATATAAAAATAATTTTTAATATAATATAAAAAATATATGTTTAAATTGATATTTTTTTCCTTTTAAAGTTGATAAATAATAAAAATTAAGTAGAATTCGTAAAAAAAAAAACATCCTAAACAAACACACATGTTTAAGCAATGTTGGAATAATATTGTTATCCTCGTCTCGAAACTCTTCGAATCAAAGAATTTTTACATGAACAAAGTCCAAATTTATTATAAAGAATCGAGATCTGATCAAACTGAAAAACTCCAAAGCTCGAGAGCTAATCCAAAAGCATAGTTCAACAAAATCGGGCTATGAAAAGCAAGGTCAAAACGAAAGCCCAACAACATCGAGCGAATATACAGCAACAACAGATGAAGACTCCGTAAGAGAATAAATTAATAGTGTGGAATAAACAGTTAGTTAAAATCTGAGACACGTCCAAAAATGTATTTGATTGTTTTTTCAAACTCTTATTGACATTATAATCCAAACATTTTTCCTAAATATTGATACGAGGCATACTCAAAATATTTTACTAGTTTAAATATATTTCAAGCCTACAAAAATAATTCTACATTATAAAAACTCAACACATTCTTCGAAATTGTTCACTTTGCGGTTTTTTTAACCGTTATGTACGAACGAATAATTATATTACTAATATAAAAAATACTAAATTTGTTTGTTAAATTATTAGTTTTATATGAATAAATGTATTAATGTACGTGTATATTATTTTTTACAATAATATTTATGAGATGTCGCTTCATTTAGAAATACTAAAGTGAACAAATCCTTTTGTGTTTTCAAATGCTAACTAATTAATCAGTCACCAACCTCTTAATTTTATTTTATTATGGAGTATTTTGAATTAGATCATAATCAAAGTTCACATAAATTATACTTCCTAAGTTTAAGTCAAATATCCCATTTAGCTTAGACACATAATTATAGTTTTAAGTATTATATAATTAGTAAATAATTAAAAAGTATATTAGTGAAAATAATTATAATTTAGTAAAAATAATTATAAATTAAGATTAAAATAACTAAATGTATAATTAAAATAAAAAATGTATAAATTATGAATTTTACAATGCTATTAAAATGTATACTTATATTTTTTAAAAAATGGACAAATTATGTGGATCGGACAAAAATAAAAAGATGGTGACAAATTAAGTGAAACAAATAATGTAATAATTTTAACATGATATCAATAAGCATTAGATATGAAAATCATATTGTAATCTAATGACAAAACTCTCGACGATTTGATTTTCATCATGTCTTTCTCTTCCTATATTTTCTTCTGTTGGATTCATACCCACAATCTACTATCTAAGCAAATAGTTTCGACTAATCGAACACAAAAATAAAATAAGCATTAGATATAACAATATTAGAAAAAAAAAAAAAGAACTTAAATAAAAATCAAATAAGAGTATTTAATTTAATCATTATTTTTACTATTTTATCATTTTAAATTAAAATTCACATTATTCATTTAGTACATTTTTTATTTAAAACACGTTATTTCATCGTTAACAATATCTTATTAAAATATCATTTAAACAAAAACTAAATCATTTATTTCGAATTAATTTTAAACCTAAATCAACTCAAAATCAATGATTAATTCAATATCAATTTTAAAATACAAACAATACCAATTCCCAACTTCACATTGATGTATTTGATTTTTATTTTAAACACAAAATCAGTAATATTTTATTAGCAGATATTTTATTTATAAAAAACATTATTATTTGTCGTAAAACACCGTATTAAAATAATATTTAAACTGAACCTTAAATTAAAAAATTTAAAAGTTTACTCAAAACAAAACAAAAAAAAAACATATATTATACTAATATTTAATAAACTTATACTCCATCCGTAGATTTTTGCACGTAGATTTTTTTTAATATTAGTATTATATTCGATTATAGTAAAAAAGACAAAAATACCCCTATTAGTATGGTGTAATATAAAAGTAATGACATTTGTGTAATATATTGTAAGTTGAAAGAGTATTTATTATGTGAAGTAGATAATACAATTATTAAATTAGAAAATGATAACCTTGTTTTGGGACGAACGAAAATAGAAAGTGGTAACATTTCAATTGACGAAGAGACTATATATATATAAACTTCAACTATATATCCACTAATTCAAAAAGTATTTATTGTAATAGTTCAAATAATAAAAAATATTATTTTTATTAGTAATCATAAATGTCATTACACGTTATACATACTGTTAAATTTTTATTTATTTATATCAATATTATTATCTTTAATTATTATAATGTAAAAAAAGACAAAATAATCTTTAGTACTATTATCAAATCCTGTACATTATCCACTGCCATGCCATATCCCACTTAATGATGTAAATTAACAAATTATGCAAGGGCAATTACGATAATTCACGCATGCAGCCGCAGAAAACGGCATTAGGGCAAATGCCTCTCAATTCTTGCCGAACAAGAATCTAGGTCATAAAGATCGTTTCCTCACCGTCAGATCATGGTTGATCGAACGGTGGAGCAAAAACCCTAATTACACGAGTCCACAAACTTCGTTATATATAAGACCTTCTTCAGCTGAAATCCTCCTCTCTACAGCTCACTCATTTTGCGAACGCTCTCTGCAATCGGCGGCGGCACAGAGAGTTCTTTGCGTGCAAGCGTTGTCTAGTTGAGGTAACTATTGGTTTATGCTTTGTTCGTTGGAGTATAGCTCTATTTGTGTCTATAGTTTGCTGTTTATGCTCGGAGGATTTTGTTTGTATCGATTTCGTGATTAATCTGAAGGTATCGTTCTAGATCTGTGAAGAAGTTAGGGTTTTTTTGGCATGAAACATGTATGCAACTTGTTTGTGTTTCATCGATCTATAATCTGAATGCTATGCTGTGCGAATATATGTAGTAGATTCGTTGAATTACCTGTAACGATTGCCGGAGCTGATGCCTAAATCTATAAAACAAACTATCGGTGTTTGTTGACGTTTTGTAGATTATTGTTGTATGCTCTTGCCTCGGTATTGGAAAACATCTGTAGTTGTTGCTTAATCTAATCTAGTGTTGCATGTTTTCCGATTATTACTCGCATGTTGACTTCGTTGCCATTTCTCTTCCGGTCGAGGCAGCAGTTTTTGTAGATCTAGGAAGAACTGTCTTTTTTATTTTAATTTTTAATTTTTAAATTTACTTTAAATTTAAAATCTAAATTTGGTGAGAAAAGAGTTTACTTTGACGCTTTCTTGTATGTTCTTATTGTTTTTCCAAAGCTGTTATTTATTTAACGATTTGTGTATTTTTAAACAGCTTTTCATTACAAAATCCGTCATGGGTAAAGAGAAGGTTCACATCAACATTGTGGTCATTGGCCATGTCGACTCCGGGAAATCGACCACCACCGGTCACTTGATCTACAAGTTGGGCGGTATTGACAAGCGTGTGATCGAGAGGTTCGAGAAGGAGGCTGCTGAGATGAACAAGAGGTCATTCAAGTACGCCTGGGTGCTCGACAAGCTCAAGGCTGAGCGTGAGCGTGGTATCACCATTGATATTGCTCTCTGGAAGTTCGAAACCACCAAATACTACTGCACTGTCATTGATGCCCCCGGACATCGTGACTTTATCAAGAACATGATCACGGGAACCTCCCAGGCTGATTGTGCTGTCCTCATCATCGACTCCACCACTGGTGGTTTTGAAGCTGGTATTTCCAAGGATGGTCAGACCCGAGAGCACGCTCTCCTTGCTTTCACCCTCGGTGTCAAGCAAATGATCTGTTGCTGCAACAAGGCAAGCAATCAATTCAATCAATTACATTTCTATAATTACACTTTCCATACCTAACATGTCTTTTTTCTACTTCTCTGCAGATGGATGCTACCACACCGAAATACTCCAAGGCTAGGTATGATGAAATTGTGAAGGAAGTGTCTTCATACCTGAAGAAGGTCGGGTACAACCCCGACAAAATTCCCTTCGTCCCCATCTCCGGATTTGAGGGCGACAACATGATCGAGAGATCCACCAACCTCGACTGGTACAAGGGCCCTACCCTGCTCGAGGCTCTCGACCAAGTTCAGGAGCCAAAGAGGCCATCAGACAAGCCCCTCCGGCTCCCACTCCAGGATGTCTACAAGATCGGCGGTATTGGAACTGTTCCCGTCGGCCGTGTCGAGACTGGTGTCCTCAAGCCTGGTATGGTCGTCACATTCGGCCCAACCGGCTTGACCACTGAAGTCAAGTCTGTTGAGATGCACCACGAGGCCCTTCAGGAGGCTCTCCCTGGTGACAACGTCGGCTTCAATGTTAAGAATGTCGCAGTCAAGGATCTCAAGCGTGGTTTCGTTGCTTCCAACTCGAAGGACGATCCCGCCAAGGAGGCTTCCAACTTTACATCCCAAGTCATCATCATGAACCACCCTGGCCAGATCGGCAACGGATACGCCCCTGTCCTCGATTGCCACACCTCTCACATTGCTGTCAAGTTTGCCGAACTTGTCACCAAGATCGACAGACGATCTGGGAAAGAGCTCGAGAAGGAGCCCAAGTTCCTGAAGAACGGAGACGCTGGAATGGTGAAGATGATTCCGACCAAGCCCATGGTTGTGGAGACCTTCTCCGAGTACCCTCCTCTCGGCCGTTTTGCTGTGCGCGACATGCGTCAAACGGTTGCTGTTGGCGTTATCAAGAACGTGGAGAAGAAGGACCCGTCTGGTGCGAAGGTGACCAAGGCAGCTGCCAAGAAGGGTGCCAAGTGAAGAGACTGTGAGACTGTTCTTGCCCGCAACATTTTAAGTATGTTTTCTTTATTTATGCCATCGTGATGATTATGGGACATGTTTTTGTTTTAGCTTTCTTTTTTTTCTTCATGTTTTTGGAGACAATGTTGAGGTACTGCAGATGGGGTTGTTTTTTGCTGCTGCTGTCCACTGAGTTCTCTTTGAGGATGATGGGCGTGGCAGTGGTGGTCGACGGCACACCCACTTTGTATGTGTCTTTATATTTTGTTTTGGTTTTTTATGATATTCGGCCAGACTTTCGATTTAAAATATTGCTGTCTTTTTTACAATTATATTCTATTTTTTATGCCTTCTATTTTATTGTGGTTGAGTTTTTGCTTTTATTTATATTCCTGTTTCTTTGACATAGTTAGTGCTATCCTCGTAGTATGCTCTTGACTAAAATATACTATGCTTTATCAAGTTTTTAAAAAATTTTACTATTAATAAAAGATTTTCTCTTCAAAATAACAAATTAAAATTTTATTTTCTATTTCTATATTATAGAATAAATTAATTTTTATTTTACATCAATGGTTATTAACTCAAAATTTTTACTAATTATTTTTATATTATGTTATATTATCAATTAATTTTACAATTTATTATTTAAATTCTAATAAAAAATTCAAACTTTCAAACAAATACACCCATACTAGACATGGGGAGAGGATATAGGTGCCTCTTCAAGCCATTATTTTCCCTATGGTCGGTTTGGTATTGTATCTTTCTTTCTAGTGTGCTGTATATTATTCACATCTTAGCTCCATCAGCATAGATATAATATACAAGTAGTTCTCATAGATGGCCCAGACAAGTATAGGTTCCAACATTGGATTTATTCACAATAAACCAGAAAAGTAAGAACAGAGTAGATTGATCTCTTACCAAAATCCATCTATGTGTATCATCATTCATTCCATTGCTACAATGCCAATGGAGCTTTCTTCTTGCCTGTCTGGTGGGGCAACAGTGGGTGATGGGAGGATTCTTGATTCCTTCTGTGCATTTATCATCTCATCCAACCTCTCCTCGGACACCCCAAAAGCTGCTGCAAATTCGGCTCCGTTCATCGTGTGGATGAGCGACCCCTGCCCGACTAGGAACTGAGGTTTGTTGTCGGATGCACTTGTCGTGAACCCAAAGAACTCGAACGGGCCGGTGCGCGACGCTATTTGGCAGAACGGGAAGTAGCGTGGCACCCAGAAGACATCTCCCACGCCTACCTTGCCGTTCATTGCTAGTGTTCCGTTGGGATACACTATTTGTATCGTTCCCGATCCTCTCAATACTACCCCGAATTCGCTCGCTCTTGGATTGAAGTGAGGAGCCATCATCGATCCCTGATTCCATAAGATAAGAAAAATCTTTACAACCCAAAATCAAAGTCCAGTCTAAGTATACTATTGTCTATACTAATAACTAGTGGAAGCATGTAATCCCGACCGGGATAAAAGAGCAAATTAGCTCCCTATATACCCAATACGCTACACCAAGAACCATTTAAGATGTAAAGCATGATCCTAGTTTAGCATCATGTTGTCTATTCCTAGTGTCAAAAATTTAAACCTTATGCTACTCGATATCCTATATAAAAGATAAATAAATGAATGGATCTTAATGTATGTAAAGTTCTTTGGGTAAATTAGTTCTTTGGGTAGGGAATTTACCGCAGTAAGATTAACAAGGTAGACGCCGATGTCATCGTGCTTAAGAGGTCCGTAGTCGGAGTTATACAAGGCAAGGCTCCATCCATAATCGTTCTTGAAGTCGGGCTTTCTGTCGTAGAGGTTATATGCATCGGGTCCTTTTCCCGTTTCGCCCTTCCTGTCACCTCTCCTCTCGTTTACAGATCCAAATATAGAGGCCAAGATCTTCCTGAATGACCATGCTGCCTGGTAGTATTGCCCATCTGCTTCATGATCATCTTCTTTCATTTGGAGAATGCGCTTCATGTGCACCAGCTTTCGGCTCCGATCCATGTTCAAGAATTTGGACCAAACACCAGGTGGATGCGAATTCGATAGATAGACAATGGGGCCTTCATCTTGGCCTGTCAACAGCAGCCCCAACTCTTCTTCCGAGACCTGCGCCAAATTGTTGTTCTTAGAATTCAGATATGTAGTCAAGTAGATGATAATATGGAACTGATGAAATGTAGTGGATGAGCTGTTCATCTTGCATTGAACGCCGTCGACAATGTTGTGTGATCGAATCCGGCGAGAACTGATCTTGGAAATGCTCCGCCTCCGATGTAGAAGGGCTGTGACATTTGTTGGAAAATTAAAATATCATATGTTAGAACATTGTGCATAGTTATATTTCTGCTAGAACATCCACACACACACATGCTTGCATCAAGTTTATAAATTACTTCTTGTGATGGAATCACAATATCATGACATTATTTAAATGAGTTCTTCTATATAGATCATGAATAGAAAAACTTCTGCCAATTGAACAACTTATGATTAAATAATCAAGAACTTGTACGTGTTTATGATTAATCATGAATAGAAAAAACTTCCTACATATTTATGATTAATCAACAACTTCTACCAATTGAACAACTTATGATTAAATAATCAAGTTGAATAGAAAAACCTAATGTACATCCATGTAACAAAATAAATTTATATGCATCCATACTTGTGTTAGAAAACGTCCCACTAGGCCATACTAATATTCATTAAACTCCCTCAATATATATATATATATATATATGTGTGTGTGTGTGTGTGTTTGTGTGTGCATTGGCCATCCTTAAATGTAGGTAGGAAATTTTAGTCTAAATTCTCCCATGGAACCGGTTTGTTTGTTTTTACACATTTTTCAAAAAAATAAAAAAAAAAATTATCCACATTTTTTTGCATAAAAACTAACTATTCTCTCCAATAAGAACATTTTGAAACTAATAAAAACCACCTCAACAAAAACATCACACAATTCTACAGCAACTAAAAGAACACATGCCTTGTCTACTGCATTCTAAAGATTAGCATAGAATCAAACATTGATATTGAAAAAAAAAGTAAATATATAATAAAACGACCAAAGAAAATTCTATGGGCCATGAAATTTTTAATTAAACAAATGATTATAATAATATTTATAAAATATGAAGTAAAGACCTGGAAGGTGTGCCATCCCGCGCTCTCCGTCGGAGCAATGCTGCATATCACGTGCAGCCGCTGCCCCTCCGCCGTGTTTACCAGATAGAACGCCGATCCGGCGGCGATTCGGTAGATATCCCCCATTTTCAGCCTTCTCTCCACCAATTCGTCCTTGTGTATGTTCCCTACAATCGCTTCCCCTGCATTTCCGTTCAATTTCAATTCCGAGCTCAAAACAGAGTTCGAGCGAAGTATGTTGAGCTAGAACTTCGACCAGATTAACAGAAAACAAACAGAGTTCGTGCGGAAGTAATCAACAAGCGATTCAATTGAACAGCAGTTACCTCTCCGGATGAAGAGAATTAGACTCGAATCGAGGTACTGAGGGATGAAAAGGCTCCGAGGCTCCATAGTTATGAAACCTATGTGCATCGGCGCTTTCGCGATTTTGTCGCTGAAACCTCGAACGACCTTCATATCTCCTGCGTCTGTCTTCACCACGTGCTTCAAATCCTGCAACAGGAACCGCTCCGTTCCCTCCCTGCGCTGCGATCCACCCTCACCGCCGCCTTCTTCGTCGATCTCGATTCTGCTGTTCCATCTTCCTCCATAACCGCCTGCAGCTGCTACCAGTAACGCCGCTAGTGCCGCGAAAAGCAACGCTCTCTGCGCTCTCATTTTTGGTACACTACCGTACGGAAGATTTCGGTCCGAGGAGAAATTGAAGAAAATGGCGAAGTGAGGTGTGCGTATAAGAAGAGAGGAGTGAAGGGACACGTGGAACTCATGCATGAGTAGTGAGCTTTGCTGGCGGTTTACGGTGTAGGTTGGACATGGCGGATACTAGTCATACTACCGATATGTGGAGGTCCAGGACTAATGAATTTATTTGCATCCACGCCCTTCTCCCTTTGCCTATCTGGTTCTGTGGTCCGGGATCGCCGATATTCATTCCCCTTCGGAATTGGGTAAAAAAGTATCGGTGTTTTGTCCAGCCATTAGGGCCGGGTCAGCCCAGATTCAAACTGGGCGAAGATGGATCGGATTCTTGTAGCCCGCCCGTTTTGAAAAAGGTTAGGTTTAGCCGGTCTGTGCCTGCACAGCCGGCTCATAGCCCACACATTGTTTCTCTCTCTCTCTCTCTCTAAATATTTATAATTAGTCACATAAATACATAACAAATTAAAATTAATATTGAACAATTTTATCATATGATTATATTATCCATTAGAATACTACATATATTATAATCTTATTCTTAAATGCACCTTATATGTAAATGAGAACAATTATATTTTGATATGTGAAATAAAATTAAATTAATGTGCTATATAAATTATTGTAATATTCTATCAATTCATAATATATTAAATTATATTAGCATTTTTTATAATGATATCATTTATGATATGATATATATATCCTATAAATTTTTATCATGTTATTCATATTATGAACTATTATCGTATATTTTTAGTTCATAGCATTTCATTTTACTATGATGTAAGTATGGCTCTACATGTATAATTTGAGTATTTTGAGAAAATAGTAGTATATTTTATTAGAACAGTATGAAGTAAATAATGTTGAAATATGTTTAAAATAAAAAAAAAAAAACAAATCCATAATAATAATAATAATAATAATAATAATTGGATTCAATAAATCTATACAACATTCCAACAATTCATCACCATGGTGATGCTTTCTATGGTCAATAAAGAATTTATAACATATTCCAACACATTCTGTTCTTGACTCAGCAGATTTATTATGCGATTCATAACAAAACAATATGGAATGGAATGGATTGAATAGAAGTTTGGTAGTCAAGTGCATTTACTCTTTTCATGCTATGCAAATTTTGGAGGATCAAAAACAGTACACTAATGGCTATTTTCATCAACAATCTCACACCCTGTGCTGTCAAAAGTTTTATACTTTCATGTGAAATATACGACGACGACTGAAAAATTTTACGCTGTAAAATGCCTATTCATATCATGAGATCCCTCGGGGCTTCTTACGGCTAATGAATAATATCTGGAATTTTAACGGTTACCTGAATTCATCTGCGCTCGAGTATGTCCTCTCCACGTCGGCTGCTGTAACTATTTTGCTGTTGTCATTTTCATCGGGAGGTTGAGCATCCTCTTTAGGCGTGAGGGGGCCCTGTGGATTCCCTAAGGCGATTGAGAAGATCTGTCGATGGCATTCGTCACAGAAGTACAGGTAGGTGAAATGTCCCTCGTATGGGAGCTTATGTAGCATGACTTCGGGGAGAACACGGCGCACAAAATCACTTGATGAAGGAGGTACAACGCGATCCTCACCTCCCTATTCGACATGAAGATGAGATAAATGAATTGGAAGATCATAATGTAGGAGCTGTTTACACAACAATTACTAAAAGTTCTGACACTATTTATCAATAACAGTAATTTTTGAGAAAAAAAACACACACATATATATCACATCAAAGTCATATTTTCCTCTCCAAAACACCACATAGGATACTTCAAATTTTACTATTTTCCAAAATTTTCTAAAACTCCAAATATCTCTATTTAGGCTTAATAAATTGCATTCTGCAAATAATAGGAACTCATATCACAATACATATAAATTTAAAATTCTCTCTCAAAGAAACAGTATAAAGCTCAAAACCATTTGATTTCACACTCCCAAAAAATTCTGAACTTCAGAAATGGGTATCGATAATCTTATTTTAGAGTGACTAATTTTCAAATTTTCAATTCCAAGTTTCATCATAACTAAAAAGAAGTCGAGTCAAATGTAGCTCCAAAGTAAAATAGCTGCTAATATAGAGAGTACGTCGACTTACATGCCAAACGTGTACTGGACCGATGAATCCGGTCAATCCTTTTTGGGCAGGTCTGTAAGCCGATTTGAGCCAAGCAAGAATGCCTTTAGCCTTGCGCTTGCCGTGTGGTTGGAGGTCTGATAAGCTGAAACCCCAATATGAAACCTGCAATACAGCTTCCTCCACAAATGGCTTTGCATTTGCCTGTCGAACTGATTCTTCAACATCCCTCTGCCAGAAATCTTTGAACATTTTGTCCTCGATCAGAGCTCTATCCTAGTTAGAATCAACCATAAAATGTTATGTCAGTTTTTTGCACTAAAACAATTGGCATATATAAGACTGAATTTCTTGTATGTTTGGATATTTCTTTTCGGGTAAATTGCCAAGTGACCTTAGAAATATGAAACACTTGCGAAAAGGCAGATTATACAATTTTGAAGACATATGACTGCTCTTTTCTGAACAGAAATTATTTCAACATTTTTTCTGTAATTTAACAAGAAGAAAATCTATTGTCTCCTTTTTGCAACTTACTGCAAGAAAAATAAGAATTTTTTCGGGTATAGTTTTCAGCTAAGAGGACTCACCTTCTTTCCAAGTGAGGAGGAGAGCCATGCTTCGATACAACCATGGTTGCCTGAGAGAAAACTTCTACGGTAGAAGTATGGAAGTAATCTAGGAAATTTCCGTGCTAAAAATAACATCAGTCGTTTCTTGACTGTCAAGTTTCCCCAGATTCTCCGTCGCTCATCTTTGTCCAGGTGTGGTTCATATGGATTAATCATCGGAGCAATCATTATAGCGCCTGAATGATCGTCAACAAACACATTTTAGAAATGACACATATCCCATCATTTTTCTAAACTATGAAAAACATAAGTAGAACATTAACAAACCTTGTGCAACAATGATAAACCCGTCTCAATCCAAAGTTACATTGTTTTCCTTATACCTTTGAAAATCCGGTTGGCGTCAAATGAAAAGTAAAATCAATCAAGGGGGCATGACTGTCAACAGTTTCATGAATTGGATATATTTGCAGAGTTTGTTATTAGAGGATTAAGGGAGCTCAACTACGGAAATATTGTGTTGTATTCTACAGCATACAACCATGCACTCTTGTTTACTCTCAATAATTTATCAAGACCCAATCCATCTAGTCGAATTGCAGCGCTAGCCCAGCAAAATATTGAGCATTCATGCTGACATAACAATATGCCAGTTTGGCAAGGCCAGAAGTATGATAATTCAGGAATATTATTGCGTTTAAGCTAGAAAAAGGCACATATACATCCGAACTTATGCAGTAAAACTCCTTACAGCTGTTCGATCAACATCACAAAGTAGTAGCAAGCAGTAGGCTCACCTTCAATACGGTCAGGAATGTAATGAAGAGCAGCCCAAGCATGTTTGCTTCCATCAGAAAATCCCATTACCCAGAATTTGTTCGTAATATTCAGAGCATACGACAAGTGTAGTATATCCATAGCTGAAGATTCGAGATCTCTAAGTGGATGGGGATCACTTTCCCCAAATCCAGGTAAATCATATGTCACCAGCCGTATACCAAACTCCTGCAATAAGGAATCCTTCAGGCCCGGAATACCTGGTTTTATTAATCATCGGGTTTCCACAAAGAAAACAACATTGTTAGTCATGCACAGGTTCTTATCAGATACTACTTTGATATAAAGTGATCCTCAAGAGAGATTACCTGCAAGCCTTGACGAAAGAAACGAATGAGAAAACATTATCGAGTATCTTGCTTGGTCTGCTGGAACACCTTGCTCTCGAAAGGCTAAGTGTCTCCCATCTGGGAGTAATATAAGACTAGCACTAGGGGGATGTGTCTTCATTGTTTTAACCAATGGAGTCGAAGTTGGAACAAAATTTACAAATAAAGCTGCACAATTAGCTCATTATGTAAGTACATACAAACTGATGGAGACAAACTTGATCAAGTGAACAACTCACCACAAATTTTTTTGAATTGATCCCTCAATGGCCTACAGATATATGTCTGTTTGTTTTTATACAGGTACTTGTTTGTTCTTACCCAACATTCGAATTTTAAATATTGGGAATACAAAATGATAACTACATAATGATTTCCAGGAAGCCATTACTAAATGCTAGAACAATGCTAGAAAGAGCTCTGCCTAAATGATTCTAAAGAAATGCTGAAGAAACTTTAACCAAAACCTGAAAAGATACCAAACAAAGGCAAATTCTCGTCTAAGAACAATGCTAGAAACCGCTGCCTCGATCACTGATTCTAAGCTCAGTACTATTAATATCCAAATGAATTTTGGAAAACAGAAAATAGCTCAAATATAAATTCACATTCATCAGCACAGCTGCTTTTCCAGTAATTCATTGCTAGTTTCAGTATTTCATCGCATCTTAAAGAAAAATTCGAAAACACACCTGTAAGAGCAAAAAACCAAACAGAGGCGATCACAGTCCAAGCACGAACTGGATCGCGATCCTCAGGCAAGTACTCATTCAGAAGCACCAATTTCTTCGAAATCGTCGCGCAGGGGCCTTTGAACTTCCTCACAATCAACGAATCCTCCTTCAGCACGCTCTGCTTCACCACATCCCTCACTCCCTTCCCAAACGCCACACTCATTTCCGCCGCCCCCTTCGCGAATTCCCGAAGCTGAAACCGCCAATCACCGGCCGGAGCTCCTCCTCCTCCTCCTCCTCCGCCGCCGCCGACGGGACTGTAACTATACCCATTCGCCCTCCCAACGCTCTCATCAATCAGACCGTCGAACTGCCCCCGCCAGGCAGCCGGCTCGTTGACTTCAGACATCAATCGAAATACAAATCCCGAAAAGGCGTCGATCCCTAACTTTCCTAGAATATTCAATCATTCGAACACGGATACCAATTGTGCGGGATGAAGATTCTTCAGCAGCAGCAGGAGCAGCAGCATCGTGATCTCTGCAGAAGGCCCTACGCTACGCAACCAAGGTCAAAGTAGTGGCGTCTTGTAGTCTGCACTCTATTTTTAATACACTCACTTATTAAAGTCTTAACCAATAATAGTAGCATTGTAAATTGAGATTAGATGTGTATTTATAGCTGGGCCTGGCTGTTAACAAAGGATAAATTGTGGGGGTCGGAAGCAATTGTACGACATTCGAGGAAGCGCCGATGAAATAGGCATATCAACAGACGGTAGGTCCCAGAGACACGTGGCATCGCGCCGACAGCTCTGGTCGGTTGGTCGCATTCCACCCACCCCCGGGGACGCTACCCAGCCGGCGCTACCCCGTCGTCATTTTATTACAGAAAAGTAAATAATTAAAAAAATTATTATATGATAAAATAATTATAAATAAAAATAAAAATAGCTAATTAATTCAATTAAAATAAAAAAAATATCGATTATAAAACTTATTTATTTTTTTAAAAAAAGACAAGTAAAATAAAACAAAATAAATAAAAATAGTGAACAAATAAAATAGAACGGATGAAGTAAAATAATTAATTTGAATTATGTAATTTTTGCATTTGAAAATTTATATTGGTGTAGATAAAAATTAATAATTTTACTTTTATTAGATATTATAAAAGTAAATATGATAAATACATGTGTATTTTAAACTATTTATTAAATATATGAATTTTCAAATATGTAAAATTAAAATAAAATTTTTTAAGAGGTTCTCACTCAATTGTAGGTAGTAATAATAATTTCCAATTATATAAAATTTTATTTTTCATAAAATTTAATTGTAAAAATAATTTATGTTGATATAAATATAAATATATATATTTTTTGTTGAGGTGAAGAAGAAAAGTTACGATGTGGAAGAAAAAATGTGGAGAAATGGTGAGACCTGAAATGATAAAAGTGTACAATCTCAATATATACCACATGGTTCATTTTCAATCATAAAAATGAAACGATTATTTCTAAATTAGATATTCAGAGGAGACATTAATAAATACTTCAAAAAAAAACCCCTCTCCAAATGTAAGAAAATGGAAGCAACAATATGATGATATCAGCTGCATCCTTTTGTAATCCTCAGAATCCCCAAGAAAAATAATGAGAAAAACCAATTCTGTTCGTCTCTTTTATTTCTTCACTTGTAGTAAAACTAACTCCAAAGTTTCACCTGAAAAGTGATTGATCTCAACGAGGTGAAGCCTAGTAGCCATAGCCCCAATAATCGTTCCGGATCTCGTCGTCGAACTTCTTCTTAAGCTCCGGGTGCTTGGCAAAGTATTCATCAGCTGTCATGGTGCTAAGCTTTTTCTGTTGCCAACAAAGCAAGAAGTGAATTTCGTCAAAATGCATCAGCACCAGCGGCCGAACCAGAACTCTAATAAAAGGGGGCTAAATTTTTTTTTTTTCAAAAAATCGGTATGATAAATGTATATATTAATACCGTACAGTATCAATATATACCATTTCATATCCAAATACTAAAATTTAAAATATTGATTTTGGTATCAATATATTGAATTATTTGTATATACATATTTACTAAATATATCAAATTATAAATTGTTACCGTACTAGAAAATTCAATATGATATTAGATGACACTATTTCAGTATTTTTTAAAATAAAAATTTATCAAAATTTTTAATATTTTTTTACTATATATGATTTTAAAATTATATAAATTATAATAAAAAATTAAGGGTGGGTTGGGGAGAGGGGGGACTAGAGCCCCTCCTTGCCCCCATGTAGTTACGCCACTCATCAGCACGCACACGTGTGTGTGTGTTATGAACAGTTCTTACGCCGACACAATTATAAAGAATCGTAGATTAAGAAAAGAGACAAAAAAGTCTGATCACCTTCAGATCTTGAACTTCAGCAATTTCCTTTTCTAATCTTTCAGACTCCTTCAGTGACTTCTCCTCGGCCTCTTTCAGCTCCACCAACTGCAAGTAAACTTCGATATAAGATTTTCGAATAATTATTAATTCCCCAATCAGCAGTCAGTTGAATGTGTCGAGATATTTATTTCTGCCTTGTGCTAGCAACAATCAGTTCAGTCTATTTCGCCTATCTATACTATTTCCAAGATTTATTGCGTCAACAATCATTCAAAGAACATCATTTTTTAGCATTCAGGATAGATAACCCGTGAATTTCTGAGGATTGTAAAAAAGTTTCCCAGCCATTAGACTATTTTAGAAAAGATAATCGAGGTTTCTGAACCTTCTGGAACAGACGAATATATAAAGGTATGCAATTCATGAAATCTCACCAGGGCATCGAACTTTGGCTTGTACTGAGGAGTGACATTGTCAACATACTGAGGGATTTTAATCTCTGCACAGAAATGAATTGATAAATACAAATGAACTAGAAGTCAATGTGTAATGTCATGTTTGGTACAAATCCCAACCAGGTGACGAGGAATTATACCATTCTGATGCAATATTAGCTAGTATGAAGCTTGACAACCCAAAAGTGGTATATGATGGATATCAAAAGCCTAACTATTGCAACATTATTAAAAAGGGACTGTTCCGGGTGTCTCCTTGAGGATTTCATATCCTTTTATTTAAAAATAGAGAAGATAGTTACATAGAGAAATAGTCTTGCAAGGGAGTACCCAGCTAAGAGAAGTCCTAACCAATATTCGGGGAAAATTGCAAATAGATGAAATGCAAAAAGGATAAGATATGGAAACATATACCATCGTAGGCTTGCTTGTACATATCAACCAAGCGAGAGCCAATCCCTTTTCTGTAATACTCCCAGTCTATGGGTTCTGGTTCCTGCATTAAACAATGAAGAAGAAAACTATAAGATCGTAGTTAAGCATCTTTAACAAGAAAGGAACTCCTGACTAGTCACTACATACTAATTGGTATTGACAAAGGGTAAAACAGAAAATCACATAAATGAGACTGCACCACTGTTTCCACACCAAAACTTATAGTTTCCACTGATTGAAAATTCAAAAGTACCACATTGTTCTCATTAGATCATACACACTTTCTTCGTATGAAGATATTATAGCTACTCAAGTTTAAAAAATACAGCAAATCATATAAAATTCACACATTACAAAGACATGAATGGAATAGCAGAATATTGAAAAGTATCATCGAACCAACATACCTTTCATTGTGTCTCACATTGTTAACTTTATAAGAATGTTAAGATACTTATTTAACTCTTCATGTAAAAAATAGTGAGAAGAGTCTATCATACTAATTCTTTCTACCTTAAAAAAATCTGAAACTACATAGTCAAATCAACTAAAAACTTTAGAATTCATTGCCATGGAATTGAACGCAAGAAACCAATTCAAGTCCAGGATATGTTTATTCTACTGTGAGTTCGACAGATAGAACAATAGTAGATACACAAGGTAATTAAATTAGGAACGTACTTGAGCCAAATATCAAAGCAAGGTCACAAACATGAGATGAAAATGGAACATAGACAAAGCTTGCAAGATTTTGTAAACCAGATGAACCATTCAGAATCCCGTCTAAAAACTAAACTGTTTACAAAATATGAAAATGTTAACCCAATACTTCCACCATTGCCTAAATCGTAGCCATTCACTCGAAAACTGAACCAAATTTTATCAAAATGTTAAAAACCCTAGAAAATGAAAGAACAGACCATTGCACATCAAAACGTAAACCAAAACCTAAAATCCAACTACAATCAAGTCGCCCAAATAATCAACAACGAAAAGTAAAGGAAAATCGATAGATCTGAAAAATCGGTCCAACCCGACACAGAACGAAAGGTAATCAACAATTAATATCCAGAAATGGAATAAGTAGGCACGAAATATCGACCTGGCTGAACTTTGTCTGCAGCTGCGTATTGACATCGTCGAAGGCGCGGCGGAGGTTGGCAAACTCCCTTCGAGCATCATCGGAAACCAACAGTTTTGCCATACCTTCCCAATCGATGGTCTTCCCGGCCTTGAAGGCGACGTCCGCCACTTTCTTCCCCGCTCCGCTCATTTTGCGCAATCACAGTTGATCGATCGACAAAACTGAAACGATGTGAATAGAAGAAGGCTGTGGATTGGAACAAGTACAGAATGTATATATCGCCTCTCTGAGGGTTCGGACAGCTTTTCTTCCCCTTTTAGCCCTTTATGCGCTTATACACATTTATTTATCAATATTAGGATTGTATTTTTATATTATCAATAAAAATATTATATATATATAAAAAAGTTACACGTTTCTATATTCATTTAAAATTCTAGCTTCAACTATTAATTTACAGTTTCAACCAAACTTATTCATCGCAAGTAAATTTGGCAAACGTTGCGTTTTTTATTTTATTTTTTAATTTTGGTCTGTAAAATTTATCCTTTTAAGTTAAAACTGTATATTTCAATTTGATTTAAATCTAATATTTGATAAATATTTTACCAGAAAAAAAGATTTCCTTTTCGAAAAATTAAAGTTTGGAAAATTCGTGTAAAAAAACACGCTTGTATGCAAACCAAAAACTTAATGCACATAGATTAATGTAATTCAAATGGTAAAATTTAAAAACTGTGTTGAAAAAAAACACACCTGCATGCAAACCAAAAACTTAATACACTCCATTAGATCATGCAATAGATTTTAATTGACCCGAACTTCTACCGAAAGTGCGCACCGGATAAATTCTCCATCTATCTGTGCACATGTAAGACTCTTTAGCCTTTGTTCAAGACGGATCAAATAGAGAGTTCGGAGCTTTGTCCTTTGAAAGATTTTGTGTTTGATGACCCTGGAAATACTGGTAGTTTCTGTTGAAAAATAGATTTGTTTGATCGAAATCTGAGATATAACGAATTTAAAAAACACAAAATCAGCCTCCACCGCCTCCCATGATATAACGAATTGCGAACGAAATAACAGATTTCGCAAACCGAATTAGAATATAAAAGAAAGAATTTTTAGAATTGATATTTCGTCCTCCGTTAGAAAGGAGAGGAAAATATGATATATATTATATTTTTCAATTTATTTTGTATTTAATCACAAACTATTTATTTGATTATTTATTTATTTATTCAAATAAAATAATATATTAATCAAATAAAATATAGGACAAATAATTTATTCCTCTTTCTAAATAAGTATCCAACTGCCGTACATGGTGTTGGTTCAGTCCACTTCTATCTACGAGAGGTTTCGGTTTCGGTTTCAGATCAGTCCTGTGTATTCAAGACAGAAAGATCAAGATAATTTTGAGCATCCAATCACATGGGCATCAAAATAACCATTTCATGGAAAAAACTAATTGTGTAACAGCAGAGAACAATAATAATGTTTTATTGGCATCATAATACACAATCATTATAAATAACTCATAAAACAATGCATTCACTGCCTAAACATTTTGGCTGAGTTATTACATGTTTCCCATTCTCAAAGTTGTAAGTCTTGTTTGACACTTGCCTAGAACTACACCATATTTCCACATTTGACAAAAGGATTATTTCGAGTTTCATCTTTAATTTTGCATTGCTTTAGGGCCCCGAGTATTTTAACACGAAAACTCCATAATCAACACAAACTAAGATGCATGAAAATAATCAGAATGTACACAAACCAGTTGCCAAATCTGAGTCATTGTTTGGTAATAGTTGAGGTGGATGGGTTTAGAGTCGACAGCGGTTGAAAACCATCCAACTAGGATCCACGTCGCCATCCTATGTCAAAGATAATCAATATGTTATTATGTAGACATGCCTTGGAAACAGAAAATGGCCAATAGCCATTTGCAGTCATTGGCCAATATATGTAATGAACATATGCAACGTATTGAGATGGAACATAACACAGATAACACAACATGGCAAATACTTTAATAGCAAACATTTAGTATATTCGGTAAATATTACCTTGTTGATTCTCCTTGAAGATTCAGCACCTCTACATTACTTTTTAATTCCTTAAAAAGTACCTTTTTATCTGGATTACCGAAGAAGGGCCTGTCTGCTCTTGTGCAATTTTCTTGGTTCTACAAAATAAAACATCATTCAATGAAACTTTCTACTAATAGGCTAACTCAATAAATTCAAAGTCTTACAAATGCAGCTAAACCCACCCAAACAAAAACAAAGTCATTAGTAAATACCCGATTTTCTCCATTGAAAACGTGTTTCATTGCTCGATCGACATTACGTTAAATATTCTGCTCTATGTGCATCCCGAGACAAGCTGCAGCAGCAAAGAGGCGCCAACATTCGGCAGAAGTACAGATGCAATAAAGTCTTTTATCTCCTCAAAGTACATCCCTTTCCATGAAAATAAAACCTATCATAGATTGTCGAAGCAGAAACTATATTGATAAGTCCCTACTTTTATCTCTTTCTTGATCGGTTATTCGATTCGCGTCCCACTCTTGTGTGTTTTTGCTCAATCCGAAGTAGAAGTCTTAACCTCAAGAGATAAGATCACAAACACAAGAGCATTCAAGCCGCAACGGAAATTTTCGAAATTTCTTCACTTAAGCCCTCATCTCGGACGGCATGAAACAAGTTCAACTCGAGGGGAATTTTTTTTTTTTTTTTATTGTATACATGAATGACACTATAGTGACGTAAAATGATGCAGTTGAAAATAAGACCTTGATGCGGCCGCTAGCCAACGAATTATAATGAATTATTTTATCAAAATTAAAATATTTCTTTTGAAATTAAAGTCGCTCGTCATGAGGCAGGAAAAGTACGTTATGGATCTAGTCAAAGAAACTAGTATAACAAAAGGCAAAGTAGTTGCAATCCACTTTCGCCTGATTGTTGTTATTGGGAGTATACCATTGTTTATGTAACCTGTAAAAACAGCAAAACAAATTAATTATACAGAGTTTAAAATGCAGATGAAGAAGATTGTTTTTCACTCTGGCATATTTGTCAAGCTTTACTTGAGTAAATATCTCAAAAAAGGTACCACCAACTCAGGCAAAAAGGAGAAATAACATGAGGTCTAAGACATGTGTTGTGATTGGTCATGGACCAATGACCTTCATTATTTAAGTTCATTTAAAGCAACTAAATTCACTACTTTGATCAATTGAAGAAAACGAAGTGAGGCCAATTTGTATTGACCATAATAGTAACATTATAATGTAATTTTCCCTTTTCTGACAATATATAAAGATTTAGCCATTGACTTGGTTATATCAGGGCAAGTATTCAGGTTCAGGATCACGGAGGCACATCATAAGAAATGATTAAAAGAATTACAATAGAATATAAATATAGAAAGATTTTCAATTACCCCCAGAATTGTTTTGCCGAATCCTTCCATTCCACGAAAGACTAGTCATTTTTTCAAGTCCTTTCCTCTCCTCTTCCTTGAAAACGTAGAATAATCCTTATCCCGCGACATCTGCAAGCTGTAGAAAGTTGCATCAATCAAATAACTTTAACGAATGCAAGGCAAAAGTTGTGATTGACTTTGCAATCGAATACTACACTAATTTCGTAACATTTCAAGTGACACTTACCCTTTACTGGTTGAACTAAAGAAATCATAATGTCAGCCCAATTACATACTAAAATAACTGAGAAACTCTCAACCTTCCAGCAAACAAAACTTTGAATAAAAACACATAAGCACTAACAATCAGAGGGAAATATACAAAAAAGAGTAATGACTACATTTCTACACATCACTGATCTGGAGTTGCAAGGGAACTGACCATCCTATTACTACATCGTCATTTTCTGTGGAACACTTTCAAACAACAATCTGCTTAACGTTAAAAAGTCTAGTACAAGAAAATCAATATAAAGTTCCCATGTCAACAATGTAATTCATGACCTTAAATCAAACTTTAAAAACAGCGACACATACAACCAATCCATCTCATCAAATCAAGATGAATCTTACGAAACTAAGGATAAATCTTATTATCCTACCAACTGTGTCTCGATAACAGCATTTCTGAATGTAAATTCATTACTGGTACATATATAGATGTCAATTTCTAAAAATACTTACACTGGTCGCAATCAAACTACTCAAAAGTGTCAAACTTCAGGCGTGCTTGAAATGGAATGAGAAAGCGGAACAGGGGAAAAGGGGGAGCAATAGGAGTAAAACGGAGGAGGGTCGCCGCACCGTCGTTAGACGGTCGCGATCTAGGGTTTCTGGTTTAGGTGGCAGGCGGTAGATGGTTGCTATCGGCGTGGATTCAAGCTAGAGAGTAGGTCAGAGATGAGAAAAGGAAGAAACAATAAAGAGAAGGGATATCAGAGGGTGGCGGCGACGGCAGCGGCGGAGGAGGAAAGGGGACGCGGACGGCGGAAATATAGGGCTCAGATTTGGGAAGGGATATTGAGAAATAGCTAGAGGGGCAATTTGGTCATTACACTTATGAGAGGTATGCCTATAAATTCGAAACCCTAACCTTTCAAGTCTGGCTGTATGCGCATAGTGCCTCCTCTTCGGCTGCTGTTTGAGCTTGTGATCTCATTTACTCAAGGAAGCGGCGGTCGCGAGATTATTCTGGTAATAGCCTTCTCCTGGGTCTGATTTTTCTCATGTTTCTGTATTGGCTTCCGAGCGTTGTGTGGATTTTTTTCTTTTTTCGTGGCGTAATTTTGCCATTTGGTGGTTTGGTTTCTGATATAATTTGTTGAAAATCTGGAGCAGTTTCTGGATCATTTTGTTTTGATTCGAGACAGTGATTTTGAAGTTCTCTATGTATGTTTAAAGAAAATAATGGCTTTGTTAGATTTGTCTATGAAATTGTTTTTCTAGTTCATTACCTTCTAATAATGGGGTGGCTCGGTATTTTCTGTAGTAGACGATGCATTTGTCTCTTAATTACTTGAGTGCTCTGCGTCAGTCTGTAATTTAATGAAGATATAATACGATATGATGGCCACTGGCCTTTTATTTCCTTGTATAATTGTGGTGACCTGAGTGGAAAATCGTAACTTCTATGCTGTTTAATATGTTCTATAACTTTTTGCTGACAGCTTGTACTTGACGATGGTGCGAGTAAGTGTGTTGAATGATGCACTCAAGAGCATGTATAATGCTGAGAAGAGAGGAAAACGGCAAGTTATGATAAGGCCCTCGTCGAAAGTGATTATCAAGTTTCTTATGGTGATGCAGAAGCACGGTTAGCTTTGATATATGCTCAACCCTATTTTCCTTAAATAAATCTCCTTTAACTTAACTAACACTCATTTACCTTGATTTAATAGGATATATTGGAGAGTTTGAGTATGTAGATGACCACAGGTCTGGTAAAATTGTTGTTGAGCTGAACGGAAGGCTCAACAAATGTGGTGTTATAAGCCCACGTTTTGATGTTGGCGTAAAGGAAATTGAGCCTTGGACTGCCAGACTTCTTCCATCACGACAGGTAGAAAGAATTGCCAGAACTTCATTTGCTTTATTTCTATGTATGTTTGAATTGTTTTGAGTGCATTTCAGTTGAATTGAATATTAATGACTAATGAATTATAAGTTATTGAAATATATATTTATGAAATTCGATATATGGTATTATACAAATGATTAGATTTGATTAACAACAAGGATGTGGTGTATATATCGAGGCATGGGTTGAAATACTTACGGTTAGAAGGAAAGAAATTGTTTTTTTTTTTTTTTTTTGCTCTAATGACCGGTACATTGTGCTATTTGACATTATCTTTTGGTGGAAAAGATACATCCAAACATATGAAAGAAGTTGACTTGTGAACATTATTGCTATGGTTAAATTTTCTTTTGTGTTTAACATATTTTGACTCTATGCTTTGATTGCAGTTTGGGTATATTGTATTGACAACATCAGCCGGAATCATGGATCATGAGGAAGCTCGCAGGAAAAATGTGGGTGGTAAGGTACTTGGCTTCTTTTACTAAAAGATCGTATGGATTTGGTTTTGTTACTCCTTGAGGGAAATGGAGATGGCGACGCAGTTTGGAATTTTTATGTTAGTTATTTTCACCGAATTGACTGGCTGAGGTTATTGTTATTATTTTGAAGAAATAGTTCCCTTCAAATTTGAATGCTGCTGGTTTTACATATTGCAAATGGTTGTTCTAAATTACAATACCTATTCTTCTTAAAATAAGAAATTTAATAATCCCATTTTTTTCATGGTATGGATCTTCTTATAAAGATTCTAATTTAAAAGAAGAGAGCCACCAGAGAAATGGGATCACTATCTAAAGTATAAATTCAGAAAAATATATATATGTATATAACAATGGTTTTAGTATTTTATTGGATCTTCTGAGATCATTTGTTCTTGCATCAACTTTTACTCATTGAGGGGAAATGGAAAGCAGCTCAATGAGCAAGAGGACCTACCTCGATGATCAAGAAAACAAACAAGCTTTAACATCGTGCTAAGCCATTGTGCCCAGCACCATGCGCCACATTTCATTTGAAAGTATCGAGCAATGATGAATAAGGTTGTCTCCAAAAGCAATTGTCCGAGCAATGATGAATAAGATTGTCTCCAAAAGCGATTGTCCAAGAATTATCGTCTACATGTAGATACCATGCTTTGCTATTATTCACTATTGCGCTAACGACATATTTATCTATACTTATAATGGATAAACATTGCATAAATTATAAGTTTGGCACCACATAAATTATTTATACGTTGTGTTATTTGAACACTTGTGCTGTCCATTTATTTTCATTACCTTGGGTCGGTATCCCAGACAAGAAATATGATTTTGAGATCACTTGTCCAAGGATTGGTCTCATTCTTGGATAGTTATTATGATGAATTTTATAATTTTACAAAGTATTAGACCAAAATTGTCCATATAGTAGTACATAATATAGTAAAAAAAATTATATAATATTCTCTCATAAAATATCTTATTATACTTCCTCAATTTTAAAGTATTTTTTTTTAAATAATTGTAATATCTATCTAACATTACAAATACTTTACAACTTAAATATATTACACAAGTATCATTACCTCTGTATAACTAAAAATTATATTTTTAAAACTAATAAAATTATATTTTTAAAATTATGTGAAAAAGCAAATAGATATTTACTTATGGAACGAAAGAGTATATTATTTTAATATCTAATTCCAATCAATTTTTTTCAAATTCATCTTAAAGAATAGCACTCTTAAGCAATGAAACAGTATTATATTAAAAATTCATTTTTCATTAAAATTTTTGAAACCCTTAGAGCGGTAGCAATGGCCTTAATTTGGAAAACTTGGATGGACCGCTCAATGTGGGGCTGTCAGAAAATTGAGATGACCGTGTTTTCGATCTTATGATCTCGATGTCGCGTAGCGGTGCAGGCGAAGGCCCGTCGAGGAGGAGGATCTTCTCTCAATTTTCATCCCTCTTTCTCTTCTTCTCTTCTCTGTGCAACACTTTTTATTGTTCTACTCTCCCGAATTCTGATTTCTTTTCCCTCATTCCCATAGACGCGAAAATCACTCTTTTTTCCACTTTTTTAGAAAATAGTCGCCAAATCGGTTTGGGATAGCGGAACAGATCTCCACCATTGAAGGGTTTATTCCAAGAGGGTTCAACACAGATAAGAAATTGGGAATAAATTGTGTTGCTATAGTTTTCATAGTATTTTCAACGTGCGGTGCAGACGATTTTATTTAAGACGGGGAAATTGGGAAGAAACTTGCCTCCTTAATTTGGGACTGTGTCGATTTCTTTAACAGAAAAATGAGATTGTCGAATAGAATGGAGGAATCATCTACCGAAAAGACGGAAATACCAAGTCACTTACTAAAAATTCAGACGCATGGTCGATCCAAGGTCACCGTCTCCGAAGCTAAGTGCGAGGTGCCCTAGAACCTGCAGTAAAAAATTTCCGAGCGGAGGAAGATGAAATTAAATTAAATTTTATTAATTAAAATAAGCCTTATTCAATGGGCCTTGAAAAAAGTCATTACGAGATTCATCTCACTTTCATCCATCTAGTGGACTTGCAATGTCACCATCATCCTTCCACGTAAGTCGAAGCCAAAATTGGAGAAGGCCCTTAGGCTTGGAGCCTTAGATACCTATAGAAGTGGTAAGAAGAAGGATCTTATAAAGTTGGAAGTCATGAGTAATTTTCAACAAAAAGGCCTGAGAATGTGAATTAATAACCTTACATTTATGGTAATCTATTTTTTACATTAAAAAAAATTCCCTAAAACAAAGCAATTGAATAAACTAATTTCAGCCATTGGAGAAGTGAGCGACCGACTACAGCAGTGCAACAACTGCCACGGTGCGTATTTTAGCAGTGGCAACCATCGGACGGCGCACCCTCCCTCTGCCCCAAACACCAAACACCAACTGGCTGGGTGGGTTTGTCTTTCTTGCTTTCTCCATTAATAAATTATTCATCTTTAATTGCCAGACAGACCTGTCCATCTGTCTCTGCAACCTCTACTTGTCGTCGTATTCTGCGCCTCTCTCTATACGTATACGCGTGCTTCGAACTATTCCTCTCTTTTCGCCCTGTGATGCTCTGATTTGGTACAGATCTGTTTCGGCTGCGTATCGACAACAGTGATCCGTGAAAGATAAGGAGGCAGGGGCGACGTGGATTGAATTGATTGGTCAATGGCCGCACCACCGGCGAGGGCCCGAGCCGATTACGATTATCTCATTAAGCTTCTCCTCATCGGCGACAGCGGTTAGTCTGATTGGATCATCTACTTTGCCCTTTTTTTTTTTTTTTTTTTTTTTTTTGAGTATTCGTGGTTTCTGTAAATTCATTTACTTTTATGCATTCTGATTCGTTCTGAGGTATTTTTGGGTTATTTTTTCTGGTAAAGTAATTTGTTTTTAGGTTTGATCTGTAGCTGGTGGTTACGCATACCGAACAAGCGTGTGTTATTGTATTTCTTTGATGTGAACATTAACTGATAACGAATCATTTTGTATGTGTGTGTAACTATATATATAAAGTATTATACAATGATTCAATGATATATAAGGTTGATAAGTAAAATAAAATTAGGTTACAAATTTATGTTAGTAAGAAGAACAGAAAGTAAGAATTCAATGGCTGAATTAATCAAAAAAGTAAATTTTCATATTCACACCTAACAGTTTATCAAGCACAAGGAGTTGTGTCGACTGATCCTTTTGGCCTCCCTAGCTGTTTGAAATATATAAATGATATAGCATTCAGGTTTATGATTCTTTCTGAATTTAACAAAATGTTTGGTGGTAGAGTTGTGATTTTATTTCCATTCTTTGAGTGCAAGACTGCAAATCACATGAATACCTACCCTGCTATCTTATCTTGGTCCCTTGTCTACCTGCTGTGCTTGAACTAGTTTAATTTTTACCTGATTGAAAGTGAAAAATGAATCTCAATGTCACTTATGATTGTAAATTATGCCTGTTTAGATTTGCAATGTCAGAGTCACTACAGATTTATTTGGATGACCCAATAAACTTCATGAGCTAAAACATGTGAACCATGAAAACCCTTGGTTTGTGTTTACTTTTGAGGCCTTAACTTTGCTGTAATAGATTGCTGAACTTATCTTGGTAATACGGTTGGTAGAATACGGTAATTAACATTTAGAATAAAATCGGTTTTGAGGTTATAAAGAGTTCTGCAATGCTACAAATTTAACTTAGTAATTCAGTCAAGTTCACCAAGTTAGTTGCAGCTTACCATTTATAATATGGCTGCGGATGTGTGTTCATCCATCTTTATATCATAACTAGGAATCTGAATTCAATGGTAATACACTAAATGAAGGTGTTCTATTCAAAGAGCACCTGCACTACCAATTTTGAATTTGTTCGAATTTGGAATGTAAATTCCAATGAGAATAGTTAACTGCCATTTCCTTCTTTATTAATTGCTTTGGCTTAACTTGCTTTACATATCACAAGGACAGAATGGATTCTTACTTTTTAAAATCCAAAACTAATATGATGATAAGGCTGTGCATAATTTTTAACTGCTATAGAAATTTTCCATTTCTAATATTGTCTGAGCTTGCAGTTGGTAAATTCACTCTTTTTGCTTGGAAACACATGGAGGTGCTCGAGTTTATTACTATTCAATATAGTAAAACTGCGTTTATATGTGATAAATGGATCTAAGATCTGTGTGCGTGCAGAATATATGTACTACGGATCAAATGCTTTATTCAAGGTGCTCTAAAATGTTATCACTCTACTTTTTCCCTTAACCTACCCTATCCTGCAGGTGTGGGTAAGAGTTGTCTTCTTTTACGATTCTCAGATGGTTCTTTCACAACTAGTTTCATTACCACCATTGGGTAAGTCTTTCTATTTTTTGATTTTGTTTCCATACACGAGTCTGAAGCAATTGTATATTGTTCTGATATCTGGTAACTTTCTCTTCAGAATTGACTTTAAGATAAGAACTGTTGAACTTGATGGGAAGAGGATTAAGCTCCAAATCTGGGACACAGCTGGCCAAGAACGATTCCGCACAATAACAACTGGTATACTATTTTCTTGTATTTACTATGGCATCAAGATTATACATGTATGTTTATAAGATTTTGTAGCATGCTAATCTTGGACGGTGGAGAAGGATGGTGGAATTTACGGTTTTTGGGATGACTAATATTTGGGTTCCAGGCGTAATTCCTTTTTCTTTTGCTTGGTACTGATTTTCTCATGCTCAAACATTTTTCCAGCCTACTACCGTGGAGCTATGGGCATATTGTTGGTTTATGATGTTACAGATGAATCATCTTTTAACAGTAAGGTTTCTTTTTCTTTTATTTTTTTTTGGCTTCTATGTTCAGTGTTCCATGCTTTTGGACTAGTTCCCGTTGCCTTTTTACCCATCTGGTCCCGTGATACTCAGATTGATACCATTTTGTGGATTGGAATAGTTTGCATTTATGCAGTGCTTCTGTTTTCAGATATTAGGAACTGGATTAGAAACATTGAACAGCATGCTTCTGACAACGTCAACAAGATATTGGTAGGAAATAAAGCCGACATGGACGAAAGCAAAAGGGTAATTTTCTTTCATTTGAGTCAATGTTGGCTACTTTTTGCTTCGACGTGAGGGTGTACTTAGTGATAAGAACAATATTAATACAAAGAAAGATCAATGTTCATGAGTATTTGGTAAATTACATAGTAGCCTCCGTTAAACTTCAAAAGATGCAAAATGTTTGTGGTTTTTTTTCCCCTAGTTTTACTACAAATATGATGTTTAGATAATGACTTTTTTACCAGGGAGGGATTAAACATGATCTTATTCTCCGATTAGATAATTATCTCTTGCTCAATATTGTTTAGGCTGTGCCCACCTCCAAGGGCCAAGCACTTGCTGACGAGTACGGCATCAAATTCTTTGAAACCGTAAGAATTTCTTCCATTTCTCTGCCCCGAAAGTCTCATCCCTGTACATGTAATAACTCAAGGTGCTGTTACTTCCTTCATTCAGAGTGCTAAAACTAATCTCAATGTGGAAGAAGTATTCTTTTCCATAGCCAGGGATATCAAGCAGCGACTCTCAGACACCGACTCCAAAACAGAGGTAATCAATCAATCATCCTGTCAACATTTTCGTATCGGTTATGGCTACACTAGCCTCTTAACTGTGAAGTACTTGCTATCATCGTTACAGCCCACGACCATCAAAATCAATCAGCAAGATGCCGGTGCTGGATCCGGGCAACTCGCCCAGAAGTCTGCCTGCTGTGGTTCTTGAATGACCTACGACCAACCGTCTGGGATCCAACTCAAATAGCAAAGGGAGTGGGAGGGAAAAGAAGCATCTTGTGAAAACAAAAAAAAAAAAAGAAGCCCCCATCCGAGGTTGGTGCATTGTTTTTGTTCAAATTTCTGTCCCCTGGAAATTTGTTCTAGTGTGCAAAATGATGTTTGGTTCACTTTGACTTTGATTTGAGAGAAAAAAGAAAGTGTGAATGTTTGGATGTTAAGAGTGTTGCTTCAGTATTTCTTCCCTTCAGAGCTGCTTTGCTTTGCTCTATACTCCGTTAATTCCATGTGCTGAACCTCTGAATACTTTCTTCATAAATTTCATTTTGCTACTTAAGTTCATATATTTTTCATTACATTAAACTATAATAATAATAATAGAAGATGGTTACTGTGCTGATGGATCGAATAGAATAATAATAAAAAAGTTATAGGTGAATAAAGAAGTGATAAAGTAGAAAAAAATAGTAACAAATTAGTTACTAAAACTATGGATAAAGTTTTTATACTCCCAGAAGAGATGTTTCCTCGAGAATTGGCATGGGAATAATTTTATTATAATGTCGGGAAGATAGCAAATGATGGAGGATAATTTAAGATAAATTGGGCCAAATAGCCCAATTGGTTTAAACATTGATCCAGAACGCTTGTCTAGCCCATATTGATGTCTAATTCTGATAGGTTAATGGGTCGGGTCAGATCCGGCGCCTTATTCACCAGCCCACTACGCTAGCCCGGCCCGGCCCGGCTTGATTAATCAATCGTGCTGAAGCTGAACCTTCCAGACAAAAGACAAACGCATGCATCTGAACCTGAAAGACAAAGAGAGCCAAATTGCAATTCCACGTGTCCTCGCCATATCCGTCCCTCACTTCCCTTCTCTTCCCCATCGTTTTTCTCCACTTGTGGCTCTCTCTCCAGATTCCATTTGCGCCATGGTTGGAGAATTCATCGATTCGGCTTATGCCTAGGGTAGGTGGGTGAGCTGTTTTTGTGCATCATTAGTTGGATTGGACCGACCGTGGTGTGATGCGATATGGGGGTGATAAACGACGACGCCGTTTCGATCGATAAGGGGAAGAAGGCCGGGGACCCCTATGTGATTACCGTTAATTGCCCCGACAAGACCGGCCTCGGCTGCGACATCTGTCATTCCATTCTCGAATACGGGCTTTACATCACCAGAGGAGGTATAATTTCTCCTTCCGTACTCATATCATCAGTATTTGTTGTTTTTATTTGACCTAATTTTGGTTTTATGGGAAATACGATGGTGTTTCAATTCATGCTCCCAAATTATTATGAGGTATATTTAATTGCTACATTTTCCAGGAGATAATTGTGGTTGTCCTTCGCAGTTTGGTCAACGTTAGGGATTTGAGGTACTTCGAAGTTGTAGAACATGTGTTTCACTGCATATGTTGGTTGAGATGGTGACTTTTCTGTCCAGTACAAGATCTGTTTGGAAAAAAAATAAAAAATAAACGAGTCCCTGTAGTCATGTGGCATGCTCAGCTGTCAGTTACTACAATGTGCTCATACTCTGACATTGTATCCTGGAAATGTCTTATATTGAGTACTGATAGTTGTATTTGAATGTGTGATATAGCTTCTCTTTCTAAATCTGAATATTAGTGAATAGTAGGATGAGTTTAATTTATACACCTGGTTTGGTATATGTAAAGTATCATACATTAATCCAATTATTGAATATGAGAGAGCAATCAGTAGTTGTAAAGGTACGAAATACATGTTTTTATAATAAATTTTGAAACTGAATTTAATCCAAAGGTACTTATGAAATAATTAACCCCTCCGTATGCAGATTTTAATGAAGATAGTATTATATTGGTTGATTTTGATATAAAATAGGGTTATTTTAGGAAGTGTATGAGTGAGTTAATGAGGTGTGAGATATTTTTATATAGATTGAGTGTATAATGATTGTGTCATAATTGTAAATAAGTGTAAAGTCGAAGAATAAATTAAGAAGTTAGTAAAAGTATCATGATATAAATAAAAATTGCATATTTTTAATTAACAAACAAAAAAGGAAAATAGGCATAGTTTTATGGATTGAGAGAGTATTAAATAGTCATGGTGGCAAAGGAGATGTTGATCTTGTGAATGTTTTATTTGGTTTATTAACTAACTTAACCGGATTCCAATTTCCAGATGTTTCAACAGATGGCAAATGGTGCTATGTAATACTATGGGTGATTCCTCATTCGACTTCTCGTGTTGTGAGATGGGTGAGTCTGAAAGAGCGCCTCCAATCTTTTTGTCCACCCTCAATAACACCATTTTACTTAGGACAGTCTTCCCCACGAGCTACGTCTTCCCCTGTTTACTTGCTGAAGTTTTGCTGCGTCGACAGAAAAGGGTTGTTGCATGGTAGAACGAATTGTTTACTTCTCTTTTTTTACATTCAATTTCATTTCTTTGGTTTAAATTTTAAGTGTTCTTAAAAATTGTTCAGATGTCACTCAAGCACTTGATGAACTTGAGCTGGAGATTCAGAAAGTAAAAGTGAGCACAACTCCTGATGGTTCTGTTTTGGACCTCTTCTTCATAAGAGATAACTTGTAAGGGTGTGGTGTCTTCTTTATTTTGTTGTGTTCTTATACTGCTGAGTATAGTTACTTTAAAGGTTGGGATTAATCTTATATGTATCCGACAGTTATCATCTGTGTAAATATGCATATGATAAAATGATAGTTTACCATATAATAATTTTAGATAAGATAAGAAAATATGATAAAACAAACTTATAAATTTCAATTTTGTTGGTGATTATTTTATAAATTTCCTAACACTGAAGAACTGTGTTATTGGTTTTTCGGTCTTGTTTGGTGGGGTATTCGTAGTGTGAAGGATTTTAATTTCTAACCTTTTCTTAGTTTATGTTTTCTATGGGTTTAATATACTGTTGTTTTTAGGTTATATCTCAGTGTTTCTGTTAGTTTACTTTTCTGATCATAGTTGTTAGTTTTTGGTCGTTTATTGATGGTTGGTTTGCTCATAAGTTCGTCTAAACCTCAGGTCTCTTTTACATACAGAAGAGAGGCAAGATGAAACGTGTCGGCGCTTGTATGAGGTTTTGGGTGATTCATGTATTAGTTGCGAACTCAAGTTAGCGGGCCCACAATATGACAAGCTTCAGAGCATTTCATCTCTGTCTCAACATGATGCTGAAGAAATATTTAGCTTCACACTATCTGAAAAGGAACTTCGATCACAGGCTCTTAGTCCGGATATTACAGAGTTGAAAAGAGCTACTGTAAAAACCGATAACTCCTTGAGCCCTTCTCATACTTTACTTCAAATCAACTGTGTAGACCACAAGGGCTTTCTTTACGACATCATGCGAACATTGAAGGACTGCAATATCAAGGTACAAGTACCTAATATGCACCGTAATTAAGTTGTTTACCTTTGTTCAAGTGCTTCGTCCCAAAATCCTGCTAGTTTACTTGAAACTTTGTTGACTTCAAGCTCCATATCAAATAGCTCCAAAGTAGGATTGTGCATGAAGTTAAGTTCTAAAAAGTAGTTATGCATTTTGAATCAGATAGGATGATGATTTTGACTTCAAGTTGTTATGCTAAGCTATAGTATGCTTTCTTGCAAGCCTTCCCTGTAGTTATGTGCTCAAATGGCTAAGCTATTAAGTTTGTTAGTGTTGCAATACGACTATTGTTTGGGTCATGACCTCCAATAACCCTACCAACTACTCGAAGCATATAATTTACTTCCATTTTTCTAGATTCTGTATGGTAGATTTTCACCTGTAATCAAGGGTCGCCGGGAACTTGACCTATTTATTCAAAATCAAGATGGGAAAAAGATAGTGGATCCCGACAAGCAAGATGCCCTATGTTCGAGCTTAAAACTGGAATTGCTTCACCCACTGCGTGTTCTCATCAGAAATCGTGGTCCAGATACCGAGCTTTTGGTAGCCAATCCAGTTGAGCTCTCCGGGAGAGGAAGACCACGGGTTTTCTATGATGTTACTTATGCCCTCAAGGATCTCGGAATATGTGTATTCTTGGTAAGCACTCATCTACTAAGCATCTATATCAGTTGATTTTTTTTTTCTCAAAAAATTCCTCACCATAACCTGGTTAATAATGGTAAGGCCAATACCAAATTTGATCACCTGTAGTTCAGGATAGTCATCAATACTAGTGGTCCCTTATCCTTGCTATAGATTTTACTAAAAATCGTTTGAAGTCAACAATGCTAATGTCGAGCTTATTATATTCATTTGGCAGTGTTGATCTTTTATATCCAATGGTACGATTTATTTTATTTTCTAAAATATATATATATATATATATAAGATAAAGTTTCTTCAATTTATAGAAAAAGGTTTGCAATGTATCTAAAGGGTGAAAGTTTGATTTAATCACTATTTTGTATATTCCCTCTCTTTACATGTATGAACTGATGTTCGATATATATAATAAATTTAATCGGGATAGGCTGAAATTGGAAGGCATCAAGCAACGGAGCGAGAATGGGAAGTCTACTGCTTCCTTCTTGAAGAGAATTCCAGATTTCCACTTTCGACAAGAGGTGCCCGCAATCAGATTGTGGACAAGGTTCGAAGAACATTGATGGGTTGGTAAGCTTGCTCCATTCTCACCTCGTCTTGATTTGTTAAGAGCGATGAAAATGATTGATTCGTAGTGTGAGAAAGCAAGAAAAGAAATGGCAGTTGGATTGTGATTGATTCTTGGTGTCATTGTTCAATGTTTTGGGTTTGTCAAAAAGAGATTTTAAGATTCAGATCATTCAGTTTGCATGCATGGTTCAAATTAATTATGTTTTGGTTTTTCTTTTTGTCGATTTCTAGAGGTCTTATATACCTATTCAGCGCCTGTTAATGTCAACAATATTCTGAATTAATTTCAACGACCATATCTTGTTTCACACACACACACACACACGCACACACTAGTGTGACTTTTTTTGTAATAAGGTACTAGCAATTTTTATAGATATTAACAATCTGATCTAGAAATAACAGTAACCCCACAAAGTTGGTCACATGTGCTTTTAAATCATTTCAGCTATTAGTCATAAAAAAAATATTGTTTTAAATAAATATTTTAATACTTATATAACATTTGTAATCGATATTTAAAAAAAAAAAAAGTTATAAATTCTGTTTAACATACATTTCGAGCTTAATTTATTTCAGATCTCTTTAAAATATATCATATCCTACATTTAATTTTTATTTAAAATAGTAACATTAATAATCCTATAATCTGCCCACGAGAAATTAAGAGGATACATTTTTATTGTATTTTATGCATGCAGCTGTTGTGCTTGGTCTAAAACAAACAGGTAACAAAAAGCGTCTTCAGTTGTTGCGCTTTTAAAGCAAAAAAGGTTTAAAAAAATATGAGTAAAGCATTTTCTCCAAAAGACGATTCTCATTAATATGTTGAAAACATAATAAATCTCAAGACCACCTTTTTTACCCTAAAAATGCTAAAACAAAACACCACCTTAAATGCAATGCATGCATAAAATACAATAATACGTAACCTCACATTTTATTTTATATATATATATATATATTTTTATCATTTTGAGCTAAGAAGGAAATAAAACATGAAAGCAAACAAGGAGGCCTATGATAACACTGCTTGAAGCCCTCGTCCTATAACAGAGATCTGCCCTGTGGATCCCTTCATTCATTCCTCCACAAAGATTACAACATCAGAAACTAACCGAGTCCGAGTCCGAGTCCGGGCATGCATACCATACCATATCATGTCGCCAACATTACCTCCTCTGTCTGATTCAGACAACAGCTTTTCATAGGCAGGCATTGGATGGATGGGACCAGATCAAGTCAGTTGCAAGCTGCTGCATATCACAAACAAGACTGCAATCCAAGTTGCCCCTCACATCTATCTGTCTTTGATTCTCGCTCAGGGAAAGGGATCCATAATCAATCCTCGGTATAATTAGGAAACAAATGTAGGCCGGGGATGGGGGATGGGGATGGGGATGGGGGTGGGTCATTACACGCGACTCTAAATGAAAGATACAGACAGTGTCATCAACATAATAACGTGAAGTGTTCATGTTCATGTTCCACTTCCCCGTTGTCTTCTTTTAAAGAGCAAATGCCATCAAAATACGATACCAGACTGACCTTTTAACGCCAAATGCAGAACGCCATTCCTTAATAATATGTATTTCAGTTACTCTGCACTGCATCTGCGTGGTACTTCTCCAAATCAGCATCAAGATCCTCTGCAGATAGCTTCTCACCACGACCTCTTCCCTGCTGCTGCTGCTGTCCACGCCCCCTTCCGAATCCACGCCCTCGCCCACGCGGTCTTCCGAAACCACCCCTCCCTTGTGTGCTGTTCCACAAAGTTCAGATAATGTTATAGCTAAAGTAAATGCAATATATATAGACATATATACATATATATAAAACTCTTACATAAATACAATAATTCAATATCATTTAGTCTTCATCTCTTATTCAAGTTAAACAAACTAATTCATATGAACAAAACCAGCATACATGCTACAATTAGCTATCACTTCCATTGCATTCCATGTAACATCATTCAATAATTATATGCTGCTTTTATATGTATATATATATATATACAAAAAAAAAAAAAAAAATCCGAACAATTTTACCCAAAAAGGTGCAACAGTTTCAAGTTTTCAAAATGAATTATTTATATAAGAATTTTCAGGTAAGAAGGCAAATTTAATCCCCTAAATGCAAATATTTTGATGACAGAAAATTTGTTTCTGATTATTGCAAGCTCGTACAAAAATTCAAGAATTTCCAGCTGAGCAGAAAAAGTTGCTCATTCAATAGCACTTGTTTCACCTATTTGATTCTCATCAGTGCAATCAAATATGACAGATTAATAATTTTCTTAAAGAACAAAAGTATGGAAGGGTTAACTTCAAAATAGAAACAGTGAACACATTACATGGCAAAAGTTAGTCGAGAAAAAGAAATCATAACTGATAACTTCTCACCACGACCTCTTCCCTACTAATAACTTGAGACAGACTAGGGAACAGAAGGATACAACATACATATTAGCTCATGTAATAGATGCATACACCTCCATGATCTAATTGCATCCTCCATTCTCAACTCATTAAAGCTTCAGATATTTACTGTCTTATTTTCCTTCCCTAGCAAATAATTGCTTCAACCAATAACAAGGCTGCTAGTCTATATGGCTGAGAGAGGGACAAGTATATCAGAGATTCAGAACTACATGCAAAAATCTATAGGACAACAATTATGCTTAATGTTGAAACTAGGTAGGCCTTGATGAAGTTTATATTAAGGTATGACAGGAATCCGTGCATTCAGATTTACAAGCTTTTATACTTGTGAAACACCACTTATTGTGCAAATAATTGAACTTCCGATCAAAAATAAATAAATAAATTGAAACTAAATCTCATGAATTGTTGCAAGGAGTGCACAACATGTAACATTAAACAACCAAAATACACACCTCCTAGGTGGAGCTAGATATGGATCAACAAAAGCACCAACGGGTGGAAGGGCAACGGCCGGTGTGGAAATGTTTGTCCCAACAAGTTCAATCTTCATTGGTTTCCCATCAAGCTGAACATTATTATACTTCTTGACAGCATTCAATGCATCTTGTCTTCGTGCGAAGACAATTTCAGCTGTACCCTGAAGAAAAATGTATTTTTTTCCCTTTTAAACAAGGCAAGATACAAAGTGGACCATAAAGCAAGACTGGGTAGGCCAAGCTTGGATGATACCTTCGATCGGCCACTTCTATCATAATGTATACCATATCGTTTCATGTCACCAACCTCTGCAAACAGTTCCTGCATTTTCATCATTAAATGATTTCGTTTTCAGCAAAGTTTATTGGAGGGTAATATTTGAAAATGAACAAACAGCTATAACTAATAATGTTGAGGAAACTCAAGAGGAACAAGTAAATGCAACCGATAAGTTCAGGCAACCATTGTGCCAATACGATAGAATTTGTGTTTGTAGAATACACATATTTGAAGTTAGCAGGTGCTTAGTAGTCAATGGGCATAAAAAAAAAAAAGCAAAATTCCCAGTTATAAGCTTATAGCAATTTGAAAGTTTCTAAGACAAGTAACGAGCACCCAAACCCATTACATAATAATATAATTACAAGATAATTCTCCCCACAGTCTATATTGAGATACAATGACAACATCCAATGGCAACACAAACCAAAGGGTTTTGCTGAGCTTTTCGCCATGTGTAATAAATAAATTCTACCTGTATGTAATCACCTACTTACCTAAATCCATATAATTGAAAACCAGTCATTTATACTTATCAGAGCAGTCTATATAAACATTAGAGCTGTTAAACAACCGAGCTAGTAAGACTGATAGGACAAATAAATGAACAAAAATTGAATTGATGCATCTCCAACTATGGACTGAAGCTTGAAAGTACCAAAACTTCATAGCCGAAAAAGATGGCTCATCAAATGTTTGGACATTTTCTACGTTATCAAATTTGATGGTTAAACCAAATCAAATTCAAATAATGGTTTTTGTTTAATCAAACCCAAACAATTTTATTAGCTTAACAAACAGATTCCTCTATATGTATAAACATTGAGAATTACAACTACAACGCCCATTTTTATACGCTGCAATTCTCCATCAGCTAAAGCACAAAAGGCACAACTACACTGCACTTCCCAAAACAGCTAGTTCATCACCAAAAACAAAATAATATGCATTGGAAAGCCACAAGGTGAATGTTCAAGTAGAAACCAATTGAAAGAAAGAACGAATATAAAAGGAAATCTTCCGAAGGAAGAGAAATCACCTTAATATCCTCATTCGAGACACCATAATCCAAATTAGATATGTACAACTTGGTTCCAGTCTCAATACTCGAAGCTGCCCCGCCTCCGGAGAACATGTCATGGCCCCAATTCGATTCAGGCGCCTATACCAAACCCACAACTCATCAAAATCAGACAGACAGACCAACAAATCAAACCCTCCTCGATCCCAACCACAAACATCAAAACCAGCAGCGGGATCTGACCTTGGGGGCTGCGTAGGGAGCGAGACGATTGGCAGACCGGATCGGCTGTCGTCGAGCCGGGCCGGGCCCGTTGGGTCGGCCTCCTCTGCCTCGATTTCCGGCGGGCTTTTTGTTGATCTTGATTAGATCGTCGAGCGTCATATCTAGAGGAGCGCCTGACATCTTCAGTTGTGAAAGCTACGGAGATCTGAAGAAAGAGCGGACGATTAGGGTTCGGGGGAAAGGATTCTATTTGGGGAAGAGAGAAGAAAAGGTTGGATTTGGAATGCGCCCAATAAGCTGACCCAACCGAAGAAGCGATTTTGCTCGCTGTCTAAGAAAATATATATGGGTGTATCCAAATTTCTTGTATTTGCATTTGGCCCTTCGTACTTTGCATAAATAACAAAAATATACACTAAACTTATTTAGGCTTTGTTTTACATTAGGCATTTTCATTCGTTTGACCGACTTTGACGTTATTCATTTTTTTCAAAAATATTATATCAAAAATATATTTTTTTATAAAATTTCATATTAAATACTATTTTTTTTTCCTTAAACTTCAAAATTTTCAAAACCCTAATAAAAATATTTTAAGATTAAGATTAAAAAAATAAAATAAAATAAAATTGAACACAAATTTATGCAATAAACAGTATATTTTCATCAACTCATAAAATTAATATTTCTTTCATTTTAATTTAAATTATTTTTTTATTATTTTTATTTGTGCCACTTAAAAATATCTATTTTTTATTTATTTTAAACAATAATAATATACTAATATCAAAATACATTTATTTTTATTTAAATTACAAATATATTATTATATACACAATTACTTGAAAGTTAAGTAACAAAAATATAAAAATCTCTCACACATTTCAAAAGTATTAATATTTTTTATATTATCAATAAATTTTTTATGCCTCACAAACAAACTCGTTATTTAAAAAGACAATATTTTTTTTATTTTAACTTTTTATTTAAATAATAATTTAAATTCGGGTAGTCATTCAATATTATATATATATATTTTTTATTAATATTATAAATAATACTCCAATATTTATATTTACACAAATTATATTTTATTCAATTAAAAGCAATAGTTTAATGTAAAAATATTATTTATTTTTATGTAGTAAATATACATTTTATATTTAATATAAAAAATATATTTCAAATAAAAAAACAAACATATCATATATTATTCAATAAAATTGTATATTTTTTTAGAGAAAATATAATAATAATAATAATTAAATCAAATCAAAATTCAAAATAAAATGTTCCAATTTTCAGCACAAAATTTTAATTTGTTGCTCTATTCCGTGTTTGGATGAGTTCATACATATTTATTTTTGAATTTTTTAAAAACACTTGATATTAGTGAGTTCATATATGAGATTTATAAAATATAAATTATCTTTTAATATTCCATCTAGTTGACAGAATACTGTATATTATAGTCTCTCTAATATATTGTATTAGTTGTATATATGATGCAAAAATTGTGTTTGTTTTGTGTTTTAATTTAAAATACTTTTTTATTTAAAATATAAAATATTGTGAAAATAATATATAAATAATAAGTATGTAATATAATAATATTTTTAAAAAATTATATTGAAATTTTTTAGTAAAAGATCAAAGCCTCCGTTACTTATCACTAATAATTGAGATAAAAACATTAATTTCAATATATATTTACATTACATTACATCCTAATTTTTTTAATTATTCTTCAAAATTGTCTAAAACTTCAAAATTTTATATATATATATATATATATCTATATCCACTCTCATAAATCACTATATCATATAGCCATTTTTTTTTCCAAATAATTTTTAATAAATTGTCTAAATGAAGCTTTAAAGTCCTTTTTACAAACAAATTTTTAAAAGTTTTATTGTTATTTATCAACAATATATATGTTTTTTTTTTAAGTATATAATTATTTTTCTAATAAAATATTATATAAAATATTTATTTTGTTTGCTATTTCCAAAACTTGTCAAATCATACAAAAATTTTATGATTAAATTATGTGTTTGTTTTGTGAAATTGTTGAAAAATATATATATTTTTTTAGTATAAAAAAATTTATGTGAGAATATAAAAATAATAAATATGTGTAGTATATTTATTATTTTTGAAAAAACGTGTAACATAAAACTATTGAGAAAACAAAGAAGTCTAGATAAATATACTATCATTTTCAATATTATGAGAGTATTATTTTGTATTTTTGTTTCTAAAAAAAATACATTTATAAAAAATGTCAAATGTAACAATTATCTATATATATACACGTTCTTAACAATTTTTTTTTTTTTCATTTTTTAAATAAAAATATTATTATTTAATTTTAAGTTGTTTAATAAAAATATAGCCTTTTAATAAAATATTGAATTTGTTCATGTTTTTAGGTGAAATAATCTTTATAAATATTATATAAAAAAATATAATATGTACATGGTAACATAATATATAATACTATTATATTATTTATTTATAACAAATTAACAATAAAACATAAAATATTACTTTTATATTATAAATACAATTTTTTATATTTAATACAAAAATATATTCATTTAAAAAAATATAAAATAAACATATTCATTATATTAAAATACTATTTAAATTTAATTTGAAATAAAAAAAGACAGATCCAAACCAACACAGCACAACTATAAGGGAGGAGCCACTTGCTCATTTTAAAAATGAACTATATCAAGGGTGTGTTTGTTTCGGGTTTTGGATTTTGAGTTAAGATTTGAATAGTAAAAGTTTTATGATGTGATATAAATAAGTGTTGATGTAATGTTTTGAATGTAAAATTGATTTTTAATATAATATAAAAAATAAAAAATAAGTGTTTGATTTGATATTTTTAGAGGAAAAAAATAGGATAAATAGTGAAAATCTAATCTAATCCCCCAAACAAACACACCCTAAAAATATTTTAGTAATAAATTAAAACAGATACAGATGTTATTTATTATGTTTATAATTCCATTAAACTTATTTTTTTTTAAACATACTTCGTTCGTTTTAATACAATAGTCTTATTTACTATTTTTGTCCGGCTAAAAACAATAGTTTTATTTCCATAAATCCCACTTAAATTTTGTGTCCAATACAACCAAGACTATAGTTCCGACACAAAGGAAGTATTAATTATTCATTTTTCGCATAAAATATTTGTTATGTTTTATTGGTAGTTGATTAATATTTATTTTCATATAAAAGAATATTTTATTTTATAAAGGAATCATATTTAAATTAATGTTGAAATCACATCATTCTAAAATCAAACTCCCAAAAAATACAAATTTATTTTCTGCTTTAAAAAACACAAATAAACATATCCCGAATATTTCTTTTATGCCATTGGAAAGAGCAAACAACAAAGCAAGCAGGCCTTCTTTAATTTTAAAGGTGGACCAAGTCGTCGGTTTTTGTGTTAGAAATTATTATTTCTTCATCCCAAAAGTATAGTTTTTGTTGTGTTTGAGCACAAAATTTAAAGAATATTGATATTATATTGGTAGCCGGTAAAACGTAAAGGTAAATAACTAGTTTGCCCTTTGTGAGTATATTAGTGTAAAAAGTAGTGACAATTGTATAATAATAATGAAAAAGTAGGGGATAGTTTTATGGTGATATTGTTATTTATGGAAATGAGAATATTGTTTTGTAACAGACAAAAATGATAAACAAAACTATTGTATTGGGACGGAGGGAGTAGTATATATATATTATTTATGAGCCTAAATAAATATTTGAATATTAATATTCTATGATAAAATAATATTCCCTCCGTCCCACCTATCATGTCCACGTTGTCGTTTCTGTCCGTCCAACATATCATGTCACTTTCTTTTTTTTGAAAAATGATTATATACTTTAATCTCATTTTAAATTTTTAAATTTTTTTTTTAAATTTTAATTAAACTAATTAATTATTTTAATATTAATTTATAATTATTTATATTATAGGATAGTTATATTCATTAATATATTCTTAATTACCTACTAATTAGCTGACATGTTATGTTGGACAAAGGTAATATATTTTTATAAAATTATGACAATTATATAATAAATATACAAAAAGTACTAAGTAATTAGAGTTTATTTTTCTTTGCCTAAAATTATTTTTAAACCATCATATAAAAATTAAAAAAATATATATATTAGAAAAACATTAAAACACAGGAATCAAATACAAAATTTAGTTCAAATTAAATAACACTAAAAAAAATTACTAATATGTAAAGGACTGTGCGTTTGTTAGGTTTTGACCAAAATCAAGTCATATATATATATATATTAAAATTAATTAAAATTAAAATTAATGTGATTATATTATATAAAAAAAGAAATTATACTCCATAATTGATTGAGAATGGTATAATAGTATTTTTTTAATACAAATATATAACCTGTTACATAAAGCATATTTAAAAAAATTACTGAAATCAATGTAGCAATAGAGAGAGAACTGTAGTGGACAGAGGTTTGAATATTCAATTATTCGGTGTGAAGGCGTGGAATTAGGAGCGATCAATTTAATTTTAAAATATTAATTAATTAATTAATTAATAGTGAGTGAGTGTATGTGTGTGTATCGATTCGACAGTGTTGATGGGAATCAAGCAGATGCGGGCTGCCCGCAAAATATCTGCCCGCTGCCCGTCGCCACACGGGCAGCCCTCGCCTCGGTCTTCTCCATCCCGGGCAGCTCCAAACTCCGACACTTCTCCGCCCCCATTCATTATCAATAAATGCTCCCTCCCTCCCAAATGAGCCTCTGATGTGAAACCACCGCTTCCGCCTACGACGGCCGGCGAGCAATGGGTCAGCGCCTGAGCTGCCGAGGCGGGGAGGAGCAGGGGCTGTTCGCTGCAGCTCAGCTCGGCGATGTCGACGCCGTCGAGGCAGCTCTCCAGAGGGATTCATCTCTTATTTCTCGCGCCACAGTGTACGATCGCAACTCGCTTCTGCATATTGCAGCTGCCAATGGCCGGATCGAGGTGCTTTTTGTTTTCGATTTTATGAATTTTGGGGATTGTATCTCTGGAGAGCGAAGAGTTGCTGCTTTTGTTGAATGTTGGTTGGATTTTGATTGCTGCAGCTTCTTATGTTATTTGATTTTTTTGTGCTTTAGGTTGTTTCTCTGTTGGTGGATCGATCTGTTGATGTGGATGTATTGAATCGGCATAAACAGGTGCGTATGGAGAGATTAAATTGTTAGTTAGTTAGCTAGCTAGCTAGCTCATTGATCGTTTGATTCGATTTTGAGTTCGATGTTAGTTCATTGATTAGTTGAATTTTGATGGTGAGAATCATTTGGTTGTGGAGTCACACTTTCAATTTGACGGATCTTTGGGTGATTCGGCAGACTCCATTGATGATGGCTGCAATGCACGGCAAGATCTCGTGTGTTGAGAAGCTGATCGAATCCGGCGCCAATGTACGTTTACAGAATCTAATAATTAGGGTTCTTACTTCTTAGCATAGTTTAAGCCTTCGATTTTATGTCTTTTTATGCAAATTGAGCTGTGATTCAACATAGAAATAAGAAATCCATCGATCCATGATGTGTCCTAACTTTTAGATTTCCTTTATCCGGGATCAGATATTGATGTTCGATTCGCTCAATGGAAGAACATGCTTGCACTATGTAGCATACTATGGGCATTCCAATTGCCTGCAGTTCATCCTCACCATCGCCCGGGCCTCCCCAGTTTCATCTTCTTGGTAAGCTTTTCTCGAATCTGATCTACATTAGGTGCAGTGATACAATGCCTTTATCGATTCAAAATCAACTATAAAAGAAAATTAATCTTTCGGGTGTTGATCTCATCAATGATTTGATTACAGGGGATTTTCACGATTCGTGAATGTTAGAGATCGTAAAGGGGCGACGCCATTGCACTTGGCAGCCCGTCAAGGACGCCCTCAATGTGTTCATTCTTTGTTGGATAACGGAGCCATTGTTTGCGCTTCGACCGGCGGATACGGGTAATAATCTTTGCCTTATCGCCCTGGCATTTTGATCTCGGTGTCTGAAAATTCGTTTCGCTTTTATTCTACAGTTTTTCGGGAAGCACTCCCCTTCATTTGGCTGCAAGAAGTGGTTCAATCGATTGTGTTCGAGAATTGTTGGCTTGGGGCGCCGATCGATCCCATAGAGACGCATCGGGGCATGTTTTCTTACAACTTACCTTCATTTTTAGTACTCTCTATGTCATCCAAATTTATTCTCGTTTAATTTTGTAGTAAAAAATACTATTTTTTTTCTACATTTTCTTTACTCTTGAAAAGAAAATTTTTTATTTTTATTTATTTTTCTTAAAACACGTGCCCGATCAGATGAATATACTTTTTAATGACGGAGGGAGTACTAATTATAATTGCGTTTTCATAATTTTCGGGCGAAATTTTGAGATAGCGTTCGTTACCGTATACGTAAATGTATTATTGTTCAGGAGAATTCCGTATACGGTAGCTCTAAGGCATCACCACGGAGCGTGCGCGGCTTTGCTAAACCCGGCATCGGCGGAGCCTCTCGTGTGGCCGTCGCCGTTGAAGTTCATAAGCGAACTTAACCCGGAGGCGAAAGCTCTCCTCGAACGAGCCCTCATGGAGGCAAACAAGGATCGAGAAAAGGCGATCTTGAAGGGAACGGTCTACTCATTGCCGTCTCCGTCAAACTCCGAATTAGGGATCGACGACGATATCTCCGAGGTAATCGATTCACCGTCTCCCTACATTAAGCCATTTCGAGACAATCTTCGTACATAAATACGTGTTCTTGTTGTGCGTAGGAAAGCGACGGAGACGTCGATCTTTGCTCGATATGCTTTGACCAAATATGCACGATCGAAGTTCGAGACTGCGGGCACCGGATGTGCGCGCAATGCACGCTCGCCCTATGCTGCCACAACAAGCCGAACCCGGCGAATTCTTTCCCGCCGTCGTCATCGATTCCCATTTGCCCGTTTTGCCGGAGCAATATCGTCAAGCTCGTCGTCGCTCAGGTCAGGCCCGACAGTGACTCGAAACCGCGGAAATCGTGGAGGTCCCGTCACCCGAGCGAGGGAAGTAGCAGTTTTAAGGGGCTTTCGACGTCCTTCGGAAAACTCGGCCGCGGCTCGGGTAGGATCGTCACTGATGACGAGATCCTCGACAAGCCTATAAGCCTCGATACGTAGCGGCACCTCTCGCCGGCGACCGGCGGCAGGTAAGCAATGAATGTGAGATCCAAGAAGTCATCACCAAGAGAAATGAGCTAATGGCTGATTGTGTAATGTTGTATTGTTAAGAGTAGATTTTGAGGTATTCTTTTTTGAATGTTGGTAATATTTTATTTTTGATGGTGAAAATTGTTGGAATTCAATAAAAAGGGTTGAAAAATAAGTGAAATTTGGGGGTGGGGTGGGGTGGGGGTGTACGTTGGTTGTTTGGATGTGTAAGAATTATCAATTGTTGTTATATGTTGAGACAAAAATAATTGTTGTAATAATAATTTTTGTTGGGTAGTAGTAGTAGTAGTAGTTGTATTTTATGATCGTATGGTAGGAATTAATTAGTATGGTATTTCTTGTGCTGTGGCTGATCCATGTGATATATATATAACGTTATGTGTATGTATGGTAATGGTTGTTCTTGTTCTTGTTCTTGAATTGTTTGCTTCAATCATATACTGCGTAACTTACAATGGTCCCCACCCCACCCCACTCACTTTCACATCCAGAGCCAGAGGGAGGGGCAGATGATTTTATTTTATTGATTTCTCATATCCATTTTGTTATTTTGAATTTTCTACACTTTTTAAATTTACTAATATAATTTTCTCATATTACAATTAAACAATAAATATTTATATTTTAATTATTATTACAACAATGGCATCAAAATATGTATTTGATTTAGGAGTAAAACTGTTCATTCGTCTATTACATACAAAAATAAAATATAAATATTTTAAATCTACATGCAAATATATAAATGAAGACATTGATTCCAGACAGAAATATATCATTTTCTATCTATTGTACTTTCAAAGACATTTTAGCCAATATATTATGGACTATTATCACATATAAAATACTATCTTTGTCCCTTAAATATATATATATATTATAATATATATTTATTTGCTTTTTTTTTTCATATTTATTTTTAATATTAATATTATATTAATATGTAAATACAAATTCAAGAAAAGACAATAATACATTTACTATTATACAAATAATTTATTTGAATTATTTGGTTTTAGTTTGGATTTTAAATGTGAATTTGAATATAAATAATTTTTAATATAATATTTTATATATATTATATTTTTATCAGTACTATATATATATCTAATTATATTAGTTTTGATTTAAAATCAAAATCAAACAGTCTTATCATTGTATATAGTAATATAATTGATTTTTTTTGTCTATTATAAAAGTAATTTTACTTAGCTTTGAATTTGAACCAATTACTTATTAAAGTGGGGACTCATTTATGAATTTGTTGACTTTATAGCAGATTTATGTTTGAGGGATGAATTGTTTGTTGGTTTAGTTCCGTAGAAGAACTAAAGTGGCTTTTTAAGACTAAAGCATGTTATTAAAGTTATTTTTATTCATTAGCAGGCAATGATTTACTAAACGTGGTCAAATATTAAATGGAAACAGTAAATATTCATAATATCAAATATTGCATATATTTGTTTCGGGGATTTTCCCCAAACTTCACTATTTATTTAATTTTTTTTTCAAAAAAACATTAAATTAAACACTTATTTTTCATTTTTTATATTATACTAAAAATTAATTTTTCATTCAAAATATCATATCAAACAACTATTCAATTTCAAAATTTTTACTATTCAAATCTCAATTCAAAATCCATATCCCCGAACAAACACACTATATATCACAATATTTAATTTATTCACATATTAAATATAGGTAGGCTACATACTTAGGGTGTGTTTGTTTGAGGGATTTGTTTGGATTTCTACTATTCACCATATTTTTTTCCCCCAAAAATATCAAATCAAACACCTATTTTTTATTTTTTTATATTATACTAAAAATCAATTTTACATTCAAAACATCACATCAACACCTATTTATATCACATCATACAACTATTCAAATTCAAAATTTTTACTATTCAAATCCCAATCCAAAATCCAAACTCCCAAACAAACACACCCTAAATGGGTTTATATAAACTATGTTCAAATGAATAGTAGCAATTAAATATATCAACACCAAATTCACCCAGCATATAAAATCATGTATATATATATATATCATGATAGAGTTAAAAGAAAAAATAATTAAATGACGAAAATACCATTCCTATCTTTGAAATGAAATAAAATAAAATAATCCTGGTGCAATAATATAGTTGGGAAAGGTAGCAAGTATCAAGTCTCAATCATGCGTTACATATCTTATCAAAACTATTTTCACACTATTCACATAAATTTAAAATAGTACATTCAAAATTTATTAGTTTTAATTAAAATATTAAATAAAAAGCTTTCACTTTTTTATTAAAAACAATATATTCAACATATATAGTTTAGCAGCTATTTACTATTCATAAACCAATTTAAATTCTCATGTTACATTTTGTATAATTTCAAAATTATATATTATCAATAATGAAAGCAAAAACTTCTTTACAGGTATAATAATTTAATTTTAAAAATAAAAAAATAATCTAAATTATAAACTAAAAGGGTTCAGTTCAGAGGCAGAGGTACATAGTACAGACATAGATTCCATTTTTTGTTTTAATACTACAATAAAAATCTCCGACATATCAAATGTTACAGTAAATAATAACAAGTCAGGTCAGGGGGGGCTACACTTTTAATTTTTTATATAATCCACGCAGTCGATTCGAATTCGATTTTCAACCCTACCTCAATAATTCAGATAAATATACATTTTCAAAATATCTATTTCAATAATTTTATCCTTCAACAATTTAGGATATACACATTTTAACATATTCAATCAACATGAAGAAACATAACCCAACTAATTTCAATTCAATTCAGATTGCAGAATGTGGAAGTTCACCCAAAAAATTTAATTTTTTTAGATCCCTGAGCTTAAGTTTAGGATAACATTAAATCCATCCAGTAATTTTCTAATAATTTCATTCATTTAACAACTGCAAATATGAATGGAAACTAACCTTTAGCTGTGATGAACTCCTTCAGATTCCTCAAAACTCCCTTATCATACAGATTATAGAATTGAACTTCCCCTGGATAACGGGCGGTCGGTTAACCAAGAATTTACTCGATAAGAAAAAAAAGACAAAAACCAATTAGTTCATCCAAGCAAGTGGTTCCAAGAAATTACCAGTATCATGGATCGCCTTGCTATGGAACTCAGGATACTTTTTCCAGTTTATCTGCAAAGATGTATTGTTATAAATGACATTTCATGTGTTTTCAATATATGTATTCATTTAATGCAAACAACCAACATCAATTGTTCCGACCAAATGCTAGATTACATCGAGAATATAAATAATATCTCAACACAATTAGGCCCTAAAAAAAGAAAATAAGCACGAGAAGGTTACTTGCAGATTATTCATACTCCGAAGGAGTTCTTTCGAATGATTAGCTTTTCACATGGATTAATCTATATTCTAATTTAGGAATTCGGCTTACCCACTCATCAGTCTTTATGTTCAAGCAAGCACAATACACATGCCACATCAAAAACACCACCTGCAAGTTGGACATAAAATGTTTTCGGAACCGAAACAGGAAATCCAGCAACAGATTTTAAGTTGAGTTACAAAGCAGTGTGGAATAGAATGCAATTGTGCACACTAGAGGGATACCTGCCAGAGAATTTGAATTAGACAAAACAACGTCGTTCCTGTTACCAAATTTCTGGATGCAGTAGCCTGCCACAAATGAGAAGTCCATTTATCAAAATGATGCAATATATTTAATCTTTTGAATCAAAAGAACTAAGCTATTCAAGAATGGGGCGGAGTGCAAATTGCAGTACAACTTACCACTCTTACATCTTCGTTTAAGGCCGGAAATTCTGCAGCAGTTTGGAGCCTGTGGACTAAGAAACTTATAATCATTTAACTAAAAAAGCAGAGGACAGCGAATAGAGAGAAAGAAATAAGGAAAATGATCGAAAGAGTTGTTGCATTCCATCCAAAAATGTTCAAGACAAGAATCTATAAACCCTCTTTATACTTACATCCACCATTTCCATCAAACCCACATCCTCAATGTACACGATAAAAATAACTTATGTGATATTGAATTGCAAGGATCATATAATTAAGAGTCATTCTTGGAATCAACCAGACAGAGGCTACTTTTACCTAATGTACTCATTAGAAACTCCGATATATTAATTTCTAGGATACTACATGAGATTGAATATTCAGTCCTTCAAAGTTGACTTGCAACATTCTGTTTAAGATGTATCAATGAGAACTACATACTTCAACGGCAATTAATAATCGCAAGCAGATGTCTACTCACATGGGGAAGTGCATGCTACGAATGATGCTTCACAGATAATGAATAAACCCAGGAGCACCATAAAGAAGAGATGGTTTTTTTGACCTGCACGGCAACAATATATTTCCTCATAAGTATGAAAAACTAGGAACCACCAAAGTTTAGCAATCATCATGTTTAATAAGGAATAGAATACGCACAACAAAGTCATTACCTATACAATTCCCAAAAGCAGGGCAATGGTGGTCAAAGCCTGCAACATGCTTCTGGCAGTGTTTGCAGTACCTTACCCTCCTCCATACCTCAAAGCCCTAAAATACATCACATAGTTGCCACTTAACTATTAAAATAACAGGACAGAAGTTCTACATGTAGCTTTCGGAGAAGTTATCACTACCTTCACTCAACAATCCTCACACAAATTGTGCTCACTGCATTACATGTACATATATTGAAGACAAAGGGTGAAGAAAAATTACTCCCCATGAAAAACCAAGTGTTAAAAGATAGCCTTGTGGATTGATAAAGATAAAATCATCAAAAAAACCACTAACTTCTACATTTTCAAAAGGCACAAGAGGCCTTTTGAACATTTCATATTTCACACTGGACTAAATTGTAATTCATTCACCCAAAGATAAATTCACGATCATGCATCACAACATCAACAAAAGCTAATAATGATTATAATAAATTTATTCACATTACTTATGCTAAAATAATCAAACAAGTGTTAACTTGCAGCACCTCTCCCTGTGCTTCAACTTCAGTGAGAGAATCTTGTACAGACAGATCAATGGAGGGTAAATGATGCGTCGTTACAAAGCCAGGGTCCATAAAGGTCATGCTGGAATCAAATATAAAAAGTACAGAATCATTTTCATTATTATTATTACTCATCCTTGAATGCAGAAAGGAACAACTGACCGGTGTAGGCCGATTATCATTATGATGATCTCTATGTTAAATACAATATCCACAAAAGATGAAATAACTGCAAAACAAATAATAGATATAGTCGAATGAAAGCACAAACATAGAGCAACAACAACATCTGGCTTTAAAAAAGGCTAAACAATCATATTGGTTCACTTCCTTTCTCGCATGGATCAATGATTATTATAATAGATACCTCAGATAAACAACTCACGACTTATAAAAATCTAGAAGCTACCTTGACGAACCACAGAAAGGTAGATTATCCATATGAAAAAAATGGTGAAGACAACATAGGCCAAAGCTGAAGCCCTAACACCAGCAATCCTCTTGCAGAGTCTCCCCAAACCGACACCAATTACAAGCAATACAACTGCAATTGATTAAGAAACACTCAATTTCACAAACGGAGAAGCTCTGAAAAGGCAATGATAGCAGAGTAGTAATTAGGCATGGAAAAGTAAGTCGACAAACCTGCTAGAGGAAGAAGGCAGAGAAATGGCGATGCGGGGAAGAAGGTGGGGAGCAAAGACAGAGCGAACTGAGTGAAGAGAACAGAGAGGAGCGAAACGAAACAAGTAGTTATGGAGGACTTGCAGTTCCAGTAGCGATGAGATAGGATGCTCTCGTCTTGTCCCACCAACATCTCAGATTGATTTCAAAATTAGGGTTTTTGATGTGCGCATCAATTCAGTGGTTGGTAGCTGCCGTTCCGGAATCGAATCAAGGCCAACGCCGCCGCGGATCGATCGGAATCCACCATCTGTTCCTCTGATTCTCCGCTCCGAGTCTCCAAATATAGATATAACTAAATTTATATATATATATCTATATGTCTGTGTTTGACCTTATAGCTCTGGGCTTGCGCTCTTCTTCGTCGTCGTTATTGTTGATGTATATGATCTTAACAACCATTACATAAATTGTATTAAAATAGAACAAAGTACCAAAACAACAAACAAAGATATGCTTAGAACATCACAATTTATGAAGATTTGAACGAATCCACAAATCCTGCAGCAAGAAGCCTCTCAACATATTTCCCCAAAATGTCAACCTCCAAATTCACCTTCTGCCCAACTTTCTTCAAAGGAATCACAACATTCTGCTGTGTATACGCTACCAACATAAAATTGAAACACAATTCCTCATCAAAAACATCTACCACAGTCAAGCTAGTCCCATCCACAGCAATGAACCCCTTAGGCACAATGTACTTCAAAATCTCTCCCCTTTCGACTCTCACCTTCACCCACAACGAGTCACCCTCCGGCGTCATATCGACGATTTCCCCGGTTCCATCGACGTGGCCCTGCACGAAATGGCCCCCCATTCTAGTGCTAGGGCTCACTGCCCTCTCCAAGTTCACCAAAGATCCACTCTCCAGCTCGCCCAAAGAGGTCTTCCTCAGAGTCTCGAGGGACAACCCGACCGAGAATTCGGACAATTCAGTGTTGTATTCAGTCACTGTCAAGCAAGTTCCGTTGACGGAGATGCTGTCGCCCAAGTGTATGTCTTCAAGAACAGTTCTCCCCTGGATTTTCATGATGAAGCTGTCGTTTTGGTCAAATCCTAGCTGTTTAATTGACCCCATTTCTTCGACTATGCCTGTGAAAATGGATTTTATAGACTTGGTGACGAATTTGGGATTACAGGGCTTTGAGGGTTTGACAAAGAACGACGAAAGTCGTGGTGGCTTCAGGGAAGTACGAAAGGAAAGCTTGAGATTATTCCGGGGCAATGACATGGTTGATTGCCTTGCCATTGCAGGGGCGGCCGTGAGGCGGTGGCGATAATTTAAGGTAGGGGGAGAGGAGAGGGCCATCTTCCAATGTTCTTGAAATTAACTGGCAATCAAATAAGAATATGAGAAGATGTACAACCTCAAAGTTCTCAGCTGTTATATATATGAATCTACCACAAGCATTTATACGAACTTTTGTGTTCAAAACAAATAGAAAAGTAACTCGAGTTCCTACATCGTGTAAAGTAAATACCTAAGAACATATATGCATCAAATTTAACATTCATACTTGACATTGTGATCGTATCCTCAACAAGATTCACTAACAGCTCCCAATTTGTACCTTACTTATGAAGAAATAAACTCAAATTGAGGGGATGAATCAGACTCTAATTGGATTTGTCGAAAAGCCCTAATTTGTAGAAGTTTCTTGTTTTGTCACTGGACACCTAAACTGCAATGACGTAAATGTTCCAAATCTGAAAAGCGTAATAAGTGTCGGCGCACATTACATAATCAATCAAACGCCAGAAAATGAAAAATTTTCAAATTAGGGTTTGCACTCAGCAGCGAATCAATATAGGACAAAGATCAACGCCATAGCCAATTAGCCAAGGAGGAAAGTAGAGAGGAGAATTAGAAATCATTTAACATCCTCAAACGTCACATCACGTCGCCGAAGAATTACTCCGGCGACCAAAATAAATGTGAAAAGCAACAGCGTCACTGACTTAACGCAAATGCTTGAGAGATTTTGAAAACTCGATTCTATTTTAGCCACAAAAGATCAAAATGTAAAGATGGAGGGGACTTACAATTCAACGTGGAGCTAGCTCGTCGGAGACGACGCCTGCAGACGGAGTCACGAAAAATCGACGAAGAAGAAGAGAGGCAGAGCCCAACTGAAAGGCTAAAGTCAACTTTCGTGTAGGGTCGAGGATGGGCTAAATCGACCGTCTCAAACCGGGCCGCCTACAATTACACTGAGGTCCATCCAGGCCGATCAAGAAACTGAAGAAGATAGCCGGCTAGCCCAAAATAGAAGCTTCCATAACAGCTTTGGTCCAATATAGATTTGAGCAGATAATGTGTGTTTGTTTGTCAAAAGTTTTCCAAAATTTTATTATTTGAATTTTAAATTTTTTTTTCTAAAAAAAATATATATTTTTTACAAAATATTTCATCAAATATTATTTTAATATTAAATTTAAATTATTATTATTATTTTTTTTAAAAAAAAACAGCTTATTAATGATCAAATAAAAAATGTATCTATTCTTTTGTATCTAATAAAATGTATGTCAAAATCATAATATATGTCTATGGTCAATTGACTAAAATAACTGCTCTCCTTCTCATTCAAAGGTTGTCTGTGTAGTCTTATAATATTAACATAAGGATATTTGTGCAAAAATATTATACAAATATAATAATATTTTTAATGTTAAATATAATGAAAGATGAGACTGAAGGATGGAGTATATAGTAAGTTGAAAAAGTATATAGTAATACAGTTACGAAATAGTAATCTTATTAAATACAAAACGCCAATAGAAAAAAAAACTTTATTCGAGTGGAGTTTCTAAAATTGCCTACGCTTAGATTAAAATAATAAAATTTTAAATTAAAATACTTATTTAATTTGATATAAATAAATAATGTATTTTATTTGATCTTTAGAGAAAAAAATTCAATAAATCGTAAAAATCTAAACAAAATCTCCAACAAACACAAGTAAGGACTTCTTGGTCTTTCTTTAGACGATTTGGTTGTTTTCTTCAATGAAGTTTGTATCCATCTTTCCAAAATTCGGGTTCGACGAAGGACCTAAGTCGCCGGAGCAAACCGACGCAGGAAGAGCACGTGTGTGCGGGGATGCCGAGCATCCTCCGGCAAGGGGACTCCCATTTGGCCTCGAGATAAGGCAAGCATCTCCAAGGAGGTAGAGGCATCGAGTTTTGGTCGAGCGAATATCTAGCAGCTTCGACCATGATTTCGAGGAGTTGCTTCAGCTTTGTAATTGTGCCGACGAAGATCAGGGGAAGCGATTGCAGGACTGCGTCGTACGGCTTCACAGCTCTCGCTATTTGGAAGTGAGCTCGGAAGTCTATATCGATGATGTACCGTTTATTGCGCGCCACGATGTCTATGAACTCGTGTTCGCCTGCAATCACCAATGAATCGTGTTAGTTAGTTGACTGTATAATATTTGATGATACGTATCCCTTTAAGCTTAAATTTTCGAGCCAGATTGTCATTTAATTATATAATAACAAATGGTACGTATCTCTTTAAGTTTAAACTTTCAGATTAGTTTGTCATTTAACATGTCATCAGAGCAATAACACGTTAACTATATAATAGGTAATGATATATATATATATCTCTTTCCGCTTAAACTTTCGGGTTAATTTGTCATTTAACATATTATTATAGCAAAGATACATAAATTATGTACTAGTTAGTGATGTTATGTCGTGTTAAGCTTAAACTTTTAGGTGAAATATAAAAGTTAACAAACCTCCGGGGACTTTGCTAGAGCCGTGCCAGTTGGTCGCGCATATAGCAGCATCGTAGCCGGAAGACTGCAGAAGAGTTGCCATCGAGTAAAGGATACATCTCGGCATCGAATTGCATAAATGCGACTCCTCGACTTGATTAGTTTCGGTTTCAGTTATTGAGAGAGCTATTGATCCGACAACCATTCTCAAGTCGGATTCGTATTGATCGTCCGAGTTCTTGTAGAGCTGCAAATTTAACCAAATTTTTAAGATAAGAAGCTGCAAAATCATTAGCATCACATCTTCGAGGAATTCGCAATCGAGGCGAAATTATTCGACGAAATTGAAGGAATAGATGGAAGAGCAAAGTATCACATTAACAGCTAATGAAATGTCATCGAAAGCAAGAACTGGATCATGAATCAGATAGGCGTTCATGTTGCAGATTTGAGCTATATGCAATAATCCTCATGATAATGGTAATGTATCAATTCTGTGAGCCTGTATTGCAGAAAATTCACAGAATTTTGAAGCAGTTTATGCTTCATCATCGCCGAAAGGATTTCGATTTTCGAATATCTAATTGATTCATCTTCAACAAGGTTAACAGACAGGCGCAAATTAGCAAATTAGGTCTGGATTAGGGTTAACAATCAGAGGTGATCGTTTCAACAAATACAGAATAATACTGACCGAAATTTTGTCCCTCAGGTAAGCTAGGTCGGAGAAATCAGAATCGCCATCGCTGCTACACCAGGACTCGCCGCCGCCGGCGCTTCCGATTTCTATGAAATCTCTCACCATAGCTCCCAAATCATGCTCGCTACCAACACTCGGAAGCGAAAATTCACGGCCGCTGCCCTGCCGGTGCAACCAGAAGTCCTTCCCCACGCCTCCAATCGCCACCGGCGCTCTGTTCCTCATCTCCGCCGCTGAAAAAGAAGGAAAAAAACTCCGAGAATTCGATTTTCTCGTTCGTGGATTGAGGAGATTCCAGCAACAATTTCTGTAAAAAAACAGGTGCAGCAGAAATGGAACAGAGCGATGGTTTGCAGATGGAGAATCGACGCTGTCGAACGGTGATGCTTCTGACCAATTTCTCGAATCCAAAAAAGCAAATATAAAACATTTATATTCAAATGTGACAGGCGGCCGAACCATTTCTCAAGACCTACGCGTCGTTGACCATGAGTCATGACCGTACCGGTCGCCGCCGCCGCCGCCGCCGCGGCGGAGCGCTCTACTTCCTGAAATTTTTGTAAGTACAATTTTATAGAAATTAGAATGGATGGATTGTTCCATTGCAAACCTTCATTCCATTTCGATCCATTTTGAACCTCCATTGATTTCATACTTAACGTATAGATACATACATATGTATGTATATAAAATGTAGGTATTAGCTATGGCTATGGCTTCCAACATGAAAGAGCATACAAAGGTCTTCCCTTCCATCCCTGCAGCATCCATTCATCGTCTTCTTCAACCATATACTCACACTGGTATCCCTTCTTCACCTTTATTTTAACCTCATTCATGATATCCCTGTCCAAGGGAACCTTCCGGAACCCGGTTCTCCGGTTCCGCTCCCGCCACAGCTTGTAACTCTCCGGCCGGTCGACCCTCTCCCATCCCTCGCACGCAATCACATTCATCACGTCCTTACCGAACACTTCCCTCTCGTACATCAGCCGCTCTGGATCCTCCTTCGGCAGCGTCGCCTCCATCATGTCAAAGAACGACGAGTAGTGGTACAATGCCTCCCGGAACCTCGTCGTGAAGAATGGGGCGTTGTACGTCCCGTTGACGACGCCATGGACAAAGATGCATGGCTTCAGTTTCTTGATCAGCTTCAGAACCGCATCGCGCGGGCTGCTTGTGTCGCCGCCGGTGGACTCATCGGGGACATGTCTTAACCGGTAAAGGCAGTTGACAACGAGAGCCTCGTCGTGCTCGAGGTTCAGATCGTCCTCGGTTATTTCCTCCCACTTTTTTGCTACGGCATTGTACTCGAAAGGAACTTTGAATCTCTTGCAGTAGCTCGCTAGCCTTCGCCCCGTCTGCTCGACCTTCTCGACCGGCTTGAATCCCGGCTGCGGGAAGTCGACTCCGGTTATCTTCAACGCCGGTGGCCCTCCGGGACGCAACGATATGCCCTGGTAAAATTAGGTAAAGATACGATTTTATTTTTTTTTCGTCGATAGATATAAAAAAGATCATCACCTGGATGATGCAGGGCCATTGGAAGCCGTATAAGATCCCGAAATCGACGATATGGATCTTGTCCGCATCCCTCGTGTGCTTCGCGATGGTCTTGTTCGCGAAGATGTTCGACATTCTCTGGAAGGGACATGCCGTGACGTACGTTCGATAGGCTTTCAGCAAGTCCGAAGCTGGGATGTGCCTCGACATGAGCGACGCGTACAACATGGATCCCGTCCCAGCGAGACGAGCCTCGAGGGCGTTGGCGAAGCAATGCGCCAAACGCTCGTTCGCGTCGCCGTACGGCGAGGAGTGTCGACGGATGTTCTCGAGCAATTCTTGCGCCCCGCCGCCGTCGAATCTCGACACGGCTTCTGCGCACCGCGTGAGCAATGTTCGGAGATCGACGACTTCTTTCGCATTAGCCCGTTGCTGCGGCGGAAGTTGCACCCGTTTCTTCGTCGTTCCTTTAGGCCTTCCCCGTCGCGCCTCCGGCGGCTTCTTGTACTTCGACTCGACTTCGTCTCCCGACGCGTTGGGACAATCCGGCGGGTCGTCGTAGAACCCGGGATTCATCTTCTCGCATAAAAACGCCTTATCGTACGACGCCTCCTCGGTTGGCTCGATCGCCTCTTCCTCGAAGCTCGCCAGCTGTTTGCGACAGCCTGTCGACATATCGTCGCCGTCGCCCCTGTTTCGACTTTTCTTACCGCAACTACTTCCCTGTCCGAATTCGACAAGAGAAGCGTCGACGACGTAGTTATCGGTGTTAGAGATTTCTTGGTTGTCCGGAGAGGCCAGCAGCCCATCGACAAATGTCGATGTGGCTGTCGACCCAACTAATCCCGGCGGAGAATCGATGTTGTTGTTTTCGGACAGGGCTCGTTGGCCTACGACGGTCTGCGTCGTCGGGACAGAGTCGGTGTCCCAGAGGGCGTCGTAGAAGTAGTTCTCACAGGCTTGTAAGGCCGAGAAGTCGTGGAACGACATGTGTAGTCGGTCGTCGGATTCGTCGTCGTCCTCCTCCATCAGCATCTGCTTGATGTAGTCGTAGACGCCGTCGAAGTAGTCGCACGGCACCGCCGGAGGATCGACGTGGCTGCTGTCGTTGACGGACGGATTGGGAATCCGGTCGGAACTCGGGTGGCTGAGATCCAACGTGTCGCTGCGGTCGGCGCGTGGCCGGAAAATGCTCCCCATCGGAGAAGAGAGCCGCCGGAGGTGGCTGAAAATGTGAGTTCTTGATAATATGATGGTATGTAGAATGTCTAATAAGGAGAGTTTCGTGTGGTAAGAAAATTTGACGATGAACAAGGAATACTATGATCAACACTATATATATATTCGATAAAAAAAATAAAAAAAACAAAAAAAAAACTATGTTATATAATATATATATATATATATATATAGTGCCTTAAGGAATCACCTGGAAATGAGTTTCTAATCGTGAACTCAAATTTCTAATGTCTTCGAATAGTTTCTCACATTTTCAAATTTTTTCTGCCTGATCTAATTTGGGCATCAAAATTCATATATATATATATATATATTTTTTTTTTTCACAGAATTTTAAAAATATTATTATTATATTAATATGTAATAGAAATAAAAATAAAAAATCTTAGTAGGACTACCATATAAAAATAATGACATTTGTTGTCCCGTAAGAAATGGCCTGTGTGGGAGTTAGATTTGTAATGCTTAAGTCACCTGCCACACATAATTTGCCTAGTGTGACTTTCCGGTCGGACTGCGTGATATAAAAACTAATAATAATGAGATTTGTTAATATATTATAAATTGTAAAACAACTTATAATATATAATATAAATTACTAAGGGACTATTTTAAAATAATGTTTTCATTTGCTATTTCTTAATCAAAATATTTTAATGTTTGGATATAAATTTTAATAATATTTTCATTTATTGTTATTGTTATTATTTGTTTTTTATAATAATAATAATAATAAAAAGGTAATACTATAAATTTTTACTTAAATATCAAATTAGAATATTTTTAATAACTAATCACTATTGATACGGTTCTTGGAGAAAGAAAATTCAACGGATTATTTAATGAATTTTGCATATAATTTAATATGTTTCTTATTATGGTAAGGAAACTTGAAGAAGGAGAATTATATCACAACTTTTATATATATACTCAGTGATTCGGTTCGTTAACAATTTATTCATTTTTTTATTTTGGTATGTCCCATAATAAAATATCTATTATTTTTTTTAAGTAATTGAACTATTTTACCTAACATTACAAATATCATTCTAATTTACAATATATTACACAAATATCGTTACCTTTATATTATACTCCATCCGTTCCAATATAATAATCTTGTTTACCATTTTTATCCGTCCTAAAACAATAGTCTTATTTCCATAAATAATCATATCACCGTAAAACTACCCCTATTTTTTTCATTTTTATTACACAATTGCCACTACTTTATACAATAATACACTCATAAGGACAAAAAAATCTTTTACCTGGAAGTATAATATTAATAGGGTTAATTTAGTCATTTTATCTTTATTTCTACCTTATCTCGTATGATACTAATATTTGTAAAATTCTGTGCAAAAAATAAATTGATATATAGGTATGGGACAAATGGAGCATTTAGTGATGCAATTCCGTATTGAAATAGAAAATTCAACTTACTATTATTTAATAAAAAAATTTTGTTACGATCTGATATGCTCCTATTTCTTTTGTTTGATTTTAACAGGTTTTCATGTCATTCAATTTATTATATGTAGAGAGAGACAGATTAATGAAACCTACACGGATTAAATAATATTCTACATTATTGATCTTTTATTTAATTACTAATTCAGTGTTAATAAAAATTAATAATGATTAAAATTGCATTGAATAAAATATATATAGTTGTAGACTATATATAAATTAATTAATTAGTCTTGGATCTAGCAATTTTGTTAGGTGTCACTCACATGGCATAGTTATAATTGAATATTTTTGCATCATTGATCATAAATGTTAGAAATTTTGGGGGAAAATAATGAGATTGTGTTATTGATTATCAAAATAAAGAGTCTACGGGCAATACGAAACAGAATCGATAGATTCAAGTCTAAGTAATTTAATCTATATATACGATCAAATCTAAAATATTTCAACAATAAATATTAATTTTTGCTCTGTCAATATATTTGGATCAAAACCCTAATTCTAATCAATTAGTTTAAAATTCATTTGAAAGAATAAAAATAAAAATGGTTTGTAGGCTATAAAGTCCCGGTATGGTCCCGATTACGATTATATAATTTACGATCATTCTGAATTTGTTGTGACCGTTGGATAATTAAAAAAAACCAACGAATGAAATTGTGAACATATATATATTTGACAATGCTAAATATTATTTCATTTCGGATGTGTAAATTTTGAAAAATAATTAATTGTTAGTATTTTTATACTTTGAATAGAATTATATTTTCAAATATAACGAGATATTTAACATAATTTTTTTTTCTCAACTATGATTTCATTTAATCAATTTTTTAAATACCCAAACTACCCTCTATTTCAATCCTTTGATTAACAATGAAATCTATTGAATGGTGCATAATAATTCAATATGGTCTTAAATTTCTTAAAATGTCAAGAATAATACTCCCACTATCCCACAACTGTAGTTTGGGTTGTGTTCGTCATGAGATTTAAAGAATACTGATATTATATTAGAATATTGATATTATATTGACAGTGGATAAGAGCGTAGGTAAAAGACTTTTTTGTCTTTGTGAATGTATTAGTGTAATGTGTAATAATAATGAAAAAATAAGGGTAGTTTTATAGTAATATTATTATTTATAGAAATTAGACTATTGTTTTGGAACGAACAAAAATAATAAACAAAATTATTGTATTGGGACGGAAGGACTACATTGTTTTTAGACACACAAGTTTTTGTCATATCCTTTTTATTATTATTATTATAGTTAAACCGTGTTTTTTTACTGTTCAAATGAGAATTTTTCTTCAAAAATAAATTATTTAATTTTATAATATAATATAATATATTAAGATAACCGTTCAAATCAAACACCAACAATAAAAAAAAAAAAAAAGAAATAAAACGACTAATCACAGTCGTGCGTTTGTGTTTCTAAATCAAGGTAATTGAAATCATTGTATTTCTTAATACATTTATGTAAATAAAATTAATTGAATATTTATTTAATTGAGTGGCCACTATGTGTATATATATATTACTCCATTTTATTAGATAATACATTAAAAAACTATTGATTCACTATCAAATCTGAATGCTTGAAAAATTGAAGTGGGTACGTGGGGTACATGTTTTGTTGTTTTTTAATATTAGTTTATTGGTGAATTATTGTAGGGTTAGTTAGTACATAATAATAATAATAATAATAATAATAATAATAATAATAATAATAATAATTTAATATTTAGTGATAAATAATCCCAAGGCTAATAATTGTAGCACGTGTTTTGTGTAGTGCCGTAAGTGATCCACTAATCCGCCACTAAACCCAAATGTTAGGGATTTTGTTTCATTACAATTTTAAAATTAATTTAGATTCGGTTTATTCCATTAAAACTTTTAAATATAGAAATAGAACCTTATTTTGTCTGATGAATGCTTCGGTGTATTTTTTATATTTTAAATAGTTAAAATTTAAATGAGTGATATAAGTTAATATTTTAAACAAAAAAAAGGCAAATTTAAATACAATATATTATAAATCTATTTATTATTTTTTTATTTTTATAATCTTAATAGGAATTGGGTATAGTATTTTATTGAAAAATTTATAAAGATCATATTAAAGATATAAAATAATAATAATAAAAAAAGGTAAACAGAACCGATATTTTTATAAAATAAATATTAAACATATAGTGATATTGTAATTGTAAAAATACTACATCTATAAGTTAAAATAAATAAAAAAGAATGATTTGTTTATAGCACGGCACAGCGTAGTAGAGAACGTATTTGTGTAGCCATTGAAATTCTGCCTAGCCTTCTTCAATTTCCTGACCTCATTCCCTAATATAGATATAGATATGATCAAAAAATAAAATAAAATATAATATACCCTAAAAGATAGTGTGCACACACATACACAGACCCAACCTTCATATAATTTTCTTTACTTCAGTACAAGAAAAGGGTTTTAAACCATTCAGAATTCATACATAGATAGATTCAAACTGATCTCTCTTTCAACATTGATATCTAAAATTTGAACTTGTGATTAATATTCTATAAGTATTAGTATTTTTCACCAAATTGAGTGGATAAGTTGAGAAATGTGCACTTGAAGCCAAAAAAACCTGTCCTTTTTAATACAGTGTATTAGTATTATTTTTACGACACACTTCTTTTAATATTGAGGAGCCCATGCCATGACATCCACTTTTGTCCACACATATGCCAATACACTACATTCTTATACTGAAATTATGCTTGGGATGTGATATACTAGTAATATTTAGGGAGAACATATATATTATAGTTTGTATTTTACAAAACTATTCTCTAAAATACAATTAAACCCAATGTAAACCTTGTGAGGAAGAAAAAGAAACCATTCTTGATAATATCTCCCAATAAATTCAAAACCCTTCCTAACTTGAAAGGAAACTATCATTACCATAACATATTCAAGGTAAGATAAACTTACAATTACTTGCACACTAACACAAATACATAAACAATCTTAGGTCAAATTTAAATGAAAATAAATTATAATAAAGTTATTATAACTATATATATATATATATATATATAAATAATGGCATGGGGGCAGCAGGTCTAATTTGTCTTTGGCTGAATTAAGGCAGCAAAGTGTTGTCAGAATAGGGAGCACTTCATGTGGACATATTCATCAGTAGTCACTACAAATACATTAATCCTAAGTTGCAGTTATGTTCAAACATAGGAATGAATAAACATTCTCACATAAAAACTATTTTTTCGAGCTCCAATTCACACTCATTTACACACCTTATAAAAATTCATGCCCTTACTATCTAAACACAAAGTCTCATGTCAAATAATCAAGACAGATCACAACATGTGGGGAGGAGCAATTCAAGTTCCAAATCATATAAAGATACATGTTTGACTCGACTCGGATCATATCTTAACAAACATAATTAACGACCACATTAGCAAATGATGTAAATGTAATTATTGAAGCAAAGAGTGATGGGGACACAGAGGACATGTTGTCTGTGCTTTATGTGCTCTATTTGGAGATTAGACAAAGAACTTGTCCCCAAACAAGTTAGCAAATGCCATAAAAATAGGACCCTCAAATCACTTCATCGACTAAAGTGTGTTCTGGGGATTGCTTCTTCTCAAATAGATATGTAGAATCACTCTGTTTTCTTTGAGGGAATTTTCATTTTCAATTTTTTTTACTATACAAATATCCAACATTCTAAAAAAAAACAAATTATTTCTTCTCACAAAATATCGCATACAATCGATACTTAAAACACAAAGGCTTGATTCTTTTAGCAATTATGTTTTGTTACTATGTAACCCAGGCTTCCCAAGAAAAATACATTATTCCATCAGACAACACATCACATCAAACCACTATATAAACACAAAACACAAATACAAACCAAACACACCCATCTCTCTATCAGATTTAATTAGGTTTTTTCAATGACGAAACTTGTCACACAATGGAAAGGAAGGGGTAACGATCTCTCCATGAAAAGGGGCATTCTATAAGAACTTAATCAATAGGGAAACAATAATCAAATATCAATCCAAAAGAGAAGCATAGTAAGACAACAATTAGATAGCACAAATCTGAAACTGCTTACCCTTAAATTAAATTTCCGAGCAACAAACTATCATAGGTTAATCAATCCACAGAGCATCACCAACATGTAATCTTATTTCAAGATGAAAAAAAAGGGAGTCATATAGCAGCATAATAAATGTACCTCAAAAGGTGAAGATAAAACAAAATCTTAGGAAGAAATATAATATAAGCCTATCCCTGCCTTTGCAGGCAAATAATGCACACAGAAGAGAGTAGCCACAGATATGATGCAATGAAGAGGTGTTGCTGAAAGAAATGTCGACTTCACAGACAGAAGTTTCACCTCATGATACTGAAAGGAGGAGGCCCGATTTTTCCGATGACCCAGAAGTTAGAACACAGCTGATCAAAAGTGCGCCAAGCTGTATATAAGAATCCACGCAAGCTGAATAACAAGGCAAGTTATAGCTGTGTTTAGAAGAAACCTCACAATACTGTAGGCATGCATATATGTGATGGAAGAAATGCAAAGTATACCAGAAAGAGGGATGCTGAAGCGAAAAGTCCCTCTTGGAGAAGCGCTCCATGGCCTCCGAATTCTTCTTCGTCAATTTTTAGTATGTGAGCATAATATGCATAGATAATGCCGGTTGATAAGACGAGAAACCTGAACCAAAAATGAGTAAGAGTGAACAGAAGGATTGCAAACCCCAGTAAATGTAATGACTAATGATATGCATGGTAAACTCTTCCGCTCAACACAGATAGACAAACAATGCTGTTTGATTAAACGTACTGAGGAGGGCAATAAATTAGTTTCATTAAGAGAATTGTCGCAATGCTGGAGTTAACATAAACGATAAATTCTTGAACATAGGTTTATACATCCCGTTCGAGAATTGCTATTATATATGCCTATCTGCTCTCAATGTCCATTGATAACTACTACTGGAAGTCACAAAAAGGCCATTATACATGAAAAACATCATAAGAGAATAGAAAGAGAGGAGGCTCTTAAGCCAAATGCACTTAATCGATTTTTTTTAGTGTAAACCATTAAATTTTTTCATAATTCTAATGTTTTGAGTATTATCATAAAGAGTATATTCATAATTCAAATGCTTTAAATTTAGAGCCATAAATCTATATCATCTCCAGGTTCTAATTAACCACTATACCTCAGAGTTGTATGTTAAATAAATATATTTAGAGGGTGTTACATTAATCACAGTTTCACAACCAAATGAGATTTCCAGTTAGCAGATGGGTTTGGGATAACCATTTATTAGCTGAATATTTCTATTATTTGATCATATAATTTTGTTTCAACTTATCATCTTTTGTTCCCCTGCCCAGGCCAAAACTAACTTTGATGACATAGAAAACCATTGCAAGTAATAACTTCAAAAGAGACGTATAGAATCATTGCTCAGTTAATTTAATTAATTTTTTCCCCTTTCTTTCTTTTTATCTTAATTCGGCATGCCAACAATTTGCCCTTCAAACATTAGTTTTATTATCAAAAGAAAAGGGTATCTACAAAACATTTTATGCAACACTATACAGATCTAATAAAGAAGGGTTGAGAAACCCAAAAGAAGTTCTTTGATAAAGTGCATCCATGCAGAGTGTCAAGATATTTTTTTAAATCTTGTGGCAGAGCATTCATAGTTGAATCTATTGTAAAAGGTTCACACTTTAGCAGTGACACAATATCTCAAAAACAAAAAGATTTTTGGAGAATGTGCATGATAATACCCAAATCACAAAAAGATTAAAATAAAAGTTGGACATTACATCATCAAATAAAAAAGGGGAAAATGTAGGTTTGAATACATATATGTCATCACTTATCATTTTAATCATGCATCTGACTTGTAGTCTTCTCCAGTGCTAGATTCTTGCACGTGCACAACATGCGAGTTAAACTAGAGCCACATGGCATTTTCCAGCCGCTAGAGGTATATGTGAAAGTTTGTGTGAAGTATTGATTATTAGTTTTGTTACAAGGAAATTGAATGAATGGACAAATTAGCTTTAGTGATAGAAAATGCCATGTGGCAGGGCCAGCTCAGCTCACATCTGAAGCATGTACAACAATCTTCTATTGGGTGACCTTTTTAGTGACTGAGTTAAATAAAAAAAGTATTTCCATATATATACCAATTACATGACCGAAATAAAAGAAGAGTCCCTCGTACAGGATCAGATTTACATTTTTCCCAATAAAGTATATGAACACTGAATTAAGACAACGGAAAGTAATACAAAGTCAAAAAATGCAGTAACATGAGGCAATCTGGCTAATTAATGCAACGAACCAACTGAATTTGACAGTTCAATTGTCAGGTTTTTATCGAAATAATATCATGCAATATTTATTAGCAGCATAAAGCAGAAATTTCAAAGTGTGTAATTTATAGCACATTTTCTATCACTGGTCACACAAAGATTGGGTATCAGCATACATGGAAGGCTAATTTGATGATGCCAGTAGTCTACTAAAAGTATAAAAGCCATCTCAAACTCTTAACAATCTTATATAACATAGTCATTTTGTCTCCAGAATGAAAAGCTCAGGTGGACAGACAAAAGGAGACGGAATAGTAGAAAGGGGGGAAGTAGTGACGTGCTAGTTGTTACTGGCACTTTTTGATCTAACTTCCATTTTGAGAGATGCACAACACAAACAAGAAGCAATAACAAACAGAATCGTATAGTTGACTTACAGGAGAAACCAAATGCCCCCAACCAAAGGAATTGCACCCCAAATCAAACCACATACAAGGCCCAATCCTTGTCTGATCCAATGCAGAACATCCCCAAGCTGATCCTGTAACAGATGCACATTCACAGAAATTTTGTGTTAACTAGATACTGCAGTTCAAGTGTCAGAATAATAATAGTAATTAAAGGCAGCAAGAAAACTTCCCTTGCTGATTCCCATAACCCAAAGCTAATATATTGAGGAAAATTTTCAACTTCTTAGCTCTAATCATTGACATGAACAGATGCAATAAGTGAGTTACAATAGTGACCCTCAGAACATTCATCTTTACCAATGGATCAAAATCCTTAGGATTTTCTGGTTGTGAAAAAGTTTGTATTAACAATAATATGTTCTAGTGCAAACAAATATCCTTTTAATATATATTCTAATATTTAATTACAGTACTTCATAATCATTAAAGCCCCTTAGAAAAGAACTGAATCATTATATGGGAACAGATTTTCAAACATTACTTTAATAATAACATGGTATAACAAGAGACACATATCTTCTTTGTAGTACGAGGCAAAGCAACTTTTTTGCCTTTCTGTATATCTTTTGAAATATAAACAAACAAAAAGAAAGGTAGAACTAAGAACCATGCCTAATAAAAATTGTAGTTTACGCCAACTTAAAAGTTAAAACAAGAGTTTGATCAAAAGTATGCAATACACGAATATCCTGCGAAGAAGTTTTTATAACCGTTGTCGTTTCTTGTGCCTGATCAAGCACATATCAGTGGCCCCACAGCTATACATACACGCACTCATATAACTAAGTTTTAGTAATTGGAATATTGATAAGTTCAATATCGTAATTTAATTCTACACCAGTATCAAAAGTAATACAACAGAAAACAGATCAAAGTTTATAAGTTAGCAACACTTTCTCCTTAATGATTACCTTTCAGCTGAAACACATCTTACCACGTGTTATCCAGTAGCCACGTGAAGTATTTCCTATATAAGACTACGATAAATAAATTTCCACCCTATCGCTAGTCATTTGTAGGTGATTGGAATCAATAACCACTTTCCTATTCGGTATTTGACTAAATTGTCCGATTGTCGCTAAACTAACCATTACTTTGTCCCTTTTGTGCCCCTCAACAATATAACATCCTTAAAAAGGTTACAGTACAATCTTCCAAACCTTCGATCCATTCAAGTCAATTGAAATTAATGGAATGAAGGACACATTCACTTATTTACTCAGAATTTATTTACTAAGTTGCCAAAACAGTCTGAATCTATCAATTGTCTGATTCTGACCCCTCGACAAAATAATGTAACTATATATTCCCTAAAAATAAAAGCCATGATCTTTTGATCCTCGTCCATCTAAGTTGTTTGAACTCCAAGATAGAAGGAACCACTTCTTTACTTTGCATATATGTGACCCACTCACAAGGATCCATTATATCTCTAGATTGCCCTGATTCAAGAACACACTGCGAATATGATTCTGTTGACTCAACCCTTGCCAACAAAACATTCAATCTGAGTGCGCCTGGATAAAAAATTTCCTTCTTCAAATCTAAGTTTCGTAAAGCTACAAACAGTTCAATGGAATCTAGTCAGCTTAAACTTTTCACAAATTCCCTAATCGTAACCAAACTAACCTACAAATCTGCAAACTCTCATGATATTTCACCTCAGAAATAGTCTTCGTGCCAATCCAACAACAGAAAGTAACGAACTGAGCTCAGAACTAAGCAAAAATCAAACCAACAAAAAATAAAACAAATCCGCGGCTTGGAATCACAAATTTTGGGGAAAATAGAAACCAAACCTTATCCCACGAAGCATCAGGATCTAACAGCTTTGCCAATTTAAACGGAGACAAGTGACCATTCTGATGCTGATGCTGCTGTTGGTTCAATTTCGCAGATTTCCTTTCCCGCATCATGAACTAGAAACCAAAACCCTTTTTAAACTCCCCCAAAAACCCTAGAGGTTCGTCACAAAGCTCCAGGCAGATACAGTCGCAGTGAAGCTCGGCAACGACGACGATCCGCGAACTCGGTGCGTAGAGAATCAAGCAGTCCAATGCGATTCAGGAGCAAAAACAAATCGACCTAAATTTGACGTGGGAAAAAGAAGAATATTTATTTACATATGTGGATGGACATGGACGGCGTTTCGTGAAAGCCTGCCGAATGTTAACGGCGTTAGGTCTTTTTGTGTAAATTTATTATACCTCCTAAAAACTTTTTTATAAAACTAATTATAATGATAAATAAATGAATATACATTTTATTTATTTGTATTATTAAAATTATATTATTTATAAATAATATTCATATTATAATATAATACATTATTGAAATATAATATTCTCTTAGTTCTAGTAAATGTCACGTTTATCTTTTATTTAATTGTATTTAACAGTTTTGTACAAACGTCCTTCTATTACTATTACCATATATTAGTAAAGTATTTTTACAATTTTTTTTAATTTGTACTATATTTTATATAATAATTAATATTTAAAAATAAAAATAAATAAATAAGACACTAGGGATGTAGTATTACAATGCCCATAACACTATTCATCTAAATATATATATATCATATCTTATTATTAATAATTTGTTAATTTACATAACTTAAAATACTTGCTAAAGGGTCATCTGATCGGGGAGGAGGAGAGTACTAATTTAACAAGATAATGATTGGGGAAAAATTCAATATTTATTTCAACAAAATTAATCATTTTTAGTCTCGTTTAAAAATAACTATCAAAATTAGTTTAGAAAAAAAAAAAAAAAAATTAATCAATTTGGTCACACTCATAATTAAAGATAATAGATAATAGCTAACGTTAATATTTTTGAAAAACAATAAAAAAAATTTGAATTGTCATCTTATAAGGGATTAAACTAAACAAAGTCCGTGTCCATTAAATCATTCTCACATAGCCGTGTTCTCTTTAAGGTGCTTTTGCTAGGGTGTTTGATTTTTAATTAAAATTTAAATAATAAAAAATTTAAATTGAAATAATGGTATGATATATAAAATAAATAAATAAATAAATATTTGATTTAATATTTTTTAGAAAAACTTTTTATATAAATAGTAAAAATCAACAAAAATCTTTCAAATAAATACATTCTAAAGGTGTGTTTGTTTGAGATTGGATTATAAATATACTATTCATTCTATTTTTTTAAAAACATCAAATCAAACACCTGTTTTTCATTTTTTTATATTATACTAAAAATCAATTTTGCATTCAAAACATCACATCAACACCTATTTATATCACATCGTATAACTATTCAAATTCACAACTTTTACTATTCAAATTTCAACTCAAAATCCAAGCCGTCGTGCAAACACACCCTAAATTTATATTCATAATTCCACGAACCTCCTCCACGGTCTTCTCCGTGCATCTTTCATCCGCCGCTTCGGCAAATAAAATTTACGGGTGAATTTGAAAATAAAAATTAAAAACCGTGTACAAAATAGTTTGCGATAAATATTTTGCAAGTAGAAAATGAAACCACTGTGTATTTTTAAGTTTGACACTTTAAAAATTGCTTTGACACATTGGATTAGAGTATGATAGAAAGACTTATATTTTCTTTATCCACTGTAATTGCTCTAGGTGAGAATTTTCTTTATCCAAAAATTTTTGCAATGTTCACCATGAAAATCCACAAATTGTTCTTAATAAAATTTCACAAAAGTCAACCCAAAATTATTTTAAAAAATTAGTATAGTTTTGTCTCTTACAAAATATCTCATTCAACTCAAAGGTATTTAAATACAAAACATAAACCAAACCCAAAAAAACACAAAAAAAGAATCAGCTACACTACTCTAGAGCAATGAGATGAATAAAGATACCAATGAATCTTCCTTAACATAGATATGATTAGGTCTCATCACAATTAGACTAGTGAGACTGCAACAAACAACAATTCAACTCTTTCTTCAATTTCTTAGCCAAACAAACTACATCTTTAAGCACAGTGTCTACAAACTAGATATAAATTAATTACCATCAAACTCATGTACCTGGAAATTAATTTTGCTTCTAATTTCAGCTAATCGTCGATTTGCTAACTTCTGTACAAGTATTTCGATAGGGGAAACTTCAGACTCCTTGCGACCTGCAACCCATTTTCAAAGCATCACAGTTCAAGAACATCGATAGTGATAATAAATAGTCTCACACTCACTCACATATGCTATATAATGACTGGACTGGGATTGATCTTGATTTATTATTACCTTTAAAGCTAGATCTTCTGATACAGAAGATCGATAGCGTGTTGATCCCTCGAGTGGACAGCTTCCTCCTTTAGTAACAAAATTTGCACTGCATAGACTGGATAATTGCAACAGGACATCGGGCATTAATTCACTCTCGTAACCCTGATCTTCTATCCCACCATTTTTAAGCTCTCCGTCATCAGCTAAATCCTCGGCGACAGAAGTGATACATTGAAATATGGCCAACAATCTCTCTAATGGGAAAGTTCCCGGTCCTTTCATGATCGATTCTTGGCTCTTAGTTTCCTTCTGGTCCATTGATTTTTCAGAGGCCCTGAATGTAAACAGAATGAAAACTAAATTAGGTACATTCACATATCAGTATTAAATTACCACAGAAGCTATTCGCAAATTCGGGAAGACAAGTAAAAATGCTATCAGAAGTGGAAGTGATACATTTTGTAAATGAAGAGAACAGGAAATATGCTTCCCCATAATGGATTCCCTTGGCAAAATCAAACATTATTCAGAAAAATGATCGACTTTTATGGAGAAAAAAGGTAAGTCTAATTTTTGTACTGTAAACACCGCTATAAGAAATCAATGTGCCAATCCCTTACTTTCTCTTTCTCTTTCGATTGCTCGATCCTCCTGTTGAATCAAAGAGTGAAGCATCAAGGGTTGCGGGATTTCTTGAAGCAAGAAAGGCAGAAATCAGCAGATATTTTGCGGAAGTCGACATCTGGAAGTCAATCTCATCTACTGTTTCAGAAGATCGTCTAATTTTCGCAACACTTTTTCTCGTAGCCCTGTCTTTTTCGGCCGTTGCTTTAAGTAAAGGATCAGAAGAAACCATAAACGTCTCATTCAGGGAATGCATGATAAACGGTTGAAGATAACTATACAATTTTCTCTTCGTATCTTCGTTGGGAACAGTCCTCGGATCCGAAAGAGGCTCACAGTACCTCTTAAATAAAGGTGCAATGGCAGTAACTAATTCATCAACGCGCCTCGTTGTTCTATAGAAAGGCCTCAAAACTAAGCTGTTCAACAGAAATAAAAAGCTATCAGTTTGTAAAGTGTACAAGAACAGCAAACTAAGCAAAGATCAATGATAAGAAAGATGATAAACATACTCAAGAAAAGATGAATATAACTTGGGATTCGATTGATTTTTCAGCAATATATTGCGCAAATCCTTCTCTGTGTATTCAGGAAAATGGATTGGAAAAGGCTCTGCATAACCTGTGTCTGATTGAAATGTATCCAGAGAAGTTCTACTGAGAAAAATCATTCCAACCTCAGGCAATTTCAGAATATCATACAAATTGAATAAAAGAGGCATTATACTATCGCTCTTATCCCATTCTCTAACAACTTCCACATGATCAAATATCAGGTAGATCATTGTACCATTGACCTGTGAAGATGGCTTCTTAGGGCCAGATTTCTCCAGATTCTGTTTCAGATTCTCTATGCGACTGCTCAAAGCTTGTCGCAGCAAATTAACAAAATCTGAGGGCTTCTCGCATCGCTTAGCGCTTGAATAACCAGTGCTCTCATTCTTCCTGTGGAGCAAAATCTGATTCAAGATTGATTCAAAGAGGATTCTAGGACTGTAGCATGTGATGAAGCTACAGTACACGAATGGGCGTTTCAAGTGATTGAAGATGTTAAGCGTTAGGCTCGTCTTTCCTGTCGAAGCAGCTCCGTAGACGAACAATGGAATCATTGGAGAATTTAAAGGACCTAAATAATTGATCAACTCTAGAATCTGCACTTTCCTTCCGGGGAACGATGTGATTAACTCGTCCAGGGTGATGGATTCGCCATGGAAGACCAGATCCTTTACAGACGAAGTGTGTGTGGATTTAGATGGTTCCTCTGCGCATTTCGAATTCGGCGTACCGCTAGAAGAGAGCCTCGTGGTTCTTCTACTGGTTCGCGGAGTCTCTTCTTTAACCATTTCTGGAATCCGCTGGAAGTAGTGCAACAATGGAGGATTTGGTCACTCTGTAGTCTGTACGGTACTTCCGATGGAAGAAGAGGTTAATTAGGTTAGGGTTTGTCGTTTCCCGCCTTTTCTACAATCCGCCTATTTACGAATGCCCTTTTTTTTTAATAAAATTATAAAAATGTAATTAATCCATTAAATGATTTAACGCTACATAATATCTAAAAGTTATATTTTTACTTAATTAAAAAATAACTTTTTTTTGTTTAAAATAATACTTGAAAAATATATATTTTCTATTCAGTCTATATTTATGTACTAGTTTATTAAGAAATATGAATATTATATGTACAATAGCTAGTGTGATAAAAATGTAGGCTATGTGTTGTAAAATGTATCATTAAAAACTACCGATTTTTTTTAAAGAACTGCTCAGAACACATAAGCCTTAATTAATTTTGTGCCATCAAAATTATTTTATTTTATTATCTCAATTATTTCGACACAACAAATATTGTACTTAGAGTTTAATTCTAAGGAACCAAATTGCGAAAAACCCGCGTAAGAGCAAAATGCTACGATAATTTTCCTAAACGGCTTTCGACATTTTTATTATCACCAGCGAAGGACAAAGTACGAAAGAGTATGCTCTACAAGACTCTAGAGAAAAATTACGGACAAAAATCGACACCAAGACAACAAGAAGTTCAAGTTCGAGCAAGTACGAATATAAGCGTCACATCACGTCGCGCAAAAAACACGAAACTTAATTAGAACAACAGCCACCTTTGGCATTTCCAGAAGTCGAATCAGCAACATTAATGGTCCTACCTTGGCCGGGCACGTTGGATGCCGCAGCAGCAGCTTCTTGGGCGGCCAACGCCTTTTTGCTCACAATCTGGTGTATGTTTGTGAGGATCGTGTGGAACGCCTTCTCGACGTTGTGGGCATCCAATGCCGACGTTTCGAGGAACGCCAGGCCTTCCTTCTCGGCCAGAGCTCCGCCGTCGTCTTCCGACACTGCCCGGAGATGGCTCAGGTCGGACTTGTTCCCGAGCATCATGATGACTATGTTTGAATCTGCGTGGTCTCTGAGTTCCCGGAGCCATCTTCTAACATTTTCAAAGGTTTGCCTCTTGGTGATGTCGTAGACGAGGAGGGCGCCGACTGCTCCTCTGTAGTATGCACTTGTGATGGCTCGGTACCTCTCTTGCCCGGCAGTGTCCCATATCTGGGCTTTGATTGTCTTTCCTTCTAGCTGCATTGTGCGGCACACACATTAATGTTCATCGAAAATCAGAGTCGTGTTCTTTCGTGAGTTTTACGACATATTTTTACTATTCAATTTTATTTTATTTTTTCCTTAAATGATATCAAATCAAACAATATTTTTCATTTTATATATAATACTATATCACATCAAACAACTATTCAAATTTAACTTTTTACGATTCAAAAATCCAAACCCACAAACACACCCCAGATGTTTTTCGAACTACTTACCGTCCTAACAAGCATATTTGACAAGAACTATCCGTTTACATATACATTTTTTAAAATTTTACCACTATTCATTAATAATAGTAGCTTAAAAAAATAAAAAAGAAAACGGCATCAAATAATTTTTTTACTATTTCAAAATTTCCAAAATTCCAGAAGCTTCAATGTAAAGTGTAAGTGGAGAACATTTTTCAGAATTGTGCAATATGGATTTCTCTTCAAACAGGTTTTTTGGTAAATTTTATTGCACATGAATCGCAAGCTACGCTAATAAATCATGTTCTCGATGAACTAGCATTGGTAGTTTCTAAAAGCCAATTACATCGCTATAACTTTCACATGATACATTGAAGAAAATTCCAAAGTAGCTCTAAATGCCTCGATAGGTTTGCAATGTTAAAAAGATTTGTTTGCAAAGACAATCTTTAAGTCACAAACAGTGTGATAAGGATTGATTTTGTTACATGAAAACGATATGATATTCATCCAATCTTTAAGCAAAACTCAATAACAACCACACTAATTCAACTTTCAATAAAAGATAGCCGAAGAGGTGTACCCGCATCAAAGCAACATTACAACACTAGTAAGACCAAAATACATGCATAAAAGTTATATTCTATTCTGTGACTAAGCTTAAGATCTTCAGTAAAGTGACATGCTTTATAAACTTTACTTAATCAAACCCAATAATGGCCGCCCTTGCAACTACAGAGTTGGCTCGACAGCCGCAATAGCTTGTTTGATATTCAATTTGATAAACTATCCACAAAAGCACATGAACACATAAATGCATACCAAAATTTAGGATTTATAAAGCTAATTTCAATATGCAGACATTTGAAATTGAATCCATCAATGTGCTACTGAATCAATACATATAGATGAATGGTGATTGGTGACATCGAATACATGTACACCTTGAAAAATCATATTATTAACCATGTGTCCATCGAATTTTTTCAGTTTTTACATAACTTCTATGCATACAAAAAGCACATATGCCAATACACACATATGTAAGCCAGACTTAGCACTTGAAAATTATTAGTATGTACGCAGATCTTTGAAATACAATTCATTAGTTATGCAACAATAGTGTCATTTATTGATAAATGTTGACTTTGATTTAAATAATAACTTAAAAAAATACATTTTTTATTATTTATTAACCATTTGCACTACCCAATTATTCAAGAACGGTTTACATAGAGTTGTTTGAAATTTTAGAAATAGTAAAAAGTTGTCTGCTTGACTGACATAGGTATATGATGTGATATTATTTATTTATTTTTTATAAAATTACTAGTAGCAAAAATTAGATAAGTGTGTCCATTAACAAAGCTTCAAAACAGCACAAACATTTAGCTCTTCACACAAATTTTCCCATCGGTAAACAAAAGCTACAAGCCACTCTGCTATATACCTCTTAGACATGCAGATAATGCTCTAGAACGCACATGAACGTGGTCTAATTTCTATAGCGCAAAAACATTCCAAGTCTACAGAATCAATATCCTATGCAGATTTTTGCATATTTCAAAAAAAAAAAAAAAACGCTAAATGTTAAAGAATTCCGCACCTGAAGAGTCTTCGTAGCAAACTCGACACCGATGGTGGATTTAGACTCCAGACAAAATTCATTTCTGGTGAAGCGAGATAGGATGTTGGATTTCCCGACGCCGGAATCGCCAATCAAAACGATCTTAAATAGGTAATCATACTCATGATCCACTCTGTTCGCCATCTCCTCCACACAGCTTCAATTTCCAAAAATTTTTCCTTCAATCTCCGCCGCGCAACTCGTCCAGGGAAACCTCAGAACCAGAAACCAACAAAATTTTCCAGATCTAACAACAAACCACAAAACCGATGGCGAAAAATAAAACAAAACAACAACAACAACAATATTTTACAAAAAACGATATAAAAACATCACGAAAAATCGCAGAACATCAAACGTGGCCTGCATATCTATCAACGGAGACAAACGCAATAAACAAATCAAAAAAAACCAGAGAAGAACAAGTCTGCGAGAAATGGCAAATGGGCGACTAATCTATTGCATCGTCGATCATGTCTGTGCCAAAAATTGAAAATGGGAATTTTATTTTTTATTTTTTAATTTCCGCGGTAGACACGGAGATTATTTTTATACCCTTCAGCCCAACAATCATTCTTAACACATGCTAGGGTTAATTTCAGACTATGATATTACGAAAATGCCCTTCATTTGCCAGCTTTTTTGTTTTCCGTTTTATTTTCTTTACTTGTCGTGCATGTTTTATTCTTAAATATTATGAGTAAATCTATTTAATTTTAATTTAAATAATATTTTTTTATGTGGTATTTTATTTAAAAGTAATAATATTTTATTTTTATTATAAAATATCGTGTTAAAAATAATATTCAAATTTAAATTTAGCTAAAAATCAAATAAACTCAAAATAATATTTAATATTTTGTTTAGAAAAAAATTAAAAAAAATTATTAAAATAATTGATACTTATTGTAATATTTTCCAAAAATAAGATATATATTTGATGTAATAGGTTTTGTAGAGAAATAATATTAATGAAATATAGCAAAAATTTCTAAATGTATACATGAAATATATTTTATAAAACTTATTTTATATTAAAAATATAAAATTAAAATATATCTCAACCTTTTTATTGACTTTAAAAATAAAATTAGAATACAAAAACACCCCTCGTGTTTTTTTTTTTTTTCTTATATTACACTTTTATCAACTTTTCCGTTCGATAATACAATAATCAAATTGTGTATATATAGAAAAATATATATATATATTTATAATTTTAATGTGAAATAATGTGATATATTATTAATATGTTAACTAACATTCACATCTATTAAAAAAAAATACAAAAATACAAAAAATAAAAAAAAGATATCTTATTAATCATTATCCATTTTTTTTTAGGTAAACTGTTTTTTAATCCAATAACTGGACCTTGTCATTTTAGTCCAATAAGTAAGCCTGTAGCAAATTATTTGCATAAATGAAAAATTTTAGTCGTTACGGAATTAAAAAAACAGTTTACCCAATTTTTTATAAATATACATTGTTTCGTTAAATTTGAAATTATTTATTAATTTTAAGATGAAATTCACTTATCACCTAAGTAAATAAAATTATATATATTCAAATGGTTTGTTTGATCAAAAAAAATATATATTTAAAAAAATTATTATATTACATATTTTTATTATTTTTATATCAATTATACGTTACTTTTCATAAAACAAACAAATTCAAACTCTTTATTTGTCTATAAAATTATTTTATATTAATTGTATTATATATATTTTTGTATTGTATATTTGTTTTATTCAAAAGAATCATTCCTATTAACTATATTTATTAAGGGTTATATTTTAAATGTTTTCAAATATAATTAAATTTATATGTTTTATCACATTTATATTACAAGGCGATTAAAGTGTTAATAACAAACTGTTATTATTATTATGACATTTGTCTATACAGTGTTTATGTTATTGTTTCTATCATGTCATTTTTATTTTTATTATTTTTAAAAATATATATATTCAAAAAATTAATATATAACATTTTAATTTTAGCTAACTTAATTACTTATATTATTTTTAATATATAATTATTTGTAGTGTATTAATTTTATTAACATATTTTAAATTATTTTTATATTTTTTAAAAATTTTTATGTATTTACATAGTCAAAAAATAACGGAGTAATTATTATTATTATTATTATTATTATTATTATTATTGTGTAAGATGTTAATTCATTGATTCGATCAATAATTTGTGTAGCATGATAAGCTGTTAATTGCATACTTTATTGGTTTGTACGGTTGGCGGCATTTAGTCATTGTATTATTAATTACTCTCTCAGTCCACTCTCATCTAATATTATGTATTACCGTAGACACGGAAATTTAGGTAAAATATAATTAGTAATTAATTAAGAAATGTATTAGTAAAAATAATTATAGATTAAGATTAAGATAAGTAAATAGTTTAATTAAAATTAAGAAAATTTAAAATAAGATTAAAGTACATAATTACATTTCCAAAAAAAAATGACAAGTTATGTGGAACGGACGAAAATAGAAAATAGGGACAAATTACGTGGGACGGACGAAAATAAAAAATAGGAACAAATTATGTGGGACGGAGGGAGTATTTTTTTTTTTTTCTAATTTTAGATCCATAATATTTTAGATAATATAAATTAATAAATTATTAATAATTTAAAATATATATTATTTTATTATATTTTTAAATAGTATTATTAGTAAATTATTAAAAATAAAATATAATATTATTTTTTTTACATTGTTCTTTTAAATATTTTGACATATGAAATGAGTATAAATTTACAACGGTTCATTTTTAAATATACCCCTATATGATTATTGAAACGATTTTCGGACATAACTTAGGGTGTGTTATTTTTCAATTTTTTTTAATATATTTTTTCGAAAAATAATATCTTACGTATATTTATTATTTTTATATTATCTACATAATTTTTTATGTTTTACGTAAAAAAAAATATATATATATATATATCTTGAAATTATTTTACAAAATAAAAACATCCTTAATAACTTGCGAATTACATCATACTTCTTTCATAAATTTTGTTTTGGTTTAGATGAGCATGCAAACCGAGTCACATCAGCATTTTGTCCCAATCACTACATATACATATGATCAATATAAAACAATACATATTTAATAGCGAATGATATAAATTTAGTCATATATTTTGATAATATTTACTCCTTCAATCCCACATAATTTGTCCCTATTTTCTATTTTCGTCCGTCCCACATAACTTGTCATTTCTATTTTTGGAAATATAATTATGCACTTTAATCGCATTTTAAATTTTAAATTTTATAATTTTCTTAATTTTAATTAAACTATTTACTTATCTTAATCTTAATCTATAATTATTTTTACTAAATAATAATTATTTTTACTAATACACTTCTTAATTACTTACTAATTATATTTTACCTAAATTCTCGTGGCTACAGTAATACATCCATATTACATGGGATAGGGGAAGTAATAATATAATTCAAACATAATACAATATATTGATTTGAACTCAACAAATATATATTTAAACAAACACAAAATTTGACAGCATATAATTCAATGATTTAATATTGTGTTGTGATATACTTACTCCAGTCTCATATTTATATATCTATTTGCTTTTTATACGAAATTTTATAAATATTAGTATTATATCGGGATAAAGTAGAAATAAAGATAAAAAAACTAAATAAACCCTATTAGTATTGTATGATATAAATGTAATGACATTTGTGTAATATATTGTAGATTGAAAAAGTATGTGTAATGTTAGTTAGATAATAAAATTACTAAAAAAAAATGAAATTAATACTTTATTATGAGACGGATCAAAATGAAAAAATGAAAAAAATGGTTTAAGGAACGAGTATGGAATATTAGATTGTCTACCTTAATTATGTGTATTGATTGAGCGGCCTATAATTTTCATGAAGCATTTTGACATATCCGCAAATTTATTGGCATGCTAAAAATTTGTTTCGCCTTAAAAACAATAATAAATAAATAAATAATTATGTTGTTAATATAAAAGTAAAATTATATTCAATGTTAATTCTTACGAAAGAATAATGTATAGATATATATTGATAACGACGGAAAAGAATTTGGTCAATCAAATCATAAATTACAATCATTATAAATTACATCTTTATAATAATAAACTATTCCCTCTGTTCACGGATAAAGTATACATTTACTTTTGGCGCGGGGTTTAAAAAATAATAGTATTTTAATTATAGTGAGTAGGTAAAAGTAGTGTAATAACATTTTTGCCCTTACTTTTTAGTATAAAAGTAATGATGTGATGTAAAGTAAAGGTATTTGTGGGAAAAAATGGGGTATTTAACGAAATGGTTACTTTGTAATTAGACGTCCCAAAATATAAATATGTATACTTTGTAGCTGGATGGAGAGAATACATATTTATAATAATAAATTACCATCTTATTATTTTTTTTAATGACACAAAGAAAAGTAAAAAATAATTATGATGATAGAGAGAATAATAAAAATAATTTCATCAAAATAACATAACATGTGGAACCCCTGTACCACCCAGACATCCCTTATTTTGATACTATGCTAACTTCATTTATAAAGAAAATATTTCTTCCGTCCCATAACAAAGTATCCATTTTTTCATTTTAGTCCGTCCCGTAACAAAGTATCGATTTCTTTTTTTTTTTTAGTAACTGTACTTTCTACCTAACATTACAAATACCCTTACAACTTACAATATATTACACAAATGTCATTACCTTTATATAACATATACTAATAAGGTTATTTTAGTCATTTATACTTTATTCCTACTATATCCCAATATAATACTAATATTTCTGAAACTACGTGCAAAAAGCAAATGGATACTTAATTTCGGGACGGAGAGAGTATTTTTTAATGACAAAAAAATATAAAGGGTGTATTTTTTTTTTATTACTTCAAAACAAAAAAATATTATTATTCAACTGTTATTAATTTTAATAAAAATATATTATTTTTTTTATAAAATATTATATCAAATTAATATTTAAATAAAAATTTCAATCAATATTTAATTTAAAATCATCTCACATACGTACATTAATCAATAAAATAGTGCTTATAGTAACTATGCTTTTTATATATCATTAAAAATATATTTATAATTTACAATATATTATACATATATTATTATATTTATATCATAAATACAACATTGATAAAATTACAAAAAAGATATTTAGATACATCTTTAAAGGATTGAGAGAATATTTTCAAGTATTTTCTCATCCCCATATAAATTGTTAGACATTTTAAATTCTATAATTTTTTAAAATTTTGATTAAATTAATATGTTATATTAATTTTAATATATAATTATTTATATTAATATATTTTTTTAATTATAATCTCTCTAGATTTCCTAGCTGTATAAAACTGGAAATGAGACAAAATAAATATTCTTTTGTAATCTATTTAAAAAGAATAAAATAAATAAATACATTGAATAAGGACTTAGGTTAGACATGGACTTTTAAAATTTTAAAAACGTTTAACCTCTATTTACATAAATAATATTTATTTATTTGATACTCTCTTGCCCTGATACCATGTCCACGTTGCGTTTATGTCCGTCTCATATACCACGACATTTTAATCTCATTTTAAAATTTTAAGTTTTTTTTTTTAATTTTAATTAAATTAATTAGTTATTTTAATCTTAATTTATAATTATTTATATTATAGGATAATTATTTTCAATAATACAATTTTAATTATCTACTAATTACATCTCCTAAAATACTGTGTCTATAGTGTACCAGACACGGTGTTTGGGACGGAGAGAGTATTATTTTAAAAGATGTTAAATTAAATATATATATTCTTTTGCAGAATATTAAACTTTTATTTTTTATTTTTAACTTTAAAAATTCTAAATTTTTTTATTTTTTATTTTATTTTTATTTTTTTGTCCAAACGAGCCTGAAAATAATAATAATAAAAAAGTTTAGGATAGAATAGTACTAAAAAATTAAAGGAGGATTATATATTGATATTAGTTAATTATTGATATTTTAAAGTGATTTTACTTTAAAAAACACAGAAATTTCAGGCCACAAATAGGACCATAGGAGCAGCGGGTCAAATAGAAGAAAAATAAAATAATAATAATTATAATTAGCTTTGGGGGTGAGTGGGGGGTTAGATGAAACCCTAGAATTTAAATTCAAAGTGCAGGCTGCAGAGCGAAAATTTCCAAATTTGAGGTTAATCCAATCTCCACAGGACAGCAGAGCATAGCAGAGAAGAGAAGAGAAAGAGGTGGAGAAGGGTGGAGCCGAGGGGTCCATTCCAGTCCAAAAATCTCCATCCAAACGAGCATCGCCAGCCACACGAGGGTAGCGGATTTATCGACGATGCTTTTCAACGTTTACAGATAATAATAATATGTATTGCCATCAAATCATCAATCCTACCATATAATAGTAATAATAATCATGCTTAGTGCATATTCAAACCATTATATATTTTTCTCTTTTTTGGTTGCTTTGTTTTTTGTACGCGTAGGATGAGGAATTAGGATATAGTCCTCTCCGCTCCTCTTCGTTTTGGCTCAATCGCTCCTTTTTTCCTCATATTTTTTGGTGTGTATATATGTATTTTTGTTGGTTGTTTTCGCGATGATCAGATTCCCTAATTTTTCCACCCGATGATTGTGTTGATTTTGTGTTTTTGTTCCAGGAGAAGCAGGTTGAGCGTTTGAGACCCTGAAGAGTTCGGTCTCTGCGTGCTTTTTTTCATTATTTTTGTTGGTTTGTCGAATTCCTGTTTGCGCGAGAAGTTAGGGTTTGTTTAATTGTTTTTTTGAGGGTTAGAGACGTGAGAAATCGAATCGGAGTGGATTAAAGGGGGATAGAAATTATGGCGTCGAATGGGCAGGGTATAGAGCCTGCCTTGTTGGATGATATCATCAATCGGCTTCTGGAGTTTCGAAATGCGCGGACTGTTCGTCAGGTGCAGCTATCGGAGAATGAGATCCGCGCTCTCTGTGCGGCTTCCCGTGAAATCTTCCTCTCCCAACCGAATCTGCTCGAGCTCGAAGCCCCGATTAAGATCTGTGGTAAAATTGCTTCTATATCCTTCCCACTTTACGACCAATTTTTTGAAGTCAGCTGTGATTGTTTCTAGGCATTGGGTTGCGTGTTGTTCTTCGTTTCTTGTCGTGATTTTAATTTGGAACCTTTCAAAGTCAAAATTTCAACCTTCCGACAATGATTTTGGAAGATGCTTATTGATGGTTTTATTTATGACAAAAGCTAGGGTTGTGTTTATAATTTGATATTTGAAATGTAGAATTTTGTGGATATGATGTTTCTCTTCCCAGCTTGTGTTGTAATTGCATCTGCACGAGGAGTGGATTGGTTGTGCAGGAAGGTTAATTTGGTTTTAAATTTGGATTTTCGAATAACGAAAATGGTTATTAGTTTGGTAGAAATGTTTGTACTTGCTGAGCTTCATTCTTTTGTGAACTACTTGTTGGATATAGTATTGATCGGTAACTTTCCGTGCAATTACTTGTATTTCAATTACTAGTTGTTCTTGTTAAGTTTGTCTTTGAGGAAATTCTTTGGTTATGAACCCGTATGCATCTCATTAGATTTGGCATATGATGTTGAAGAATGCATGGTGGCTTGATAAAGCTGCAGTAAGATGATGAAATAAAGTAATTCAGTGTCCTTATAATTAGGGACCGTTGAAAGTGTTTTGAATGATTATCCTGTATATGCATGGGTTTGTTAATCGAGCTTTATAGTTGAAAATCAAATCTAAAAACCTGAAATAAGAAAGCACAGTCGGCACTGGAGCTGTAGCTGTCGATTATCCACACTCGAAGGCAGCTCTGTGGGCCGATCCACTCATGGCTGCTCATGAGGCTGGATTGAGCCTTAGCGTGCTATCCTTGATGTCCTCTATTGTCTTTAAACTTTAGCATCCATACAATGTGAAGCCCATGGGCCTAGTGCAGTTTTTCTTGCCTAGCTAGGATTCTGTCATTCATCTAGAGTCTTCTAATCGTTGTTGGCCATGCGGCTTGGGACTTCATTCTTTTTGTTGTGCATTGATTGTTAAATTGAATTACATTTGATTCACTTGGTATCATACTCTGTTGAGATCATAGCTGTTCTTAAAAAAGAATGGTGCTCCCTTATACTAGAACGATTCAACTTTTGATGCTTTTAGCCTTTTCTTTTGAAGTAGGGGAGAAAGAAGATTTACTGTCATTTTCATAGTATGCAATGCTGCACATGGGCTCAAATAACCTGCTATTATGGTATATGGAATCAAGGACTTCTGATGATAAAATTTTACCTTGAAATATGATTACTGAATAATTCTGATTGCATATTTATTGTTGGATTGTGATTTTTCTGATTACATATTTATTGTTGGATTGTGATTTTTCTGATTACATTCATACTATTGTGATAAACATATAATGCAATCGTCATGGTGAGTATATCTTTGAATTTTTAACATCCTCCAGTCTATTTTATGCTAGTGTGGTTGGACTGGACATGTATATCTATCTATAAGACGGGAAGGTATATTTGAAGTAACATTTTATCTTGATGGAAATCAAACAATCCAAATTTCTGGTTCCTCTGATTTGCTATGTCACATGCTCATCTTTGCTTCGGTTATGACTTAAGAATTGAGGATAAAATATTTTTACTCATAATTTTTTGGTTTCCAGGTGACATTCATGGACAGTATGGAGACCTTTTAAGGCTTTTTGAATATGGGGGATTTCCTCCAAATGCTAATTATTTATTTCTAGGGGATTATGTCGACCGTGGCAAGCAGTGCTTGGAAACAATATGCCTTCTTCTTGCCTACAAGATCAAATATCCTGAAAACTTCTTTCTCTTGAGAGGAAATCATGAATGTGCTTCAATAAATAGGATATATGGATTCTATGATGAATGCAAACGGAGATTCAATGTTCGAATATGGAAAGTGTTTACTGACTGTTTTAATTGCTTACCTGTGGCTGCTCTCATAGATGATAAAATACTCTGCATGCATGGTGGTCTCTCTCCAGACCTCACAGATTTGGATCAAATACGAAATTTGCCTCGCCCAACTGATGTTCCTGATGCTGGACTGCTTTGTGATTTGCTTTGGTCTGACCCTAGTAGAGAAATTAAAGGCTGGGGAATGAACGATAGGGGAGTTTCGTTTACATTTGGTGCGGATAAGGTGGCTGAATTTTTAATGCAACATGATATGGATCTTATTTGCCGGGCTCATCAGGTATCAGCATTTTTTCTTGAATCATTTAATTCAACTTTTGTTACTTCTGTGGGCTGATTTGGATGTTATTTTCTTAACAGGTTGTAGAGGATGGCTATGAATTTTTTGCTGAGAGGCAGCTAGTTACTATATTTTCTGCACCCAACTATTGTGGGGAATTTGACAATGCTGGAGCTATGATGAGCGTTGATGAGAGCTTGATGTGCTCATTTCAGATCTTGAAACCAACTGATCGGAAGCGTTTCTTGTGAAGCAATGCTCCGAAATCTCAAGTCTCAGCGATCTGTTACCACACAGGTTGGCTTCTTTTGGTTCCTGTAGAGATTGCTCAATTTGGTTTGGGTTTGTTTAGGTTTCCATGTGAAATTTGCACGTCATTCAATTTAGACTTGTCTCATTAATCTGTAGTTTGATATCGGAACCTGTTTCCTTGTTCTTTATTTTATAAATTCATTTTGTTGATATTGAAAATAGTTAGACATGTAAGTCATTGGTACTTTTGGTGCATTTTTCTGAAACTATGTTTTCATTTCTAGAGACTTTTCTGTGTTTAAACCTAATCTTAAGTCTGAGCTGAAACATGTAAATATTGAAGTTTGGTTGTTACATAGTTGGTTGAAAATTATGTGGCATCGTGCAGAGGTTTCCCTTTATGTGATGTATCAAGGTAAGGCAGACAAGAGAGAGTATATTACTTATATCAATAACCTCCCCTTGAGGTTATAAAAAATCCCCGAATGTAAGAAGCGATTTTTTTACAAGGGTAGCTTTGTTTTCGAGGTGCAAGTCGTGCATCTTCATTTGGATGAGCAAATTGCATGGTGTTTCTATTTCATTTTTGTTTGGTTTTGATTTGCTAATTTTATGAAAACTGAGATGTTAATTCATAGTTGTCCAGTTATTGATTGAATAGTTTAGAGTCTAATCTAAGTTTGAATGATTAATTTTTCAGGATGTGGCATTGGTGAGTGGGGCAGAAGATAATATACTATACACATCTTCTGTACGACTTAGAGATGTTAAACTGTGTTGTTCTGGAATTGTTTAAGCAGACTTGTTGCTTAGTGCCAGCATCAGGTTTAAAATACTCCCTCTCTCTCTCTCCCCCTCCAAGAACACTAATTTGGACTCTCGGCATTTAAGTTCCAAATAATTTTTTTCTTTTTTTGCTTGTTTTTTTTTTTTTTTTTTTTTTTTCCTTTGGATTACTATTGTCAACGCTACATTCTGTGAAGCTGTTAACCAACTCTGTACATACGTTTCTGTTTTTTTTTTTTTTTTTGGGTTTTGTTGTTTTGGTGTTGTGATTGTAGAATGCATGCTTGTTTTAACTCATCATCATCTAAGTCCATGCTTCTTACAGTGAGAGTCTAATGTATGCTGCTGCTTCAAATGATTAACTTAATATATATATATATATATGGTAGTAGAAGGTTGTGTTTGTGTTTGGGCTATTATTATACTTACGTTTCAGCAATGTCACAATCTACTCGACCATATCCCTAATTCCTATTTATTTACTTGCTCACTTATTAAATTTTAAGTACCAGTCTATCTATTTATCCCTCTCCTCTGATTCGATTATTTTTGAACCTCAACCTTGGCTTCATTTGTTTATGAGATTTCTATCGAAATAGTACATAATTGGAGGTTTAAATTTTAAGTTTGAGATTTGAATAGTAAAATTTTTAAATTGGAATAATAAGATATAAATTGGGTGTTAATATTGTATTTTGAATGTATAATTAATTTTTAATATAATATAAAAAATAAAAAATATTTATTTAATTTGATATTTTCGGAAAATTTGTTTATTAAAATAGTAAAAACAATGGGAAATTTGCCAAAAGAACAAGATTCAGAACATGATATTCCAGTTGCACATACGGACCTAATGATATATAATCAAAAAATAATAACCGTCATAAAAAAAATTAAAAAATAATAATAATAATAATAACCGTCATAAAAAAATTAAAAAAAATAATAATAACCGTCACAACAACAGCAATAATAATAATATAATTCTTTATATATATATATATTTTTTTCTCACAATATATCCTATAATACATAATTTAAATATGAAATATCCATCAAAAGATGTATGAATCAATAACCAACAACATGAGTCCAATATTTATCACCTCAAAAATACAGTAACCATTCCCCCCCAAAAAAAGAAAAAAACCCGACTGAAATCCATAAGTATGACCACTTTCTACACTTGTGTTGATAGATACAATAACAAATGCTCTTGAACAAGTAGATGTATAAATGTAAAAGAAACTAAAAAAATTCACTGCACACTCACCGAGCCATCTTGCTTCATCTTCACGAGGCTGCTCTCGATGTTCCGCAGGACAGGTTTATATCTGCAATAAATAAATTGGCATCACAAAGTGAGTGAATCATAAAAAATGATAGTTTGGCTGTGCAAGTGCAAGTGCAAGGCAGAAGAATGCGTGCTTACAGGCGCGCAAGACTGTTATATGCTTGTGTAGCTTGCTGGAGGTGCACTGAAAGCTGCATTACCTCAGCCGATAGAGCCTCCGCTCTACTTTGTTCTTTCACTAGTTGGTTCTGTCTCACAGATAAACACAAGAGTTTTAGTTTAATGGAATTCAACGATGAAGAACTCCTGAAAAATATGAGCAATATATATATATATATAGAGAGAGAGAGAGAGAGAGAGAGAGAGAGGACCAACACAAGTCACCTTGAATAAATTACAAGTTAATCATACGATAAATGCAAGATGTCTATAAAATTCGATTTGATAAAAAGCATCAGTGTTCTTTTAAATAGAGTGCAGTTGCAATTCATATAACTAGTATGGGTCTCTTGGAATATTCACAAGATGGTCATTTGATGATTTTTTTATTTTTTATTTTTTTTAATGCATATTGTAGCATTTTACTACGGGTAATTTGCAATTTACAAACCTTAAGGGACTGAAATTCATCCGAGACCTGAGATTGAGAAGCAATATCTCCAGTGTTGGAATTATACAGTGATTCAGAAGCTTTCCTGTTAAGAACTGGTAGAGCAGCTCGCTCATTCCGCAAATTATCTAACATGCCACGAAGTTCCTCATTTTGACCCAGGCAGACTTTCACCTGCATCAAACACATGTCAAGAAAACTATGGAAGAAAGAATTGATTGCAGGGAATCGAGAAAGGACAGTTCATTCTTGATTTCAAATTATGAGGTGTATTGACATATCATATGAACGGATAATGCAATGACGAATAATAGAGTTGGATCATTATCAACATTAACAGTAAAGTGACTCGGTGTCTTCATTACCTGCCGACTTAAATTACTTAAACACAAGGGTTACAGAGCACTTGTGATTGCAGAAAAATAGAATAGCTTGATCATTGTAAAAATTCATAATCAATAGGGAACGATGGCATTTGATAATATGTAATCATTAGAATAACAAAAAACTGAGCACCTGATTTTCCCAGTAAGCAACCAACCCAACAGATTCTTGGTAAGCAGATGAGAGGTTTGAGTTTTCTTCAAACAGTCTCTCTATCTCAGATGACTGGTTATCAATCTGCAAACGGGAACTCGAGGAAATGAGTTTTAGGGTTTGATTTTAAATGGGCCCAATCAAATGCATTACCTCTGACAAAAGTTTCTGCCTGCTACTTTCCAACCGTTCAACAGCTACTGCCATATCATGCAACTGTGCCTCAAGTCTCTCCTTGTCATCCTGAAATCATATGAAACATCTCAGCAAAATGTAGAAAATAAAAATTAAAAGTAAAAGAAAAGGCGAATAGAATGGTATATTGCATTACATAACAACCCATTGTAATACTATTACTAATTACTAAAGCATGTATTTGATGTTGCAAATACCTTAATCAAGCTACAAAAATATTCTACCATCGTGAATTGTCTAACATCCCATTGTAATACTATTACTAAAACATGTCTTTGATATTTCAAATGCATTGATCAAGCTAAAAGAATTCTCACCATCGTGAATTGTGCATGTTTTCCCTGATCAGTTTTACCTCCTGCATCACCAAGACAGGAATATATTACGAAGAAAAAGGCAAAGAAGACAAGAGCATCAAAAGATTAGCAATCATGACGCACATAGGGGAAGTTGGAAATTGATTTGGAAAAAATTCTTAATTCTATGGCATGGAAATAGAAATGATGAACTAAGCTTACCACATTCCATTTTGCACTCCATGGTTATGGTGAGGCCATATGCATCAAAGGTTTTTAAGGTAATGGTGAGGTTAATAGTTATGGGCTCTATGAATGTTTGATTCCGTATGATTGACTTAAACTGGAAACATATTATTTATGTGCACAGAAAAGCTTGCAATTTACTTTGCACTACTCTGGTGCAGTGGGATTATTATTTACATTATTATTTCAACAATTCCTGATACAAAGTATTTAAGTAGTGCCACACAGATGCGGAAGAATAATCCAAATCCTCGATCAAGTTCACAGATTATAATTTTTTCATCAAAGGCTAATCAAATAGTAAGGCTAGGGTTCTAATACAGTTTGAGCTTAGAAAGAACACTAAATCAATACCTATTTAACTCACTCAAAACTACAGTAAGCATGAAACAGCATACTAATTTTTTCATCTGCAGATTTTGATACCTGATTGCTCCTTAGAGACAGATGCAAGTTTCTCTTCCAAATCATGCTTCTCAGAAAGAAGGGCAGACGTACGGGCCTGCTCCTCCAACAATTGTTGATGCTCTTGCTGTCTCAACAGAGATTCTTGCTGAAAATCTCAAGTACAAAATGTCATATACAATTCCAATAAAAATATCTTATGGAAAGTGGGAAAATGTTCCCTGAAAATCTCACCTCCAGCTTGGATCTCAAACTAGATAATTCTGCTTCCATGACTTGCATTTGATCAGCTGAATATCCCATGACACTGGTGCCACCTGAAGAATCATGCATTGCTTGCTGTTGCAGCTGATTCAATTCCGCTCTTAGTGCAGCTGCATCCTCCTCAGCCTAATGCAAGAGCTCATAAGCATATAAAAGCGCTGGAATGTGGATATGCCTAGTAAACTAACAAACTCACTCTGTACTGCTCTTCTTCTGCTTCTTTCATACGTCTTTTTAGTGTGCGAAGCTGAGCTAAAAGATCCTCCTATCAATACATGGGATTTAATGGTAAAGAGATTTTGGACAGTGGAGAATAAGCAGTGAACATGTAACATATGGAAGAAACACCATACTCTAGCAACAACTGCAGCATCTTTTTCCATTGCAACATCCTTTAGAGCTTTCCTCAAAGATGGCACAGTAGTCTGCTCCTGCAAATAGTATGAACAGAAATGTTGCTGTTTGAATAATAGCATAAAAGCAAGAATTCAGGCGACCAATATCAGGATCTAAACCAATAATTTGACACTTTTGAACGTTGAAAAATAATATTCATATATAATAGAGCAAATTTGTGATATCCGTGACTTAAAAAAAAAGGTTAAACACACTACAACTCACTAAAGGAGAACTTAATCCCAGGGCCTGGAGAAAGTGATTGACCAAGCATACCCTTACAGTGTGTTTGATACATGGGATTATTGACAATTATTTAGTCCTCATAAGCTAATCACCCCCAGTAATCCCATGTAGTAAACATGGCCTACAGTTCTAAGCTATATGGGTAAAAAAATTGAACAATTCAAAGAACATTGACTCTTGTTTAATGTTGACCTCATATGGTAGGATAAAAGTTTGGAGGATACTGTGATCAATGAATCTTGTTTAATGAAAACATATAAATACATCCTCCTGCACAATATCTACCAAATGATATTAACTTGATTTCTTGAACATATAATTTATAAGCCCAAAACAAATGACATCTAGTTTGATGAAAACATATAATATTAATATTTCCAAAACAAATCAAACGCCTATAACAATATAAGCCTTAATGATACCTTTGCAAGTCAGCAAAACATGTAAATGGTTTCACAAACTTTTCCAAAACCCTCTAAGAGTTTCATAACACATATTAAATATTCAAATTATTAATGTTATATGTAAAATTGACCGTGAACCAAGCCTAAGAGCTTGGTGCAATCTTTTGATGCTTCAGATTTTGCTTTTCCCGGAACATGGCTAATGTCATTTGTTCATCAGAGTGTCGTACAGGGTTAAAGAGTCACAGGAGGTATATGATGTTTAAATTATTTAATCTCCAGGCGTTCACCTAAACTCTTCAAGATCTTCCAACACAAGTTGTGAGTTACTACAATATCAAGAGGTGTCCCACATATCATTAAAATCAAACATGACATGGATTTCTTTAATCGATACTTTAACAATGTGTTATGCACTCTATAATCTGATGTCCAATATAATTTTTTTAAGATACAGCTAAACGAAAGTGTTTAGCAATTGATCCTTGTATGCATGATCAGAGTTATTTTCTTCAGTAAATCTACGTGACACGGGCATGAACGTAATTTTAGAATCAACCTTCTTTATAAGGGGAAAATTTTAGTTCTTTGGTGTTTTCAACATACTGCAGAGCAAGGATTTAACTATATACAATAAGAAATCAAACCAATTGAAGTCCTATTCCTGAACAAAAGTAGAAAGCATCTCCAAAGCTTGCAGAATTGGCAGATCGTCATAAAAACAACTTTAAAGGTGAGGCATTATCGAGTTAGTGTGTAATCTTTCATAAATACAATCAGTAAACTCTTTCATACTGAATGCAGCTAGATCGAAGAAGAAAAATACGACTCTCTTAAACACACTAAACATTATGAAACATGCTTTCACAAGGGTGCAGCAGTTACCAGTTCATTGACCCGCCTCTGAAACGTGTCATTTTCCACTTCTCTCTTATGAAGCTGATGGATGGAAATCATGAAAAAGAAATCAAATATATAAATGACTTGAATATTAGGACGATTGAATCGAGCAAGAAACTTAATTAAATATGCAGGTTAACTTTGAACTAAGTCATCAAAAAGAATGGCGCTTCAGAGACCATTGACGTTAGTTTGGCGTTTGCTTCTTCGAGCTCACCATTCCTTTGTTTCATTTCATTCAATTGGGATACTAAACCACTGATATCAATCTGCAATAGAGTATGGATAAGGCATAAAAAAACATTCACATGGCACCTAAATTGAATAATGCTCAATTCTCTACCGTAAAAAGTCAGAATCGTGTACCTCTGATAGCCGACTTGCACTCTCCGACTTCTTAACTGCCATCATGTCTGCAATGATAAATGAAAACAATTATCCAAAATCAATCGATTATGGAAAAGGCAAATATCAAAAAGAAAAATAAAATACCGGCGGGAGCATGGACAAGATCCGGCCCCGACGCGGTCTTGCTCAATCGCTCAGCAGCTCGTTTCTGTCGAATTTCTTCCAGCTACAATTTCATCCGAAAATAATGTCAAAATTACAGATTTCATCTATGGAGCGCAACAAAACGCAGACAAACAAAGTCGTCAGCTTGATTCTACACAACACATCTCCATACCGTTCGTCTACCGAGAGATGCATGGCGATTATCCATTTTTAATCGGAGAAGAGCGAATCGGTTCGGCGGTGCCGGAGCCTGGTTTTGGGAATTATGCGTTACGACACGATTAAAAATCAAACGAAAGCATACGATTGGACGAAACCCAATAACTATGGAAATTTAATTTAATTAATTTCAAAAACAATTTTTCTTTTCTTTCTTTCTTTATTATTATTATTATTATTATTTTTTGGCATAAATACAAAATTCTTTGGTTTATGTATAGGGTGTGTTTCGGAATTAAATTTTAAATACATTGTTCATCTTTTTTTTTCTCTAAAAAATATTGAATCAAACATTTATTTTTTATTTTTTATATTATACTAAAAATCAATTTTATATTCAAAACACTACATTAATATCTATTTATATCATATCATACAATTATTCAAATTAAAATTTTTTAATATTTAATTTAAATTTAAAATTTTTACTGTTTAAATCCCATCTAAAAATTCAAACAGCCAAACAATCACATTGGGTATATGTAGACTGTGTAGGTTGATTTCAATATTAGTATTGCATTTACTAAATAAATTTTGTTAGAAAATTTAATATGACAAAATTAACGTTATTCTAAATAATTCCTCAACTATCAGGTAAGATAATTTTCTTGGCCTGCTAAGTGCTAATTCATTCGTGAATAGATCTAACACAATTTATTTTAATAATTAATCAAGGGTGTTATACCAACATCCAAAACTAGGGCTTTGTCTACATATTTTTCAAATTATATATTTTAAAATATAAGTTTATCCAGTTACGATATAAAAAAATGAAAGACATATTTTATACCACACTTGGAAACATGTAGAAAAATTTTTGAAAATTTAATTTGTAACTATAATAAAATTTAGTGATATTAGTGTGACTTTCTTTGTTGGACTAATTTGCAGGTATTAAGTTTGCCGTAAAGGGAAAAAAAAATCAGAATCAAAATAAAAATAAAACCAAAATGAAGAACTTTTAAAAAGTTTTGTTTTGATACAACACAGAATCAGTCACGTCTGCAGCACAATTAGAAAAACAAGCAATGAAGTGAGTTAAATCTTGCTTTAGACCAAGGTTTGGTTTGATCATCACCTCTAGAGTACTGGATTTTATACTAAACTTGGGTCGAGGTTTAAAGATCGATCGCACCTCTCTCAGTCAGTCGGATGGAAACCATTTACAGACATCCCACCATCAACACAGATGACTTGACCAGTGATGAACGACGAAGCAGGCAAACAAAGGAATGCCACTACAGATGACACTTCTGCTGGATCTCCAAGTCGTCGCATTGGAGTTCTGTCGTATACTTGCTCCAAGTATTCCTCATTGCTCAGTACCTGAAATTTCACCAACAAAGATGTGTGCCCAAATCGTAAACTTATTAAATTATCAGTGAAAAACAAATCGTGTTCTCTTTGATATATATATATATATATGTGTATATATAAATAGAAAGGCGATTATATATTATGAGCTTGGTTTATTATGAAAGAAACAAACTGCATGTGCAATTGTTTTTCAGCATGATATACAGTTCTAAAGCTGGTTACAAACTATTTGTAAATATCATAATCATTTGCGTACGACAAACTTGTAGTAAGAATATTATTAAATTGAACATTTCTTATGATACTAAGAGAATATAATCAAAATATATAAACAAAAATGCACGCGTACTTGTTTGACCATGGAGGTTTTGATATACCATGGTGCCACAGCATTAACCCTGATGCCATCCGATGCCCACTCGCATGCTAAATTTCTGGTAAGTTGATTGATGGCCCCTATAGGTGAAGGATAAGGTACAGTTCATCGATTAATCTAACACAAAGAGCGATATTAATGGTACCTTTGGATGCTCCATGGACAGACATATTCTTTAATGATACAAAACCAGAGACTGAAGAGGTGAACACTGTGCTGCCTGCGCCCGAGGCTTTCAAAAGAGGGTATGCAAGTTGGCACATGTGAAACGCAGATTCGAAATTTGTTCCCATTAGAGTGGAAAACTCTTGGCGTGTAAAATCAACCATAGGCTTGCGAATGTTTGTCCCAACATTGTTCACCTACTGGAACCAAATACAGACACAGGATTAAAAATCAGTTTATCTTGAAAGTAGAACACAAAAAGAGAGGGGTAAAGGTACATCCGAGCCAAGCTCGGACATAACCAGACACCTTTTGTTGACCTGACATGATCAAATTGAATCCAATTTGTTCAGGCATTTTTGTAATGCCTACAGTTGGTAAGGCACTATATTCAGGTCTACTACATATGGTTACCTAATTTTTTTTAAAAAAAAACTATATAGCAACTTTCAATCTAATTATTTTTTAGAGGGTTGCATGCAATCATAGTTTAGATCAGAAAAAGGTCAAGTAGACAATTAGTGTACTTTACTCTCAATTACAGTCTACAGAATAATCCATAATTTCTGTGAAGAATACAACTTTGGGTCCATGTGATGTGGTCTCATAATATTCATGGCATTCGAAGAGAATTTTTCTGTACTGACTACTGGGTTATAGATAAACTGATAAATCATCCTCGATGCAAAACCTTTTTGTTTTTTGGTTTCTGCACTCGACTCAGATTTACTTCCTGGCGTCTATCCTATATAGATCTCTCTTATCATGTGAAATTAGAATGCACTTGAGAGAATTCTTAAATCTAGAACAGTGGTGAAGATGAGACAAGTTTCATATGCATAGTCTTTTGGATGAAACTTCGATGCACACATGCCAAACCACATAAATCTCATGTCAATTGATCTTCTCCAGTATTTACTAATTTCTTCCATATGCTGTCAACTTAAAAGTGTGTTTTGGCACACAATGCAAGATCCCCTGTCCTCGACACATTGAAATTGAAGAAATGCAACAGCTGAAAGGAAAAAGTTCCAAGCCATGCATGGACATGAAAAACAGCAAGATCTTACACATCCCGATCAAAATGACTTAACTAAGAAAAAGCTTTGCAAGATGATCAAAATAATGAAATGAATTGCAAGGGTTGACTTACGAGAATGTTGAGCTTCCCACTGAATACAGAGGATACAGAATCCAGTAACTTTTCACGGTCTGCATAAGAGGATACATCACACTGTGAAACAGTGACCCTAAAACCCTCAGCCTCCCAACTCCTCAAACATTTCTCCAACTCATCTTTGTCTCTTGCACAAGTATGCACGGCAGCCCCAAGCCCTGCCAACTCCTTTACAGTGGCATGCCTGTAATGAGGAGAGAAGAGAGATGGAATAATCAAGCACAAAGCAGAGAAAACTTGCACTACAACTTGCATATTTTTAACCATCAAGAAGATTTTTTCCAAACCAATTGATATTATATTATTTATTCCATAGAGATCCTTCATTGAATGATTTGAACTTAGCATATCAAACTCAATGCATGTAAAGTAGTAAACAGACTTGAGTTTCCTACAAGTAATTATGGTGGTTGAAGGTAATCCATCATAAACACCTGGCTTTCTTACTGCATGATATAACTAGGGTATGTTTCGAAACCTTAAAAAATCTAGGATTATAATCTTAAGGAAGATGGTGCAGTAACATTTTAAATCCAGAGTATTTAAATCAAAAGATCATCTTGATATCTAATATTTAATCGAAAGATTTCTATGGCCTTTTTTCTTTGTTTCAAAGCTATTAGTCATGCAGATTATAATATTTGCAAATTTGTAAGTAAATGCAGTAATCATTTGAAGCGATCCTATTCTTTGTATTTGTATCCTCAAATGTTGTGGCAATACAATTTCCAAATCCCAGTACAGCTACAAAGCATACACGCAGAAGCACACACCCAGATGGCACTTCTGCATCTTCGGGGAAATCATTCACAAACAAACGAGTGCCAAGAATAGTGCAAATTAGAAGGCATACGAACACACAAGACACAACACATATATATATACTATAATGCGAGTACCATCAACCAATTCGGAAAGCACACAAATCATTTCAAGTGCTGCAAAGTAAAAGAAGAGGGTTGAGTACTACCTTACCCAATGCCTCTGGTGCCGCCGGTAACGAGGGCGGCAGAACCTTCGAGCGACCAGCGCGAGGAGGCCGCCGCAGAGGCAGTGACCTTGAAGCGATAGCTGCCGATTGAGCGCTCAGCTAACGACGAGGGTTTGACGGAGCTGAGCTTCGGCAGAAGAACAGAGCATACGACCGCAGACATTTTCTTCCCCTCCAGCGTATGGCAAACTAATCGCAGCCTCCTCCGTTTCCCCCAATATATAAAGTCCAAGTATTTATTTATTTTTTTCCAATTGTTTAATAGTCATTGATCTTAAAATGACAGTATATTGAAAATATAATTCTCTTTTTCTGCAATTCAAATTTCAGAGTGCAATCTAGAAATGCAAGTATAAATTTTAGTGAAAAGTTTTCTACTGGTTGAGATCAGACTGGCATGATCCTGTCTAAAAATGGCATATATTCATATTCATATATTGTCTACTAATTATTCTAATATGTACCAAATCCCAAGCCGTGAAAAAATCATGAACATGAATCAAGAGGCATGCACGGACTTACCATTTTACTAGATCAGTTCTTCAGATTTGAGAAGCCCAACGAACAAGAATGATATCAACCTATGGATCTTTATAGAGCAGCTGCAGTCCTAATTAACCTGCAGCAGATATGGAGCATCGTTTCTTAAACAAGGTGTAATTGGTGGAGTCACCTGATGATTTGAAAGGGCGCTGTCCGAGTATCTGAACTAGGTCCGTTTGAACAAGAGTTTCCTTTTCCAGCAGTAGCTCTGCAATCTCCTTCACTTGCTCCTTGTGTTCCTCCACCATCTGCACGGTTCGTTCGTACGCCTTTGCAAGCCATTCGCGGACTTCTGCGTCGATCATTGATGCTGTCTCGTTGCTGTATGGCTTGTACATCATATTATATCCACCTTCAACCTCCGGGAAAGACAGGAGCCCGACTTTCTCGCTGAAGCCGTATGTGGCTACTTGGTCGTATGTTAGTTTAGTCACTTTCTGTAGATCATCCTGAGCCCCGGTCGATATGGTTCCCAATAGGACCTAATCAAACATCAAAGCATGAAGTGTATAAAGATGATCTTTTGGTTTCAAATGCCCTCTATATACTACAATCGAAATTTTTAATCTCGTTGTAAGATCCATCCCTTAATTAAGATATCAGGGATTTCGAGCAACTTGAAAGCCGTGGTCGATACAAGTACTAGAACGTGTAGCTTTGTTCAATAACATCAAGAAGATTAAAACAGCATAAAAGAGCTCCATAGAGATCATATAAGCAATAGGTTACCTGTTCAGCAGCCCGTCCGCCAAGAGACATGCAAACTTGATCGAACATCTGCTCTTTAGTTAAGATAAGTTTCTCACTGGGGACATATTGTGCAAAGCCGAGGGCAGATGTACCACGGGGAATGATGGAGACCTTCAACAGGGGTTCTGCATGCTCTAAGAACCAGGCGACGACTGCATGCCCGGATTCATGGTACGCAACAGTCTTGCGTTCTAGTGAGCTTACAACCTGTTCAGGAAACACGGAATGTTTTCAGATCGAAAACTTAATCACGGCGTTCTTACCTAAGACAAATGAGGATAATAAGCCCATTAAGTGCTACATTTATGTATTAGAACTTAGAGCCAATACAGAATAAAATACCTTATGTTTCTTCTCAAGGCCGCCAAGTACTCTGTCTATAGCTGCATCAAAATACTTATTCTTGACAGTATTTTCGTTGTTCCTGCCGGCAATAAGCGCAGCTTCATTGCAAACGTTTCTAATATCAGCTCCAGAAAATCCTGGAGTGAGGGTAGCTAATCTATGAGCATAATATGTTGCTTCATGATCGAGTTTTAAATTCTTTAAATAGATCTGATATATCTGCTCCCGCCCTTTGATATCAGGTATATCAACAGAAATCTGACGGTCAAATCGACCTGGCCTCAACAGGGCTTTGTCTAAAATGTCAGCTCTATTAGTTCCGGCAAGAACAACCACATCAGTCGATGTTCCAATCCCATCCATCTCTACAAGGAGCTGATTAAGCGTAGCCTCGCGTTCATGTGAGGCACCACCACCGGAACACCCTCTCTTTTGACCAATTGCATCAATCTCATCAATGAATACAATGCTCGGTGCATGGCTCCTTGCCTCGCTGAACAAGTCTCGAACCCTTGAAGCCCCAACGCCAATGTACACTTCTATGAATTCAGAACCGGACATGCTAAAAAATGGTACACCGGATTCTCCTGCAGTTGCTTTTGCCAGGAGTGTTTTGCCTGTCCCGGGAGGTCCTACTAGCAAAGCTCCTCTAGGAATTTTGGCGCCCAGCTCCCTATACATTTTGGGATCCTGTAGGAAGTGAACAAACTCCATTATCTCTTGCTTTGCTTCATCACAGCCAGCAACATCTTTGAATAACACCTGAAGATCCACATGAAACAATGGACTGTGGTGTTCAGAAATGTTTGAAAAGTTAGGCAGCGCCTGTTAAGACTAAGAAATCTACTTTTACTTTTGAAAACATCAGAAATAGAAATATATCATATATGACGAAAGCAAATAGGAAAGAACCTTTTTTTCTCCGTCAGTTTTCATCTTTGTAATCTTAGCTTTATGCGTTTGCAGATAACTAGAGAGATTTCCACCACCACCACCACCACCGTAGTCACCTTTATATTGAGATATACGATCCAGTTTCCGGCCGACGTAGATAAGGGAACACACTAAAAGAAGTGTAGGAATAAATTTCATCCACTTCGACGACCCAAAACCTTCAGACACATAACTAACTGGCACATAATCATGCGGATCAATCCCCAGTTCTCTTTGTGATTCTTCAAGTTTCTCTTCAAATAATTTGATATTCCCAATATTGAAGTGGTATTTATGCCGAGTAGTTCTTAGCCTTGCAGTGGTGCTGCCACTAACCAGTGATTCGGATGCAGATCCTTCGCTAGTATCATCATGGCTGTTTTTATTCCATGGTGTGCTTCTCAAGTATACTTTAGCCACAGATTTATTAGAAATGACAATGTGCTCCACTAATCCTTGTTCAAGAAGCTTGGTTTTGAAATCATGAAAATTAATCTGCAAGTTAGCAATGAGGGAAGTGAAGACTGGATGAAATCAACCTAATTTGAGTAGGATACAACACTAGTTCCAATGACCAAATTAATTAAAAGTTTAAAACTAATGACTCTACCTACAAGCATTTTAACAGAACAAGTTTGCAAGAATGCAATATAAATTCTAACGGAACCATTCATCAAAAGCAAGAGCGAGAGCAGGAAATCTACTAAAAGATGAGTAGATTCAGAACGTTATTGACTAGTAACAGGTCTGTTTGCAAGTTTAAGATAAAACTCTAAATTTGTCATAACTTTATCAATAATTCAGTGGTTTCTGATCTCCTTAAGTAATCAGTAATTTAAAATGATACATCTTAAGAAATTAAATCGAAGGACGTGATCATAATTACCTGAAATTGAGTTATACATGAATTAACTTTTCAAAACACTTCATTTCTCAAAAATCCATCTAAGAATGAATATGTAATTAATCCTGTGTTTCTAAAAACACTGCAAGATAAATTTAAATTGATTGAACAGATCAATAAAAGTCAGTGCTAAAAATAGTTTGAAAAAACTGAGCTATTGTATACCTCCTCTTCCTCTTTCTCTTTTTTTCTGCGGATCATGTATTCATGTGCTGAAAGAAACAGCCCAACCAGCAACAACCATGGCAATATATATTTCATAAACCTGAGGATATTATTTGGATTTCCTTTCTCTGGTATATATGAAAAAATTTGAATTAGAAATGTCAAAAGGTTCGCTAATTCACACGGTCAGTAACTTTCAGTGAAGCATAGAAATGTCCACAGATAATCTATATGACCACAATCAGCCATATACCCTACGGAACTTGATATTCCTATCAGTGTCTATGTTACAAGTTAATATAGTTTCACTAACTATGCATAAACCAAAATATATAGAACACTAACCCGTTTGTGGCAGTGGAACAAATTTCTTAAAGTCTGCAAACACGCACAGAAGAACCTATTGTAAGTGACTGATTTTTCTTCTTAATGTACGCTGAAAATCAGGATATAAGATCTAGAAATACCTCTCTCCAATGGCGGTTCATAGTGGTAGAGTCTAGTAAGAATTTTGGAATTTGCTTTGAGGTAGTTAAATTTTGATAAACACGAAGACTGGCAAACCGATCCTTCACTAGCTCCAGCTATGCTCCAAAATGCCCTCAGCAACCCTATTTTCCCGTTAAAGAGATGAACGCTGCAATCCAAACCATTTACACTCGAAACTCCAAAATTGTCTCCGTTCCGCAAGAAAAGCGCCAGGTTGCTTGCACCATTAGCCATGGCATTCTTCGAAATCCAGAAGCACCGAAGAAAAATTTCAGAAATAGAGTAAAGCACGTGTACTATATTTTTCAATATACAAAGAGAAAGCAACGCTTACCTTGGAACGGGAGGAACAATGAGCTGCCGCAGTGCCTATTCGGGAGAAAATCATCGTTGGAAAGCCAACAATATGCTCTGGCGAGTGTTCTTCGTCTTCGCTTGCTCTATGGACTGTGGGATCCTTTGAAGTTTATCGACGTAGTTGTGCTACGCAGAGCATGGATTCCATGGCGTCATTGCGTTTGGCGGTTAAATGAAAATTTCTATTTGCTTAACCAAATAAATAAATAAAGAAATAAAACGAATGAGCCAAAAAACCGTCAACCCGACTACCTGAGAAAATAAATGAACAAATCGGTCGCTATTCGGGTCGGATCGGGTTAGTAATAGGGTACCCAGGATTATGTATGAATATGTATGAAAAAATTGTATATAGTAATTATAATAAGATAAGGAAAGAGTAATATTTTTAATAAATAGATCCTCCTATGTTCAAATTTATTCTCTGGCAATGCCCCGTGGTGCGTCTAACACGACGCCGGAGGGGCGTTAAGCTTGCTGTACCGTGCCTGTGGTCCCCAGCTCCGGCGCTATTGTGTGGTTCGTTGTCCAACATATCGTCGCCGAATGGGGGCGAGCCGGCACACCACATCGGCTGCGCCCCCGACGGACCACCCATTAGTCCCCGAGCCGGAAGCCGGCAACGCCCCTCGTAGTGCGCCGGCCCGACACACGGAGAAGACATCCAATTTTCTATTTTTTCTTTAGCATAAAAAAAATAAATTATTCTTACTCATTTTTTTTAAAATCCGTGCCCGATCAAATGAGCATAGCATTGCACGAGGGAGTATAAAAATTTTATATAATCATAACCACAACCTAAATAAAATCTAAAACAATATCAAATTTTCTTAAGGCCAATTCTTATCTTGCCACATATAGCTACCGAACGAACCTAATATCCTACAAAACAGGCCGATAGACAAGTCATGTGTGGCAGATAACCTGGAGGTCAGGTCGTCGGTCATAAATCCACCCCCACAACATAGATCATCCTTTAGAGAAGACATATAATTGATTTAATATGATTTGTCTTACTGGTTTAATTTATAAATTATTAGTTCAATTTATCAAAATATTCTAAAAAGTAAATCCAAGAACATACATGTGATGAAGAAGAGTAAAAAATTATTCACAAAAGCTCAAATCGATAAAACCTACAAAACATTCGACACCACACATGCGCGCACACACGACCCCTCGAGCATTCCATGACAGAAACTTAACCGTAGTTATAGATCACCATCGAGTCGGGGGCACATGGAAGTTGTCCATCCGTGTTGAGACATCAACATCGGATGGGCAAGTTTGATCAACCACCCGAGCAAGTTTCGTAAACACAATTACCTCAACAAACAAAACAAAATATCCCAAACCCATCGCCAAAAAAAACAAATAACATACGATAGCGACACCCCTCCCACCGATAAAACTAACAACAGCTGTTAACAATAATAATAATAAGATAGAATTGAATAACAATCAATAATCACACACAACACAAGACTAGTCTATCACTTAAAGATAATACATACATACATACATACATACATATATATATATATATTCATACCTCCATCCATTTTTTATTACACATAATGTACAAGAAATGATGCTTGCAACTTGCAAATGGTGCTTTGCTTTATTCTTACCCCAACCCCAAACTTGGGGCCCCCTTAAGCTTAACTTGCTTGTCTGATAGTGTTACCTCAGCCTCAGGACAAGCTAAGCCTTGTGTGTTCTTTTTTCTTTTTTTATTTACCGACAAATGCTCATCAAGACTCACTGTCTCGACAAAAGGATATCGAACTTTTTCATTAATCATTGTTGAGTAAATAACTAGTAAGTCCATTCCTTTGGTAGCTCCATCCTCTGTCCTTCTTCCTCGCCGTTTTCTGATGTTTTTTCTTCATCCACCTCTTGGCCCGATTGATCTGTGAACGCTATACATTATCATTAGATACATTTATGGAAAATTATGTTGCTAAATAGTTAATAGAAAGCTCTTATCGCTTCTAATTATCGAGCAATAGAAATGAGCATATGGATGAACCAAAGTTTTTAATCCCTGTGAAAATATAATGAATTTCTGGATTACAAGCATGACATATATACAAAAACTATTTTAAAAGCATACCAAATGAACAAACCCCAAGAGTTGACTAACTTATGATCATTAGAGAATCTAATAAAAATATCAAACTCGTGTATAAAATAAAGAGATTCCTTATAACATTATATTTATTTTGAAAGAGATTCCTTTATTTTGCGTCAGAATCTATGTTATTATAAGCTTATGTAATATATAGCTATTTTTCATAAATAAATTTGGCAATGAGAAGTACATCTAGAGATGCTTTTGACTTTTTTGGCAAAATTAAAATACTAGTGAATGTGATAGATGATCTGATAATATATCTTTAAAAAAAAAAGAAAAAAAAAGACTATGTTTATACTTTATATGCATATTTTCAAAAGTTTTAGCATTATTAATTGAAATATTTTTTTTTTATTTGTACTATTTTTATTTTTTTTTTCAAAATTCTAAAACTCCAAAAAAATCTATACTGAACTTACTCCTGTTCATACTTAGTCGTGGTGTTACATTATTGTTTCAATTAATGGTGATGATGTGATGTGTACAAAAATACATTAGAAAATATATAGAGAAAATAAAATAAAATAAAGAAAAAGTCTGTAGCGTGAAAGAATCCTATAAATATCTCTATTGGTGTACTCATCAGATCTAAATCAAACAAAAAACTTGTCTAACACCAAATATAACACCACTCTAAATCTACAAAACCCACCACGTCAAGCTCACTTTTGGCTGCTCTTTTTATTTTAGAAAAAGAATATATATATATTTTATTAATCGCAGATATGTAAGATATCAAAATGAGATTCTCTATAAACCCTATATTTCACAATAATAAAAAATATTTTTAAAATATTTATTCTTTATGTTTTATATATATACATTAGGTAAAGAAAAGTCGAGTATGAATATAAGAAAATTACCTTTCAGATCTTGAAGCCTGTTGTAATGATACTTTTCCAGCACCTGAAGCACTCTTGTCGGTATCAGAACCACTGAACAACCTGACCATATAATTGAAGTAAGAAATGATATAATTTGTCAAAAAAAATAAAAATTATATTTGGTGTAATAAAAATATTACAACTTATAAAATTTGATATGGAAACAAAGCCTAAATTCAATTATTACATCTACATAAATACATAACGAAGGATATGTTGACTTAATTCACCTCATCTTTTCATGTGATCTAACTAATACAGTATAAAATTATTTTTCCTCCTATGAATATCGCATATAACATCTCATTTTCATCCAAGAATAACTTTGGGTAACAATTTTTCAATAAAATAAATAGTAAATTTTAAAATAATCCAAAACACAAAATAAATACAACTCACATCCTAAGTTTGTTTTGTATTTTATAACTATTTTCCTTAAATACAAATATGTTTTCATTTTTAATAATTATAAATTGTACTATTCAATACAAATATCTTTTACTTATTTATCACTATATCATTATTTTTACATTAAAAAGTAACAACTAATATAGAATTCAAATCTCAAAATAAACCAACTCTAATGCTTTGTTTTCTTTAAAAAAATTTCCAGTTTTTTTTACTATAAAAATATAACATTAGCACAAAATACTATAGAAGGATTTCATCTAATATTTGAGATCATACATGAAAAGGGGAATAGCTCGTTCATATTATGAAAAACCTATATATAATCATATAATAATTTTTATATGAGATTTTGAAACAGTGCTTTAGGCAAAAAGATAAGATTTTAAGTAGTGAGAAAGGGCTGTCATGTGTGTGGTCCTTATTGATGGCCTTCTCCATTACAGCCCCTTTATGAGTTATGACTAAAAGACAAGACTAGATTCAATGTACTGACGGGCAAGATTCAAATGCAACCCTATTGGCTGCTGCATATTCGAATCTTATTTATTCTTAATTTAAAATTACTTTCACCAAAAAAGAATCTCATCTAAATTAAGTTTCATAATCACAATTAAAAATAAAAAATAAATAACTTATGACGCAAAATATATGTTGCGTAACAATACAGTTTACCTAAAGGCTATCTTCAATGGTTCTATTTTAATATTTAAAAATTATATTGTATAAAATTATTTTTATTTAATCAAGTAGTGTAGATTCTTGGAATCAAGATATTCAACGAGATTCCGGACCTCATATAATCAAAATTAATTTATTTTAAGTTTTAAAAAATATCCATATAAATCGATTGCTATGGTAATTATCATGACTAATTAAATATTTAAATATATATATATTTTTTTTATAATTTCAGATAAAGCTGCAGCTAGTGTGCCCCTACTATTATAAAGCAGCGTGTTACCTGATTTCTTTCTGAGTTGACTCGGGTCACGAGTTGCTGAGTCGGACTCGCGAGTTACTGCGACACGTGGCAGGAACACGCCGGTACCGACTTGCCCGCCGAGTCCGGATCCGGATCCTCCGAGATAGACTGCCTGCATACCCGACCCGGATGTATACCCGTTTACAGGTGTGTACGTGCAGTGATGCTGCGGCGCCGTTTTGTGAAGCGGTTTCTTCTGAGAATGAGCCGACTCGGTCCCCGTGACTCGCCGTCTCCGACCGGCCGGTTTCGGAAGCGGAGGCTGGTTCTTCAGCTCGTAAACCTAATCGAAAACGGCGCCGTTTTGTCAGAACAGTTCGTCTTCCTTCGGGAAGAAGAAACCTGTAAGTTCAAATCTCGATTACCTGAATCGGCGGCGTTTGGTCGCTGGGATTAACTCTGCTCGAGCACAATCCGACGTCGTTGTTGCCGGAATCCTTGATACGATTTATCGCCTTCAATGTTACGACCGAATAATCAGCTAACAATTTCACATATATAGATTAGATACATAACAAATTCCCCAAATCTTTACCTGTTCAGAAGCCTCTGGAATGTAGCCGACGGTGGTGGTATCTTCTTCATCGTCTTCCTGAAGCATGCGCTCCGCAATCTGGCGAGTTAACTCTTCGATGAAATCACCATCATCCTCGCTCCCCGAGGATCCCAAATCGGAGTACGGCGGCGTGCTGAATCCAGACGAAGACGAGTCGCAGGAGAGAAAGGAGTGGTTCCAGCTCGAGCCAGAGCTCCAACTCGCCGGATTGGAGGCGGCGGCGGCGATATTCTGCTGTCCTTTCTCGGCGACGGTATTTCGATTGGGGCTTTTGAATAAATCCGCGAACAGAGGCTTCTTCCTCTGCTGTGCAGAATCCATGAGAATGATTTCCGGACCAGAACAAGAGCGGTGTGAAGAAGACGTCGCGGAAAAAGGCGGTTAAGCAATCAAAACCCTAATGATTTTATGGTTGGATTAGTAGAGCAGCCATTTTTGTGGGCATTAATAAAGCAGAGAGAATGATTGAAGGAGAGAGAGAGAGAGTTGGAGCAGCAAAATAAGAATGTAGAATTATGTGTAAAGGGAATCTTTTCCCTTTGGCTTGGTTTCTTTTTTTTTTTTTTTTTTTTTTTTACAATAAATAAATTACTACTAATTAGTTATAGGGGCGGTTCTCTGTTGCCCACTCCTGGTCCCCAGCTCCCAGTGATTCTTTATTTGGAAATTGAAACCTTCCTTCCCATTAACTTATCAATTTTAAAAAATTTCATTATATTAACATATTTTTATATTACAAAATATTATTTAATTTTTATATTACTAAAACCAACAGTGCAGTCTGCAGTCTGCAGTCTGCAGTCTGCTGCTGCATAGGTTGGATTTGAATAAGGAAAAAAAGGTGGGGAGGGAGCTGAGGTCCCGGGAGTGAATAAGAATGAATAGTGCAGGCAGCGGGCAACAAGTGGTTAACCACAACTGATCATGAATGGAAAGGGGATGTACTGCGCCAACTGCCGACTGTTGGTTTGTCTAAATGACAGCATCATTAATAAACAGTGGGAGGAGATGTACGTACAAAACAAATACTACAATATGGTATAATGGTTGGTTGAGCATAAATAACGTTGGTTGGTTTGTTGCCCCAAATCCACATTCAAAATTCTATCATTCAACATCGTTCATTACTTAGTGCCCCAACGCCTCAGGTCAACCGGGTTTACCCAACACATTGCTGCTACAGTGTTACAAAATGTGTTAATAAACCATACACAATATTACTATAGACAAAATTATTATATTATTTAATAAATTAAAATTAAAATAATAATAACTAATTAGTATAATTAAAATATAAACAAAAGAAATTATTTTTTTAATGAGATTAAAGTGTATAATACTTTTTAAAAAATAAAAAGTGACGTAAAGGAGAGAGTAATATAATACAAAGTATATTACTTTTATATATCACATATTATAATTATGAACAAACAATATATATTTTTATTAAAAAAAATATATTTTTTTTGTCCATAAACTAACCGTTATTTGGAACATCCGACAACTATTGTTCTATTTTTCTTTTTAATTTACATTTTTACTTTTTCTTCATTTATTATTTTTAATCTCTGTCATACAACTAATGACAAATTTGTCAATTTATAATAAAAATAATCCTCTAAAAAATCATACAAATATTTTAGGACAATAAAAATTTGACGGGAAGATAATATTATTTCTATGTTTTACCTATATGAATTTAAAAAATTAGCGTTTTCTACATAAATATTGATAATTAGTACGACGACGTTTTGATGAGTGTTTTTGTTGTTGTTATTGTCGTTGGGTGGTTGACCACTTTGCCCCCACTCACTCACTACTCACTATTCGCAGCTGCTCTTTATCGTGAAACAAACAACGTCCCGTCCATTCCATCCCACCACGTTTGGTGCACAAATTTTCATACCAACTCTCCCTATATATGCATCTACTTTTATTTTTATTTTTAAATAAACGGTTTTAATATAAAATAATAGGGACCTAACATCATATATAAAAAAAAATTTATACGAGGAGAGGGATAATTTATTTTTGTGATTTTATGTTTTTATGACAATGTATTCTTTCCGTTTGACTGTAGTTGTTTGATTTTCTATAGAAATGAGAATCTAAATAAAAATATAATTAGTAAATAATTAAAAATTTATTAGTAAAAATAATTATATTGTAGTACAAATAAATAATAAATTAACTAATTTAATTTAAAAAAAATTATTAAAAAAAAGAAGATAAATATAATGAGTAATTTCTTAATTTTTATTTTCATTTATGTATAGTTTAACCTTTTTTTTTTAGGAGAAGGATAAAGCATTATATCTTTCACATATAAAATATCAAAATTCAAATTATATTCATATTTAAATAATTATGATTATACATTTTAATCTCATTTAAAATTTTTTAATTTAATTTAATTTTTATTTTAATTAAACTAATTAGTTATTTTAATCTTAATTTATAATTTTTTATATTATATGATAATTATTTCACTAATACATTCTTAATTATGTACTAATTACACCCTTCCTAAAATACGTGTCTACAGTTCAGACACGGTATCTGGGACGAAGGGAGTATTAAATACGATACGAATAATTGTATTTGTCAAATGAGTAGTTCCTCTTCTATAAAATGCCCAATGGTTTATTCTGTGTAGGGTGTGAAATGTGACAAGTGTTATTAAATTTAGAGAAAAAATCAATTTTGATCCCAGTATAACTAAAATTTATTAATTTTGGTTCAAATATAAAAAACACATCAATTTTGGTTCCAATATAATTAAAATTTATCAATTTTGGTCTCAATATAAAAAACTCATCAATTTTAGTTCCAATATAAACAATTTCAATCAATTTTGGTCTCGTTGTAAACAATTTTAATCAATTTTGGTCATACCGTTAAAAAACTAACGGAAATTGCTGACGTGGCAGTTGACCTGGAAAGTACACGGCAGTGTAACAACATGGTCATATATAATTGTTTATACACGGCTGCTGTGTACGTTCCAGGTCAACTGCTACGTCACATCCGTCGTGTCCATGTCAACAATTTCCGTTAGTTTTTTAACGGTGGGATCAAAATTGATTAAAATTGTTTATAACGAGACCAAAATTGATTGAAATTGTTTATATTATAACTAAAATTGATAGAGTTTTTTATATTGAGACAAAAATTGATAAATTTTTAGTATATTAGGACTAAAATTAATAAGTTTTTTTATATTGTAACCAAAATTGATTTTTTTTTTTTCCTTAAATCTTATTCTATTAATGAATATTTGTAATTTTACTTATTTATTTGTATAATTTTTCATTAGCCTTCGCAGTTGTAGCATGTATTTTACAGTCACCGTTAGCTAATGACGGAATCATTATTAATAAACATACCTTCAATGTCAGAATTATGGCATGCATTTTTTATTTGTATAAATTTTCACATATTTATTTTTATTATTATTTTTTTCCTTCAAACAAAACAAAAGGCTAATCTAAAAACTCATAATGCCATATTTCACACGACAAAGTATTTCTAAATAATAATATTAATGAAGGATTTCAACTAACTTTGAATTATCCATCCAATTTTGGACACGCCTTTACATAAAATAAGTCTACTAATAAATGTCTAAAATCAATATAATTTTACGTACCATAAAAAGTAGTCGGGCTATTTTTTATATTTGATAAAATATATTTTTATTTTATTGAAAAATCTCAGCCTATATAAAGTATGAAAATAATACCTTCATCTACCAAATATATATTTGATTTATTATTATTATTATTATTATTATTATTATTATTATTATTTATATGACGTGAAAATTCATATTTGCTATTGTTGAAATATTTTAGATATTCAGTTTTAAATTTAGTAGATTTATACATAGATTTGATTATATTCATAAATTAGATTACTTAAATTTGAATATATCAATTCTGTTTTGTATTGCCCAGACATGATCCATAAAATAATCTCATTATTTTTTCCCAAAATTTCTAATAGTTATTTTTAGGATGCGCTGGATACATTCATAGTCGAACCTAATTGATTTAATTTTTTTGTTATTATTTATAGTAGAAAATACTTTATAACACACCATTTAATTGATATATTTTAATAGTAAACATATTTATAAATATACCATAATAATTTATAAATTCAAATTATCATTTGTTTTTTACCTTATTAATTTATTTATATGTTAAGAATATTCTTATTTTATTAATTAATATAATATTATAAAAATATATTTTATGAATAGAAAGAATAATATAATAAAGGTCCAATAGTCTTGGTCCTAAACTTGCAGGCCATTTTCACACTTGGGCCCAAATATGTTATAAAGGCCTAGAAGGGTTAAAAAAGTAAAGATACTTTCGTAGGCCCAGTATTCTTACCGATAACCATTGCCCTCTCCTTCACTGTCTGCTTGAGCGCTCTGCGTCGTCGCCGTCTCCATTTGGCGAATTCGTCGGACCGAAGTGGAAATTTGTGCGCAAATCGAACGCTTCTGCTGTTGATACTTTATTTGAGGTAGCTTTTGAGGTAATTGCATGTTTACTCTCCTTTTTGTTCTTTCTATGAATGAAATGAATTTAGCATGAGGATAGACGAGCTTCCAGTCTTGGTTTGATGCTTGTTAATGCTTCTGTTCGTGCAGCGATAGTTGAACTGTAGGCGTTGGTTGATTAGTGTCTGTAATGTTAGGATAGTGTGGTGATAGCTGTCATTTGACTGTAGGCGCTGGATTCGTGTCTCCGATTGTAGGATTGTGATTAATTAGATGTTTATCTGTTCATATTCTGGTTGAATCCAATTTTGCGATGATAGAATTTTACAGTTGTTTTGTTACCTACGGATTAGGGTTTATCTGTTTGTTGTAATTGATTTTGATTTCCTTAATGATTCGCAAAAAGTTCTTTATCGTGTGTTGTTGTGGTTGTTCTGAACTTTGATTTTCAGTTTTTGGATTACCGCAATTAATATTGAATTTGTATTGAATCAGGTGAAACTACAAAACCCTAACGCTAACCAATGGCCTCAGTTCCGCTCCTCCGCCTCTCCCCGCCGCTGCAACCGCAGCTCCTCCACCTCCGCCGCCCACTCCGACCTCTCCCACTCCGACCAAACCTCCGCTTCACAACCAGGTGCTCCTACTCTCCCACCCCGGCCGTCGACCGCCTGATCTCCGCTGCGTCGTACTTCCTCCCCTTCTTCAATGGCCTGCAGTACGGCCGCTTCCTCTTCACCAAGTACCCCGCCCTGGCGGCGCCATTGGAGCCCCTACTCCCTCTCCTCTCTCTCTACCACTCCGTCCCCTACGCCAGCTTTGTGACCTTCTTTGGCCTCTACCTCGGCGTCGTCCGCAACCCCAACCTGAGCCGGTACGCTCGATTCAACGCCCTGCAGGCGCTGGTCTTGGACGTTCTCCTGGTTGTCCCGGTGCTGCTACAGCGGATCATCACCCCCGGCCGGTCAGGTATTGGGCTCATGCTAACTGCATGGGCTCATTCTGGTCTTTTTATGTTCGTGACAGCCTGCTTTATTTATGGTCTTGTATCGAGTGTTCTTGGCAAGACGCCATATTTGCCGCTGGTGGCTGATGCCGCCGGCCGCCAGTTTGACTGAGTTTGTATCTGAGTTTGCACTTTGCGTACTTTATAACCATACCATGTTGTTATTAGTTTTGACCTAGAATGTTGTGAGGAAAATGGTAGCCAACTAATTGCATTCTTGTTTGTGTTTTCGACACCTAATACGTTATTATATATATATATATATATAAATCGTTTACATCATCATCTCCCAGGTGATGAAGGTTAGTTAACTACACTTACTTTCTTTATGCAAAATATATTGAAAGTTGTTGCAATCTCTGTTATTTTATTACGCTCTATGATCCATACAATAATGATACATTTGACTCTACCCAATAGTTCATACTGAATTTATATTATGTTAATATGAATTATATGTCGTTGTATATTGTCTTGTGCTGTCAGCTATGCTGAATTATAAAATTCATCATGGTAACTACTCTCGTGTAGGTAAATCCGGCGAATTAACAAAAAGAGTTTGATATCCGAGCAGGAGACAAAAGGGTTTCCTTCACTCTTACTGATCATACAATATACTAACACCAGCTGTTTTCCATGTGCTGCTGGTGCAGGTCTTCATCTCAATCAAGATTCCAGAGCTGGTAAATTTGGGAAATGGCATATGAAATCACCCGCTTACGGTGCATCTGCTGCATCCTTGCCTTAGTTTCTCTGTCTTCTTCCTCCCTCTTCCTCCATTGGTCCTACTTTTCCGATGTTTCGGTACAGGAAAACAGCCAGGACAGCATATCCCTTCTTGCATTTCCGTCTGCTTGGAATAACCTTGACTTTCCGTCTCTACAGCCTCCCGCCCGTTTCCTCAGAATCGCGCTCTTCGTCAAGAAGTGGCCTGAGGAACATCAAGCCGGAGGCCTCGAGCGCCATGCCTCCACACTGCATCTTCGTCTTGCCCGGCGTGGTCATGAAGTCCACGTCTTCACATCTTCTCCGGGCTCAGGTAACTCAACCTTGAAGGTGAGGAATTTGTATTTCCACCTATCAAAACCGACAAGCGCTGGGTACTTAGATCAAGCAATGGTTTGGAGCCAGTTTCGAGCCATAAACTTGTCTAGACACTTCGATGTTGTGCATACTGAGAGTGTTGCGCTTATGCACACCCGGTCGAGAGATGTGAGCAACTTAGTCGTTAGCTGGCACGGGATTGCTTACGAGTCGATCCACTCAGATATCATCCAGGAGAACTTACGTTCCCCTAATGAGTCGCAGTCGCTGATTTTGACGCAGAGAGTTGCTAAAGTTGTCGAGGAAGTGAAATTCTTTCCGCGATACGCGCACCATGTTGCTACTAGCGATCATGCCGGGGACATTCTCCGTAGGGTCTACATGCTGCCTGAGGAACGCGTCCATGTTATCCTCAATGGCGTCGACGAGGATGTTTTCAAGCCGATGGCGAGTGATGTTGAAAGGTTTAAATCGAAATACGCCGTTTGTGGATTGAAGAACAGCTCGTTGATTCTTGGATTGGCCGGGAGGCTCGTAAAGGACAAGGGACATCCATTGATCTTCAAAGCACTTAGGCAAATCTTCGAAGAGGATTCATCGTTCCGCGAGGGCGTTGTTGTCCTTGTCGCCGGCGATGGTCCCTGGGGAGACAGGTTTCATATTTAATCTCTTCAAAAGTCACTTCTTTTACGATTGTTTCACCTAAAAGTTGAAATTAAAGAAAAGATATGTTGTTTTATATTTAAATTCCTTCGACACAGGTACAGAAGTTTCGGAGATTGCGTACGTGTTCTAGGGCCATTAGATCAAGCCGAACTCGCGAGATTCTACAATACCATCGACATCTTTGTGAATCCAACTCTCCGCGCTCAAGGTTTGGATCACACATTGTTGGAAGCCATGCTTGTCGGGAAGCCGGTGATGGCCACGAGGCTTGCCAGCATTGCTGGCTCTGTTATTGTTGGTGAAGTTGGGTACATGTTCTCTCCATCGGTCGAGGCATTGAAGAAAGCTCTGTACAGAGTGTGGCAAGATGGAAGAGCTTCCCTTAAGCTGAAGGGTCAGCTTGCCCGGAGACGGGCTCTGCGACTATTTACCGCCACCAAAATGGCTGCAGCTTACGAACGGCTGTTTCTGTGTATAGACGAGCAACATCAAGGCGCTGCTGCGACAGATTATTGCACCTACAAATGCGATTAACGAGGAATTCCGGCAACTTTGTTGCTGCCCTATGTCCTTACTGGTCACTTATTGGTCGTAAAAACTGACGCCACGGTGAGCCGGGGAAAGCCCTTCAAAGATTCGGCAACCCAATGTTGGGAGCCTCGACATGCCGACTTCCATGAGGTAGGATGTTGCAATGGTTAAGAGATCCTTTGATTTTAATTTGAAAATTTGTTTAAATAATATTTTAATACGATATCTTGTGATAAAAATAGTATATTATTTTTTTATAAACAAACGTACCCGTAGATAATGTTTTGATTTTGTTTAAGCACCAAAGAATGTACAGTAAAATTTACATGCAATATTTTATTTTAGCTGTATATAAGTTCAATTTATTTTTAAAACATCACGTTCTAAATCTAAAATACATTTACACATCTTGAATACTTTATAACACAGACACCCTACGGTCTTTTGCACATTATGCTATAGATTTACTAATTTGATTGTGTAGAAAAAAGGCATCAGTTGATCAAAAAGCTTTAGATAACTTTCCCTAATGACATAAGACACGTACATTTTTTTAGCCCACTTACTATGAATTGGTTTCAAACTAATTTCAAAATAATCATATACTTAGGGTTAGGTTGGATGCGTGTGTAAAAAAGAATTAAGTAAAAAAAATAAAAATGCATAAACCTATATGCAGAGCAGCCTAAACTAATACATGCCTATCAAGAAAGTGTGCTCATTTGTAGTATTTTGTTATTATCTTCCGTAAACAGTGATTTGATACCGTCTTTTATGAGAGAGAACAAAGCGTAAGGAAAATGAAAAGGAAGACACAAAACAACAAATCCCAAATCCCATGCATACCTTATTCATCATATCTCTCTAATTCAAATACATAAAGCTAGAAAGTCACTTAGAGCACTTAAGCCACCACAAAAGCACTAGAAGTACCTGTAAAATGCTTCACCGATCCCAGCAAGTGCTTTGCTGCACCAAAATGCCTTATCCGGTACACGCCACGACTGGCCGTGTCCGGTATCCTCCACTCGATCGTTGCATGGCTCTGTGGGCTGAGTCTAGCCGGTCGGGACCATATGAACCGGAGGCAGAAATCATCATCGTCGTAAGCAGGCACCCAGAGGTCGCCTCGGAGGATTTCCACCAGTGCAAATGTGCCCTCAGTCATTAGGTCATTTCTCGGGCATGCCGACCAGAAAACTACTGTCACCTCATCACCTCGCTTAAAGGTGCAGTTCTTGGGGACATCGGTCAAGACATCCCCGAATTGGACACCGAGTGGTGTTCCATCCATGACGACGGGTGTAAGAAAGCTTATCTGTTTGTCTAGGAGGTCTGGGGGCTGTGGCCCCCGTTCGACTGGGTGTCCAGTCATGAGATTTGCAGCAAGTTTCTTGAATTCCTGAATGTAGGCGCTGAGCGTGTGTGGACCGTATAGAGTCGAGGCACCCTGAAATGGATAACAAGAATATATTCAACATGCGATAAGACAAAAAAATGGCAAGTTATATAATCTCTTGGTAATTAGACTAACCTCATATCGTTGTATTTCGTACTCCTCGATTGTTGTCACATATTGTGAGTATGTATTTGTCAAGCCAGCTATCACTACATGGATATTCTCACCGAAGGTATTATCGTCTCCACTTGTGAGAACACTCTTAACTGCATCCCGAAGGCGCCTTCCAGCCATTGTGCTGAACTCTACAAATGTTTTAGCAGAAACATAAGAGTGCTTTTTTAAGAGATTGAAAACCAGTGCCTAAAAAGGTGTTGTCGTCGATGGTTAGAGAGATAAGAGTACCTCCGGGCACACTGAGAATGACAAACTGCCCAATTCTCAGAATTTGAAGAGGAAGTATTGCCGGCTGTAAATTTCAGATAAAACATTCTACATATAAGGGAAAGTCGGAATAGGAGCCAAGATATGCGCGTACGGAAATGTAACAATTATTTAGGATTGAGCCAAAACTTAAGAAGATTTGAAATACCTATTAGTTTTATAGTAACAGAAGAAAGAAAATCTCTAGCAAATATTGTCTGGATACTGTAACAAAAATGGGCAACAGGAACTCGGAGCTTATGGGAGCAGTTTGAGCAGCAAAAATTAAATATTGCATTACCAGTAATAAGATTGATAGAACGGATGCTGCAAATTATCTATCTTTAAGGCTGTTAATCACAAGTGTTGATGTTTGACAATATATCGGAGTTAAAATAGGAAGTAGCTGATGATGTGTAGTTTTGTTTTGAAGAAGCAACTATTATCCATAAGTATTATGTATTCATTAAACTACAAAAGTCCTAGTTCGTTGCCATGTTGAAAAGTTAAAACGATGGCGAATTTAATGTAAAGAGGATAGTAATTTCAGAAATGAACTCAACAAGCTTAGAAACAAATTTCAAGATTCACAAGAGATTAAAGTAATCCTAGACAACACCAAGGTTCCATTAAGAATCTGCTTTCTAATTTCAAAAGTACGGATTGAATAAAAATATAAATGTGAAAGAAATGTATCGAACTGGAAATGTCTATATAAGATTTGAATCCAATTCCGTGTTTTTTGATGGACTAGAACCTGCCACTCTAGAACTGGAATCACTGATTCAAGAACCATGGCCATGATTATGTAAAATGCAGAACCAAACTTCAGTGATAATGAATAAATTCGAGGGCTGTATATGAAAACTAACAAATTATTGTATAAATGGACATCATGGACTGCTTAAAAAGCATTGCTGGAAATATATGAAGTCCTTGATGACAAAATGTAATGTAGAAACTAACCGCCCAATCATAAGGTTTGTCCATTTCACCAGTATCAAGTAGAATTGGCTTTGGACGTTGACAGTCGACTTGTTCCTGACCAGGAGTTTTCAGTAAGTTGCGGATGAGTCTCCAAAATGCGTTACCCTGCAGGGAAAGGCCATTAATTTGCAGAACAGATGAGCAGACTACCTGACTAATAGGACATACATACTTCTGTATCCCCCTGCTGAAAATCGAAAGCCCCGGGTCCATCAGTAGTACCAGCAGCAAATGCAAACCCCATAGCAGCAGGACATGTTTTCACAACATCAAAGCCCCCGTTTTCTTTTGGAATCCTCACACTAAGTTTGGAAAAATCAATAAACGTGTGGCGATAGTCAATCTTCCCAACCAATTGCTCCGATGCTTCATTAAAAAGTTTCACCGCCTTCTTGAATTGTCTCTCCCCAATAATACGAGTGCTTTCGAACTCATCAGGATATCTGCCATGAAATTGGGAGTGTGATAAGCCTACACTTTCCAGAAGTAACAAGTTTGCATTAAGCTCTATTATGTCAGCTTCTATTAATTATTGGATAAGCATTCATACCCTGGTCCCCGGCTATAGCATAACTCATTCTGTCCATCACAGGTACTGTGGTTAAAATCACAAGGTGTATCTGTATCCAAACAGAAGGCACCAAGCACGTTTGGACTAACATCGCCGCAATTGGATTGACAAAATGCAGACACAAATCTAGGTCTATCAGCCTGCCTGAAGGCACTTCTCACGCGTCTTGCAGGGCTTGAAAACCTGGTGGTTGATCTGCCCACTGGAGATTCAAAAGATGCAGCAACTTCCAGTAACTCATGATCTGCATAGCCCAAAAGAAGAAACTCAATGCATTAAGTTTTATAAGCACTTACAATGAGAAATAACACTTTCTTGGTAATGTTGGCCGGACATGCAATTCAAGAAAACAGCTAAAATGTCAATTTGTCTGGTTAGCATCTGTAACCAACAGACTTATCAGAAATAAAACAATTAAAAGCACTCCAACACTTTTTTTTTAATGTAGTTCACAGATAAACATTGACACACACACGCACACAATTATTAAAAACTCAATCACCAACACAAATTCATATACATACATAAGGATTGATATATAAAATCTAATAATTATCCTATATAAAGCCCAACCATTGACCCTAAATACAAAATGCTATGCAAACACACATGTATATATACATGTTAAAAAAATATCAGACTAGTCAGACCTAGTATAGGTTTAAGTAGATGTAATCAAGATATTTGACCACATTTACAACAAAAAGTGCTCATATACACTCCTCAAAAATGCAATCTTAACAAACAAACCTACGGAGCTGATACTGACATGAAACAAAACTAATTTGAATATCACATAAAACAAAGGAAAAACTTCCTTTGCAGCAAATACAGGAACTAGCTTAAATAAATTAATCAATATAAATGCTTTGTAGCCAAGTAGTTGTGTATAGCCCAAAGAGTGATCAAGATCCCAGTTGCACACTACAACTGGAGAAAATGATACATATGATTCTAAAGTGTTCCACATTCCAACCAATAGCAACCTCATTTGTAAAATACTTACGATTGTGATTAACAAGAGGAATAATGCTAGAGATCCTTCTGGGTATTTCAATGCTATCGTTTGCTTCAGATGATTTGTTTCCACCACCACTCTGATCAAACCAGTCCTCCATAAAGCGTGCTGCAGCTCCTTTATTGTCTCCACTTATCAATGAATTTGTACGGCTCATGGAAGTTCCATGAGTTGCAAACCAATTGAAGCTTCCTATGGGGCCCCATTCATCATCGACAAACTTCAGCAGGTTCATATCTTTATCAACATTATATTTATATTTCCTGCGCTCTGAGGCAGGGTTGTTGAGGTAAGCACTTGGACTACGATTCACACCCGCATCCAAAAGCTCCCCTGTTTTTACAGCCAACATTGGTGAAAACAATGTAAAACTTTAGAACAATACTTAATGCATCAATTGTTGACCATAGATTCTCAAATAAGCAACAAAAACAACTTTTTATTCAATAAGGGCAGAGAATAAATTTACTGGCCACTCAACAAACTGATAACAATAAGAAAATCATGGAAATTTAAAATAGTCATTCAATAAAATGCTAATCATGAGTAACTGGTGGTAACTACTTGCCAACCATGTTCAATTGAATCAGCTTCACTTATAAAACCACCAGCAAACAAAAAATGAAGAAAAAGCAAGTGGAAAAGGAAACAACAATTGATTAGGAGAAAAGTTAGACAAGTCCTTCAAGTCAAAGAATAGTTAAAAATATGCCGAGTAATGCTTCGTTACCTTAGTTCATAATTATAGGAGGCAAATATGCTTAACTGTAAATATTTAGATTGGGTGTGTTCTGGTGTTTCACAATTAAGCACCAAAGGTGGACTTTACCACTCAAGAAAACCATTGCCCAAAATATGATACATGTGAGCCATTCAACCACTTCCAGAGAGCTAACAAAATCCAATCCTCGAGGCATATTCTCTAAACAAAAAGAAATTTCTATTCATCTAAATGTGAGCAGTCATTCTCCACACCGGCAACCAAAAGACAATCCTAAAATCATTAAGAGAAGGAGCAAGCATTAGAACATAATTTGGATACATAACAAGGAAATGTACTTCTTGTCATTTAAAAAACAGGGTACTGTTTCAGCATTATTGCTTATTGACATAGAACAAGTTCTCCATTCAGCAATAATGATGTTTAAACATTAATGAATTCCAATGCTAGATATAATTTTACCTTTACTCACGTATATAGATCCAGGTCGAAGATTATCATGAGCTTGTATGATGCTCTGTTCAATGCCATTAACAAGGGCATCAAATGATTGTCGCACAAAACCAAGGGATGTGACAATGTACACAACATATTGAAGATAACCACCGGGGCCAGCATGGGTATGAATGCCACTAATGGCTACATTACTCTCTGTATACAGATCCCCATATCTGCAATGCAAAAAATCATGGTACAAAACGTCAACCTAACTTCAAATTTAGGGTTAAAACAAAATTTAACAAGACTTTAAAGTTTCTTCTTGTTGGAGGCTTTAAATTTAATAGAAATTTAACATGATAAGCTTTAGATGAGATACTCATACATTGTAGCAATCCCCATTCTCCACTGTAACCTATTGATTATATTCTTTCACGTACATCTCCTTATTAGTTCAAACTTTTAGGAGTAATGATTTAACATGTCTATTAATATCAAACACTATGCACACTGTTCAATTTCAAATCTGCAAAAAAGTACTCTATGCATAGAAATTAACTTCCACAAACATTACAGTGTCAGCAATCACTCTACCTTGCCTTTAATCTCTCAAGGACTTTCATTGTCACCAGTTGGGATGCCATACAAGCATCAAGATTGACAAACACGACTCGGTTTCCCTCTGGTTCTGCAACAATGAAGGTCCGTGCTCGTAACCTAAAGTGAATGCCAGATGCTGTCTGTTCCATGTTAGCATATCCCATCATGTTGACATCTGCTGCTGGCCCAGTGATATCATAGCTTCCAAGTCCAATTAAGTAGTTGGAAGTTGATTTTACACCTCTACCATACTCTACCAACAAGAGTAAGAGAACTGGTAACCAGATCACTTCAACCAATCTTTTTGTCATTTTTCTATCTCACATTCCCCTGTGATCCAGTCTCTGCATTTCCTTTCAGCAAAGACACGAAAAGTGATAAACTATACACAACAAACAAGAACAGAAGAAAAATAAAATAACAAAAAGTATGTTTTAATTCATGGCTTCAATATTATAATGACAAAAATATAACTTAGCAAGAAATAAGCATAACTTTGAATTTTATAATTCCATACGATGTAACAATCACATTGAACCATCTACGCTAAACACGCCCAAAATCCAGTTTCTGTACCACTTTTCCAATATTTGAGTTTAATTTCTTTTCTTCTTATGGTATCTTCTTCTATAGAATCCATGAACCGAAGTCCAGAGTTAGTCTACACAAACGAATAGCATAGTGTAATATTTATTAGGGAAAAAATAAATAAACAATCAAAATCAAAACATCAAAAGTCACAGAATATTACCAACAAAATTAGTTAAGTACACGGAAAATAAAGCCACAAATTGAGTGAGTTAACATCAGACACGAAAAATATATATAGATATATATATATATATTAAGAAAACAGAGGAAGCAAGTCGATACAATTAACATGAAAATAGAGATAACGCGGTGAAAAGAGGGACACGAATCACCCAAAAACCTCCGTGTACTTAGTTTTATAAACAAACGGCAAAATTAGAGGCCAGCAAAACCTAAAACGGCGAACTCGCGACAAAGTTACACCTGAGCACCTCAGTAAGTAACCGAAAGCTTAAAAAAGGACCACCACCATGAAATATAGTGAAGAAAATAGAGATTAATTGAAAGAATTACCACAAGAAAAACTACAGTTGCTATAGATTCTGCTCGAGATTTTTGCGCGGTATTGACTGTCTGACTGAGTGTTGGTAGCGTGGCTGAGACTTGAAGGCGAAGCAGGTGAAGTGAGAAGAAAGGGAGAGACGGGGTTAGCTGCGAGCGTTGCCGTTGTCCATTCTCACACCATTCAATGTTCTCCACGTGCAGTGTTATCGGGTTTAATGTTTTGTTAGTTATTTTATTAATCGACATAATTACGGTTGATTCTCTTGAAATTCACAAATTTTTGTTGCTATGTTTCATTTTCCAATTTTTGTTTTTTATTTCGTCATTTTTTCTAAAAAATTATTTAAATTTTAATTTATTTTGAAATTCTTAATTATTTTTATTATATAATAATTATAAAAGTATTTATTTATAAAATTTTTAAGCAATGTGTTATATTATATATTTTAAAATTAATTTATATTCATTAAATATATTTAATTTTAATAAAATTTACATGAGCATGGAGTCACTCAGACAATAAAAATTAAGAAAATTAAAATGTAAGAAAGACTGTATATTTATATATTTTGGTATTCTGCCACCATTATTCTTTGGATATGTAGAACAAATCATATTAGATGAATATATATTTAGGGTTTGTTTGTTTGGGAGTTTGAATTTTGAGTTGAAATTTGAATAGTAAAAATTTTGAATTTGAATAGTTGTATGATGTGATATAAATAAGTGTTGATGTGACGTTTTGAATATAAAATTAATTTTAGTTTAATATAAAAAATAAAAAATAAGTGTTTGATTTAATATTTTTTTTTTTTAAAATAGAATGAATAGCAAAAATTTAATCCCATTCTCCAAACAAACAGACCCTTAATGTACAGAGAACTAGAGAAGTAAAAATATTACTACTATTATGTTTTATTATAATTGTAAGAATTAATTGACTTTGTTTTTTCTATCATTTTTTTTTTTTTTCCATATGTTTTTTCTCAACAAAATTATCGATAATGTATTTATTTATTATTTTTATATTTGTTAAATTGAAAATAGAGAAATAGCTGCAGATCACCAAAGACATTTCGGTGGTTGGCTTCCACGTTTCTCTCAATAATTTCTCCGCTCACTTCTCAGTGCCAACAATGAAGAAGCTTTCCACCTCCTCCTCAAACCCTATCAACCATGGCGTCCCCCTCCTCTTCCTCCTACTATTGCTCTCGCAATTGTTGCCAATCACTTCCCGGAAGTTCTTACGAAGCCACCTAGCCGATGGCGATTCCGCAACTTACATTTGGCCTTTGCCTTGGCAATACACGTCTGGGAATCAAACCCTCACCGTTGACCCCAGTCTGTCGCTCGTCGCCACTGGGAGTGGCGGCGGTTCTGTTATTGTTGCCGAAGCCTTTGAGAGGTATAAGAGAATTACTTTCAAGCACGCTGCCAAGTTGCCGGGCAGCGGGATTGGCTATGATCTGACTAAGCTCAATCTCATTGTTCACTCCGAGAATGAAGAGGTTTGTTATGGATGTTCAACTGATGAGCTTCACTTTGGCTTTGTTTGGTTTACTTTTGTCTGAAATTATGTCCGGGTGTTGTAGCTTCAACTCGGAGTTGATGAAAGCTACACATTGACTATTGCTGCGGGAAGCGGGCTTTCAATTATTGGGCAAATCACAATTGAGGTGCATTGACTATATGTTGCAGCTCACCATCGATATTCTTTAATGCGCGACCAATTTCGGTGATATCATCGTAATTTTGCATCATTTTAGCTTTCGGATGTGTTCTTTAAATCCCCACGTGAAAATTAAGGCCTCGAATCTTAGCCATCGCGAGATTATATTCCTAATAAGATTCACCTTAGGGTCTTGAATGTTCTATTACCTTCAACTGACTCAATCAGTTGACTATTGGCTTACACCACTGGTGTTTTGGTGAGCCAGTCAATCTTGAAAGATTGACTTAGTATAAGCCACAGAATGCTATCAACTGTTGTATGAAATTGTTAGAAAAGAGCTTATAATGTGTTCTCATAATTAGGGATCTGACATGCGCCTGAAGCATGGAAACTATGAGTATGCTTTGACTTTATTCATGGTTTTAACCAATTTCTAGTTTTCCCCTTAAAATATGACATTATTGACCCTTGTGACTTTTATATTGTTGTGATATCCAAGATTTAAAGAGTTTATTGTTTTTTCACAGAATACAAACTTTTTCCAACACCAATTATTTTCATCCACTGTTAACATTTGTTATCCAACTATGTTTATGAGGTCTATAGGTAATAGGATCATATTGTAGCATATGCACAAACATGGAGTTGCTTTTTATGAGGTATTTTGTTTGAGACATTTGGATAATTGAGCAGAACTTTATTGTTTGTGTCCATGAAGGTCAATTGGGAGCTAGTCTGACTAATGCAAGGTTCCACTAACTAGCTAGCTTTGGTCCAAGCAGTGTAACCCTTGTCTTAGTTAACTAATTGACGACACTGTGCTGTTCGAATTGGTGTTCAACTATTTATGGCTTCAAACACCCTTGTGGACATGATTTTTGTCTACGCACAGTTTCCGGATTTTCCACCTGAATATGTGAATGCAATTTTCATCCAACCCTGAACCCACTATTAATATGGCAGAAGGTTTTGGTGTGGTATTGTTTCTTGTTAACTTGATTTGGTCCCAAACAATAGTGGTGAAGATTGGTTTAATCTGTATTATTATCTGCTATAAGTGTTACTATAGATTTTACTCATCTTTGTTGTTTTGTCGCATTCTGCAGGCAAATTCTGTCTATGGTGCTTTACGTGGCTTAGAGGTATGCTGAATAATTCTAGGAATTTGTAATGATAGCAAGATTCAAGATTTTGAGTCCTATTTGTTGAATGAGATATGCAACAACAGATCTGTGGTTCTGCACTCCTGTATACACACGTTTTGTTAAATAATTATGAAGTCAAGAAGATGAGTTTGAGAGGTTTTATTGATGAGTCTCTCACTTTGCATATTGGATAGAGTATTCCTGGATGCATTATGAACTAATAGCAGTTAGACACTCTTTCCAACGGTGATGATTGTTTGCTGAAGTTTCAGTGTGCAAAATGGCATAATTATCTTTTACTTATTCGTAATTATACTTTTTCTTCAGACCTTAAGCCAACTATGTGCATTTGATTATGGGGCCAAAACTGTTAAAGTGTATAGGGCACCATGGTACATTCAGGATAAGCCAAGATTCATGTATCGTGGACTTTTGCTTGGTAACTGGAATCTTTGTTGACTTTCAATCTATTTATTTTGGATTTTTCGTTCACATGTCTTTTACTGTTGTACAGATACTTCAAGGCACTATCTGCCAACTGACATTATCAAACGTGTTATAGAATCTATGTCATATGCAAAACTCGTAAGATTGTTAATCATTATATTGCTACTCATTCTTTAGAATCCTTTTCCCTTTTCATCCACATTTTTAGTGTTTTTTTGGAAACTGCTAGAATGTCCTCCATTGGCACATCATTGATGAAGAGTCGTTTCCACTTGAAGTTCCATCCTACCCAAATTTGTGGAAAGGATCTTACACAAAATGGGAACGATATACCATAGAAGATGCATCTGATATTGTTAGGTAGTTTTTCTTTCCTAGTTCCTATTATCAATTTTGATACAAGACTATTGAATATAATATTTATAATGATAAAAGTCTTGAAGTAAAATATGTACTTTTATGGTGCTTTTATTGCTGATTTTTTGTGCCATTGAGAAAAGAAGAAGAAGACAGGTGTACATTTACTAGCCTTTGTAGGATGAGAATTTATTAGACAATATTGTTTAAAGTCTGAAAGTTGGTTTCTATTTCCTGTTAAAAGTAAGTATATATGTTGTTTTATGTTGTTTCATTTTTTCTGTTTGTACTTTCTTCTGATTCAGTATAATGTGCGTGTGGAATCATCTTATTTTTGTAACTTGTAAGTACCAACTGTTAGAGGAGCTGAGATGTTCTCGCTATATTGAAGTTTTCTGTTGATCTAACTCTTAGTTTTTCTTTTATTGTTTTGACTAACAGGATCATGGGATTTTTCTAGTGATCTCTTTTAGTATTATTTTGTTTTACTACGAGAAACTAATGATTTTTATGTCTTCTCCATGCAACCAATCTTGAAGTTTTGCCAAAATGAGAGGTATGATAGTATAGAGTTTTCATCTATCAATAATTCTATTTTATTTGCTTGGTTACACTAAAATTCACAAGATCGCATATTTCAAATCTGTCATAGTATTTGAGTTTTTTGTCTATTCATGCATGCATACATAAAAACCCTCTAGATGCTGTATTTATTTGTCTTCCCAATTTCTACAAAAACTTGTCTTGCATTTCAACTCTTCTCATCTATGTATCATTTTTATTTAACTTGATTATGAAGGTCAAATCATTGATCATCTTTGAATCCATGAGTTCAATTGCGATTTTAAGTTTTCTGGTATATCAATATAAATTAATTCAATTATGTAATTTCAGGAATTAATGTTCTGGCAGAAGTTGATGTTCCTGGGCATGCAGAATCATGGTAAAGGTTAAGATATTTAAATTTAAATTAATCTCATATAACTTCATACTTATAACTTCATCATCTGTTTCTGGCAAGTTGTGTAGTGTTCATGAATCCTGGTGTCTTTTTTTAGCTGAAGTATTTGAAGCTAACAAGCTCAAAGAGGCTACAGTCTTATGTGGTTGTGCAATACTAGTAGTCTTAAATATCATGACTTTCATCTATTTTGATACCCACTTTTCTGACCAAAGTAAGTTCTTATAACGTTGATGTAATTGAGTCACTAGTTCTAGATTCTCTGCTGGCAAATGTCTACTATCAAACCCATAATGCTTTTGATGTTCTGTACTTCTGTAGATTTTGTTATTTGCATTCTGGAATAAAATGGTTATGTTTGGTTTTTCAACAGTGATAACCAGTTTATGATGTTTAAGGTGATCCTTCTTCAACAATTAATTAGTCAAAAGGTGTATGGGCTATTAAGTTTCAGCGATTTTCTCTTTCTATGACTAGTCACAAATCACATTAACTGAAAGAAAAAACTGGGAGATTACGACGAAGATAATTCTCGTTGATGTACTAGGAGTAAGTAGAGTACAAAGCTAGACAGTTAACTACAATAGGAGCTAATTTAGGAGACATAAGGATAAATTCCAACCTTAACTTCTGCTAAAAATACACAAAACAGTTTCACAGTTTGATTCCTTATTCATTTTTTTTTTTTTTTTCCTGCATACAGGGGAACAGGATATCCTGAGCTGTGGCCATCTGCATCCTGCAGAGAACCGCTGGATGTTTCTAAAAATTTTACTTTTGATTTACTATCTGGCATGCTGGCAGGTCAGTATACATTTCAGCCAGTGAGCTCAACAAATATCCTATTCTGCTGCCACTTCTGATGTGTATATGCTTGTAGACTTTGGATATTTTGTATTCTTAATCTCTTCACATGCCTCGGAGATTTGAAAGAATCAATAACTACATTCTAATGGCTGTAGATAATTCTTTTTATGTTGGATATATGCTTGTAGGTCAAATGATTGTTTCAAATACAAGGCTTATCCTTTGCAGAAAACAAACTATTTATAGCATGCTAATTGTTTGCTTTACTTAATTCCCTGTGGTGTTGTATTTGCATGATATGCTTCAATGCACAATAATGCCATACCATTGCGCCACAACAAACATATCTATTAATGTTGCATCATTATATATAATGATTCTGTTAACAGACATGCGGAAGATTTTCCCATTTGAGCTTTTCCATTTAGGTGGTGATGAGGTCCATACAGGTCAGTCAGAAATTTTCTTTTATATATATATATATATATATATTTAATTAAAAGAACTAATGTGTTATTGCTCATCAGCACGCCACCTGATTCAGAATGAAGTTCTAACTTTTTTTTAATAGTATCTATGATACATATCAAATAGAAGTAATATATCATTCAAAATTTAGCAGAAAAATAAATAAATAGATACTACAATCTTTTATAACTTTTCTCCATTAACTACATGCGCTTCTTTTCCTCCTCACTTCCTGCATTCACATTATGCAGATTGTTGGAGTTCAACACCACATGTGAAGCAATGGTAAAATAGCCAACACATTTCACTTGTAACTTTCAGTGTTATATTAGTTTTTGATTGCCATCATGTAAAAGCTCTTACACTATAAAACTATAATTTTTTATGCTAATATCCCAACTTTGTTTTAGCAAAGTTCTTTCATGAATATTTTCCTTTGTTTCGTTTTATAGCATATATAGTACTTACTTGATCTTGTATTTTAGTTCTCCGAATCAAAATGCTAGAATTGGCACTTGTTTATCTTTTTCCTTCCTGATTTTGGACCTTTTATTGGGTAATATTTGTTGTTTTCTTGTGTTCTTTTGCTCACACTTTGCTTGTTGGAATCTGATAGAAATGTAACTGTTGCTGTTCATAATTGTAGAAGCCACCATTATTGTCTCAGTAAAGGAAGAACATAATTAAAACACTACAGCACTACCCAGTAACTTGAGAGTTGTGGCTCCTCCAAAGATGATCTTGTACATATTTGGTTGGTTGGTTTTGTTTACATTTAGGTTCTTTTTTATTAGATTCTCAGCTGTCTTGGGATTTTATATTTGTACGATTTTAGTAGGAAATATACACTGTATTATCTTACATTCCAAACCATTTGATAAAACTTTCTATAATTTGTTGAGCTTGCATGCCCTTTTTCTCCCTTGAGTCTTAAGACTTGCTTTCTTTCTTTTTTATTTTTTGCGGAGTTACTTTACTGTGATGTTTGTTACAGCTACAAATGCAATTTTCAGGCTTCAAGATCACAATATGACTGGCAAAGATGCATATCAATATTTTGTCCTCAGAGCACAGGAGATAGCAATATCATTAAATTGGACACCAGTCAACTGGTGAGAGCTGATTTGTACTTTACCGCACAACAAACTTTCATAAAATTTTTGGATGAGTTACAGAAATATTATTCTGCTGCCTCCTGTGAGATTTTTGCTTCTATAAGGATATACTATCTTTTACATATTTGAAAACTGAAGCTACTGAAGAACTGTTCTCCAACTTTGGAGTCAAAGTAATGCTATCATGATTCAAAGGTTGCAGTAAGTTATACACAATAGTTTGATTTCAGGGAAGAAACCTTCAACACCTTTCCAGCGAGTCTCAATCCCCGGACTGTGGTACATAATTGGTTAGTATCTTGGTCAATATAGACACACTGCTAAAAATACAAGTAATTCCAAGGCATGGAAATTTTGATATTATCTCACAGGTTGCAAGCAGGTGTCTGCCCAAGGGCTGTTGCACAAGGTTTTAGATGCATCTTCAGTGACCAAGGTGTTTGGTATCTCGACCATTTAGATGTACCTTGGGAGAAAGTCTATTATGTAGAACCTTTAGAAGGGATCAATGATGTTTCAGAAGAAAAACTCGTGCTAGGGGGAGAAGTTTGCATGTGGGGTGAAACAGCTGATGCCTCAAATGTTCAACAAACAATATGGCCTCGCGCAGCAGCAGCAGCTGGTATGTGTTCATGGTGCCCCGTAGTCTTTCTCGAACCTCCTTTTTCTGGGATAATACTTCTGTCCTTCAAGCAAATAGCATATGTTGGTGTGTTTAGAGCTGTTCTTGGACAAATGCTTAACCAATTATTCTTTGAGACTATTGGCTTGCTTCCTTCTTGTTCATAAATTAAAAAATTATGGCCACTGTGATTCTCTGATGCATGCGGGCATGCACATTCTGTATTAAATCATCTATTGATTCATGTTGCTTTTCTCGTGTAGAACGTCTGTGGAGCAAAAAGGAGTCTACATCGGCCAAAAATAGTACATTGGAAACTTTGTCAAGGCTGGAGTATTTTCGATGCCTCTTGACTAGACGGGGAGTACCAGCTGCCCCTGTCACAAACTTCTATGCTAGGAGACCTCCCATTGGCCCTGGATCATGCTACAGTCAGTGAAAACATGCCAATCATTTTGGTAAAAAAGTTTAATGTATCGTATGTTCTGTGTTATTAATTCATGTATGTTTTCCTTCCCTTACTTGCTTTACAATGTCATCGATGTCTGTGATTTATAAATCTCTTATGTGCTGTAATCCAAGATTCCTTGATTAGATACAAATGCTAATAGAAAGATAGATCAAATAAATATAAATCCAATGGAAAGCAAATATAATTACTAATCACTGCCAAGAACACATGAATAATTACTAAAGAAATGTCACTGATAGAGGATACCTAGAGAACTTAGAAACTTTTGTTTTTGAAATTACCATGCCAATTCCTCCGAGTTATTACCTTGTCTCGTAGCTTTAGTTCATTAGTTTCCTAGAAACTTTTGTTAACGAATTATAGGAAAAACAATAGAGGTAATGTTTGTTGTCCTATGTGAACTATGTTGAGATTATTGCTGAACCCACAGGAATCTACAGAACATAATTTTGCAAGAGAACCAAATACTTATCCTAAATATACTTATGCTCAAATAATCAAATGCTAGTCGATTTCAAAGTTGCGGTGGCAAACCTCCAACATAAAGATTAAGTTGAGCATGGTCTACTTTTGGGACATGCCCATTTGGCTCAACATGCTCATATTCCTTCCAAACATTAAGGACACCAAACATTAGATAGGTACTTGGCTACGTTTACAAAGATATATGTCGAATTTGTGTCGCCATGTGTGTTGTTTCCATTAGAGTTGTGTATGCTTTTCTTCACACCTAACCTCGATCATTCATTGAATCAACACAGTTTAGACATACTTATCAAATTCACTAACAACTTGATGTGCTCCATTATAGTCTTTACCTCATGTTTCGTGCTTGCTTATCTGTTGTTTGTTTGACGTATAGCTTTTGTTGTTTTTTCTTTCTGAATGTATCTTATCGACGTTTGTTTAGGGTGTGTTTGGATTTGCTTTTGGTGGTTTTAAGGTCATAAGACACATTTAACTGATCGAACAAAAATGAGATCATAATGTGTTTGAAGAAGACTTAAAAAATGTATATACTTTATATATATATATATATATATGTAAATATCACATATTCATTGAAGACTACATATGCAATACTTTAGTCACACTGTCGTAAGTCTTTTTTTCTTTCTAGTCTATGTGTACTATAGAAAACTTTTAAGACATTCATCTATTGTGCTTATTTGGAAGTTTGATTCAGTTTTTTACTATATAATCTTCACCTTCACGATTTTATTATTATTTTTTAAAAGCTTTTCTTTTTTTTCTTTTTTTTTTTTCTCATAACATATCTATTCAAATCAAAATTCTATAAATATCTTTTCGAATGTCTTGATAATTATAATAACCGAGTCGTATTCTTTGCTTTCAACAAAATAATATTGCCACGAGAAAGAAAACAGGAAAGTTGAAAGGAGGGTCTCTATCCTTAGATGATAGAAGGTAGATTGATTATGCAAAAGATGGGACTGGGATGGGATGGGATGATCCTTTAGTATCGAAACACTTTGTGTGTGTCCATTTTGTGCACACCCCATGTTGGTTCGTTTTGGACAACCAAATTCCAATAATTGCAATATATATAGAGAGGGCCAACAAAGTATCTTTTAATTTTTTGACACGTATATCATGTTTATAGTTGGGATCATTTAAAAGTAGAATGAAAATAATAATAATAATAATAAAATTATAACTTCTGATAATATATTGAAGAAAATTCATGTGTAAGTTTATATAACCATAAATCACTAAAGAAGGGTTTTACTTTATAATGATGAAAGCTTATGCTTAAAATGATGTGATATATATTCAATGTCAATGTTGATAAACAGTGTTAAAATTTTTAGAATTATGTACCTAAACATAGCTATGTTTTATTATTATTATTATTATTTTGATAATGTCGGTATTATTATTATTATTTTGAACTCACAGCAGCTATCCTAACATTCAGCGTATAATATTTTACAACACAACATATGTTGTATTATATAGAAATTAATGTTGTTTATCTCATAACACATATTATTCAGTCAAATTAGCACCTATTTGAATATTAACCAGATTAGGGTGGGATCCACACTCTTAAAAGGTAATTATCTATATAAAATTTGAACATTAAAAATAATATTTTGGATGAAGAAAAAATTATAATATAAAATTAAATTGCAAAGAAAATTTTGAAAATACAAATTAGAGCCTTAGTTGCACAAGCTCTCCCTATAAGTATTGCAAACCTTTGGTTTCTTGAACCATTTTACATATACACACACCTCTCTCTCTCTCTTGACTCTCTCTCTCTCACACACACATACACACACTGATTGGTATGCTGCCAAACATGTTTCGACCTTTTAGAAGCGATAAGTCATCAAGGTTGCAACAAATTTGTATTTTCATGATAATATAATTACACGATGAAATGATGAATATGTCTCAATATTGGCATGTAGGGCGAAGAAAATTGAACTTGGAATGAACGACGAGGACATTTATGGCGCGGAAGAGAGGCATCATCTTCATTGTCTTCATCATTGTCATTATCATCGACAACAACGAGGTTATGGCGCGCATCCGTCGTCTGTGCCATTCCGAGGAGATCCCCTCCAAACTTGCAACAATTCCTCCTTGAAATGCCACAATAACAACAACTATAGGTAACTCATTTTCATCTATTATTTCTTTATTTTTTTGGTCACTTACCAAGTATGGCATTGGGAATAAAATTTATATTTTGATCAAATTAGTATTTTAGGTCATCTAAAATTTATTTTATTTGAGTCAAAATAGAGTATTGAAAGATGGTATAAAAAGTTTAAAATAGCATTGTGGAACTACCTTCAATAGAATAATTCAATGTTAATAATTGCTTTAGACATATGATATTTTATGTTTGTAAAGTAGAACTGTTACACAAAGTTAATCATAATAATGAATTGACTTTCTTTTTGTAAGAAATATTTATAAAATAATTGAGTTGAATAAATTTAATTAGATAAAATTTGATAAAATGAGAATTCTATATATATATATATATATATACATTATATATGACCACGGTAACAATAACAGTCAAATTTATATAAGAAAATAAAACAAATTTTTTTAGTTCGATTTTGTTACTATTATTTTTTATTTGAACAATAATTTGAATATTATGTTTAATAAAAATAAATATTGTAAAAATTGTAAAAAAGAAAATTTAAAAAATCAAAATTACTATTATGACCAAATCCAAAATCAAAGTATGTTTTTTAAACATTAAAAACAAAAAGGAAAAATCATAAGTTATATGATTACATAATGATATACTAGAGTACTATTTTCGAATTTTTGTACATCATTGGGTAATTAAGGAGTATTAATTAATTAATAAGATTTCAGATTTAGGGCATTTATTTATTTAATTCTTTAATAATTATTTTTTATACGCTGCAAAAATAATAAATAATAAATGTAACTCAACAACCAAATGAAAAGCTCTTGAGAGTTCTGACGAATAATTTATTTGCAGAAGCGGGCAGAGGTTGAAGAAGAGGATGACGAGCAAAGTCTCCAATTTCTCCGATCTGATCCAGCGTGTCACCGCCAATTGCCTCCTCCACCCTCTCGCCGGAATCTCCAGGGCGGACGAATTATCTGTCGCCGACGAGGAGGAGGAGGAAGTGTACCAGAACGCGGTGGCGGAGGAAGAGGAGGACGACGACGACGACGAAGAGGATTATAGGATTGGAGCTAATTGGGAAGATGCGAAGCACGGCGAGGATCCGCCACCGCCGGCGAAGGTAATGGAGCTGCAGGTGATGATGAATCAGGTGTTCGACGCCGTGTCGGCGATGAAGAAGGCGTACGTTAGCCTCCAGGAGGCGCACTGTCCCTGGGATCCGGATAAAATGCGCGTAGCTGACGTGGCGGTGGTTGCGGAGCTGCGGAGGTTGGGGCTGCTCCGAGAGAGGTTCAGGCGGAGCGTCGGAGGCGGCGGGAGGTGGCCGGGGATGGGAATCGGAATCGGAATGGGGGCGGCGACGCTCCGGGAAGTGGTGGCGCCGTACGAGGCGGCGATGGAGCAGCTTAAGCGTGAGGTCAAGGCGAAGCAGGTGGAGGTCGAAAACCTCCGCGACAAGCTCAAAACGGCGACGTCTTTCGACCGCAGCGCCGGCGGCGGCGGCAAGTCGAAGGGAAAATCTAAGCGGCGAGTAAGCTGTTCCACCCAAGGTCAGTGTGTGAAATGACGTAAATACCCTCGCACCCTCTTTTATTTTCACATATTTATATTAATGAACGACTCTCTGTCACTGTTGACTCTGAAGTTCACTCAATCTTCTACACTTATTTTCATTTATTTTTTTGGGTTTTCTGAAAATAAGATTTTAAAAAAATAAACAAAAGTGTCTCTTGCTATTAAATCAATCCACTTTATTGATTTAGTTTCCGATACTTTTTGAGGTATATGTGCATAAAAAAAAGGCTCCTTTACTAACAAAAAGTTATTCCATTGCTTCTTCCCAACCGTTTCAACTATCTCAGAAAATGTGTGTTTTGAATTATGTGTTTCTTCTAATTTACTGTAACGTTTAGTTTATAAGTTTTGAAATTTTTGTAGAATATAAAAATAAATAAATAAATATCTGATTTAATTGTGTTCAAATTTTTCAAAAATATTTATATAAAGAGAGCCGTGTGGGCATTAGTCCCAGTGTACTCACCGTGGCGCTATCTTTCACAGTTGCTCCGGCGCCGGCGCCGGCATCGGAGCTGTTCGAGTCGACGATGACCATCGTCAAAGAAGCCTCGAAATCCTTTACGGCGCTTCTTCTCGCCCTCATGCGTTCAGCCCATTGGGACATTGCTGCCGCAGTCCGGTCCATCGAAGCCGCCTCATCAGCCACCGCCACCACCGCCGCGCCATTCCTCGACTCCGTGATCAACATCAACCACGCAAAGTATGCGTTAGAGTCGTACGTCAACCGCAAGATCTTCCAGGGGTTCGACCACGAGACATTCTACATGGACGGGAGCCTCTCCTCCATTCTCCACCCAGACCAGCACCGTCGGGACTGCTTCACCCAATACCGCGACATGAAGGCCATGGACCCTGTCGAGCTCCTCGGGATATTGCCTACGTGCGGCTTCGGGAACTTCTGCTTCAAGAAGTACCTCTCCATCGTCCACCCCAAAATGGAGGAGTCGTTGTTCGGAGACTTGGAGCAGCGGCGGCAGGTACTCGACGGCCACCACCCGAGAAGCCAATTCTACGGCGAGTTCTTGGGGTTGGCTAAGGCCGTGTGGTTGTTACACTTGCTGGCATTCTCGCTGGATCCGCCTCCAAGCCATTTCGAGGCGAGCAGAGGTGCCGAGTTCCATTCTCAGTATATGGAGAGCGTTGTGAGGATCGGCAGGGAGTCGTCGATGGTCGTCGGGTTCCCGGTCAGCCCTGGTTTTAAGCTTGGGAATGGGTCGATTATAAGAGCCAGGGTCTATTTGGTGCCCAAGAACTAATGATGATCAGGTTGCAATGGAGAAGTAAATCTTTGTGGTTTTTCTTTCTTTCTTTCTTTGATGTACTTTTCACGTTGTGTAATAATAGTCGAGTCTCTCCCTGAATAATTTTTGGCTTTAGCTTTCTACTTAAAAAAGAGTAACAAAAATTAAGAGCTTATTTATTTATTTATATATATTAATAAATTTTATAAGTTTTTCAAAAAATCAACTTCCAAACACATTATACAACATAATAACTACGTAACATATTTCAACTGCCTTTTCCCAAGGCATGAGCTTGGGCTCGTATATAATGCTGCTGTATTATACAAATACAAGAATGAATCGAGTTAAAAATCAGTTTCAGAATGGAATTTCCCCTATGCAATGAATGTTTTTATTTCCATACATGTTTTCTCACCTGTGGTATATGTATATCTATTTGGTTCCCAACCGGGAACTGAGCCGAAGCCCTTGTCGGAGCTAAATGTGCCATTGTTGCGAATCGAAACAGGAAGATGGGATTGCGTGTGACCATCTTTTCAATACAAGAGTCGCCTGACCTGCGGATGAGCGAGGGCATGGCCGGAAAATGTTGGAAATGATAAGATACAAGAGTCGTCTATTTTTTAAATATGTCTTTACATGAAAAATATGTAAAAGTAATAGGAAGAATTGAATTCTAAATCTACAATTCTACGTACTTAATTATATCTCATTAGTAAATCCTATAGAAATATTGCCAGATGTTTTAGTCAAAAAGGGATCTTCAATAGAAAAACAAAAACCAATCTAGTTTCTACACAAGGAAAACATACTGATTTTTAATTATTCCACAATCAGCTAGAATCAATAAAATTCTACGGAGGCATTAAATTGGAAAAAGGCATCAAAAAACGCATATTTAAAGGAGGGTTAAAACAGACGGCAAACTTAGGAATGATGTCGATATAACGACCCAAGATCCTTTAGCGAAACAGTGGACCAATCAGTGAAGATGACATATGGTGGGGTTTAAAAACAGCTTTGCATCGCATGTTGCAGGACATGTGGGCTGTGGAAAAGGTAGGTTCTATGTGATGGCAATATTAGGTGAAGAAAGCCTTTCATACAAATGACAAGCACTCCACGGCCCATTTGTCACTAATCAATCGAGGAAAAGAAAATGATAGTCAAGAGTTCTCTACATAGCTATCCATGCTCCTTCTAGAAGGATAGTCAATTATTATCTGAAGATTAATGTGAACTGTTCTAGTAGTGATCTATGAAGGCAACATAGATAGACTCGGATAAACTAGAAGTTGAACAACGGTCATGATTCATTTCCAAAGAAGAAAAGTTGAGTTCAAAGTAGTAGGGGTGCAAGCATATGCAGGCAATATTTTATATCGAATATGTTCCTTCTATATATATAATTCTAAAAGTTAATTAGTCAGTTTGTCATGCCATGAGAAAAGTAATTTTGCATATGAAAGATAAATCATCTTACTTGTTCGAGAGTCAAAAACATAATAACATTCCATGATCCAAGGCGGACATAATTTGGCAAGAAGCCCTTGTAAAAAGCATTGAATCCCTGCCAACAGAGGGTATCAGCCACAACATCAGTAATTGTGAAAAGAAGATCATGAAGAAAAAATGCACAAAAATGCTTGAATGTTCCAATTAATTAGATTATCTATGTAGGTTATGTTGCGACACATCACTTTAAAGTTGCAAGTACTCTTCCTTGATGTGGAAGGACTTGTGCTTGACGATATAATTATTAAAGTTCCTCAGAACATATATGCACACTAAAAATCATGTTATTTCCAAATTATCTTCTAATGTCATGCATGTCATGAACTCGTTCACATACAATTCACTCTATCAATAACCAAGCCAGATCCAGTGTAGAGGATGGTAGCTACAGTTACATGCATTTTGTTTCATTACAATGATAAGCACTTGAAATAGATCAGATTCATAAAATGTAAAAAGTGAATGCTTCTAGCATATTCCAACTACTAATTCTAGAAATACAAAAATTATATCTAAATTTCTATATTCTGTATGGTTATGATATTGAGAAGTAATGAGTAGGAAGTAATGAAAAAAATTAAGGCTGTTATCTAGGCTGTTGTTTATGGTACATCTATACTTCTACAATTGGGAATAAATAAGCTTAAGTTCCAGTGGGAAAAAAATAATACTAATAAATTGAGAGGAATATATACCTCATTTTTTAATGTCTTGAAGAAGCAATCTATTGTGCTTTTGTAGACTGTCTCTCCCATCATTCGAGATTTAACCTGTGAAAGAAACAGTGGAAAAAAAATTCATATGGGTATGGGAATTTGTCTACTCACATTTAACTAATCTTATGAGATAGCATACATATTTTGATAACACTAAAAAAGGTGAGAACAAAGTCCACTAATAATTTGTTGGCATTCATCATTTTTCTTTGATCAATAACTTTCTTGCCAGCCATTTTCTCTACTAGCTTAAAAAATAAATGCCTATAGCCAAGATTTGATATGATCATTTTTCTAGTAATGAAGAAATTGGGTGCACATTATAACCAGTGGTGAGTTTATAATGACTTTCAATAGAGTATTATCCATCAGAAGGATACAAATTAATTTAGGGTAACAAGATTACCACATCAACGGGTGAGCCAATGCAGACTGCAAAGAATCCAGCACCTAAACCAGCTAATAATTGTGTTAAAATATTGTCTGCAAATCCTGAAAGTTTCACAATTGTCTGCACATACCATAAGTTAATTTTATGCAAAAAATGTCCCACGAAATATTACATAACAGCAAAAAGGATTATAAATTCCCTGCAAAATAAATAAAAATAAGCTGACCTCTTTGATGTGATCATAACTGGCTAATTCTGCAGCATTTATAATTGCATTTCTTGCAATATTAGGCCCAAGCCCTGTCCACAAAGCTGTGATTCCTTCCTGTTGGCTTGTGGTGCTTACATTAGTGGCTGTTATATCAGAGTGCATCTATTGATTACTGTAATGAAGGTCACCTGTTTGACTATGGAACAATAAGCATCAAAAGCACCATTATAACGTCTTGGTACTCCCACAGGCAATTTACCCTCAGCTTGAAGCCGAACTTTGACAAGGTCAGTGGGATTAGCAACCGTTATTGCTATGGCACCTTTGCATAAGGAAGAATGTCTTTATTAAGTTTATATATACAACAATCAATCTTCATATACAGAGAATGTGGAAAGGAAAAGGGTTGGTATTGCATTCACCAGTAAGCAGAGCCGTTAATATTTTACTAAACAAGGGCATGTCTCCACTTAAACTACTTCCAGTGATGAAGGACTTGACCTGCCCAACCGACCATAAGAAAGTTTTGTTTACATGATTCAATATTAAATTTTCATGAAAGATCAACAAAAGGTTGTAATGCATACATGCTCATATAACCCAATTCTTAAACCCCCATAAAGACATTGACGATGCAAGCCTGGTACAATGCCTTTCCAAAGTGCAAATAAACCTTCTTCCTTTGCTATTGTAACAAGTGTACCAAACAATCCCTTGTATTTTTGTGCAGTTGAAGATTCACCTGAAGGAATTCTCTTTTGTAGCTGAAGCCTTACTTTAGCAGTATCTAGAGGAATGGTACACAGCTGCACATGACCACCATGTGAGGGATTGGTCTATCAACGGGTGAAACCTCACTTTTGACGCAATAACTACTAGAACATATGTTATTGATTGTTGCAGAATGAACAAATAAATGAAAGTTCGATCAAATGGCTTACTTGTGAAAATTTTCATTATGCAAAGATTATACTGACAGAAAGGACAGCTCGGGTACCATGTTTACATAATTTCTATCCCAATAATGTGCAGCCCATTGGTGTGTCCAGAATATAATATGCTTTAATAAACAAAGAAGTCCATTTTAAAGGTGTGGCTAATTGTTGCATCATTAGAGAAGTAGTGAATAAAACATTTGTAACAAGTTAATTAGATTAACCGAAGATCAATAAACTTTTTGGTTTCCAAGGCAGATGTGCAAGAAAGTATCAATAAAGAAACAGCATAAATGGCGATCTTCATTAAAAAAAAAAAATGAAATGTGCTTCTGTTTTACACAATTTGTCAATTCCTCAAGGTGCAGTCGAATTTAACTCATGCATATTTCCTGATTGTATAGCTCATGCATCTTTTGACCAACCAACACTACAAGTAATATAAAAACAACAGATACATGCACAGAATCAAACAACCAAATCTCCTAAATAACAGCGGTGCACTAAATTAACCGATGCTTGCTAATTAGCCCATCAAAGCTGAAATTACGTAAACAACTTACTCAATAATTAAAATATGGAAAAATTTACAAAATCGCGCGGCGACTACTTCTGCGAAACCAGACAATGCAACCGCAAATAAGCAACAGTTGGAGTGATAAAGCCTGACCTAGATAATTTTCAGTAAATTGGAAGAAAGGGGGAAAAAATTATACCTCGGCGAAACATGCAGCGAATGCGCTGCAGACAAAAATTCCGGCGAACGAGATCTCCGGCGGAGTGTCGGCCATTGTTTAAGATCGATAGAAATTCCACTCAAGGGCAACAAGGATTCATCTGATAACTGCACCGTCAGTCTCCTCTCCAGTTTAAATAATGACCATGTATTGATTGTGAAGTAAAGTGCTGTGCTGTGCTACTTATTTATAAATTATATTAATCTAAAAATTAATTTACTGAAAAAAATATTCCCCCCCGTATCAAACGCTATGCCATATTTTTTTTATATATATTCCAAATATTATGCAACATTTTCATTTAATCTCTACTCCACTCTGTCTTCTCTCATTATCCAAATATTAGCACCTTGTTTCGAATATCCGGCGCTGCGCTCCAGGGAGCTCCTGCGAAAGTGAAAGTAGTTGAACTGTCCTTTAGAAAGTCGCATTTTAGGAAGAAGTGTTCTCCAAAGTCGCATTTATCGATAATTTAAGCACATGACTTGATCTTCGCGCTTATTCAATACCATAATCCAATTCTAACTGGCCTGGTTTGTACATAGATTTTTTTAAATGTTTTTTCTTACAAAATATTACAACAAATACTAGAAAAAAAGTTGGAGAACTCGGGTCAAGCTGAAACACTATGCATACAGAAATTAACTTTCATGATCTCTCAACAGAAAGAAGAAAAAAATACAAAAAAAAAAAAAAAGTCTACAGCTTCCTCCATATTATTATGCCAAAAGAAATCAGCAATTAACTCTACAGAGAGAGTTACAACACACACACCGGGACACAGAGAATTTACCCTTTATGGCCTTAGCTCGGTCTATTACAACATACCATGGCACAAACAATCAGCAAAAGTACACTTACACACAACAGATCGGAAGAAGCTATGCACGCTGTCGGGACAAAAGATTATCAGCGCTTCTTTTTTTCATCTGTAGTATCTTCCCAGTATGATGATGTCTTTTCCGAGCTGTCTGTACAGATTCTATCAATGTCGTCGATGTATATGTACAAGGATACACAGAACAACACACCTGTCTGTTGTTTACCAGACGCGAGCCGTGTAGATGATTGGAGTCGGCAATTTTCAGGAGAGGATAAGAAGATACACGCAGCTTCTCATTCTAGACAATGGGGATTGGCTTTTATTATCAAGTATTTGATTGTAGAGGAAGAAGAGAGCCTTGTTTTCCGCGGACAAAGAATGTGAGCTCTGCGGGAGCAACCACAAGTCTTAACAATTCTTGCAGTTCCTCTCCCTCAACTTTTTCATTTTCTGCAAACATAATAGTTGAAAGATCATTACAAATCCAATATAGTTTACATTCGACAATCCATAAAAGTTAAATCAGCAGTAGTGGCAGAAAGATGCTTCTTGTTCTATCAAGTATTCGCTCTCTTTCTACTTTTCATTTTAAACAATGTGTCGGTTTGACTAACAGCTGTGCTAGTGATCTACTAAAGAAGTCTCAATGATTCGTTCACTTTTGGTGATTTTTTGTCACAAATTATGAGATCATTTGATTCTTACAGGGAACTAATTAGTGCGGTTAAAAAAGTAAAGTTTTTCTACTACCTTCTAGGTGGGCTCCGAGGCCCTCCAAGACAGTTGGATTAGCACGAACAACTGATAGTGCTACATCAAGAGCAGATTGTAGTAGCATTTTAACCTCTCTTTGAACAAGATCAACAAGATGCCCCTGTCAAGTAAAGTTTAGGTTAGGTTAGGAATACAGTGATACGGTGGAATGTCGAGAAAAACAAAATTGCATAGATATGCCAGGTATCACCTGCTCCCTCCCCCAAAGGGAAGATGCCCCTGAATCGTCCATTCCACCCCCTGAAAGGGTGGCCAATGAGACAGGGCCTATGGTTTCGCTAAGACCATATTCAGCCACTGCCTTGTATGCCATATCAGTTGCTCGCCGGATATCATCGAGCGCACCTGTTGATACACGGCCAGAGTAAATAAACTCTTCTGCTGCACGCCCGCCAAGAAGGGTAACAAGGCGCCCACGCAACTCATCGATGAAGAGCAAATACCTATCTTCAGTAGCTGGAGGTGTGTAAGTAAATCCTAGTGCTCCTCCAGATCTTGGCAATATGCTCAGCTTCTAATCAAACCAAAACAATGCATAGATATTAAGCATCACTTCTCATAGGTTCAGCTAAGACATCAGGAATGAGGAAGTAATACATCAAAAGAATATCCACAAGAAACACGACACACTGCAAAAACTGAAGGAATTCCCGAAAGTATATATGTTTCACAATCCATTCTTAACATTATAGAGTACTATAATCGAGTTCAATTTCAACACATTTCCGTTAACTTTGACAATTAGTAAAAGCCCAAACCAGAATATATCCAAAACCATCAGGAAGAGTGAACATAATTAAAGTATAAATTCAAGGATAAAGAAAAGCTCCTTGGTCTGGTATGGCATAGTTATAACAAATTGGTTTAGGCAACTTCTCTTATCACCAATTGGTTTTGAGATGGAGCCCCGATCTCTTCTTAACAAATAACAAAGGAAATGTTTAACTTGCACTATATACTTCATGTCTAAAAAATTTGAAGTTCATCAGGCACAAAGACTCTTCATCCTTTGACTTCATTTAAAATACAAGATCAACCAAACAGAAAATCCCGGTGTATGAAGCCATCAAACCAAAAGGCACCAAAAGAATAACCAAAACAACAAATAGAAAATCTAGAAGCAAAGGAGAAGACTGTTTTTTCTCCTTGCACAACAGACAGTTTCTCAATTGGAAGAGATTGGTTTTAGACAGAAAAACTACAGTTTCTTGTACCTGTCGTAAAAGATTATTTTCCTTAATATATTATATTGAATACCACTTTATTTATACGTGGTAATACACAATAACCGCATGGAAGCCTAATCAAATTTGAATGGGATTTAAACAACCAATATATTGTAACTAAAATACAAAATGGATCAACCAAAATCGTGATTGCAAATCTATATGGCTGCATTTCACAGCCAAGTAAAGCTTCTCAACTCATCTTTAATGTTTGGCAAAAAAAGCTCATGCTTGGAACAGCACATACTTACTTGTATGATGTTTCATATATTCCCATGTAACTAAAATACAAATAAATGGATCAACCAAAATCATAATTGAAAATCTGTGTGGCTATATTTCACAGCCAAGTAAAACTTCTACTCATCTTTGAACATTTAGCCAAAAAAGCTCATGCTTACAAAAGCATTCTCCCTTGTAGCATAACATAAGTTTGTAATTAAATATATAATTATTAGTGCCCATGAAAGCAAGTTGTTTAGTTAAATCCCAACCAAAAACACTTCAATAAAATAGTCTACTTTCTATTCATAAAGCATCTTTAATCACAGTAAAAACACCTAAAAAATGCAGTGCTTGATGGCCCAAAGACCCGCGAATAAATAACAGCTAACTATCGCACAACACATTCCAAGTGTCACCCCACCAAACACTTCATGGTACCATGCAGCTCTCAAACAAATGTAAAACATGCAAGGCCATAGTAAAAAACCTACAACCCACATCTTTGGAATAGATTCCTAATTCTATCATAGTTTAAACGTTCAAAATAAAGTGTGGGATGAATAAGTACTGGGAATCACTAGAGAGCCAGCCCTGCAAGTTGAACATTTCCAGGACAAAAGACTTAGGATAGCTTGGAAGACTGATATTTTGTGGCTGCATCTATGCACTGTTAGAAAATAATCCCAAGACTCGACAAAGATTCCAACTAAAGAATAACAAGGTTGATGTCCCTTTCATATCATATCTGAGTAAAGATAGGAATGAGTGAAGGGTGGGATCAGAAACTTTCTCTTATTGGATAGAAAATACATCTTGAACAATACAAATAACTTGGAACAATAATTATGCAGATAAATTGTGACCACTAACTAGTATTGAAGTTTGTGTAAAGAAGAGCAATAGTTACAAAGACACTGTAGTTAGATTTATTTTATTTTATTTTTTGGAGGGGGTGGTAGTTAGTGTAAATCATTCTACAGGTCAACAGAGATGATGAGAATGAGACATGGCTGTAGAATAGTTAGCAAACATGGGCAATGTATGACGGTAGGTTTCTATAGGGCTCAAAGGAAAAGAGAGAATGAAGATGTGTCTAAGACACCTTTATGAGAGAGGGGGGCACACACATTAAATCACAAAACAGTTTTAACTTCTTCACTGGAATCTTGTAAGAATATGAATGTCTTTTAAAAGCTTCAGAATCCATCGGTAATGATTTTCATATCTTGAAAGGTGCAGTTGTAATTTCTAAACTTGACAAAATGGTCGGAAATATGCCAAAACCTCAGAGGACTGAGCTATACTCATCCTAAATTGAAGATGAAAATGCCAAACAAAAACCATTATTTCAATTACCTCAACCCTAGGCTGTCCAGGAAGAAGATTTGCAACTGCAGTTCCCACAACTGCATGGCCTGCTTCGTGCCGTGCAACAACAGCTCTCTCACTGCCCTGCAGCTTAGCTGTCTTCTTTTCAATACCCTGTTACACATCACAAGCTCATCAGACACAAGAAATCTAAAACTGGCAAGCCACCACAGTGCCACTAATACAGTAAAACTTAGAGTGTCTACAGGTGCAAAATAGGGTGGTGGGTGCGGTCATTGGCAAGAACTTTTTATTTCAAACAATGATGCTTACAGATGTAGAGTGCTTTGCTGATATGATAGTTCAACTTTCTATGTTTCATCTGAGATTCCAATAAATGGATTCTCTTTGGATATATCTTCCTTATACTTACATTTAGAGCACTAATAATTTGAAGAATTGTGTATGAGAGCTCAAATTGCAAGCAAGCATTAGGAAAGAAAACATGGATATATCTTGATAATCTTGAAACACAGAGGCACCATTGAAAAATTAATTTACTACATCTGCTTAAAGGAATATTTTCAGAATCAATTCCTTATCAACAGAAGTAATATACCTGATAACCTAACCAAAGTACAAGCATAGCCTATATAAACAGGTTATCTGTCTGGACTTTATAGAAAACAATATAGTATCCTTATAACTTACAAGCCCTCAAATTGGAAATTATGCACTGTTGGGAAGCCAGCAGTTACAAGTTCACTTCAGATGCTCGAATAAGAGAGCCAAAATCACATATGCCAATAACAAAATATTATCTGACAGCTTATTTAATATTCAATGTGTGTGTATATAATATCACAGCATAATTTTCCCTTGCATACATGAAAACCTTTCCAAATGCAACAGACGTTCTACATATTAGCCTGATATGTTGATTAGCAGTTACACTAGTGTTCCAATATTGGTGTATGACAACAGCAAACACAAGAAATGGAAAATGGGTGCATATGCTTACAGCAATTGACCGTTCTACAGCTTGGATAAAGTCAATTTTCTCCACCACATGTTTACTCTTTCTTCCAGCTAATAATGCAGCTTCATTAACCAAATTTGCCAGATCTGCCCTGAATATACGAAAGAGGGGAGAGAACTTAAAGTCTGCTTCAACAAAGCAACAAAGCATTAAGCATTCAGGGAGTAAATAAATACCCAGTAAAACCAGTGGTCATGGAAGCAATGTCGCCCAGATTTACATCTGTGCCAAGTGGAAGCTCTTTCTTAGAAACATGTACTTCTAAAATGGATTCTCTTCCGATTCGATCAGGAGTTTCCACCTAAAACCCAAATCATTAATCTTATTATTCACAAAGCCAGTAAAATATAAACTAAAAATGGCTTAAAACTTGGATATAATATATCCTGTGTTACCATAACTACTCGATCAAATCTACCGGGTCGGCGGAGAGCAGGATCCAAAACATCTGCTCTGTTAGTAGCTCCAAGAACAATCACAGCTGAGTTACTATCAAATCCATCCATTTCCTGCAAAATGTTTTGGACTAAGTTCTTGTCCTGCACATGCACAAATAAAGCCTAAACATGAATGGTTCTGGAGAGCATACAGTAAGCAGCTGGTTTAAGGTCTGTTCACGTTCATCATTGCTCACAATGCGGAATCTACCATCACGGCTCTTAGCTACGGCATCTATCTACATATTGAAGAATAGTTAATTAGAAGACAGTCTTGGAGATTCACTAGAAGTCTTAGAATTAGATATTCAACAGGAGTAGGTAGGGAGAAGAGGAACCTCATCTATGAATATGATGGATGGAGCCTCCTTCTTTGCTCGTGCAAAAAGATCTCTAACACGAGAAGCACCCATACCAACATACAGTTCCACAAATTCACTTGCAGAACAGCTGATGAAGGGAACATCAGCTTCTCCGGCAACAGCTTTCGCCAAAAGTGTTTTACCAGTTCCTGGAAGACCAACCTGAAATACAGCTAGAATGCAGTTAGGAAATATTAAACAAAAGACAATATACTTTAATTATGTCAAAACATAAGAAACTAAAAGGTGGACTGATTGAAAAATTAAAGCATCGTAAATTTATTTGATTGAATAATCAATGAATAAGCTGACAATGATGGAAAACAGCAAGCTGGTTGTTTGGTATATTTTTAAAAACTGAAATTGAAATGTGTTTTCTCTGTGGTGCAGATCATCCTATCTTCAGAAAAATGAAAAAATAAATATAGTGAGTTAGCAGCAAACCATAACTTGCTTTATCGTTTCCTATTTTCCCATAATAGATAACAACTTACCAAGAGGACACCTCTAGGCGGACGTGCACCAAGTTTTATATACCTCTCAGGATTCCTCAAAAATTCCTGGCAAGTAAATTAACATACGTTGTCTTACAAATCGTAACAACTCATTTTCATAGTGAGAGTAACATAATTGCCATTATGTGTAAACATACAAAAAGTATTTTTGTGTATATACCACAATCTCCTCAAGCTCCTCCTTTGCCTCATCAACACCAGCAACATCAGCAAACATAACAGTATCCCCTTGTTCAGAAACTTTAGTTGCCCCAGAATTTCCAGACTTTCGATTTCTAAGCTGTCCTGGCGTATGCTACACATTTGTAGGAATCATTAGAAGTTAGTACATGCATTCTCTTTGAAATACAAATATAACTAAATATAGCAGCTATTACCTGAGAGAAGCTTACTGGGAATCTGTGAAGAAGACCAGCAAGCACTGCCACATAGAATAAAGCTATCTGTTGACAATAAAATGAATACAATCAGATCTACTATATAGAATGCTTAAATGTAGTGTGCAATTGAGCTCTGATCTCTTAGTTCTCAAAATGCAAGCAAACAAGACATTTACATATCATATATCTTTGAGCATGTGTGGAGAACAAACACAGGAAATTCTTAAAACAATAATATTGCACTAAAGTGTAAAATCATTACTCTCGCATCTTCCCGATGTAGGTCTAATTGACTTAAGGTTGTAAATCTTGGATAGCCTCTTCTATTTTTAGAATCCTCGCAATCGAACTGAATTTTAATCTATACATTGTTTTGATTTTTCGTATATGTAGGTCTAATTGACTTAAGGTTGTAAATCTTAGATAGCCTCTTCTATTTTTAGAATCCTAGGCAATCCAACTAAATGTACATTGTTCTGAATTTTCAGATATGTAGGTCTAATTGACTTAACCTTGTAAATCTTAGATAGCCACTTCTATCCTTATTATCCTTGGCAATCGTAACTGAATTACTCTATACATTGCTCTGATTTTTCCAAAATGAAGGCCACTCAAAACAACATCATAGTGCAAAGTGCAAACCACATAATACTAATTTGTTTAGAAAGCAAAGCATAATATATAACATCTCACCAATGCAGAATTCAGGAATCCTCCAGTCCTCTTATCCGGAGACCCAAACTCTACATCATTCTCTAGCATTTTCTCATAAGGCGTTTTGATATCAACCGGCCTCGTCGTCGTGTACACAACCCTCTTCGTTGGTGCCACGCCCCTCAACAAAGAATCCGAGTCCTGCAACTTAGTGTTAATCGCATCACCAAGGGATTCCGAGCCTCCAGCCTCACTCTTCAATTTAAACATAATATGCACCCCATCCACCTCCACCTTCTGCACTTGATCAGTATTAATTCTACTCAGAAATTCGCTGTAAGGTACGCTGACAAACGTGGTAGGACTCTTGGGTTGGGCGCCCGGCAGCGGAATCCCTGGCCGGAGCAATCTCATCACGAACATCACAATTCCCAACTGTATGAGCAGGACGCCAATCTCCTGCGCCTGAATTATCGGCTGCCACCGCCATTTGTTGTTATTGTTGCCCCACCAATTATTCTTCCCCTGCTTCTCCCGCCGACCCGACCCCGAACCCGCACCTGTTTTCTTAGGGCTTTCCTGCCCGCCGGATTCAGTGTTACCCGTCGAATCCGGCTCGTGCTCCCGCGGAGTGTTGGAATAGATTTTAGTGAATTTCCAGTTTAGGTGATTCTTCAAGAAGTAGCCCTGATTCTTCGAAACCCTAGGCTGTACTCGAAACGGCGGCGGACGGCTGGATTCTCCAGGGAAGGCTCGGCATCGGCCGCGAACGGAGATGTAATCGTGCAAATGGCCAGGATTGCTGTACTGGAACGTCGAAATTCGCCTGTGGATTATGGTCATGTGGATCGTGGTTGCCATTTTAGGGCGGGGGTGCGGAAACCGCAATGAATCTTTAAGTATACAGAAGAAGACGAAGATGAAGATTAAGCAAATTTTACGGAGGGGAGGAGGGAAGATTTTTCAGTTTGCGGAGACGTGTGGGAGGGAGAAGAGGATTGAGGACGGTAACCGTGGGCCGTTGGATTAGTTATGGCGGGCGCATCTGGCCGTTGAATGCCCGCATGGAGGCGTTTTCGTTTTATCCGAAATTTTTTGTTCTGACCTCAGTGTGGGAAATTCGCATTCACATTTTTTTTTTTAAATATATATTTATGGATAAAATTAATTTCGTAAGTATTATACATATATATATATATATTTTAATTATTACGAAGAATTTGCTTCTAGTGTGCTAAAGAAATTTCAGATTAAGTGAAGTAGTCACCAACCAAAAATTTAGGCAAGCCCAAGCATATCTATGTAGAGTCACGACTTATTTTGGATATATTTGTTATACATAATAAAATAAAATAAAATAAAATAAAAAGTTTTATATTCTTTCAATATTATTCATTATTGTGTGATGTTAATTCTCCTAAAATTCATATTTCGCAAATTGTTTTTATGGCCAGATTCTATTCATATATTTGTTCTTTTTAATTTTTTTATTTATTCTTTACAATTCTCCGTTTATGATTTTACAAATTTTCACCTATAAACTTCCAATTTTGTCCTTAAAATAATATTTTATTTATAATTCTATATACCTAATCTAATCTTATAACCCTTGATTTATGTAAACAATTATCAATTTTATTATTTATTATTTTTTTCACAAAATGAGATGAACGATACAGAATGTTCGAAGTACATATTCATTAACTTATTAATACTTTATTCAATCAAAAATTAATATTCTTTATAAATATTTTGTATTAAAATTTAATAGTTGTGGACATTTAAATATATATATATACATGTAATTTATTTGTAAGTATTTATATATAAAATAAATCTACTTATTGTTTAACAGTATTTGTAAAATTGAGTATCACATACATTGATATCTTCTATAAATATTTTGCATTATATTTAATGGTTGCAAATATATATTTTTTAAAATGATTTATTTTTCATATTATTGTTTATCTATTTATTTGTTTATTTTTTAATAGTAAAAAATTGAAATTATATTGTAGAAATTAAGAGTTATATGTGAGGATAACAAAAAAAAATTGAAGTTGATAAAAGAAAATAAATAAAAGTACTGTAGAAATTTTAAGTGAATAGAGAATGAAGAGAAATAAATTAAAAAAAATATTGAGTAAATGAGAATAATTTAGTATATAAAGATTAAACAGAAAATTAAATTTAGAATTAGATAACTTAATGAAAATTAACTTATTGTGATTTAAAAATAATAATAATAAATAATATAGATAATGAAAATATAGTCTAATGGTCAAGCTCTCAATTCCTTGACCTTTAGATAAGATTTGATTCCAAGTCTATTCTTTTCTCATATATTTTCCTTTGTATTTGCGGTGTGGACTTCCACGACCTATCCTAAATAAATATTTTTTACAAAATATATAATAAATAATAAAAAAAAATATATAATAAATAATATAAAATATTTTTTACAAAATAAAAAAATTAAATATTTATTACAAAAAAACAAATTTTTAATTTAAAATAATATATTTTATATTTGTACATAATTCACCGTACATAGATAAGCATAATCAATCCATTTAAAAAAGTGTCATCTAAAAACATGCGCGAAGGAGCCATTGAAAATACCTAAACAATAGATCATTCTCTAAAATTTATCTAATATCAAACCTTCTAGAAAGTTTCATCATACTACATTACCTATTTTAACATAATTAATGTGATCACTTTCCAATACAATTTTTGCCCTTTACATAATGAGTAAACATAATACTATTATTTATTATATATATATATATTTATCATTTAATCGAATTCTAAATTCTATTAAATAAAAGAATTGATTTTAATTAAAAAAATGATTGGTACATAAAATGTATTTGTATAAAAATAATAGCAGAAATTGAAATTGCTTATCATCCTTAAAGTAATATATGTTTAATATCCACCTTGTCCACCATTATGTCTCGTGGTCTCTTATCGATTGAGAAGCAAAAGTTTTGTTTACATAACATACTTTCATTCATTTTTTATTATTTATTTTTTTAAAATATTAAATTAAATACTTTTTTTCATAAAACATCGAATCAAATACTAATTTTTTATTTTTTTTTTACTTTTTTTTTCAAATTTCCAAAAACCTAAAAAATACAAATTTGATTAGTATATACATCAATAAGTGATTCAATGTTTATTATAATACTCCTTCCGTCCCATGCAATATCGATTTATTATTGTAGACACGGGAATTTTGCTAAAGTATAATTAATAAGCAATTAATAAATGTATTAGTAAAAATAATTATTATTTAGTAAAAATAATTATAGATTAAGATTAAGATAACTAAATAGTTTAATTAAGATTAAAAAGAAATTAAATTTTAAATTTTAAAATATGATTAAAGTGTATAATTAATTTTCCAAAAAAGAAAGGACAAATTATGTGCAACTGACAAAAATAGAAAATAGACACAAATTATGCGGAAGAGATGGAGTACTTTAACAATTTTCTTGCAAACTATGATAGTTATAATAAATGAACCATATGTGACAGGTAGATCTAGAGGTAGTCGGAATTTAAATTAATGACCTCGTAATCACAAGGTAATCATCCTTATAGAATGTAAAATAAGTTTGGCTCTAATGTTTTAAAAATTAAAGTGTAAAATTGTATGAAAAACATAAATAAATAAATAAAAATAATAACCATTCAAATTACATTTTAAAAAATAATATTTGAATGTAAAATAAAAGCAACTTGTTCGTCACTATATAAAGTATAGAGGAGAAGCTGGAAAACGAGATTCAATTTACAGAAGCCATAAATAAAAGAAGTAAATGCAAATCTTAACCAACAAAACTCTTCCTATATCTGTGGCCATTTTCATGGTCCAATATTTATTCCAATTATATTCACCTCCCCCATCATTTTTCATCGTTATTTTCTTCTTTCTTCCATACTTCCTTCCACTCTTCATCAATAATTTTAGATTTACATATATAAATAATTCATGTCGGAGAAACAAATATTATGGATACCGCTGACGAACCAGATGATCTCCATTTCTGCCTTCGGAGAATACTGAGATTGCTGTCGGAAACCTGCTTTTCATGTCTCGTCAAACGCCCCTTCGCCGCGTCGTCTTCCCTGTTTTTGATCGTCTTTTGGGTCTCCTTTCCCATGGCCTTCTGGGTTTTGATTAATGCCATTCCCTTCCTTGTCTGCATTTCTCTAATCGTCGTCACGGCGTTCTTCAAATCCAGAAAGGAACAAGACACTAATTGGCGGAAATCCTCCGACGCCGGTAAAACAATAAACATGTCCGCCGCCGGCGTAGATAATGCTCGGACAGACGATAATGCCGCCGTCCGTCGGATCAAAAAGACCGTCACGCGGGTCCACTCCGTCCGCCGGAGAAGGGCCATGGAGTTCGCCAACAATTCGGAATCCCTCGCCGGAGTGGAAGAAAAAGACACCACGGCGGCGGCGGCGGAGTTGGCCGGCGACAATATTGCATCGAAATTGTCGGAAGAATCACCGAAGGAGATTCGCGAGGTGGAAGAAGACCGGTCCCACGATGTCGCCGGAGAAAAAGAATCTACGGCGGCGACGTCGCCGCCGAAGGAGGCGGCGTACCGGATAAAAACCCTGGAAGCGTTGAAGCTAGTGAAGGACGCCGCCGCCGCCGGCAAGCCGGAGGAGGAGCAGAAGAACGACGTGGTGGTGGACGTCGGCGACGAGGGGAACAAGCGGCTGGAGAATCTGATCGCCCGGCGGCGGTCCCGGAATCTATGGAGCATCAACGTCCGGCGGGCGCTGCTGAAAATGGAGAAAAGGGAGTCTCCCGGCGGCGGAATCGCGTCGATCATTATCCCCAAGCACAACAGCAGCCTGCACGGGCCCGACCCGTTTTCGCCCGGGCCGGGTTCGGCGCCGTCGGTGCTGGTCCCGATGCGGAATCCGTTCGACATTCCGTACGACCCGCAGGAGGAGAAACCGGACCTGTCCGGCGACGGTTTTCAGCAAGAGTTCCTGCCGGCCGGCGGGAAGGCCGACCCGGTTTATTGCAGGCATGAGAGCTTCAGCTTGGGATCGTTCTCGCCGGCGGGTTTTGACCCAGAGCCGTCGGACGGCGACGGCGGATTTGGACGGAGGGATTCGCTGCAACGATACAGATTCTCCAAGCTGGGGAATGAATTTGGTAAGTACGACGTCGTTTTATGCTATGCGTCTTGATCGATATATAAGTATATATTGAATAATAGTATATATTTTATTGGCAATTTGTTTTTTTTAATCTTAAAAATTTTGATAGAAGTCTCTTATAATTTTGAAATTCAATGTAAATTTTTCACTTTATTTAAAAATATTGTATAACGTTCACTTATATTTTAAAAAATATTGTATAAAATTCTCATATAAAATAATATGGATATGAAATCATCGTCCCATCTCAACATGAAAATTTCATGGGGTGGAATTCCATGCAACTTTTTTAAAATATCATGCAATTTTTAAAATATAGATAGATTTTACATAAATTTCAAAACTACAGAGAGAGTTATGAGTAATTTTACCCATTTTATTGAATACTTTTTAAATAGTGATAAATTTTGTATTGTATTAATATAAATTATACAGAAGTTTCCATCACGGGCGAGGAAGAAGCTTCACACGACGACGATCTCATGTCCAAAACAACATCCCTAACAAAAGAGGGCGACGAAGATACCGATGATATCAAAGAAATCATCCACAAAGCCGACGACGACAGCACAGATGCCGACGATGTCCGAGCCCCACCGGACACTAATCCGGAAGAACCTGGATCCGATTCATCCTCTCCGACATCCTCGTCATCCTCCGGAGACGACGAGGACGACCAAATCTACAAAATCGACAAAGAAGCGATCCTCAAGTCGCTCTCGTCCATGGCGCGGCGACACGTGGTCGGCGAATTCGACAACGCCAACAGCTACGACGACGACAGCTACACCTACATCGACAGTCATTACGAAGACAAGACTGTCCCGCCCCGCCACGCCCATTCGTTCTCCATCGCTTCCGACATGCAAGTTGAGCTCTCCGAGGCCAGCAGTTCCCCTCCACACGGGATCGAGGATGGCTTCGCCTCCCACGACGGGGACATTGTTCTTACACCTTACGACGCTCACGCCAATGCAGACAACAAAAAAATCGGACAAGAATGGTCCGAGAATCCATCCTCGCCCGACGACAACACCTTAACAGCCGCCAAATCCGAATACCCGACTACTCTGTCCAACGGTGGCAGCGATCAGCCATCGGACTCGATGTCGATTAGCTCCGAAACTTTACAAGATAACCAGCAAAAATCATGAACAGATCTACGTATATATATACAGAAATCTTGTGTATATGTATAGACAGAGTATGTCAATTTCTTGCAGATACATTTTTTGTTCAATGTATGTTAGAAGTAACCCTTAAAAAAAAAAAATGTTCTTACATCAAATTTGGCCACAAGATTTCATTTCAACAAAAACATATTCACGAAGTTAAGACAATACAAAAACCACAGGATACAATTTTCAGACCAAAACAGACATGAAACAGAGATGATCATATATAGTTAAAGCCTGATTCGATTGGCGGCGCGTCGGATCCATTCTCCGTTTGAGCCTCGCCGGCTTGTGGCGGGGCGTAGATGTTGTCGCGGGGGCTTCCGTTGCTCCATTGGAAAGGAAGTTTTGGAACGGCTGGTGAGGATAGTCCTATGTTGTCCAAGGAAGGATTGCTGCTGTTGTCGTTGTCGTCAAGGCTCATTGTGGTGATGTCGTGAATGCTTGCTCGTCTCTTGTCTTTGGCGCCGGACAGCTGTCGGATGAAGTATTTTTGAGCGTGGCTAGCCACTTGCGTCGGCGTCCGGGTGATCACAAAGTTCCGCGATATGTTCCTCCAATCACCTTTTCCGTACTTCTTTAGTCCCATTAGAAACAATCTGTGTTTCAAATGGCCACAATTACTATGCTGATTAATTATAATCTTACATTACTAAATAACAATAATATTAGTATGTTCATGACATATTATAATTCAGACAAACTATATTAATACATTGCATCCCTAAAGGAATTACTCTTATCTATTTCGCATGAAAAGTTTCATTTTCCATTTAAAAAAAATGATTCCGAGACGATCATATCATTTTTTAATGCAGTCATTGTACTATTTATAAAAAAAGTAATAATAAATAATATTATAACTTTTAATATATTAAACAAATATTATTAATTTTTTTTATTATTAAAATAGTACTATAGAAGTATTTTTGTTTCTTTAATTAGAATTCAATATTATACTAATATTTAAAAAAATTGTAAATCTTTTATTGGACTTGAGGAAATATTTGTTTTTTTTTTGTACCCTTTTAAGGGTGAACTTGTAAAATTTGTTATTATAATTAATTAGTAGTTTTCGAATTAAATTAATCTGGAATAATGTAACAATGTGTAGAATAGATCATGAAGGAAGCTCACCTATGCTCTTCTTCGGTCCAAGGGACACCTTTTTTCCTTTCATGTTCCCCCGCCGCCGCCGGCGTTGTTCTCCGGCCGCACGCCGCCGCCTTATAACCGTATCTCCCGCCGCCGCCGCTATTCCCGGTGCCGCCCCAATCCAATGTGAAAGGCGAGGCGGCGGTGGAAGCGTAGCCGGGAATTGGTATCAATCCAGCCTCAATACTGCTGACGTCATCCTCCAATTCTTTGTACTGCCGGATGACGTCGGCGACGGTCTTTCCGGGGACCATCGCCGCCACGCGCTGCCACCGGTCCGGCGTGGTCTCGTCGAACAATGCCAGAGCATTCTCGAACGCCTTGTTCTCCGCCGCAGTCCATCTCCGGCCGCCGCCGCCGCCGGAAAAGATCATCGGATAGGCAAAATAAGAAGTCGGGGAGTGGGAAGAAGACAGAATCTCCATCTCCCCCAATTCATCAAAAACTCGAATTAAAAATCTGAAGGAAGAGAAGAATTAACAGCAAAATATCAATTCCAATCAAAATCAATCAAATAAATACGTATATATGTGGAGAGAGAATCAGAATACCCACCTTAATAATCTGTTAGAGAGAGAGAGAAAAAGAATCTTAAAAAGAACCCTAATGCTACTACTTTTTTTTTTCCTTTTTCTGTTCTGTTCTGTTCGCTCTCTCTCACTCTAAAATGAAAGAAGAATCTAGAAACCTCCGTGAAAAATGAAAAATCAAGAAAGAGGAGCGGATTAGCAAAAGGGAAATTGACAGCAGCAAATTAAAGGTGGATTAATAATATCTGAAGAATGAAAAAGAGGTATGGTTGAGATGAAATTGAGGGAGGTAAAAAGCACGAAAAGGGGTATGGTTCTTTACCTTTTTTGTAATGAAATCAAGAACAAGAAGAAGAAGAACACAAAAAAACATGACATTCAATCAAGAAAGCAAAAGGGACAGCAGCAACGCAACTCAACTCAAGTTCAGAACAATAATGAATCTTGATCTACAATACCTTCTCTGAGAGAGAGAGAGAGAGAGAGAGAGAGAGAGAGAGAGGTGGGTTGATGATGATGATGATTGTGATGATGATGGAAGGTGGTGAAGCGTGATTGGATAGAATAGACTGAATCTTATTATTCCATCCATACATAATTTGTCCTTATTTTCTATTTTTATCTCTCCCACATAATTTATTTTTTTTATTTATTGAAATATAATTATGCATTTAATCGCATTTTAAATTTAAATTTTTATAATTTTTTTAATTTTAATTAAACTATTTACTTATATTAATTTTAATCTATAATTATTTTTACTAAATAATTATTATTTTTACTAATACACTTTTTAATTAATTACTAGTTATACTTTACCTAAATTTTCGTGTCTACGGTAATACACCCGTATTACGGAGGAAGTACTTAATTTTTAAATACTATATATAATGCATACACTATTTTAATGCACGCACTCAGGGTTTGTTCGACTTTGGTTCGTTGGAGTAGATTGAACTTTTGCTAAAAAAATAATTATGATTGTGTTCTTTTATAAATTTATAACAACTTTTTACTATTTTAAGTTTTTTTAAAAAAAATAATTATATATTTTTTTATATATTATACTATAAATTTATTTTATATAAATAATATTCAATTTTTATTTATATCACATCAGAATTTATAAACACACCCTATGAATTTGTTTCTTCAAAATTTAAAATAGAGTAAAATGCCGTTTTAGTACTCCTGCCAAGCCAAAATAATAATATTTTCTTCGTCTCAAAACAAATAATAGTCTCATTTTACTATTTTTATTCGTTCAAAAACAATAGTTTTATTTTTATTTTCGGTAATCAATTCTCCATTTTTTTACAAATTTATCGTCAATTTTTTACAATAATTACATAAATTAAAGATATTTTGATCTTTTGAAAACATTTATAAATTTACTATCAATATAATAATGTTATTTCTTCATTCTCGTATCAATTTCAAATGTCCTTATTATTTTGAAACCAAATAAGTATTATATATACGCCAAACAACATATTAAATATCTATTTATAATATACATATAAAATAAAATTAAAAAATACATATTAATATTTTATATAGCATATACTATAATATTGGGTATGTTTCTTTTGCCAAAAATTTCTTGTTTCTATTATTTAAATTATGTGTTTTTTAAAATATATATATATATTTTTACAAAATATCACATTATACATTATTTTAATATCAAATTTAAATTAAATTTATTCAAAACTCATCAAAAGAAACACGCTCATAATATTTTTATATATTGACCAAAACAATCAGCATAATATTGATAAATTTGGAAAAATTTGTGTCTTTATAAAAATTTTCCCAAATTTTACAGATTATAGTTTCTAAAAAAAAATTGTGTACATGTTTCTTTAAAAATATATATTTTTTTCTAACAAAATATAAAATTAAATATTATTTTAACAGTAATTTCAAATCAAATTTTTTCAAATTCAACGTCACTCTAATTATAGGCATCCTGATCGAAACAAAGTTGCCTACTTACAATCTGGCCATACTTTATTATTTTTCTCCTTCTATTTCTCTTTTTGTGTTTGTCTGCTACTATGCTTTTTAAGGATAATGTATCAGGTGCACACGGTGCATTGCTCCCTTCACATTGAGTATTCAAATGCAATGCAACTGTTTATCTAATATGAATTTTTATAAAAATATATTAATTATTTTTAGTAAAAAAAAAAAACAAAAAATATAATATTTCTTTACTTAAAAATAAATTATTTTTCATGCAACCCTAAAAAATATTAAACATAAATTGGATGGGTTGTTTTAATTCCATATACCCTAATAATTGTTGTAGTATACTTTATGTGTTTCAATTCAATTTATTTATTTATTTATTTTAAATAAATTTAAAAATAATAATGTTTTGTTTATTTATAGAAATATATAAACTAAATTTGATAATTTTTGTTATTATAAGTTCAAATAAAATAATCATTTTTATAAAAGTTATACATATTTTAATATTAATTATTTTTATTATAATAAAAAATAGATATGTTTAAATAAGACAATGAATAAATAGTAAAAATAAAATATTAAACTGAAACTGAGTAAAAAATTAATATTTTGTATACTATTTATTATAAAAAATAGTTTATCGATGTTATATTTTTTTATAATTTATTTAAAAAATAAATAATCACAAATTTTTTTAAAAAAATATATACATATAAATATAGTATTTCCTTTATCTCAATGGTACCTTCTTACCTTGTCTCGTTCAAATACATTACTTTTTATTATAATAGAATAATTTTATATTAATAACAAAATACCTTATATTCTTATAGCAATTATAAATAGATTACTCCCCCATTCTATCCAAAGTTTGACATTTTTTATTTTTGTTCATTTAAAAATAAGGTTACCATTTCATAATTTAGTAATTACACTACCTACATAATATAATAAATATCCTTCCAACTTACACTATATTACACAATACTAATAGAGGTATTTTCGTCTTTTCACTACAACCCATTATAATATTAATATTAAAAAATCTACGTGCAAAAAGTAAACGGCAACTTTGCATGGGACGTAGGGAGTATTATTTTATGCATAAAAACTCCCCCTTCCTATTGAAAGGTTGACATTTTTTTTTTTCGTTCATTCAAAAACAAGATTACCATTTCATAATTTAGTAATTATACTACCTACCTAATATAATAAATACCCTTCCAACTTATACTATATTACACAAATGTCATTATTTTTATATTATACAATACTAATAGAGGTATTTTCGTCTTTTCACTACAACCCATTGTAATACTAATATTAAAAAATCTACGTGCAAAAAGTAAACGGCAACGTTGCACGGTACGTAGGGAGTATTATTTTATGCATAAAAACTCCCCCTTCCTATTGAAAGGTTGACATTTTTTATTTTCGTCTATTCAAAAACAAGGTTACCATTTCATAATTTAGTAATTATACTACCTACCTAATATAATAAATATCATTCCAACTTACACTATATTACACAAATGTCATTACTTTTATATTACACAATACTAATAGGGGTATTTTCGTCTTTTCACTACAACATATTATAATATTAATATTAAAAAATTTACGTGAAAAAAAGTAAACAGTAATATTACATAGGACGTAGGGAGTATTAGGGAGTATTATTTTATGCATAAAAACTATGTAAACACTCTTATATATTTATACAAATTAATAGTTTTTTTTTTTTTTTTTTATCAAAAGTAAATAATGGAGTATATGTGTTACGTATGAAATTTAGAATTAGGTTAAAAAGCCTAAGGTAAAAGAAAAATGGGCCTGGCAATAGAGTTGATTGAACTGGCTGAAGGACACCGTGGGGAACTCAAGGAAAATAGGTTTATTTCTAAGGAAAATACAGGTCGGGAGGTCCTCAGGACGGAAAGACCTCAGGTCGGAAGGTCCTCAAGTCGGGAGGTCCTCAAGACGGAAAGTCATCAGGACGGGAGGTCCGCAGGTCGGGAGGTCCTCAGGTCGGAAAGTCCGCAGGTCGAAAAGTCCTCAGGACGGAAAGTCCTCAGGTCGGACAGGTCGGGAGGTCCTCAGGTCGGGACTCTGCGGCTGGACCAACAAGTCGGATGGTCTGTTAGTCGGGAGGTTTGTAGGTGAACCAAACAAGTCAGATGGTTTGCAAGTCGGGAGGATTGGCAGTCAGACCAATACGGTTGTAGATTGGCAGTCGGGCCAAAAGGGCGGAAGGTCTGTGGTCGGCTCAAAGAGTGAAATATAGTGACAATTTTGGTCCGCTGAGGACACGTGTCAGCAGGAGAAGGGTTGGAAGACGGTTGGAAAGGAGACGTTGTAACCGTCCGGGCGACGGTTTTCAGTACAGTTTCCCAGAGAATATTTAAGGGTTTGGATCATCATTTGGCAAGGCATCTTCAATCAACTTCAACAAAGCAAAGTCAGATTTGGGGATCACCACTTTAAACTTCAGTCTTTTATTTTCCAATTTATTTTCTGTACCATACAGTGTTTAGAGATTCCTAATCTCAGGCACTAAATAATCAAGTTTAAGGATATTTTCTATATCTTTGAATTTTACTTTATTTTTGTTGAAAAAATACATTAGGTTTTTGAATTACATAAGTGTAAATTGCATTAAATTTGAAATACAACATGTATATATAAAAAAACAATTGTAAAAAAGTTATGTGGTATTTGCAATATTAAAATAAATAAAGCTGAAATCGGTTGAATTATTGACGAAACTTATTTAGACCACGGGGGTAGTCAACGGGGGCCGAATGGAACGATCAACCAATCAGGTGCGCATATGTTTAAGGTTGCCTAATCCTATACTTAATACAGTCATTTAAATTGTAAATTACGCGATCTATTATGTTAAAATAAATAAATTACCACTATTATTTTAAAAAATTAAAATAAAAAAAACTTGAGTCAGGTTGTAGATGAGGATGTGACGAGATGAGATGTCGCAATCTCATTAAAACACGACTTCTTTTATGTGTGTGCATGGGGACCACAGCAGAATGCCATTGGGAAACGCGCTTTTTCAACTCCCACTGGTTGCTTTTATTTGTTTGTGTGTTTTTTTTTTATTAGTAGTAATATTATGTGTCGTGTTTTCTAAATCTAATCCATCCATCTTCTCCTCGAGACTTGCGACGACTGACGCGCGGAAGTGTGCCATTATATGCAATCGACAAACGACACGTCGGATGGATGCCGTGGACCTGTCCGCAGGTGATTGAACCCATTTTGGTTTGTTGCTTTTACAGTTTTACCCATGCGTTTAATGATCGATATATTAACATTTTTTTTGGTTTTTAAACGGAATAGTACTATTAATCTGCCTTCCATTCGTCTAATTTACAAAGTTTATATTTACTTTTCGCGCGGTGTTTAAAAAATAATAGTATTTTAATTATAGTGAGTAGTTAAAAGTAGTGTAATGATATTTTTGTCCTTACTTTTTTTTTTTTTATGTAAAAGTAATGATGTGATGTAAAGTAAGGGTATTTGTTGAAAAAAGTTGGGTATTTAATGAAACGTTAATTTTGTAATTGAACGTTCCAAAATAGAAATATGTAAACATTGTAAGTGAAAGAAGAGAGTATTATTTTTTATAACGTGAAAACAGCAATCGCTACTGAAAGTGCGCATTGGATAAATTTTGGAAGAACCTAATACTTTGCTAATTAGACCCGAACAGTATTATTTTAAAAATATATAAAATTGTTTGTTTGAATTTTAATAAAATATATTCTTTATTCGTTCTCCATTTAAAATATTATTTTTATAATTTTTGTTTATCCTATTTAAAAATATTTATTTTTATTAGAAAAATAATTATATAATAATACTAAAATATTTTTAATTTTTATTTAAATTATAAAATATACTATTATAAATGTAGCAAAAATATCAAAAATTCATTGTACATTTTCATTGACTAATAAAATATTACTCCCAAATGACCTATTTAATCTGTAACCTATCACTCTCGTAAATTTTTATATAAATTATAAATATATATTACACATGTAATCCCCCTCGTCTCATATAATTATATTTTTTAAAAAATTATATGAAAAAAAAGAAAGAAAACGGTTCGGATGAAGTACTGTCCTATATGATCAAACTAAGGTATTAGATACGCTTGAGGGTTTATCCGATACACATTTTCAGATAGCGATAGCGAGTTTTATATCATTGCAAAAAAAAAATTAGGTAGAATATTTCTTCAGTTGAATTTAAGAGTTAGAATTTTTAATTAAAATAATATTTGACGTAATATTATGTACTTAAAAATTTATTTTATTTATTTTTTCTTTTCGAGAGAATATAGAGTCGAACAGTTAAATCCAATGCGAATTTAATTTAATTTTAATTTTAATTTGATCCAATTTTTACATTGGACTACTCGGATTGAACCTGAACATTTTATAACTTGTAGGACTGAAGACCAATAAATGCATATGAGTCCGGCCCAAATTTAATATAAAAATATTTCAACAGGGGCGGAGAATAAAACTTCATTTCATTTGTGTGACGGATCAATTTCGAAAACTTTTTCGGCATTTTTCGAAACTGTCGGGAGTTTCAATGATAGCGATAGAATAATTGTATTTTGAATTAATATTTGAATAATAAAAATTTTAAATAAAAATAATTGTACAATGTAATATAAATAGATATTAATATAATATACAAATAAAAAATATATATTTAATTTGATATTTTCGGATAATTTTTTTTAATAAATAATAAAAATTTTAAAAAATTTTGACAAACGAATGCAAGAATAGTTTGAAAGTAAAACATAATGACAAAATTATATCCTATTATAAAGATAAAACGACAAAAATACTTATTAGATATGATATTTGTATAAATATTAAGATATTTTTAATATCATTACTACATAGTAAATGGATATAAAGTCAAATAAAAAATCAAATTACAAAAATAATTGTTATGACTCAAATTTAAATTAAAAACACTGGAGATGTGTTAATATTTTGATTTTGCATTTTAATTTTAAATAATAAAATTTTTGAATTAAAATAAATATTTAATATGATATAAATATGTAAAATTTTAAAAATTAAATTTATTTATGTAAAATAATTTGATTTGATATATATATATATATATATTTTTAAAAAGTAAATAATAGTAAAATCGAAAATAAAATGCGAAAAGTAAACACACCTCACTACTGATTATAACTTCGTCTGCAATTTTGCATCACTCCGACGCCATTAACGACCGAGAGAGCAAGAAATAATGGCTGGCCCACCATTCGCGAGAGAGCTCCACATGCTGTGGAGTGTGGAGTGGAGTGGGGCTTCCGTCGCGCCCTTGATTTCTCCTTTCACACCGCTTCGTGGACGTCTCTCTCAACCCTATTTCGAGCTGGTTTTTTGGTCTTCTCTCCGTCTCCACAGCTATGACTAGTCAAATTTTTTATTCGATAAACAATTATTGGACTCCACTTCCAAACTATTGCTTGATTTTCCTTGATAAGGAAATCTTATCGCGATCGATTTCTTCCAAGGAACTTAATCAATCACTCACGTTTGACTAGCCAGCTTCTCTTTTGTCATTTTGTAGCGTTTAGCTGTTAAATAAAGGTTAATCGATGTGGATTCTGCATTCGGACCGTCTTCGTGCTTTCATTTTGTGCGTTTTTGTCCTTAACATCTCCATCAGCCTCAGATCAGTTCAGCGTTGTTTATAAAACCCTAATTTGCTTGATTTTTCATGTATTGGTTGCAGATTCAGGGCGGTTGACTGAAAGTGGGTAGAGCCATGGCTGAAGATGATATGTATACTAAAGATGGGACTGTGGATTACCGCAAGAATCCTGCGAGGAAAGACTTAACTGGGACATGGAGAGCCTGCCCCTTCATTTTAGGTGATGATAACTTTTATGTTTTCTGCTATTTGCTATCTGATTTGCTTGATTATTCTTAGACTTTCAGTACCTTTTCGAATGTGGATTTGGAATTTGTGGCTTATTTTAGCAGAATCAGTTCAAGTTCAATGGCTAAAGCTTAAACCTACTTCACTGATTATATTATGTTTCTCTATGTTTGGATGAAAATTTCTTCACTTATTCTGTCGGATGTGTTTTTAATTTGCAAGTATTGTAAAGTGATCATTTAATGTATTTGAATATAAGATTGATGGTTAGTTTTAGCTAAGGTATAGAAAATATGCTTATTTGCCTGTGAAATCAATTAGAATTTGATTTTGAACAGCAGGAGAAGATGCTAAATTTGTAGAAGTTCATGGTGGATTAGGTTTGTTGAGAATTATTTTGCGGAAAAAAATAGATTCGAACAATTGGATTTTGAGGAAAGTGTGACTTTTAAGTTATTTCATAAATTAGCTAAAGAATGGTATAAACAATTGGGATTTACTTTTGTGAATTTCAAGTCTTTATCATTACATATGTATGTACATCATTCCCGATTCATCGCTTCCAGCAGTCTTACATTTTTGTGTTTATTGTGTAAGTGACTTATTTGGGAAGGTTATTTTGGTTGTAGTGTATCATGTCGACACTGTGTGATTGAGTCGAATCCTTTTGTGCCACTTAATGAAAGTTTTGCTTCTCTTTTTAGCTCCTTGAAATAGTGCTTCCTCTATGTGGTAAAAAAAGATGTTAGTCGATTTGAGTTATCACAGTTGTGGTATTGTGAATCTAGACGGAAATTAAAGTGTTTTTGGTGACAGGAAATGAATGTTGTGAAAGACTAGCATACTACGGGATGAGCTCGAATCTTGTGGTCTATTTCAAACAGCAGCTGAATCAACACAGCACCACGGCTTCTAACAATGTCACGAATTGGGGGGGTACATGCTACATCACACCGCTCATCGGAGCCTTCATAGCCGATGCATATCTTGGAAGATATTGGACAATAGCCGTTTTTTCAATCATATACGTAATTGTAAGTTTTCTTGGTTTACGTCTCGGATATTATCTTCTTGTTCAGCTTCTGTTTTTGGAAAATTGTTTAATATATTGGTAAATTTGATTCAGGGAATGACATTGTTGACATTATCGGCATCTATCCCAGGCCTCAAACCAACTTGCTACGAAAAAGACTCTTGCCACGCGACGAGCACACAAACAGCAGTTTGCTTCGTAGCGCTCTACCTGATTGCGCTCGGGACGGGTGGCATTAAGCCGTGCGTCTCATCCTTTGGCGCAGACCAGTTTGACGATACGGATGAGGTCGAAAAGAAGCACAAGAGCTCTTTCTTTAACTGGTTTTATTTCTCTATCAACATCGGTGCTCTTGTCGCTGCGTCTGTCCTCGTTTGGGTACAAATGAATGTTAGCTGGAAGTGGGGTTTCGGAATTCCTGCTGTGGCAATGGCAATAGCCGTCGTCTTTTTCTTTTCCGGCACTCGGTTGTACCGTAATCAGAGACCCGGCGGAAGCCCGCTTGTCCGGGTTGCTCAAGTGATCGTCGCATCGTTCAGGAAATATAGGATTGAAGTCCCTTCTGACGAGTCGAAGTTGTATGAAACTTCCGATGCTGAGTCTGCTATCAAAGGAAGCCGCAAGCTCAGACATACGGAAGATTTGAGGTAAATTGTCGCGGCAAAATCAAATCTTTAGTCCCATAATTGTTTCGGATGCTTTTTGATGCGCTGAATGCAGGTTCTTCGACAAGGCTGCGGTGGAGACGCAATCTGACCACATAAAAGGTGCGGTCGATCCATGGCGACTCTGCACTGTAACACAAGTCGAGGAACTAAAAGCCGTCATTCGATTACTTCCCGTCTGGGCGACAGGTATCATCTTCACAACTGTATATGGTCAAATGGGAACGTTGTTCGTCTTGCAAGGTCTAACAATGGATCCTCGAGTCGGGAACTCAAATTTCAACATCCCGGCTGCATCCCTCGGCATTTTCGACACCCTCAGCGTCATCTTCTGGGTTCCCATCTACGATCGGATCATTGTCCCGGTCGCCAGAAAGTTCACCGGCCACAAAAACGGACTTACGCAACTTCAACGAATGGGGACCGGCCTCTTCATCTCAATCTTCTCGATGCTCTCGGCCGGGATTCTCGAACTCGTTCGACTGAAATACGTCAAGAAGCACAACTACTACGAGTACAAAGAAATCCCGATGTCGATTTTCTGGCAGGTACCGCAGTATTTCATCATTGGCTGCGCCGAAGTGTTCATGTTCATCGGGCAGCTCGAGTTCTTCTACGAACAAGCACCCGATGCGATGAGAAGTCTGTGCTCGGCTCTCCAGCTGACCACGGTTGCCCTCGGGAGCTACTTGAGCACGCTGCTCGTGACGATCGTTACGGACATCAGCACTCGGGATGGGAAACCCGGATGGATACCCGACAATCTCAATTACGGGCACGTCGATTACTTCTACTGGCTGCTGGCCGCGCTGAGCGTCGTCAATTTAGGCGCGTTTCTTGTGGTGGCTAAGTGGTATACTTACAAGAAACCCGTCGGGACCCTTCGTTGATGTCGGGATCCTTCCTGGTGTCGAACGAACTTTATACCACGTGTATGTAACTTCAATGGTCGTAGCTTTTGTGTCGAAGTTTGTTGTAAGAAACTGTAAGTGTAAGTAACACAGCAGCATGAATCAAGTTCTTGGCAGTTGATGATCTGAAAGTATGAAATTAAATTAGTTGAGATCTTGGGTTAATTAATTAGGATTAATGTGGTAATTAAATTATTTCTAGAAAAGAGGGGTTTATCGAGGGTTCATGTCTTGTCTAAAGCATAATTTTTGGTTTTTCCTAGGATACCCTTCTGCACGCTGTCTTCTTCTTCTCAGTCGCTCTGTGGCTGCTGTCGACTCGCGCACTTCTGCACTTATCTCCCTTTTGCCTTCCTTCCGATGCCGCTCCGAACCCGTGCCCGGATCCGATCCGGGATCCGACCAGCAGCCCGCCGGCTGTCCCCCTGCTACCGCCATCCGGACGAGCCTATCACCGGAATCTGCGCCTCCTGTCTCCGCGAGCGACTTTCCGGTCTGGATTCGTCGATTTCCGCCGCCGCGGCATCCCCGGAGCTCCGTCGATCGAGGTCGGTTGTCTCCGCTCCGAGATGCGAGGCTCCAATGGACGAGCAGCGGCGCAAGTCGTGCGACGTCGTTTCGGCTCGGCCGTCGCTGTCGAATCTCTTCGACGTCGCCGATCTGATAGGCGGATCGGAAACCGAGGCGAGAGTCGAATCGAAGAATGTAGGCATTTCGCGAGTGACGTACACCGTGATCCAATCTCGCGAGAAAATTGGGGATGAAATTAGGGTTTCTAAAGACCTCGACGACGACAAATTGGGGGAATCGAATACCGATTGCGCCGCAGACGAAGAATTCAAGACGATGAAAGAGTACATCGATCTCGAATTTCAGAGCAAAGCCAAGAAATCCAAGGATTTGAAAGGAATGGCAGGGAATTTCTTGGGCGCAGCCTCAGTCTTCACTAAGAAACTGAAAAAATGGAGGCAGAAGAACACCACCACCACCACCAAGGCATCAAAGAACCCTAACAATGCAGCCATTGAAGAAAACGTAGTCATTCCAGAGACTGCAAATCTGCAGCCATCCAAAGATCCTGGAAATGCAGGAAGAAGATCCTGCGACACAGAGCCTAGGTTTTCGATCGACGGAGGCCGGATTTCGTTCGACGAGCCGCCAAGAGCTTCATGGGATGGATACATGATAGCTAGGACAATCCCGCGGCTTGCGCCGATGTTTTCGGTAGTGGAAGATGGTCTTATAGGGAATATGAACAACAAGGTCGATAATCGGAGGTTGTCTGTAGATGGTCCGATAATGCATTCGATAGTCGAGGACGAGAGCAGCTCCGGAGCTCATTCGAATTCGGATTCATCTTCTTCGAGGAGGCAGAGTAGTTTCGACAGGTCGAGCTCGGTCCGGAGTTTCGGCAAGAAAACCGATCACGGCGTGTCTCCCGCAAATGTCAAGCTAGTGATTACCGAAAAGGAGTTGAAAGATTGGCGATTGAGTTCGCGGAAAGATGATGAAGTCGAGAAGAGGTTACCATCCGACGCCATTTCCGGCAGCGAATTGAATTTTCCGGCGAAGAAGACGACGAAGTGGCGGAGCAGCGTCCGCAACCTTTTTGGATTCAAAGAGAAAGCGACGAAAAACGTCAACGACGACAGGGATTTGGTCAAAGCGAAATTGACGCGGACTTGTAGCAGCGGGTTCGGGTTGAGGAATTCGAGCGAAGATGGAGCAAGGTCGTATCGCGGTAGGAGGAGCGTCGATAATGTCGATGGGTATGCCGAGTTTAGAGGAAGGCAGAGCTTGGACGGGATGGGGAATGTGAATACGAATTCGAATACGCCTCCGTTTTATATGACACCATTGCGGAGCCTGAAGAACAGCAGCAAGGCTGGAAATGGGAAGTTGAAGGTTCCGGTTCCGGGGTCGATGCGGTCGATGCCGAGCCCGATTGTTTCGGGTCACGTCCTGCAGTTGAATTGAACCGTCAGAACCGAACTGAATCGAAAAATTAAGGAAAAGAGAGGTGATGAAGAATGTGGGTTGTTTCTTGTATGATGAGGGTTAAGTGTTGGGGATGTAGTTCTTATTATTATTGATGTTGTTGTTGTAACACATAATATAAATGAAATGTTTTTATTGGGAATTAGAGAAATCGTTTTCGGATTTACTGTGATATCCATCTGTTGTTATAGATATTGAAATAAATAAAAGGGAAGGTAACAATATATAAAGTTGAGTTGGATTCCTGAAAATATTTTGGAACAAGTGTGGTGGTGGTGGTGGTGCACGTGCCGTGTAACTGATTTGTGGAGCAATTTGGTAAGCGGCTTTCTTGATGGTTGAAAGCGTACACTGTTTTCATTTGTTATTTTCTGTTAATTCCAAATACTATCCAAAGCAACGCATACAAAACCCTACAAATGAGTTTAGGCTTTCTTTATGTTACAAATTTTTACCTATTTGTTACCTCCGTCTCAAACAAGATACAATATTTATTTTTGGCATGAGTTTTTAGGTAGATAGTATTGAGAGAAATATATATTTTATTTTTTTATTTGGACGATGCGAAGGGATAAAGCGTGGATAGAGATTAAATATAATTAATTATTTCGTATTGTTCAGGGTATTTGGGACGTACCAAAAAAAAATATTGCAGGATATTTGGGACGAAAGGGAATAATATTTATTTTCTAAAAGATATCCTATTCTATCTGTCTATTTAATTTGTTTATTTTTTTATTATTTTATTCGTCTCACTTAATAGCATTTTAAAATTACTAATTTAATTTTTTTATTTTAATTAAATTATTTAGTTATTTTAATATTAAATTATAATTATTTTTATTTTTTTCATAAAATATCAAATTAATTTTTTTTAATTTTTAAAAATTCAAAAATTTCTAAAAATCTCAACAACATAATTTTGTTATTTTTACTTTTTATATGCATATAAAATATTTTGATGAAATACATAATATAATAATTATTTTTGCTAATATATTTTTTTAATGATTTATTAATTACTTTAATATTCGTATTACATAAATCAGAAGAAGAAAAAATGAGGGTGAGATTGGAGTATTTATTTATTTTCTCTAAAGAATATTTTTAAGACATCATATCAATTACTATTAATATTTATTGTATGTTTCTTTACTGTAATTTTTTTTAAATTTTACTGTTTAAATCTCTCACAAAATATTTTATCAAATATTATTTTTATACTAAATTTAAATTTTATTTTTTTTCAAATTCATGAAAAGAAACATCCCCAAATAGTCATTAGATTAACGAGGTTAAGTGGTGTGTATGTTCGGGGATTTGAATTTTAGATTGAAACTTGACTGTATTAGTGGTATAATATAACATAAATACAAATTAATGTAATATTTTGAATGTAAAATTAATTTTTAATTTAATATAATATAAAAAATAAAAAATAAATATTTAAATTGATTGTCATTAGAGAAAATAGTTTTGTGAATAGCTAAAGTCCACCAAAACCCACAAACAAACACCCCCTAATTAATTACTTACTTCATCCATTTAGCCAGTGTTGGATGCCAAATCATTTTCGTCTTCGTCGGTGTTTCGACAATGACTTCGCACACTCTCCCCGCTGCTAACAGTCGCCTTTGCTCGAGCTCAATTCCATGGCGCCAAAGCCCTAGGAATCTCCGTTCACACCTCTTCTCTTCGACAATTTCGTTAATTCGACGCCGTGGAGCTGCATCGTTGAATGCTTCTGCCGATGGAGCGGTACAGTTTCCGTTTAAAATTTGTGAGTGGAAGCTTGCGAAACCGAAGGCTTCTACGAGTCTTAGTCGGTCCTTAGCCGAAGGAGGCGGCTCCGATGTGTTTCGAGAGCCAGGTTTTGTGGAGTTCATTACTTCGGAGAGAGTGAAAGTTGTGTTCATGCTCGCTTTGGCTTTGGCTCTCTGTAATGCTGACCGCGTTGTCATGTCTGTGGCGATTGTTCCGATTTCGATCGCTCGTGGATGGCGTCAATCCTTCGCCGGCGTTGTTCAGGTAATACACGAACCCTGCCTTGCCTAGTCCCGTTCTAATTTGACCTATCCGGAGCTGAATTTGCCGCTGAGTGAAGATTATCGTAGCTCTCGTGCGACGGTTATTTTTCTTGTTGAAATTGTTGTCGTATGCTACCTGTGTTCGATACATGTCATTACGAAACTGTCTTTGAGTTATGAAGTGAAAATCACAGAGTGCTTATATGACAAGGTTAATTGTTGCTGTTTCAACTGAAATCTGAAATATAGCTTTGTACGTTTAATATGATATATCTTGGTCTTATGTTCTTGTATGCAACCTACTGTTGTTTCTAGCGTCTTCTTCATGTTAAAGTGTTTTCAGTGCCTCAGACTAGTTGGTTATGGTAGCTGTATACTGATTTTGTATTTTTGAACGTTTTCCTACTTCTTGATCTGACAGATTTTTTCGAATCCACTGATTGTCATTCCATGCTGAATAAGAGAAGACAACTCGTATCTTTGCCACAATAGTTATTGATAATCAAAGTTCCTTAATAATCTAGCCTGATCTTAGCTGTGGTAGCTCAGTTGTTTCCCCTTGTTCTCTTCTTGCATAAAGCTTTGGAAGCTGAGATCTATCTTATTGTCTTATAGGAAACTGCATATCTGACTGCAACTGATGTGAATGATTTTGCAATAGTTCTTTTTAGTTTTTCTGTCAGATACCAAAACTCAGTGTAAACCTGTATATGTACATGCTGTCTTCCATCTTTTCCGCCGTGTCTGATTGGTTTAATAGCCACTAATGGCAGTCATCTTTTCTATGGGGATACCTGATATCACCTATAGCTGGAGGGGCCCTGGTGGACTATTATGGTGGTAAGGTAGTCATGGCTTGGGGGGTGGCTTTGTGGTCTACAGCTACCTTCCTTACTCCATGGGCAGCAGAATCCTCACTTTTGCTTTTACTTGCAATGCGGATGCTTTTGGGCATTGCAGAAGGTGTGGCTCTTCCGTGCATGAATAATATGATTGCAAGGTATTTAGCAAATTAATCTTCAGTTATGGTTCTATCCTTTTTCAATGAGATTTAAAGTATGTAATTTTCCTCTCAGATGGTTTCCTCAAACAGAAAGGTCAAGAGCTGTGGGACTTGCAATGGCTGGATTTCAGCTTGGAAGTGCTATTGGGCTTACACTTTCTCCAATTCTCATGTCACAGGGTGGCATATATGGACCATTCGTAATTTTTGGGCTGTCTGGTTATCTTTGGGTTGTGGTTTGGTTAGCTGCAACCTCGAGCACTCCAGATAGAAGTACTCAGATATCATCTTATGAACTGAGATACATACAGAGTGGTTCTTCTAGGCCCTCACTGCCAAAAAAGCAAAAGACAGGAAATGTTGTTCCTCCTTTCAGGCGACTACTCTCAAAGCTACCCACTTGGTCTCTAATTGTTGCAAATGCTATGCACAGCTGGGTACATCCTATAGAGTTAATTATGTATAACTAAAACACAAATTATTGCCCATAGCCAGTAACTTCAGTTTCTTCTGGGAATCTTTAGTTAAAGTTGGCTTGATCTAATGGCCTTCTCCTGCATTCAGATAATTACTGCCTAACCTTTTTCTTTTCTTTTCTTCCTTTCATGAAGGGTTTTTTTGTCATACTTTCGTGGATGCCAGTTTACTTCAAGACGGTGAGGTCATAAACTGATTTGGATTTGTAAAAGTTTGTTTCTTATTAAGAAATGAAGTTCAGTGGAAGTTTCTTGTTTCAGATATTTTGTGTCGACCTTAGACACGCAGCATGGTTTAGTGCTGTTCCATGGAGTATGATGGCTCTTGCGGGCTACTTTGCTGGTGTATTGTCAGATGTGATGATCCAACGTGGTATGAGTGTCACAGTGACTCGCAAAATTATGCAGGTCTTACTGTTCTCCATTTCTCACTTGTAACTTTTTTATTAAATACCTACACTCTCTATGTCCGTTATTGAGGGAAAGCGGTTGGTTTGGTTGAAGCATCTTATCAGTCTTGATTAGTTTGTCTTAAGAATATTAAAGGTTAAGCATGGGATGCTCTTGATTAATTTATCTGTGCCCGTCACTTTCTTTATTTTTTATTTTTTTAATTTATATACTGCTTTTAACACTAATATCTCATTCTGTATATGTTTCTATAGACAATTGGGTTTATGGGTCCTAGCTTGGCTATTATTGGTTTAACAACGGCAAAAAGTCCCTTTATCGCATCTGCTTGGCTTACCATAGCCGTTGGGCTGAAAGCATTTAGTCATTGTGGCTTCCTGGTGAATCTTCAGGTTGATAAATTCTATTTTTTTTTTTCTCTTTTAGCAAAATAATCGGTACTCTAAAGCCTAACTACTAACATATTTTCAACATTCTTATGGTTCCAGGAGATCGCACCGCAATATTCTGGTGTACTACATGGTAAATTCCCAGTTTCATCTACAACATTGCTCCATATTAAAAATTAAAAGACTGTAATTGCAATATGTCAGCATTCTTCTTGTTTTTAATCGGTTATTTTCTTTATCTATACTTCTGTGCAGGTATGTCTAATACTGCTGGCACACTTGCTGCCATAGTCGGAACCATTGGAGCCGGTTTTTTTGTTGAGTTAGTTGGCTCCTTCCGGGGATTTTTGTTGCTGACAGCATTCCTATATTTCTCTGCTGCCTTATTCTATAACTTCTTCTCTACTGGGGAGAGAGTCGATTTCGATGCATAGTAGTGTAGTCGAAGCCTAACTTCAGGTACTCCTCTCGGTTTTTATAAGCTTTGTAGAGAATTATTGGCTGCTGTTGGTCATATTTGTGTGCAATAATCATGTATGGAAAAGTTGCAGCTTGATAAAATCATCATATGGGAATGAGAACAATGTAAACTAGATTTATGGCCAATTAATTTTATGTGTATTTGATCAGATCTCCATTTGAACCTGCAGGCTGGCTCCATGAAAGGTATTTTGAAGCCACACAGAAAATAATACTCCTATGTGTAAACACATATATCATGAATCACTGTGGATTGGAGGGTGGAGTAGATAAGATCTCTTTTGGAATCGAATGTGAGTTTTATATATGTATATGTATTTCATTTACGGGCAGGCACGGTTCTGTTATTTGCAAATATGCAAGTATTTGATAACCGAATCGAATCGAACAAATACCCGAAACCGCTAACTGTCTACGAACCGAAAAATTTAACCGAATTTTCGGTTTAATTGAAATTTTAGGTTAATCAAAAATATTTGCAGTATTTGCGGATAGCTCGAATCAAACCGAAATTAATAAAAAATATATAAAAAAAATAATTAAAATTCTAATTAAATAAAAAATATTTGTAGATATTTCAAATATCCGAATCGAATATAATTATTAATATAAATTTTAAAATATAATAATATAAATATATAAACCCGAAAAAAATATGAAAAATCAAAATCGAATCGAACCGAACAAATATTGAATACGCAATATTTGTATTCGAATTGAATTTGTTTGATTAACCGAAAATTCAATTTGATTCAGTTCGGTTTTTTTGTCTACCTTTAATTTTATTTAGGGGTGTTAATTCGTATTTTTGGGTCGTGTTCGTGTCGGGTTGAGCCATCGGAATAAAAAAAAACTGTCAACCCGAACCCGAAATCTGATCTGAAACCCTAGACCCGAACACGACATGAATTCTTTCAGGTCGGGTTCAGGTTGACCTGAATTAGTTTCAGGTCACCTGAAATCCGAACAAACCCGATATGAACCCGACACGAAACAGACCCGAAAATTTAAAGAAAATTAAATTGATCTAAAAAATATCATTTTTATTTTTATATTATTTTATATTTAAAATAATATAAATATTATAAATTAAAATAATAATAATAAAAATTTCAGGTCAATCCGAAACTTAAAACCTAACTTGATTTTTATATTTCAGGTTATCAGGTTAACCCGAAATACGACTCGAATACGACACGAATTTTTTTCGTTTCGGATTCGGATCGACCCGATTTGTTTCAAACCTGAAATACCCAAACCCGAACCTGAAAAATTTCAGGTCAGGTTCGATTTTTCGGGTCGGGTTTACTTTTGATAGTCCTAATTTCATCCATTGGATAGAGATAAAGATTTGAACTTATTTAATGCTCTACTAGAATAGAAGATAGTAGAATAGGGGAGACCAAGGAGGAGGGGGGGGAATGGGAATTGCCTTATATTACTGAACAGATAACTACATGTTCACGTGCAGTGCAGTGCAATCAGTGGCACTCTATTCTTTTCTTAGAGATAAATAAGCAATCAAAGGAAAGGAAGCATGCATCTACATCAATCCCAATGTGCATCGTGGTTGGGTTTGCGTCACTACTCAGTACTCACTCGCATCACATGAATGAAACCTCCACCCCGATCCACTTTTATATATGTAGTATTATGTATATAATTCACCTCACAATATAATTTATTAATGCAATTGAATCATATTTAAAAAATTATATTTATTTAAATATACCATACTTAAAAAGTTATTCTGGCCATCAAATTCTTAACATGTTTTTATTTTTTTTTTTCCAAAAAAAATCATATTTTTTATTTATAAAAATAATTCTTTGGTACTCATTTTATTATTCATGTGTAAGAGTTTTTATATTTAATTCTTTTTTACTATAAATTGTATATTTGTAATTTATAATTTAAAAGTATTTTGGTATTAATATATATATATATTTTTAAAAGAATATGAAAAAAAGATTTTCAAATGGTACAAACTAAAAATAGTATTTTGAACTAAACTCAAACAATATTACATTAATTAACAAAATACATCGACTATCTACGCATCTAATTTATAAATATTTCCTAAATCTTTTTCTCAGTCAACGAATATAATGGAGTAATATATTCGGTGATCAGATAAAAACGGCAGTATTTTTCATAAAATATTATTTTTACTTTTTTGTCTGAAATTAAAGTAAAAATCACTTAGAGTGTGTTTGTTTGGGATTTGAATTTTGAGTAGAGATTTGAATAGTAAAAATTTTAAATTGTAATAATTGTATGATGTGATATAAATAAGGAGCTGATGTAATATTTTGAATATAAAAATAATTTTTACAATAATATATAAAATGAAAAATAGAGTTTGATTTGATATTTTTAGGAGAAAAATATTTGATGATCAATAAGATTTGGGTAAAATCTTATAAACAAACTAATACCATATTTTAAAATATAGAAAAAATCAATTTTGATTATAATATAATGAAAATTTATCAATTTTTGTCCCAATATAAAAAATTCATCAATTTTAGTCTCAATATAAACAATTTCAATCAATTTTGATCTCATTATAAACAATTTCAATTAATTTTGATCATACCGAAAAACTAACGAAAATTGCCGACTTTGACATAAAGGAGGTCACGTGGCAGTTGACTTAGAAAGTACACTGTCACGTTGTTACATGACCTCTTTTATGTCCACGTCAGCAATTTTAGTTAATTTTTTTTAGCTGTAAGATCAAAATTAATTGAAATTGTTTATAATGAGATCAAAATTGATTGAAATGGTTTATATTAGGACTAAAATTGATGAATTTTTATATTGAATATCAATTTTGATTATATCGAGACTAAAATTATTATTTTTTTTTTTTAAAAAAAAAAATAATAATAATAATATTATTATTATTATTATTACTACTAAGAAGCTCAGTCCTACCCATACTTCTCGGTAGGACTGTGTCTTACAGAGCAGTAACTGTAAGCAAGCAGTAAGAGCACTGATATTTTTCTCATCACCGCCACCCATCACCGTCGCCGCCGTCATCATAATCACCATCATCATCATCACAATCATCTCGAGGTAACAAGCGGAGCAGACCACTCGTATCGTATCCTCCTCCACAGAGCCACTACAGCCCTACCATTCATTACAATACATAACCCATTCCTTTCCATTTTTTCTCATTTTGTCCATATCAACAAACAAATATCTCCACGCCTTTTCGTCTACACCCTTCGCACATTCCTCCTCCTCTTAAATATCTCAATTTCCACTCGCATTTGGGGATTGTGCGTCTCTTCCATATACGGAGCACGCACCTATTCTGGTAATGTAATCCTGTTTCCTAGCTTGAATTTCACGACTACTTGTGTTCTGTTTCATATCTGCGTTTTCCCTTGCCTTGCATTTTTTTTTTTTTTTGGTTTCGGCTTAGTGTCGTTCTTTTGAGTGTGTGGCTTCGGGGTAATTGTGAAATTATTGTGTTATTATTGCTCCAACAGAATTTGTCAGATTTTCACTTCTTTAAGTGAGATTGGATTGATGCTCAAGAAATTGTTATAGAATAAGGTTCGAATATGATGCGTTTGAATATAAGATTGACTATCGGTTGCAGTCTTGTAGATGTTTTTTTTTTTTTTCTTTGAATATAAGCAGGAGTGGTTTCGTATATGAATTTGAATCGGGTATGATAGCTGAATATTTATGTACGATGAATCAAGTGTTTTTTAAGAGTATCTTTGCTAAATAAAATCACATGCAAAACACAGTGACTGTAATGCTACTCTCATTTCTAGTTTAGCAGAAATGCTATTAGTTGTTCAAATCATTTGCTTATTGGTCATTTATTTTTCATGCTCAGGTGGTGTATTTGTTATTGAAGATGGCAACCGCAGTGAAGACAAATGGTGCTAAAGCTGCTATTGCGGCCAAGAGTCCGGGAAAAGTTCCGGCTGATGCCCATCCGCTTGCCAAAGATCCAACTGAAATTGCGTCCAATATCAACTACCATGCTCAATATAGCCCTCATTTTTCCCCTTTCAAGTTTGAGCCAGAGCAAGCATACTATGCCACTGCAGAAAGTGTTCGTGATAAACTAATCAAGGTACTATACCTAGACCAAGTGCTCTGCCTTAAACTTTAGATTATGGATCATGATTGCATCACTCATCCTTTATACGGTGAACCGGACAGCTTTTGTGTTCTATAGAATGTTATGCGCACTTTGAATTAAAAATGTGCTATATTATAGCACTACTCTATATATGTAAGCTGGAAACTTGTTTTGTATATTTGTGGCAATGGATTCTTGTTATGCCTGATAATGATTCTGTTATGATTTCAGCAATGGAATGAGACATACATGCACTACCACAAAGTAAATCCTAAGCAAACATACTATCTATCCATGGAATATCTTCAAGGAAGAGCTTTGACAAATGCAATTGGAAACCTAGATGTTCAAGATGCATATGCTGATGCTTTAAAGCAGCTTGGCCACGAACTTGAGAACATTGTGGAGCAGGTAATATAAATCATTATGTCTTTGTGTAATAATAATAATAATAATAATAATAATAAAGATATATGTGACAATAGGATAAATTAGAAATTAGCTCCTTGGGTTATACAGATGTTCGAAAAACCCCTCTGAGAAAAATGTCCGCCCCTTGATTTTTTTTCAAAATTAGTGCAATATACCTTTCATTGTTTGTCTTTAGGCTTTTTTTTTTTTTTTTTTTTCCTGCAAAACACAAGGGGGATATTTGTTGATTTATGTTACATATATATATATAGAGAGAGATATTTTATATGGAATCTCCATTACATGGCTCAATTTCCCATTTACCCCTGACAATCCTGCTATTTGAGAGTACTAAGCAGAAGAAAGAGTTACCACTCCGATACTCATTCTCTTAGTTTTACCTTATTTGCTACTCAATTTGGCTTTCTATCGATACAGACACTCTGTGGATTGATTGTTACTGCTTTCATCCTTTGTGCTTCTTTGATGTTATGTTTATTTAGATTTTGACTATATTTTTTATTAAATGTGCAGGAGAAAGATGCTGCTCTCGGAAATGGTGGTCTTGGGAGGCTTGCTTCATGTTTTCTTGATTCAATGGCTACCTTGAACTTACCCGCTTGGGGATATGGTTTAAGGTATAGATACGGTTTATTCAAGCAGAGGATCAGCAAAGTTGGCCAAGAAGAAGTTGCAGAAGATTGGTTGGAGGTAAACATTCTTCGTACTATAATTAGCCCTTCATTTTTCTACATAAATATTCATTCCAAGGTTAACGAATACAGAAGTTCAGTCCTTGGGAAGTTGTTAGGCACGACGTGGTTTTCCCTATAAGATTTTTCGGTCAGGTTGAGGTCTATCCCTCTGGCTCGTAAGTGCCACTGAAATCCTTCTATGAATAATTCCAAGTATTACTGTCTTCAAGATATTTATCCATGTATTGCTTCTGTTTTGAAACTGTTTCAGTCGGAAATGGATTGGTGGAGAAGTCATACAAGCTGTTGCATATGATGTACCGATTCCTGGATATAAAACAAAGAACACCAACAGTCTTCGTCTCTGGGAAGCCAAGGCTGGAGCTGAGGACTTCAACTTATTTCAGTTTAATGATGGGCAGTATGAGTCCGCTGCTGCACTTCATTCAAGAGCCCAGCAGGTGAATTGTTGCCTTTGTCCTTACTCCTCATAACACAAATATGTGAATTTATTGATGTGCTATGGAGGGGTTTGGGTTTTTGAGCCTTCATGGATGCTTATGTGAAATGTTTGTATTTGTAGATTTGTGCTGTTCTATATCCGGGGGATGCCACCGAAGATGGAAAGCTTTTGAGACTGAAGCAGCAGTTCTTCCTATGCAGTGCATCTCTTCAGGTTCATCAGTGTCTTGTTCTTCGTTTCCATTGTCTTGAACCCAGTCTGCTCTACTCTAAAATATTCCAATCAAAATTTCAGGATATCATCTCTAGATTTAAAGAGAGAAAAGAAGGAAAAGAAGGGATTAAATGGTCTGAATTCCCATCTAAGGTTGCAGTGCAACTGAATGACACACATCCCACCCTAGCTATACCGGAGCTGATGCGTTTATTGATGGATGACGAGAATCTTGGATGGGATGAAGCTTGGGATATCACTACCAGGTGCTACCTCAACTATTTTGTTGTTGATTATTCATATGCTAAACTATAATATTAAAACCTTTATTTCTTCCTTGTTATTGTTCTTTTCTTGAACATGACAATATGCACCTTACCAGGACAATTGCCTATACAAACCACACGGTTCTTCCCGAGGCCTTGGAGAAATGGTCACAGTCTGTCATGTGGAAGCTCCTTCCACGCCATATGGAGATCATTACAGAAATTGACAAAAGGGTATTTTGATTTGTTAATTATGAGTCCTTTGCTGGCGTGCTAATTCATCAGGAATAGTGATCTTATCTTGCCTCTGCAGTTTGTTGCAATGATAGAGTCAACAAGACCTGACCTCGTGGACAAACTTTCTGGTCTTCGTATCTTAGACAACAACCCACAGAAAGCAGTTGTGCGTATGGCCAATTTGTGTGTGGTCTCTTCACACACGGTAAGAGCTTTTATTGTCGACATTCAAATACAAAAAATGGCTTCTGATGCTAAGTTTGCAGGAGCAAAGTTGATTAGACATTTCAATGCTCTAGATATGTCATATTATTAATTTTTCTTAGGCTTGATTCGATTTCATATATAGCCCACTTGAATTAGGGTAAGAAGGATAGATTTTTCTTACTTGTCGGGGAAAGAATTTAAACTCGAGTGAAATATGATCGAGCAAACTTGAGCAAAGTTAAGGTTGGCTTAATTTGCTCTTAAGTTTTATGTTCCATGTTACCCGAATGTGTATACGTGTTGCATATATATATAGTTGCACTGACTGATGATATCTATTCCTGTTTGGATAATTTGATAATTAAGCATGTGAACTCTGAACCTTTTGGCCAGGTAAATGGTGTTGCACAACTGCACAGTGACATATTGAAGGCTGAGCTATTTGCCGATTATGTCTCAGTATGGCCCACCAAATTTCAGAACAAAACCAATGGTATTACCCCCCGTCGGTGGCTGAGGTTTTGCAATCCAGAGCTCAGCCACATCATCACCAAATGGCTGAAAACAGATCAATGGGTGACAAACCTCGACCTGCTAACAAATCTGCGACCTGTACGTAATGTGATATTCAAGAAATATTAATGAATCTTCATTGCTGCCATCTTTCTCATTGCACTTTTACTATTCCCCAAGTTTTCGGAGAATTCAGATTTCCAGAATGAGTGGGAATCAGCTAAGTTGGCAAGCAAAAAGCGTTTGGCAAAATACATTCTGCAGGTTACCGGTGAGAGTATTGACCCAAACTCGCTCTTTGACATTCAAGTCAAGCGCATCCATGAGTATAAGCGGCAGCTGTTGAACATTTTGGGTGCCGTCTATAGGTACAAGAAATTGAAGGTGAAGTAACTTACTCTCATCCCAAAGTACTCTTTATTTGATGCATATTTCAGTTTTATCACTTAATCGGTGCATCATTTGAGTCCCTCGTGGTGCTTCCCTAAATTTCAAAAGAATGATGACCATTTATCTCATGATTATATATACGGTGTTTGTGGTAGTTTTCTGACAATTAGTACCACATATGTCGAGTTAGTTATGTATGAGAAATACTTGAGGAGAAGTGCATTTTTCAAAGATATCTTCGACACAATTTCTAAGTTTACGTACTTTCATGTCTACGTAGATAATTATCGGCAACTTCCTTCTCTTTACAAATATGTTAGTTCACTAATTGTTTAGCGACGACAACGAAACAATGGGTGCAGGAGATGAGCCCTGAAGAGCGTAAGAAAACCACACCTCGCACCATAATGATAGGAGGGAAAGCATTTGCGACGTATACAAATGCTAAAAGGATAGTTAAGCTTGTCAACGATGTCGGAGCTGTTGTGAACACCGATCCAGAAGTCAACAGTTTCCTAAAGGTACTAATGAATTACATAACCTGTCCATATCTCTAATTCCTTTACAATGTTCTGAAACAGCTAATCTACCAAAACTTGTTTCTTTCGTGATTTTCCAAAATCAAACTGCTGCAATTCAATCTTGCGCTAAAGGGGGCCATTGTTTTCAGGTCATTTTCATCCCCAACTACAATGTATCGGTGGCTGAAATACTTATTCCAGGAAGCGAGTTGTCGCAGCATATCAGTACAGCCGGAATGGAGGCAAGTGGAACAAGCAATATGAAATTTGCCCTGAATGGATGTCTCATAATTGGGACTTTAGATGGTGCTAATGTTGAAATAAGAGAGGAAATCGGGGATGCGAATTTCTTTCTTTTTGGCGCCACAGCTGATGAAGTGCCTCGGCTGCGTAAAGATAGAGAGGATGGGAAGGTAACAACAAGAACACAATTACTGCTATACATAACCAACCATATCATATCATATCATAGAGCTACGTATGTATATTGTACAACAAACAGTTCAAGGCGGACCCTCGATTTGGGGAGGCAAAGAAGATGATAAGATCGGGAGCATTCGGGACGTACGACTATAATCCACTGTTGGATTCATTGGAAGGAAATTCTGGGTATGGGCGGGGCGACTACTTTCTGGTCGGTTATGATTTTGCGAGCTACATGGATGCCCAAGACAGGGTGGATAAAGCTTACAAGTAAGTCATTCATGTCACGTGCCATGCCATGCCATTCATTCAATCAGTATAATTATATTTCACTTGAATGGTGTTGTTTTGGCAGGGACCGAAAGAGTTGGATAAAAATGTCGATACTGAGCAGCGCAGGCAGCGGCAAGTTCAGCAGTGATCGGACCATCGCCCAGTATGCAAACGAAATCTGGAATATACACCCATCCCCTCTCCCATAACAAGACAAACACCAGAAGCGGACACGGGCGGACAGGCAGACACACAGTCGTGGAATAATAATAATAATAATAATAATTAATAATATTGGCAAAGAACGAGCCTTTTGTCTTCATACTTCATATATTGAATCATCATCTGTCATTCATAATCACGTAAAATCAAGTTATGATGCCTCGTATCTTTCTTTTCCCCATCAATTAATCTTTTGACTAGAAGCTAACAGTCAAAGGCTGGCTGTAGCCTGTCTGAGTCGGTTGCTCTTTTAATTTAAAATGAGTTCTTTGAAATAGCTCACTCTATTTATCACAGCGCCCCAACTTGTAATATAATCAAATATACAGTATTTTATATAATACTTTTAATTCTAGCACAAACATTTTAACCATACCATCTCTTTCTTAACTACACTATTATTACCATCATACTTCTAGTTGAAAAATATCCAAATAGCAACATCCTTATTACATTAGGCATATGATAAAGTATATGCTAAAATCATGTGCGCTATATTAGTATGTGTAATAATATTGTATTTTGTTCAATACAGTGCAAAACAATTTTAAACACCGTAGCCGCTGTTATTACATGAAACATCAAAAGACCATGCAAATTTGCAATAATTACTTCTACCGTAAGTGTAAGAGCAGAGCATACATTATTTGGCGAGTCATAGTCATAGCAGCAGCAGCAGCAAGCAAGCAAGAAAGATAATATTAACTATATATGGCGAATCAGAATATCACAAACCATGTATATACCACCAAACCCGTCCAAGCATCTCTCCCCCACTTCTAACAAGTAACAATAACAGTCATAGTGTTCTTTTTAAAAGTAGGAAGTAGCCAATTCCCTAACATGCACCACATAACAATAAAGCAGCAGTTTGCAATTTATATAGCAGCAATCAACAAGTTTACCTTTCTTTTACCGGCTCCTCGACGACGAACTCACACTCGGGCTTCTAGAGTGACTTCTCGAGGATCGACTGTCCCGGCCATGAGACGGGCTCCGGCTCCTCTTTGGAGACTTGCTTCGCCTCCTCCCACCTTTGCTGCTGGTAACAGGGGACACACTTCTAGAACTGCTGCTGCTGCTTCTACAATAACTCGGGGACCTACTCTCACCAGAGTAGCTCCCACAATCACTAATCGACACACTTCGCGAGTAACTTCTCCTCCCAGAATAATATTTCCGATACCCCGGGGATATGCTACGGCCAGATGACCTGTACCTGCCTCTATAGTGGCGATCGTCGGGAGAGACGTCCCGGTAATGCCTTCGGTAGTACCTTTCATCGGGAGAGTAATCCCTATAATAGTAACAATCGCGGGAGGATCTGTAGGACCTTCTGTAGTATCGACCGTCAGGGGAATAGGATGGCGAGCGGGAGTAAGATCTTCTGCTGCGGCGATAGTGCGGTGGAGAATACGATGGCCTACGCCTCGAATATGATCTGCGGCGATAATAAGGAGAGTAGCCTCTGCTGCGGTGGCTATCCCCGTCGGATGAATACTGAGGGGACCGATTCCTTGAGCGAGGTGTGTAGCTTCGGGTACGGGACCGGCTTCTTGAATCAGATGAGTAGCTTCGAGAGCGACGACGGGCTGCGGAAAGACCATCACAGTTAGAAAAGTTGTGGTAATTTGCTTAAAGATGGTTATAATCAACTAGCAATGGCGGCAGTTCTCAGCAGTTCTCACCGTGCGTACTTTTGAGTCCTAGATACCTTCCCGGGGTTGGGGTACGTCCACGGCGTCTTCTAGCCTGCAGTGCAAGTAAAATACGTACTAGTTAGCACATGCACTACTGATAGTGACGAGATAGCTGATTTCGTGTGCGGCTGGGAAGCAAGATGGAGCTGCGGGTGCGAAAAAAATAAGAGAAACGCAGGCATATAATACAACCCACTGAAATAACAGTCTGATATTTGCTTGAGGTATTTGATTTGATTTGATTTGATTTGTTAGTTTGATGAAGAGCTGCTACACACAGCTACCCTGTCGCCAAAGAAACTTCAGGCGAGAAGAGATGAAAGTGTAACTTGCAAATTAAGCATAATTAATAGAGTAGATGCCCAAAATAATTCTTATACAACAATAAGGGTAGGGACTCTGCAAGGGACTAAGAAGGTAGGTTGTTTGTGTTACCTTCTCCACAGTGATAACCCTGCCCTCGAGCACTGATCTATCCAAGTACCTTATGCAGCGATCAGCTTCTCCAACACTTGACATAGTGACAAAACCAAAACCACGGGATTCGCGCGTCCATGGATCGAGAACAAGGTGAACATCTTCGACCTGAAAGTATAACCATTCCAAACACTGAATAAAACATCCAGCATGTGCTGCATACCTTAAAGATTATAGACATAGTCATCATATATACAGACCATCACCCAAATATATTTTTCTCAAATGGGAACTGGCTATGGCTTTGATTTAGCTTACATAAGGATCAGAGGCACAATCTATCACAAGACTCAATCCAAAACTCGGAACATTTTGTTAACTCTCAAAAGTTCAATACCAAAGTTAACTAAGTATTAGACAGTGGAAAACGATAGCAGACGGACTTGTTCTAAACCACCTTCTTTAGTCTCCCTAGGAAACACAATCGATTTAATTTATTCAAAAGGTAGTGTACACAGTGCATTGTGGCTGGAGCATACCTTCCCTTCAGTTGAAAAGTGCTTCTCAAGGTCTCTCTTTGTGACACGAGTAGATAGTCCTGTCACATACAGGTTATTTCCAGGATTCTCAGCATCAGTAGAATCATGACTTCTGCAAAATTGTTTGTCAAGAAATGAGTTGTTTATCCAGCTGAAGGTGCAAATCGTATGCAAATATACAAAACTTCAGAAATTGAGATAGTGAATTCAAAACCTCAGATTACCTTGACCTACTCCTTGATAAAGACCTTGACACAGACCTGCCACGCCTGTAAGGCGATGGTGATTCAGAGTACCTAGAAGGAAGTAGTTAACAGATCATATAAAAAAGTCTAAAACTAGAGGTAAAATTACTAATTTTAAAATACACATTCCGGTAAATGACACCAGGCGCACCTTGATCCTCTTGAGTAAGACATCTGCAGACAAATATTAACTTATTAGAAATATATAAGCAAATGCAACATACAAAGAAACCTAAATTTATGATAACAAAACTTGGATAAAAGATAGGGAAAAGTGTAGGTGGATCATGAAATATTCTTCTACACGGATTAATATAACTGGTGGAACATCTTAACATAATTTAAATTTGGTGTTTCCAATCGACGTGATGAGGCCTACTAATAGCGAGATATCAGATAATCGTACATACTAACAGACAATGACTGCAAGCGAAGCAGAGAGGTTTACAGAATATTAGTTTTAGGTATCACCTACAAATTAACTACGGGTATAAAAATTACATACAGATACGATCAGCTTTAACAGATTCACGAGCCGCTTTTTCTTGAAAATTAGAAGACAAAGCGCAAATCATTCCCGGTAATTGACACAATATAGAGGAGTGTATTTCACTTGTAGACAACTCTTTAAGGAAATCCGCAAATGAATTTTCGATCCGGGAAAAAGGTCACAAGAGATAGCGCAAGTAAATTTGGGAAGAGACGATATATAGGGAATAGGAAAACCACTGCAAAGACGGATAACTAATAAATCTTCATAGGTTGGAAACAGTTAACAAATTCTTCGTAAAACACCAAAAATCATCACCAATATAGCTAACTCAATCGTTACTAAGCAACAATCAATTATACCTCCTCTTATAGAACCGTAAAATCCTAACTCAAATCAATAATCAAACGATTCCTTCATTTGTCACGAAAACTTACCAGATTTACTACCTCAGCATTCAAATAACAAAAACAAATATATTCAACCAATAAACGAAATACTCTTACACAAATAATAATAATTGTAAGATCCTAAAGAAACTCATCGATATTCACCTTCAGGAGCGATTGGTCGTTGAGATCTGGCTCCGCGTTCTCTGTACGGCTCTTCCTGCTTCGTACGTCTCTGGAATTCCGTCGATGTCTCTGGAAACAAGAACTGCGTCTTTATATATGAGCGGAGATCTGACGAAGCTTCTGGAGAGTCCGGGATGTACGCTGGTTTTAAAGATATATATATATATATTCTTTTAAAAAAAAGTTTTAATTAGGATATTACAATGCAAATTCTTTTTTTTTTTTTTTTAATGCCGTATTTTAAATAAATTGACATGATATTTATACTGTAAATTTAATTTTAAAAAAAAAAACAAAAAAAAAATTTATTTGTCCATATATATTATTAAAGTTATCAAAATATTAATAAAAGCTAACTAAAATCAATTTTTAATCTTGACCTATACATGCTACTTGTCTAATGTAATTTTTTTTTACTTTAAATTATATTATTGGTAATTACTATACAAATTGAAATTTTTGTATATTCAATTTTTTAAAATGTATATAATCCAATTTTTAATATACATAGATAGATTAATACCAAATTTTACAAATATGCTATGTTGTTAATAAAGTACTTATTTGTTTATTTATTTATTTATTTATGTCTACTTTAAAATAAAATATTAATTTTTTTATAATTGTATTTTTTACTTAGTATTAAAATTATTTTTACAATTTATTCTTTTCGTTCTACTTTAGTTGTCTACTTTTATGTAGATATTAAAATCTAAACAAAAATATAATTAATAATAATTTAAAAATATATTAGTAAAATAATTATTATATAATATAAATAATTATATAATAAAATAATTAATTAATTGAATTATAATTTAAAAAATTTAAAATAAAAATATATATATATGGAAGTATGACCTATAAAAATAAAAAATATAAATAAATTACGTAGAAAAAATAAAATACAACTATTATATGATACTAATAAAAAATATTTTTATTACTTTCTTTTATTTATATTATATATTAATATAATATTAATATTAAAAAAAAGTGTATAAATATTTTGTTTGAAAAAATATATACATCCTCCTCTTTGTTATTGAAGTTTCATTGATATTATTTATAGTTTAGTTTTAAGAAAAAAATAATACTACTCGGCATGACACTTTGACATCTGCTTACAATTTAAGACTTGTTTGGTGGTTGTTTCTTAACTTTTTTGTTTTCAATTTTATTTTTTTATGATTTATAGTTGTAAAATTTACAAATATATATATATATTTAATATAATATTCAAATAAAAATAAATATTATGTACTTTGTTTCAAATTGTAAGTATAATTTTGATTATATATGAAATGCTTTTGTGTGTTTATATCGGGGTTTGGATTTTAAATTTGAATTTAGTAAAGATATAGAAGTTAAGATTTTATGTGTTTGTTTGTTTGAGAGTTTGAATTTGTAATAATTATGTTTTTAAAAAATTACTCATTCTGTCTCACTGTGTGTCAAGTGTTCTGTAAATAAAAAAATTTAGTTAAAGTATAATTAATAAGTAATTAAAAAATATTAATACAAATTATTATTGTATAATAAAATTAATCATAGAATAAGATTAAAATAATTAAATAATACTATTAAAGTTATAAATTATAAATTATAAAATTTAAAATGTAATTAAAATGTATAATCATATTTTAATGACAAATCAAATAGGATGAACATAAATAAAAATAATAGATAAAAAAAGTGAAACAAGTTTATTTTACTTGAAAAAGTGATGTATTAATGCGATCGTTTAAAAAAAAAATAAAAAGTGAACTATTGTTTGTTTGATTGTTGTTTAAAATATATTTTTAAATAAGTCAAACAAATATTTCACAAAAAAATAATGCAAAGTACTAATACTATAAATAAATAAATAAACCAAATAACCCATTGATAATTTCTTTATTATTATTTTATCTATATTTTTTTATAGTATTATTATTTATAATTTATAAAATAAGGATAAACTAGTTGGAAAAAAAAAAAAAACCCTCTAAACTACACCTTTCTGTCTGATTTGTATATATCAATTTCTTTTTAAAAAAAATATAAATTAAGAAATACCAGTATTATTGAGTAATGTGTAAAAACAAAATTGACTAAAATACCTTCGAAAATATCATTGATAGAAAATTATATGATTATAATTTTCTGTTAAATGTAGACTATTCATTATTATATAGAACCATAAACTGAACCCTAAAGCTCATATTTACATAATAGTAGAATAAATATATTGAACTACACTGCATTATAATTTATTTTATTTAATAAAATAAATAAATCCTCAATATTTTGACTGAAGATTTTTACTTTTGATTTTACAGCTGTGAAAAAAAAATAAAATAAATAAATAATGTTAGATATTTTCATTCCCATATAAAGGCGGCAAAATTGTCCATAACTCCTTTGTGATTTCGAAACTCAGCATAAATTCCTCCTTTACTTTAAAAATTGTATGGTAACCCCTTGTACTTTAAAAAATATTGCATGAAACCACTATGTGGTTTCGAAACTCAGCATAAATCTTCATTTTACTTTAAAAAATTGCATGACGCTCACTTATACTTTTAAAATTATTGCATAAAACCCCCCTGTCATGCAAAATATATAGATATGAAATCATCTTCTTTTCATGCAACGTTTTTTTAAAGTATAAGAGGATACCATACAATTTTTAAAGTAGAGAAAAAATTTACGCTGAGTTTCGAAAACACTATGGACAATTTTGCCCATAAAGGCCAAAAACAATAGAAGTGTGAAAAGCATGGAAAGTCTTATGTTGTGCCAGCAATGCAAATATTTTTATATAAATGAGTGTCACATGCCATGTGCTAAACCACTACAAATTTGTTAACTCATCCCCCAACTCACATTTCTTACATATTGTTGGAACAAAGTAGCAATATGACTTTTTTCAATTTATAGCAGTATAACTTTTCCCTAAAATCTTTTCATCAAATTAATCTTCAATTTTCTTATACCAAATTAATCTTAATTACTTTTTTTAGCAATAACAATAAATTAAATAATACAAATTTGAGAATTGAAAGATAAAAGAACAAAATAAGATATTGCTTTTAGGGCAAAAACTCAACGTTGTCAAATATTAAAAAATCTACTTTTCCCGGCCACCTAAAAATGCGTTCAAATTTTTTAGCTTGAATTTTATTGTGGATGTGTAATGTTATTATTTTTCAAGCATGTATAGTAAAAAAAATAATTAATTTTCATATGATTTTTTTCTTGAAAAATGAAATAATAAATATTTTAAATATTGACAGCACACAGCAATGTTAAATTTTGCATATGCATTTAATTGCTTTAGATATTTTTAGTTGTTCTGAAATTTGAAAAAATAAAATAAAAATAGTGTGTTTGTGTAGGGGTTATTTAGGATATAATTTATCCACATAACAATAAAAATTACTACATAATAAATAAATTTCTATACTACCTTCATGTTATTCGTATAAAACTAACCAAATGAATAAATATCAAAGCTTGTTTATTTTCTATTTTGATTTGAATTTTATTTTTTTAAAAAAAAATTCGTTAAAATTTGATGTTTTGTACAAATAATATATGTTTCTCTTGTCTATCAAAATAGTGTGTCAATTTCCTATTTTACTAATAAAGTAGACTCGTTTGTCCCGTAAGGAATGACCTGGTGGTGTAAGAGTTGGCCCGTTGAGCCTGGTTCGCAGGGTGTTAGGTTCGGTCGGCTGCGAGTTCCCACATAAAAAAAAAATGAAAAAGTAGACTCGCTTTTCTATTTTAATAATCCGGTGTGTTTGTTTTTTTGTTCTACATAAAAATATTATTATTTAATCATGTTTAAATTTTTGAGATTATGATGTCCCACTCTGAAAATATATGTGACAACTCTTTTAGTTTATAAGAGTGATGGTTTTTAAGGATAAACACCAAATTCACTTAATATCAATTGATTTTAAGTTGAAAGTTCAAATATTTTTTTTAACAATTGCAAATTCAGAGATAGATAAATAAATAAATAAGTATATATATATATATATATAGATATAGATATATAGATATAAATTAGCACGTACAATAATGGTCGTTGGACATGAAGCAACTATTCCCATATCTATGACTATGGGATGCCATACAGATAAAATAATACTAATAATAAATGTGAAGAATCATTCTTCAATGAACGGTTCATATATTCTCTTGGGAAAGAAATAAAATATATATCATCACTGGTCACGTTCCTAGTATTTAAAGTTTTGAGTTTTATTGTTAATAATTGAAAGATAAATTTATTAATTATATTAATTAATAGTATAAATTAAAATTAATTAAAATCTCATGGTGTATTTGTTTAGTGAAATTATTTGAAAATATATATATTTTATTTTATGTAAAGTATAAAGAAGTGTATAAGTAATATAAAAATAATAAATACGTATAAAATATTATTTTTTTTAAAAAAATTATACTACCTCCGTTCACCTCTTATCTATCAATTTGTATTTGGCGTTATTGCTTTTAACATTAAATATATCATTATATTTGTATAATTTTTTGTACAAATGTCATTACATTAGTATTATAAGACATCAATAAAAATATTTTTGTCATTTTTTTTAAATTTGTACTATGTTTTGATATAATAATTAATATTCAAATAATAATATATAAAAATAAGTGAATAGATGGACGAAGATACTATTTTGTTTGAAAATTGTAAAAAAATACACCCTTAAATATTGAGCAGTGGGATAGTAGGTTGGATCGATGAACCGGCAACAGATCCAAGGCGGCCTTAAATCCGGCGCCGGTTCAAAAAAGAATTGCACGGTCGGGAGAAACGCTTTGATCCGGCGGTGGTGGGAGGGACACGTGGCCAAACTACAGTCGCTAAAAAGGGTTAGAACAGGGTCCGTGAAGACAGCCGCCTCGGCCTACAATTTGGCACGTGACTGGGGACGCCAAACCACCGACTTCAGCAAATCACTCCTCCTCCTCCTCCTTCAAAAATTCACTTATAAACAAACCCTCAAATCAAATTGCATAAAAAATATCAGCACCTCCACGGGTCCTACCATGGCGATGGCGCCCCAATAATATTATTGCTATTCCATTCCTATTCGCGTATCGCTCTCTCTCTCTCTCTCTTCCAGTCTCTCTCTACCTTTCTTGGACTGTCCCAAGATTTTTTCCTCGCTGCTTTTTCGTTTGCTACTGTCTTCTGCCAATTTTCTCTGTATTTAAAGACGCCCCTAGCAGATGACAGTAAGTGAAGATCGATTCGGCGGCGTCCTTCGCCGGAGCATTTCTTTCCGGTGAGTTTAATTCTTAGGTTTTCTAAGGCGAATGCATTCTGGATTTGATTTTTGGTGGATTTAATTTGGTTGTTGAGAAATTAGGGTTTGTTCATGTGCTTAATTTGGGGATATTCCTTTTTGGTACGATTCCTTTGCAGGTATTGAGGCTTGCTTTTTCCGACGGATCCAAATCTGAATCTTCTGTGAAAGTTCATTTCCTTTAATTCCAGTTTCCTCCACTTTTCGCCGATTCCTCAAATCTCGTCGAGATTATGGAGTTGAAAGTAGCTGCGAATTCATTACACTGGTCCCCGTCCTTCTCGTCGGCGAAATCCTTCCAACCTTCGAAGCGCCGGCGGCGCCTCGTCTCCGGCGATGGATCTACCTTCACTCCGCAGCTAATCCTGTCCGTCCGTCCTCGATCTTGTAACAGCAGAAAATCCTCTGTCTTAACCGTCCAAAGTTCATTAACCTCCGTCTCCAATTCCTTCCCCGATGAAGAATTCTGGAAGAACATCCAGGAATTCGCCACAAGGTTCCACCGGACGGACGACGTGGCGGCGGCCGGAAGCTCCTCGACGCCGGAGGATTCCAATTCCAATTTCCCGGAAAGAGACGAAACGATCCCCGGCAACATCGAACGCAAGGCTAACAGCTTAGACATTCCATTCTCATTGAGGATCATCAAGAGCAAGAAGAAATGGCAGGAAGGGTTTACCGACGCCGGCGAGACGGCCTGCTGCTCGATCAAGAAGGCGTTTTCGTCAATGGTGTTCATAATCCGTGAACTTCATAGCTACACTCTGCAGATGCGCGAAGCTCTGTTCTACGAGGATTTGCAGGGGATCATCGCCCGCGTGCAAAAGGATATGCACGCATCCTTCGTCTGGTTGTTCGAGAAAGTGTTCTCCCACACGCCGACGCTGATGGTGTACGTGATGATCCTCCTCGCTAATTACAGCGTCCATTCATTGTCGATTAGTCCTGCCATAGCTGTAACCGCCCCAACCGGACAAGTCGAGGATCATAGAACATTCGATTTCTCCGTAGTTAGGACGGCGAACTCGGCATCCATGACGGGAAAAGCTGCCTCGGTGGGCGGCCGCAGTAGCGGAGGCGGCGGCGGGAATTATAAGCCTATTGCTAGCGGGATGGACGGGGATGGGAGGTTCGACGACGACTTGAAATGTCTTCCGAGTGTGGTTCCTGATGGTGTTTCGTCGTCGTCGTCGAGAATTGGGGAAGAGTCGGTGTCGAATCAAGAGTCCCGCAAAGAGGGACCGTTGGATCAGATATTCCAATCCCGGGATGATGCGGGTGTCGTCGATGGTGGCGAATATTCGGATCACTTGAGGACGGAGATGCAATACGAGACGCAGTTGGCTTGCGATCCGAAGAACTCGTTGCTACTCGCAAATTACGCACAATATCTCTATGAGGTGGCGAAGGACTACGACAGGTATTCATCTAAGGCTTTCGAGTTCTTAATCATCCGCAATATTAGTCGAATAAATGTTTAATCGATACGGACCGTTAGATGCGATAACCTCCGGGGCCGGGATGATGTGTGCCGTGAAAGCGTAACGTGTGGTGTTCTTTCGATCTTCCTTTAGTGAGTAATGACGACGATGTCAGTGAACCAAATTGTCCCGTCGAATTGAAATATCGTCGAGATGCAATTGGCAGTTTAGCATACGTCTGTACTTGCCTGTCCGTGTCTCGACATCGGGACCGCGCCCGAGGGGGGTCGCCTGTTGGCCCCCCTTGTCGTTGCTACCTTCACATTCTCCGTCCTGATCCCTTCGTAAATTTATATATATATTCATTCGGGATGTGTTTGTCGTTTTATTAAGTGTTTTATTCGATTTGCTTGCAGAGCCGAGGAATACTTCAAGAGAGCGACTATCGAAGAGCCGAAGGATGCAGAAGCATTGAATAAATACGCAACGTTTTTGTGGCGCGCTCGGGATGATCTGTGGGCTGCCGAGGAGATGTATCTCGAGGCGATTTCGATCGAGCCGAGCAACACTTATTATGCCGGGAGCTACGCGAACTTCCTGTGGAACACCGGCGGCGAGGACACATGTTTTCCGCTCGACGGCGGCGACGATGAGTTGTGAGACGGCGGCCGGAAAATATTATACGTATAAAGAATGTGTATGTATAAAGGGACAAGTGTCGCCTGAGCTGTCGGGAGGTGGACACAAATTTTGTGTCGTTCTCTAAAGGTACTATAGATCAAAATTGTAATTAGATTTCATTATTTACAGCTGAATATACATGACCTTTATATTATTGTAATAATTGTCGACAGAACTAATAATGATATTAGTAATATTTTGAGGATTATTGCTCATTTGCATTGCTTGTAATAATATAAATAAAATTTCAAAAAATTAAAATATATTACAATGGTTTTTGTTTAATAAAATTTCAAAAAATTAAAATATATTACAGTAGTTTTTGTTTTTTTTTTTGAGCTGTCTTGATGTCTAAGTATATACTGGAATAGTTTGGAATTTAATACTGTGATAACGAGAAGGCAATAAAATAGAAATAATTATTAATAATAATTGCACCGAGTAGAATTAAATGCTGATATTGCAGCATACTATGAAGACTGGTAGGTCGAACTCATGAATTTTGGAATAAAATTTATTGTGCAACCGTATATATATAATTAGTAGAACCTACTCATAAAAAATGCACACCAATTTATTGCCTCTAATACCTAACCTATCAAGCTATTTTTGAAGTCAAAAATAAATTTTAAATAAAATAATTATTATGTTTTGAATCAATAATGATAAATATATATAATATGTATACATGGAAACACTCTTATATAATATAAGAACATATTACATAAAGTGCACTTAATGAGTAGCTATTACTTATTTTCATTTTATAAAAAATATATATATTATTGTAAATTTTGAATTTTATTGATAGTATCTTTTATTTTATATTTTTTTTTTTATAGAAGATTACATTTAAATAAAAATAAATAAATTAGAAGAATACAATATGAGATACTGCTCAATAAATTCTTTGGGCATCTCCAACCAAAGTTCGTTAATGGCGTTGGGTTGGATGATTTGGCGTGGTTTAGGATTTAGGGTTTAGGGTTTAGATCCAGCCCCATTTTCAACCGACGCCAAATCCAGCTTCATTTTTTTGGCCATTGGTGTTGCACTGTAGTAACACCAAAAAAATGACGTTGCTTCCTTATTTTTTTAAAAAAAATTTAAATTTAAATTTTTATTCTAAATTTTTAAAAAATTATTTTAAATTATAAAAATAAAAATTTGTTTAAAATAATAAAAAATTGAATATTTGAAGAATAATAGTGAAAAATAGAATTATGATTGGCGTAAAATTACCGTAACAATTGCATATTTAGAGTTAAAACTGCATAAATAAAATTGATGGGTTGGAGATAGTCTTAGTATGTGATGATTTTCTGTCTAATTTCTTGAATTTGAATATGCTATAAAGACGAAGAGTACAAGGACACTTAGAAAAATATTTAGAATGGTATTTTCCATCAAATTGCCAAATAATTGGTGCGAAGCATTGTCAATTGTGTATAATAAATTGTGGTGATTGTTTATAGAAGAAAATTATGTAAGAAGCCAAATTTGACTTATTTTGGATGTTATTTATTATTTAACATACAAATGGTATATTGACGGACGTTTTTTATTTTCTTTCTATTTTAGTACAATTATTTAAACAAAACTACTTACATGCATTTAATTCATACTATAAAAACAAGGGTGTATTTTGTTTGTATGTATTCGATTATAAATTTTAATTTAAATAAATATTGAATATGAAATTATATAATAAAAAAATTAAAAATAAAATTCATTTGTTTATATAGGGATTTTTGGAGGTTTTTGAAAGTTTGAAAAAATTAAAAAATTAGTATTTGATTTGATGTTTTGTGAGAGAAGAAATATATTTAACTTAATGTCTTTTTAAAAAATGAATAATAACAAATGAATGGAAGTGTATTATATAAATAAAGCGCAAATATTTGTAGATTAGATTAAATTTTCAAATATTTCTATAAGCACTTTTGGAAACTTTTGCATTATTGTATTTTTTTTCCTCAAAATTCATTATATCATTTATATATATCTATATATTTTCATATATATATATATATATATTTCCACTCACACCGTATTACGGTAACTACTCATTATATATATAATTTTTAAAAATTTTCAAAGCTTCTATTTAATGTAGCCCAACAATCCTTTACTTAATTTTGCAAAATTTGGTTGTCATCTAAGGGTGTGTTTGTTTGGGGTTTGGGATTTTGAGTTGGGATTTGAATAGTAAAATTTTTGAATTTGAATAGTTGTATGATGTGATATAAATAGATGTTGATGTGATGTTTTGAATGTAAAATTAATTTTTAGTATAATATAAAAAATAAAAAATAAGTATTTGATTTGATATTTTTTAGGAAAAAATTTTGGATAAATAATAGGATTTTGTTAAAATCCTTCGAACGAACAAACCCTAAAAATAAATATGTGGAGACCAAATAAATCTTTAAATGATGTATATATTTTTAAGATGACATTTTTGTTTGACGTAGTTTCTTATTCACAAATGAAAAAAAAAAATACATAATTTTCTAAACAATATAATAATAATAATTTATCACGGATGACATTCAACAAACAGTTCCTTTGTTGTTGGGATTATTGATGTGTTTTTATTTTTTCTTTACTATTTAATTTTTATAAATATAAAAATAAATATTTATTTTATTACAAGTACTTATTAAAAATATTATTTGAATAAAATAAAATTTTTTAAAAAAATTAAAATTAAGTAACCACACGTACAATTTTGATCAATGTGCAAAAAAACATAATTTCAAATATTATTTGGGCCTATGGGTTTACATGAGTGGGCTAGTCTATGGCCCATAATTACAATACTTGACGACCTTACTTATGGGTAAGGCCCACTTCTCATAAAAATAAGTAAGAAATAAATTTTCTCAAAAAGTATTTTATTTGATAAATAAGTACATTTTAAATAAAAATATACCCATGAGTATATTCTTTTAGTCTTTTAAATCAAAATTATCATTATCTATCATGCACAATTTCTAATAATATTAGAATATTATTTAAATAAAAATTTAAATTAATATTAAATTACAACCAAACAAACTGGTATATAGTCATATTTATCAGTTTTATCCATTCTAAAATAATAATCTCATTTCTATAAATAATTATATCACTATAAAATTATTCTCACTTTTTTCATTATTATTACACAATTGTCACTATTTTTTACATTAATACACTCGTAAGGCAAAAAAAAAGTCTTTTACCCGTATTTTTTACCCACTAATCCAGTGCCAAACACAAATCAGATTATAATTTTGGAACGAAAGAAGTATTTTATTTTATAATTTAAATAGATTTTTTTTAAAAAAAATATTATACTTAAATAATATTTTAATTTGTTTTCTGCATTTAGATATTTAGATACTTGAATAGTACTTCTTCCATTTCAAACATAATGCAACAATTTGTTTTTTTTCTGTTGCAAATATTATGCAATATTTATAATCATCTCTGCCTTATATTTTATCCAATTTTATCCTAGTATTGAATATTGTAGTAATCATCTCTCACAAACAAATAGACCGTACCCCATTATCTATATGTACATAGCCTCATCAATAAATGGAAGTTTGTTTTACGTCATTTTCGTACCCCCATCATCTATATATCTATAGTGGTCCCCTCCCAGTCACGGGCACTAACAAATGCCCTAAACCTAAGGGTCTGTTTGGTTTCACGGTTTAAGAGGGGAAGAGTGGGAATTATAAAAATTTTTGTGTTTTGTTCAAATTTTATTAGAAAAAGGGGAGGGGAGTCAATTTTTTCTAATTTTTTTTTTTTTATCAAATTTTTTTTTTATTTTATTACCTATTACACCATTTACATATTTTATTAGAAATTTTATAATATTTTTCAAAATTTTAATATTTATTTATTTTAATTTTAATTATATCAAATAAATATTAATATATATTAAAATTATATTATATATTTTGAAATAGTTTTAATTCACGTATTTTAATCAAGTTTAATTATAATAATTTTTTAATAAATTACAAATGAGCATATAATTATATCTATAATATTAATATTTTATTTTATTTTTATCATATAATATGAGCATATTATTATAGATACAAGAATTTAGATAAAAAAATCAAATAGTTTAATTAATATTAAAAAAATATAAATTATAAAATATAAAATATTTTTATAATATACTTAGTTTATATAATTTTTGTTATAGTGTTATTATTTATACACTAAAATTATTGTTTATTTTTATTGGTAAATTTAATAAATAAATAATGTATAAAATATTTGATTATTCGAAGATCGTAATGTAATTATTGTTTTTATTATATTATATAAATAAATTTTGTATCACATTTTATAAATAAATTAATCGTTTTTTATTAAATACTTTTATTTTTTTAATTTATATAATACAGAGATAAAATAATAAAATAATTATATTTTATTTTATTTTTTTGTTTAACCAAACAGAAAAATACTATTTTTCCTTATCTGATCTCTCTTACTCTCGTATGAACTAAATACGTTACTACAATTTTAATATTTTTCCCCGTCTTCGCCTCTCATCCGTTCTATTAAAGCCCTCCCCTTCCCTTCCTCTGAACCAAACAGAAATACCGAAGCCACCAACCTTAGAATATCACCTCTCCCAAATTCCTTCATTCCCAACGCCCGCCGTCTGTATCCTCCGGCCGCCCACCACCGCCGACGCTTCTTCCTCCTCCGCCCCCAACAGGGCTTGATAGCTCCACAACATATCAAGTCTGGTTGTGGTAGGAATTTTGTTCATATTTTGGAACGAACAGTTTTCATGGGTCTTCTTCAACCTGCTCCCAAAACATCAAATTGTAATCAAATTCTTGAGAAGCCCCTACTTAAGAATATGGCTGATTTTCTACAAGAGGTAAATTGGACCATACGATTAATCGAATACATTTCCGTCTCAATTTATAAGAGTAGCTGAAGAATTTTGGAAATCACGACATGGTCAAGATTTGCAATCTTTTTCCGTCGATTCCATATGATAAATCTAAATTCTCATCCTTCAGCTTTACCGGAAACCATGTATGCGATCTCAAGATGGGAGTTTTTCAAAGTTTGTTTCTCCCAAGAGTTGCTTCTCATCAGAAAAAAACAACCGTATTTTGTAGGTTTGTAAAGTACTTTGAATGGTTAGTTTCTTACAATTTTACTGCGATAATACTATTGTATTAGCTTAATTTTCATTGAGTGCATGCATAGTAAGCAAAAAAACTCATCTAAGTGAAGTTTAAATGCATATATATATATAGTAAGTACATCAATGAAGTTTCGAGGAATCTAAATTCTATGTCACAATTAGATGATTTATTTCTCGGGTTCTCTCATCGTAGGGACATCTTGGGTCTTTAATAAAATTTTAGTTGGGAATGAAATTCGAAAAGTATACTATAGTGCTTTTGCTTTGTGATGATGAAGTCCGAAAGAAGATGAACTAATCTTACAAATATTTTGCAGATTGTGTATGTAGCAAGACTAGCATGCAGATACGTGATGAATGAAAAGTTGTATCTCTCTTGCTTGTTGTCCAGTGGGTTTGCCGAGCTACCTTTAACAGTATCTCGGCTTCCTATATTTTACAAGCAAAGAGATAATCTCTTTCATCCTGCATGGTCATAGTCTTTAACAATCTTTTAAGCCGGATTCCCTATTCGATGGTTGAATCTATTACATGGTCTTGCATGGTATATTTCAGCGTTTGATAAGCCTCCGACGCCGCGAGGTATAATGACAAATCCAAATAACTCTTCAAGTGCAGTTGATGATAATGAAACCATATATATTATAGTCATTCATGTACTTGTTTTCTTTCTTTAATTATTGACGACGATCTTGTTTCAGGACTGATGAAACCATGGTGGATATGGGCATACTGGGTATCTATATTATCCTATACGCAACCGGAAATTGCTGTCAATGAATTTCTAGTAATAAAATATTGGTAGAACAATAGTGTGCACCATACATTCAAGCATTGAGATATTTGAAGGGAGTCTTTTAATTTTTAGTCATTGGGTTTTCAGAAACCACCGGATAAGAATATAGGTGATTTTCTACAAGAGATAAAAGGTGAATTTTCGATATCATCTTCTACCTTTTGTAGAAAATCAGCCGTATTCTTATACGTTAGATCTCTGAAAACCCAATGACTTAAAAATAGAAGAACTTGAGTAGGTTGCCCTTGTTTGTATAATGTGCCCCTTAGAAAGTAATATTTCACTTAAAAATGTTATGGATGATAATAAAAGTAATGCACTATTTCCCATTGGTATGTTTTATTTAATGTTAGTCATGTATATTCAAATAATAGTACTACTCAATCTACATGAAAGCACACCAGAAAATTTTAAAGTTTTTGGAAAAATTTTGAAATTATTTTATTAAAAGAAAATTTAGGAGTATAAATTTTCTCTAAACGTGTTTAAACACTTAATAGTTATATTTTAAACAATATTGGGTGCATTAGAAATTCTCATAAAAAATTTAAAAAAGAAAAGAGAAGAAAAAGTAATCATGTTCTAGCTATTAATAAATTGAATTTTATTAATAACTCTATTTTATTTTATTTTATTTATTTGTTTCAGAAGATTAATAACCTATTAATTAATAAAGGTACATTTCTCGATGTCCGTCCATCTATGCTTAGGCTTTGACCGCCGAATTCTAAATATGATATGCTACCAACAATTCAAACCACGATTTAGCACGAACTCATTATTTTATAATTTCTTTACTTATTTATTTATATTTTTAGTTAATTATTATTTTGACATATATTTTTAATATTATAACTTCTTGGCACCGACCATTGTCATTAAGATGAACATTTTAAGAATTTATACAACTTTATTTGATTCAATATCATTAAAAATAAAACTTTTATGAGTTTGTAATACAATATTTCATACCAATAGCAATGTCTTAAGGGATATACTTATGTTTCCTCATAACATCAATCCAATACAACATTGAATCCAAGGCACCATACCTTCTTGTCTTGAACCCCATTGAATCAATCTTCTTTCTACTTACCAACATTTTCTTCGGGATTCGAAACATCACATCCAACATCTGCCAGTTCGCCAATTCCTCGACTTCCGTCTTCACAAGTCCGTTTCCCTCGACAATTTCTCTCCAAACATCTTCCTTTCCCGCCATCGCCTCGGCGTACACGAATTCCTCCGAAACCCCCCCGCCCGTAACCCCGAGCTTCTCCCCGATCGCCCCCCATATCTCCTTCCACGCGTAATCCTCACCGTTGATCGCATTAAATGCTTCCCCTCTGCGGGGCCCGCCCCTCGTCGCCGCCCACACATGTTGCTCGGCGACGAGCCGAGCATCCGAGCAATCGATATGCATCTCCTCCCAACAACGACGCGTCCCGCCGAACAAAAATGGGAGACCTAAATACTTGCACAAGGTGCCGTAAACGCATAAACTTCCGACGAAGTTATAAAACGTTCTCCTCGAGCACCCCGCGATCAATCCCGGCCGGTGGATCGACCATGCGACGTTACGACCCGGCAATTTCTCGTCCAACAAGTCCTCGAGACCGTAGTAGAAGTTACGCCCGACGTCGATCCTCGGAGACTCCTCGTCGTACAACATGACCCCCTCGTCCCCCGACCCGCCAGTCAACGACACGTAATGCTTCACCCCGGTTTGCAACGAGACGTGCCGTAGCCCCGTCGCGTTTCGGAGAATCACGTCCAAAGCGTTGCCCATCATCGACTTGTTTTCGTCGTAGCACTCGACGGTGTCGACGGGGAACCCGGCGGCCCAAGTGAGCCAAAAGACGTGAGTAACGTCATCCATCGGGGCGAGCTTTTTTTCGACGTCCTCACGACAAAGTAGATCGCACAAAACGAAACGGTATCCGGGGTGTCCCCGGAACTCGTCTTCCTCTTCCGGAAGGCGGCGCCGGGCGACGCCGTAGACCTTCCAGTCGTCGTCGACGTCGATGTCGCCGGGCCCTGCCGAAAGCAGGCTTCTTGCAAGCTGTCTCCCCACAAGGCCAGTCACCCCAAAGATGGCTGCTACATTAGGTTTAGTGTTGTGTTTTTTTGTATCATGTAGAGCCATTGATGAATTCTTGATTCTTGATTCTTGAATGCATCAATACCTTCCTTATTTATAGCAATGGTTTATGGCTTTATGCACATTACCATTTTTCACTGTATATACTTAGGGGGTGATAAAATTAGGTAAGGCACCAAAAAATCGTGTTTTGTCTGGCCCGACTCGATTTATCAAAATTATTAATTTATATTTAATATATTTATATATATATGTTAATTAATGAAATAGTTTCAAAAATTAAAAGATACTTTTATGGTAAAATTCTTAACATGTGTACATGTGGTTAAAAATAGCGGTTAAAAATAGATTAGTGTGACTTCCCTTGTTAGCTATTGGGAGTTCTCACGAAATGAAATAAAACAAAAAAAATTTGATTCTTATTTATTTATAATATATAAATACTATTTGATGTGTTTACCATTGTGTACGTTAGTTTTAAATTTATTTATATTACGTTGAAATATATATATATATATAATGCAGTTGTAATTTAAAATAGTACATTTAATGTTCTCAAATATTTTAGAATTTAAAAAATTAAAACAAAATCAAAACATAAACTATCACACAATTAGTGTTGATTGCCTTCAATTATTCAATATCTTATATATCTTTGACCAGTATTTCATATACATATAGTCAGTATAATAAATCTTTAATGTATAAAATGTGTAATTAAAAAGTAATACTTAGTCTGTACTCATTTTAATTTTTTTGAGTCTTGGCAATCACTTTCTATTATTCTAATTTAGTAAATTTGATTACAAACAAGTAATAAAACTTTGTTATATATACTTATTTTATTTTATAATCTTTTCCTATACTTTAAGTAAATAAATACGTACAAAAATAAATAAAAGCAGTAGACGACAATAACAATTAATATTATCAGCTGGATCCGCATTGTTAAATTAATTTAGAAATGTAGAGTGAGAGCATTGACCAATTAATAAAAGCAGTGTTTCTTTGTGAGTTTGGAGTTTTTGGTGTGGATTATTAAATAATAAAATATTGAATATAAATAATTGTTTGACGTGGTATAAATTTTTGATATAATATAAAAAAATATATTTTATTTAATATATATATTTTTAATTTGAATAATAAAATATAAAATTCACAAAAAAATACAATAAAAAATATTTATTTATTATTTTTTTAAGATACAAGAATTTTCAATTGAACTTAATAATAATAAAAAATATTTTCTTCCTCTCTAAAGATTATATTTGTTTTTTGCGTTATTTTTGTATTTTTTCTTAAAATTTATACTACTTCCTCCATTCCATAACAAAATATCTATTTTTTCATTTTAATCAATCCCATAACAAAGTATCTATTTCTTTTTTACTATCTACTTAACGTTACAAATACTCTTACAACTTACAATATATTATACAAATCTCATTACCTTTATATCATACATACTAATAAGTTATTTTAGTCATTTCTATTTTATTCATATTGTATCTTAATATAATACTAATATTTCTAAAACTACTTGAAAAAAACAAATGAATATTTACTTATAGAACAAGAAGAATATATTTTTTTAAAAAGATAAACACCAAAAAGTAAATGGAAAGTAGTACTCCCTTTGTTCTATGTAATATGGGTGTATTACCGTAGACACGAGAATTTAGGTAAAATATAATTAGTAAGTAATTAAGAAGTGTATTAGTTAAAATAATTATTATTCAGTAAAAATAATTATAGATTAAGATTAAGATAAGTAAATAATTTAATTAAAATTAAAAAAATTATAAAATTTAAAATTTAAAATACGATTAAAGTGCATAATTATATTTTCAAAAATAGAAAGGACAAATTACGTCGAACTGACGATAGTGACAAATTATATGTAATGGAGGAAGTAGTATATTAATTGTTAAATAAAGTGGTGGGCAACTTGGGGTGCGTGATCGAGGCACAATTGGGGGCACCAGCCGTAACCTTGTTGGAAGGAATTCTTACAACAAATATATAATTCGTTTTTAATATCCAAAATAACTTGAACACCACAAAATAAATACTACATATATATAATTATTGCTTACATATCAAACCATGGCTTTGTAGAAGCACATGGCCACGGTAATTCGACAGCCTGACCATCATGTTCGTCCCTTCGTAAACTATTACAACCACGTCCAACTTTCTTGCCAAATTGTTAATCCGGTTCGATCATTAATTCTTTTTTTATTCAACTTGTACCTGAACTTGCCGGGATCGCGCCCCTCAATCGGGCTTCCAAGGTGTGTTGTTGACCGTCCTGTCCGAGGCTGCCCGCATATTCAAAAGAATACGTAGTTTTTTTGTTCGAATAATTTGTTAGAAACAATTCCTAGGTAATATAACAAAATGGTCCTAAAAAAGAATCAAGAATCTATTTGTTCTTATAAACTCTTAGATGCATAAAATTCTTCATTTCTCAAATATTGAATGACTCCTCAAAAGTCCCATCTTTTCTTAACTACTTCATTTCTATCTTCTCTGAAAATTGAGAGCTTTGACAGAGAAGACATAAGCACCGAAGAAGACAACAGAAAATCCAATGAGCACGCCGGTGGTAGGCCAGAGCATCTTCGACTCGAAACCAAATCGTTGGCTGATGAACTCCTTGACTGTTCCTTCAAAATCCGGCCCGATGACTGTTGTCTCTACGTCGCCTAATTGGGATGTGATTATGCCGCGCAAAGACCAAGCTACCGGACAGATGTAGTAGAGCCATGTCCACCATGGCGGGATGTTCTGTAATCATAAATGATCCAAGTAGTTGTAGGTTCTAATCAAATGGCAATCAAATTACAGCAAAGTAAACCACAAGTTTAGTACTCTAAAAATGCAAAATGTATGAAAATCCCGAGCTTGTGTTTCTTACAAAGCACAAGAAGTTATCATTTTCTCGATATTTCTTTTGTGTAAGTTAGCATTGTCTTATGAACATGCGAGTTTTATTGATGTAGTTATAACAAGAAATTTTTTAAGTCTATACTTACCGGCACCGGGATGAGAAAGCCAGAAAATAGATTCCAAGTCGCGTAAAATGCACCGGAGTAGACTGCCGCCAAGTTTAGAGTAGGAGTAAGTCCCACAGCCATCATCCCGAAGAAGGTGAAGTACAAGAATGTGAGAAACATGAATAAGAGGTACATGAAAATCTTTCCTGTGACATATTAGCAAAAGCAGCAAATCAGCACGAAGTTATCTGATATCGAAGTTCTTAACTATTTATAAAGTAATAATCAATCGACAAAATGTATTAAAAACCTTGGAGGTTATGTTTATGATGCATTGAGGAAAAGGCAATGAGATATCGCACATGAACATCATGTAAATATACAGGTAAGACAAAGTGAAATGTAAAGGGATCCGCGCACATTTTAGCAAACACAACGAAAATCATTTACATGTTTACTTTCTTGTTGGAAAATATGTAAAAATTTCAAGGCATAGTTAGACTCCATATACAGCTTTACCATGGGATGAAATGGCAACCAATAAAAGAATGAAAAATGTATGAAATACGAAAGAAAATTTTTTAGTAAAAAATAAAATTACCGGCTGTCCTCTCGTAGTTCATCATGAAGTAGGTGATAATGGTGTATATTACAGTTTGTACCAAAATGTATGGAAACTCCACAAGACCCTGCAATCATAAAAGTGATTGGAATTTGATTAAACCATATACTAAATTGCACAAACTATGATCGGAAATATTTGCAATTAATAAAAGTGTAAGATGATTCCTCATGGAGCATTCAAATCACATTAGCGTCTGAAAACAAAAGTCATGACTTAACCTTGTCTAGAAAACAAAAAACATTTGAAAAGGGAAGGTGAAGAAGAAAGGAAACCTGAAAGGTAAAATAACATTAAAAAGAGAAACAAAAACTCGCCTGTGCAAGTGCGAATGGAACCGGGGAGTACATTCCAGCAGCCTTTTCTCTATAAAAGACAGACCTCTCAATTGCTATTATCGGTTGTACAGTCCCACAATTGTTCACACCAAGAAAAGTGGCAGAAGCATAGAGAGCTCCCATCAAGACAAACAGTGCTTGAGCCGAACTCCTGGAAAATCATTCAGACAACAATATGCATCATTATACTTACTGATACATGCACCTACTAAGGGACAGTGTTGATAGATTCTAAAGAACAAGTGGAATGGAAGCTGAATTCCAGAAACGTCATTGAAAACACAGAAAGTATCGAACCTTAACATGGAATAGTTACTTCATTAACGTTATTGAAAAATTTAGAAGAGCATTACCTTTTGGAACCAACATCCCAAAATATGGTACCAATGATAATAGCACCAAAAGCTGTAAAAAGCATCTTGATCCCGTTGTATTCTGGCTTTCTCCAATAAATGATGTTTTGCTTCCAAAAGCATATTTTAAATTGAGATAATGTGCTTCTTGCATATGTTGTACTGAATTTTAGAGGTTTGGAATTTTCAGGAGGGATGCTCAGTCTCTGAATAGAAGCTTCAACGTCTCTGCATTGTAAGTTTAGCAAAGTTAGTAATAGCATCACAAACATTTGCTCTATAGAAGTAATGAGTACCATAATAGGAATACCGGTACTGCTGCGAATTTGCATATATCACAGAAAAATCTTCATTAATGCTTTGTTCAACAGCAAGAGTGGTTACTTCAAGCATCCAATTTGCAGGGTTGTAGCCATCTGGAAAAGGTGTAACTCCTCTTATCCCCTAGATGATATGTGAGATTAGGTAATAATTGTAGAAACATATACTTTCAAAAGATATTACTCCTAATGTAAATAATGAAGGAAGATAAAAGGCAGCAGCATTCGCTAACAGCAGACAATAAGTTAATAGTCGACTTCACATTTTACCTGAAAATAGTTGATCATGGTTTGTGAATTTTCGCCAAGTTTACCACCATATATCACTCTGCCGCCACGCTTCAGCAGAAGGAGCTGCAATTTCCAATTACCATATACATCAGTTGATTCAGTATGCTTGAGTATAAGAACAGAAATGTATACAAACATCAAACCTCATCAAATGCTTCAAAAATCTCAATACTTGGCTGATGTATGGTGCACACCACTGTTCTTCCTGTATCAACAGTGTTGCGAACTGTCCGCATGACAATTGCTGCAGCCCGTGCATCAAGACCAGATGTTGGTTCATCCATAAAAATGATTGATGGATTTGCAACGAGCTCAACTGCTATTGTCAAACGTTTTCTCTGTTCAGTGGATAACCCGGAAATGCCAGGCAACCCTACCAATGCATGCCTTAGGGAGTCGAGTTCCACCAACTGCATTACCTCTTCAACAAACTCCTGGGGAAAAATAAGAAAAAATGTTAATAGTCGGTTATATTAAAGCTCTACCTCACCTAGAAGTCCTAATGAGTGCTAACAAGATCCATCAGCTTATATCTGTTTATGTTTATTTCCTCCAAAAGATGAAAAGAATCTTTAAAAAGAAAAAAACTTAATATAAGAATCATAGATGCAACACGCCATCACATACTTGTCTTTGTCCTTCATCCACATCCTTTGGGAGCCGTAGAAATGATGAAAACAAGAGGGACTCATAAACTGTCAGCTCAGGTGAATGTATGTCGTTTTGTTCCACATATCCAGACACCCTAGCAAAAGTCTTCTGCTCCTTCAGATAACCAGAAATCTTTATGTCTCCTTCGATGTATCCACTAGTCTTTCTACCCGCAAGGACATCCATTAATGTTGTTTTCCCAGCTCCACTTGACCCCATTAATGCTGTCAGCACACCAGGTGAGAACACTCCACTGACATTCGACAGCAGTTGCAATCTTCTTTCCGGGACACCTTGTGAACTCATTTCCTGGAAGTTTTCAGTCAGATACATGTATACGTACTATTTAAATATCATAAATTGCAAATAGGACTACTGATTCATTATAGATAAAGTAGCTTAAAACGAGATTTACTACCTTAGGCATGTCAACAAAGTAGTTAACTTTATGGAATGTCATGACTAATGGTTGGAACGGTAGAATCATCCCTTTCTTTTTTGCATGATTGTTTGATGGTGTAACAGACATGGACTTCTCTGCTTTGACCAGGAAAAAGAAGACAATAGCTTTAAAAACACAACACAACACAATCAACTGGATGCATGGCATTGCTAAGTGTAAATGGTAGCCAAAGTACCTTGGTCATTGTTGTCTTCTGGAAGAATCGTTCGAGATGAGGTGAGAGCTGTAGGAGACAACAGGGAATTTAACATAAAATCAACAATGGCACCATGTCAGAAAATTCATTCTTAACAAACCATAATAGTATTTTCTATCAGTGGTTGTGTGCACAGTCTCTTGTAAAGTCAAACTAATATGAAGTTTTAGGGGTACAGATATATTATATTTGGTCAGAAGACATACGATTTAGAAATGTCAGCGCAATTGTTGAAGCCATGTTGAATAATATAGCATACGCTAATAAAACACCAACTCCAATCCAATACCAATAATCCTCAGTGGGTAAGTCATGAAGTTGGAGGATTGTGTATCCGAGAGAGGTGTTTTGGGCTGTCAATCTCTGCAAGATGGAAGGTAATAACTACCAAAAAATTTAATGGATATGAAAGCTGAAATTCATTTGGAGACTAAGCATAAGATGATACAATGATAGGTGTGTGGTCATTTATTGGTAACACAGAATGTTCAAAGAGATAACAAGATGCATACAAATACACACCTTTACCCATCTTGTAGCTAGAAATTCATTAACAGCAATTGCTCGTTGCGCATAAGATAATGGCGATACCCAGTATGCCCATATCCACCATGGCTTGATCATTCCTGAGACAGCATCATAATATTTTAAAGAAAGATAACGAGTACCTGACCATAACATTGACTTGCAAAAGATACTAAACCTTTTGGTATGACAAATCCACCCAACAGAAATATTGTCATCATCGCAATTGACCCGTAAGTGTTCGCAACAACCATATCTCTCGCCAAAGTAGCATTAAACCTGAAGAGACCTAATGCCATTTGGTGTAGTGAAAAGAGTAGCAGTACAAATCGGAAGAATCTGAAACATAAACAAATATGAAAAGAAGAGATGAGATTCAAATATTTCATTGTCATCAGTGAAATTGAAGAATTTTCTGGATTATTATTATACCTGGCAGCTCCTGGAGCAAATCCGACGCTAAAATACACCACAGAAGACCATGCAACAGATTCAACTATTGAATAAGGAATCCGGCTTAAGAAATATGTGATAGACCATGACCATGCAGGATGAAAAAGATTATCCCTTTGCTTGTAAAATACTGGAAGTCGAAATATTGTCAGAGGTAGCTCCGCAAATCCATTGAACAACATGGCTACCAGGCTAAAGAACAAGCAAGAAAGATAAAGCTCGCCATTCATCACATCAATTGGACTTAGTCTTGTGTGAAGAAACGATGTACATGCTAGAATTGCTATATACACAATCTGCAAAGATAATTATGTTCTTAGAGACATCAGATCATTAACAGTTGGGAAGTAAAGGTGAATGTTTCTACTCATTCACCTTGAAATTCCATGGATGATAATGAAAGTTAGGCATTGTTCCCCATTGGCATATACTATTTAAAAATAGTTTTGCATATTAAGATACTATTGGCTAATCAAAACAAAGCAATATAGCATACTTTTTGAATTTTTAATCTAACGTCTAAGTCCGTAGAAGGATGTGACAAATTCAATAACTCAAACTTTATAAAAGAGCCAAGATGTCCATATGCTAAGAAAGCCAAATATATCTAATTGTCTCACAAAATTTAGATTATGAGAAACTACATTGATCTACTATATGCATTTAAATTTACTATATATGCTCTTAATAAAAGTTAAGCGAATACAATAGTATTTATCACGATAAAATATAAAGTCGTTAACCATTCAAAATGAGATATAACATACCTGGAGTGCCTTGAAGATGTACAAAAAACGGTTTCTATCGAATAGAAGCAACTCTCTAGAGAAACAAGCTTTACAGAGCTCCCATCTTGATATGGCATACTTAGTTTTGGGCAAAGCTGAAGGATGACTTTTAGATTTATCATATGAAGTTGAGAGAAAATATCGCAAATCCTGACCATATCGTGATTTCCAAAACTCTTCAGCTATTCTTGAGACGGGAACATACTCGTATGGTTTAGAACGATCACCCCAATATTGTCCCTGGTCCTTTTTTGAAGTTACCTAAGATGTTCAAAACTTGCTGAAGTTAAGCTTATGGACAAAATATGCACAGAACTAAGAACAGGGGATAGTAAATTCGACATCATCTTTTACCTCTTGTAAAAAATCAGCAGTATTCTTACGCGGGGGCTTCTGGAAACCCAATGACTCAAAAAACTCAAGAACTTGAGCACATGGTCCTTGATATATTACGTGCCCCTCAGAAAGTAATATAAGATCATCGAAAAGATCAAATGTCTCCGGAGCAGGTTGAAGAAGGGCCATTAAAACGGTTCCTTCCATGAAATGAACAAAGTTTCTAATACACTTAACAACCTGAAATGTAGTAGAGCTATCAAGACCCGTTGATATTTCATCCATGAATAGTGTTTTCCGTGGCCCAACCACCATTTCTCCTACAAGCAAATTTAGTCTCCATCAATACCGCATGTAAAATTTTGTCGAGACACAAATATGATGGGCAAATATCAAATATATATTGAGGCTAAATCACAAGATCACGAGCATTAAGGCTTTTGGTAGGAGAAGACCTGTAGTAACTCTCTTTTTTTGCCCCCCTGAAACACCTCTGAGCATGTCGTTACCAACTATTGTGTCCGAACACACATCAAGGCCAAGAATTTTCAATATGTATTCTGTTGTGATGCTGTGCTTTTTACCGCTGATGGATGATGCCTGAGTAGTTTGTTTATTAGTCAAAAGGATGAGAATGATGAAATGAACAAGAGCAAGTGCTGACAAGTAATATCAATTAACATAAATGACACCTTCATATAAGCATCTATCTCAGGGCGGGGACGGATATTCATCACCCTTTCAAGACGGTTAATCTCCTTCATATACTCTACAGTATGAACATTACAAATTCAAATTACTCCCTGATTATTACATGCAAATCCATACAAATATATATATATATATGTATATATATAGAACTGAAAACAGCACCAATTAATTACACAGAAAACATAAAACTTCAATTAGTTAAACAGCACATATCGAAAATGAAGAACAAAAGAGAAACAAATAGCACATACCTGAAAATTCTTCACCCGAACCTTGGCATCTTGCTGCAAAATCTAGTGTTTCCCTCACAGTCATTTCTGCAATGTGATTATCCGTCTGGCTTATATATGAACAAGCCCTCTGCACATAAAATTCCTCAAATTTGTGGCCATTATACGTGATACTACCATTTCCCTGAAACAAGCAAAGAGAGGCAATTCAACAAACAAGAAAAGGATATGACTATTACTACAATTTATACCAATCAAATTTGTTTGGTGCAAATGATTTATACCTTCAAACCGTTGTCAAGCTTCCCTGAAAGTGCCTTGAGTAGTGTAGACTTTCCGGCACCAGGAGGCCCCAAAAGTAACGTCATCCTAGCAAAATACAATAACATACACAACCACACTTCATTTTTCTAAATCATGAGAACAGATCATTATCATTCTACAGTTCTTTACTGGAAAACTAAATTAAATTATAAAAATTAAAATAAAAACGGTCGAATGTACTCACGCACCTTCCTGGTTTAACAAAACCGCTAACGCTCTTGAGGATGGTGAGCTCATGTCTCTTCGGCTTGAATATCCTCAATTTAGTTAAAATTCCCTGCAGTGCAGTGCAGTGCAGTTAACACAGCTTGTGTAGTATAGTGTAGTTCACATTTCACAACTGTAAAAGGAGATGAAGAAATAGTTGAAATGCGTAATTACCTCAACCAAATCCCTGTAGAAATTCAACAGTGTGGGGAGAGCTCGGGAGCCAATCTGCACATCGGCAGTGATCTGGAGGCGCTCAAACCGAACTTCAAGTTTTGGAACCTCCAAACCCAGCCTGAATCAATACACAATTCAGTAAACTCAATCGCCATGTTCATAACTTCGTAACGTTTACTATTTTTCTTTTTATCGTTATTGTTTTTAGCTTTTTCCAACTGCTGAAATAATTACTGAATGTAATTTTTTTAATATAATAATAATATTATAGGCAATGATATTTTTAAAAAATAATAATGACTTACATATTAAAATTTTATAATTTCTCTAAAATAATTTGAGTTTTTAATATAACTTAAATAATAAAAATAGTAAAAAGTACAACTAAATAAATTAATAAATTTTTTGTTTTATAAATATGATGATTTTTTATTTTTATTTTATTTTATAATCTACTTTTAATATTAAAGATTGAATGGCGTTCATTTTTATGTATATAATACAAACAAATGTTTTTTTTTTTTTTTTTTTGTATACTATAGATAGTTAATTGATAATTTTTAATGAATGTTCTTAAATTTTTTCTTGCATATAAATTGTTTGGATTATATATTTATTTTTATTTTGATTTTTTTTTAGGAGAAAATTCTTTTTATTGATATTCTTTTGAAATCAATTTGTATTTATATATTCCCTTATTTTATTATTTTAGTATGTCTAAATAATTTTTTTTAATAAAAATAACTTTTAATTAAATATTAAAATATTAATACTTTTATTTTTTTACATTATTTTTACTTTAATTTTAAAAATAAAATAAACATTATATTACTTTATTAAATTGTATATCTATAAAATATTAATTATATTAATTTAAATGTAAAAGTCAAATAAAAAATTTATGTATAGATGAAGAGAGTACATAAAAATTTTGTTACGATTTTTTAAAATATACATTATATTTTTCTATCAAACAAATTAAAACAAATATTAAAGACATAATGCATTTTTATATACCTGTCGAGACGTTCTTTAATTCCAGACAACAGTTTAATATTATCTTGTTCGACAGTATCAAGTGCTTTTCTGACAAGACGTTCGCGTTTAGATCTGTTGAGCTTTCTTACATCGATAGTTTCGATATAATCTTTGTAAGATTCATGTCTGGCCTCAGTACGAGTGTTACGTCTTACGAGGGCAATATTCGAACGATGCTTCGACGGGAGACGGTCGATGGCCGCCCATTGAAGCTCCATCTCCTCTTCTTCGACCACTTCTCGATTCGACGAACTTTGAAACGAAAATTCGGAATTGACATGCGAATCGGTAGTTGTAAATAGAGCCATTTTCGATAATTTGATACAAAGAAAAAAATTATTTGAATATATTTATAGAAGTACAAATATAAATATATATACATATATAATAAAAATCTATTCATAATTAGTATTTGCATTTTGGCCATAAATTAATTAAATGACTAATTTGCCCTTTTCTTGACTTCTTTTGGAAATAATTCATTCAATTAAATTTAGGAAATCTATATTAAAGAATAGGGGATTTGTATTTAATTCCGTATCCATGTAATCGTACAGTAGAAATCGTTGATTAAATAGTACTCCCTCCGTCCCAGATACCGTGTCTGTTACACTGTAGACACGTATTTTATGAATGGTGTAATTAATAGATAATTAAAAATATATTAGTGAAAATAATTATTTTATAATATAAATAATTATAAATTAAAATTAAGATAACTAATTAGTTTAATTAAAATTTAAAAAAAATAAATTTAAAAATTTAAAATGAGATTAAAGTGTGTAATCATTTTTCAAAAAAAGAAAATGACATGATATATAGAACGGACAAAAACGGCAACGTGGACATGATATCTGAGTAATTATTATTACATTAACGAAGATAAACAAGGAGAATCTGTACATTTATAAATTTGTGTACGCTAATAAAGATACGTGAAATGACTTAATTGACCCTCATTCAATGCTTCAAGATTATTACACATCTAAAATTAAATTTACATAATAGTATATAATGAATAATATTTTTATTATGTTCGTTATATTGTTATGCATGTTGACTTAAATGTAATATATATATATATACTATATTGACTTTTTTTATAATATTATTTTGAATGTAATATAATGTAATAACAATAACAAAAGTAAATATAAAGGGTTAATTTTTTATTTTTTATTTTATTAATATTACACCAATTTGATTTTAGATTTATTTTAGAATAAGTAAATTAGTTTCTAGAAGCTAGTAATATACTATTTAAATAAGACATAATAATATGATAAATATATAGATACTAATTATAATTAGTGAATAGTAGATACATTATCATTGATTTCAACAATGAGATTATCTATAAAATATATATTAAAATACAAACGGTGAACATATGATTTTAAAATATTTTTATATTAAATTCAAAGAAAACAGGAATGTCTTAGATGAATATATGTGGAATATGAAAAGTCTAAAAAATAAGTCCCGTGAGGGATGGTTGGACTTGTGCCATTAAGTCATGGGTTCAAACCCCCGACGTCTCAGGTCACCTGCCACACATGGTTTGCCTAGTGTGTCTTTTCCGTCCGCCTGGTTTACACAAAATATTTTCATTTCATTTGTAAAAAAAAAACATCACATCAAATGCAATTTTTTTTCCATAAAACATCAAATCAAATACTAATTTTTTATATTTTTAAAATTTTCAAAATTTCAAAAATCTCCACAAATCTCTATCTACACAAAGCTTTAGTCTTTGCTAAAAGTAAAAATAATACTACCTCCGTCCCTGAAGAAGAGTAACATTTAAATTTTTCACGTAAATTTTTGAATATTAGTATTATATTGGTTTATATTAAAAATGATAAAAATACCCCTATTAGATTATGTGATATAAAATTAATGACTATATTGGAAGTGCAAATGATATTTTTATTTTGAAACGAACAAAAATAAAAAATAATATCATTTTTAAGGAACGGGGGGAGCATTTCGCATGATTAATATAATATGGTAGATTTAGGGTTCTTTTTCCATTAACCTAGTTCTCAATTAAAAAGAATAATAAAAAAATATTTATTTTTTTAAATATCTTTATAATTCTTAATAAATAAAATGAAAAATCTCGCAATTTTTTTAAGGAATAAAAACAATATTTAGTCTATTTGGGATGGATGAGAAATAAAAAGATAAAAAAAAATTATTAAAAAAATATAAAAAGATAATTGAAAATATTTTAAAATTTTAGTTAATAATTAAAAAAATAAAGAGATATTGTAAAGTAAATAATATTTATTATAAATGTTGAATGAAATATAATACTGTAATAATATACTTATTAATAATTTTGAACTTAATATTATTATATTATTCTTTAACAACAAATCTCAACAGTAAACATTATTATCCAACGAGCGGCTAAGATCAAATCAGCAAGTTTATTCTACCTGAGAAGAAGTTGGAATCACAGCCCTAAATCGAGCTCCTCATTCATCTTCTCTGAAAATTGAGAACTCTGACAGAGAAGACATAGATAACGAAGAAGACAACGCAAAATCCAATGAGCACGCCGACGGTAGGCCAGAGCATTTTCGACTCGAAGCCAAACCGGTGGCTGATGAACTCCTGAACCGTTCCTTCGAAATCCGGTCCGATGACTGCTGTCTCTACGTCGCCGAGCTGGGAAGTGATTACGCCGCGCAAAGTCCAAGCCACCGGACAGACGTAGTAGAGCCATATCCACCATGGAGGAATGTTCTGCATCAATTATAATCAACTAGTTGTGAATTGAAATGGTAATCGAATTTGGTAAACTACAATTTTAGTCCTCTATAAAATGCTCGAAAGCTATATAAACCATATACAAAAATCCTCAGCTTCTGTTTCTTACAAAGCATACGATATATATATATATATGTTCATAGATAACAGCCAACTCTTGAGGTCTATACTTACCGGCACCGGGATGAGGAAGCCGGAAAATAGTTCCCACGTTGCATAGAATGCAGTGGCGCAGACCGCCGCCAAATTTAGAGTGCGAGTAAGTCCCACAACCATCATCCCGAAGAAGGTGAAGTATAAGAATGTAAGAAACATGAATAAGAGATATAGGAAGAATTTTCCTGCGACATATTAACAAAAATTGTGTTAAAAGCTACAAGGTTATGTTTATAATACTATTGTCGGAAAAACAATGAGATATTGCACATGTAACACAAATGAATGAAATGAGTCACAAACTGTTTACATAGACACTTTTACGGTAATCGTAAAAAAAGCATCAAATTATATATATTCTCTTGCATCAAATATTTTGTTTTTTTTACTATTTTCAAAAATTCTCAAACTCCAAAACTTCAAAAGTGTTTGTGTAAACGACGTCATTTCAAGGTATAGTTTAAACTTCATAGAGAATTGTATCAAGGATGAAATGACAACGAATGGGCGGAAAACTGTAAGAACTAGGAAAGAACGAATAAATAAATATAAATTACCGGCCATCCTCTCGTAGTTTATCATGAAGTAGGTTATAATGGAGTATATTATCGCTTGCACCAAAATGTATGGAAGCTCCACAAGCCCCTGCAATCATAAAAGTGGCCGGGACTCGATTAAATGATAAAACTAAATTGCATAAAATTCTTGATGAAAAAACTTTGATATGAATTTATAAGATCATAACATAAACTATAAGATGATTTCCCTGTCGAGTTTTCAAATCATGTGTAGTGTCGAACAACAAAGATTACGAATACAAAAATAAATAAAAGAAAATAAACTCGCCTGTGCAAGTGCAAATGGAACAGGGGAGTACATTCCAGCAGCCCTTTCTCTGTAAAAAACAGACCTCTCAATAGATATTATCGGCTGTACAGTACCAGAATTGTTTATACCAAGAAAAATGCAAGAAGAGTAGAGAGCTCCCATCAAGGCAGACAGTGCTTGAGCCGAACTCCTGGAAAATCATTCAGACAACAATATGAATCCCGATACTCAAGGGATTGTGTTAATGGATTCTATAGAACAAGTTGAACGGAAGCTGAATTCGAAAGACATCATTGAATAGATACTGCATCAACCATTGTTGAAACACTCAGAAGAATATTACCTTTTGGAACCAACATCCCAAAATATGGTACCGATAATAACAGCACAAAATGTCGTAAAAAGCATCTTGATCCCATTGTAATGGGGCTTTCTCCAATAAATGATTTTTTGCTTCCAGAAGCATATTTTAAATTGAGACAATGTGCTTCTTGCAAATTTTGTATTAAACTTTAGAGGCTGGGAATCTTCAGGTGGAATGCTCTGTGTCTGAATAGAAGCTTCGACATCCCTGCATCGTAAGTTTAGCAAAGATTATAATAGCATAAAAAAAGATTAGCTCTATAGAAGTAATGAGTGCCATAATTGGATTACCGGTACTGCTGCGAATTTGCATATATCACAGAAAAATCTTCATCGATACTCTCTTCACCAGCGGGAGTGGTTACTTCAAGCATCCAATTTGCAGGGTTGTATCCATCAGGAAAAGGTGCAACTCCTCTTATCCCCTAGGTGATATGAAATTAAGTAATAATTATAGAATCTATTTTTTTCCAAACACCAGCAGTTAAATTGCTTTTTATTTGTATAGTTAGAACTACATTTAGAAACATTTGCTTGTTAAAACACATTACTCCTAATGTAATTACGAAAGAAAATAAAAGCAGCAGCATTCGCAAACAGTGCCATAGACGGTAAGTTAATAGTAGTCTTCACATTTACCTGAAAATAGTTGATCATTGTTTGTGAATTTTGGCCAAGTTTACCACCATATATGGCTCTGCCGCCACGCTTCAGCAGAAGGAGCTGCAATTTCCAATTACTGTATCAGCAGATTCAGTGTGCTTGAGGATAAGAAAAGAAAAAATTTGTATGCAAACATCAAACCTCATCAAATGCTTCAAAAATCTCAATGCTTGGCTGATGTATGGTGCACACCACTGTTCTTCCAGTATCAACAGTGTTACGAACTGTGCGCATGACAATTGCTGCAGCCCGTGCATCAAGACCAGATGTTGGTTCATCCATAAAGATGATCGATGGATTTTCCACAAGCTCAACTGCTATTGTCAAACGTTTTCTCTGTTCAGTGGATAACCCGGAAATGCCAGGCAAGCCTACCAATGCATGTCTTAGGCAGTCAAGTTCCACCAGCTGCATTATCTCTTCAACAAACTCCTGGGAAAAAATAAATGCTAAAAATTAGTTACATTAAAGTTCTACCTCACATAAAAGTCCTAAGGAGTGGTAGCAAGATGCATCAGCTTAATATGTTTATGTTTATTTCCTCCAAAAGATGAAATGAATCTTAAAAATAATAATAATATAAGAATCATAAATGCAACACAGCATCACATACTTGTCTTTGTCGTTCATCCACATCCTTTGGGAGCCGAAGAAATGAAGAAAACAATAGGGACTCATAAACTGTCAGCTCAGGTGAATGTATGTCGTTTTGTTCCACATATCCAGACACCCTAGCAAAAGTCTTCTGCTCCTTCGGATAACCAGAAATCTTTATGTCTCCTTCGATATAGCCACTAGTCTTTCTACCCGCAAGGACATCCATTAATGTTGTCTTTCCAGCTCCACTTGACCCCATTAATGCTGTCAGCACACCAGGTGAGAATACTCCACTGACATTGGACAGCAGTTGGAGTCTTCCTTCCGGGACACCTTGTGAACTCATTTCCTAGAAGTTCTCAGTCACATACATACATGCATACTATTTAAATATCATAATTTGCAAATAGGACTAATGATTCATTATGGATAAAGTAACTTTAAATGAGAATTACCTTAGGCATGTCAACAAAGTAGTTGACTTTATGGAAAGTCATGACTAATGGTTGGAATGGTAGAATCATCCCTTTCTTTTCACTTGCACGATTTCTTGATGGTGTAACAGGCTCGGCATTCTCTGTTTGACCAGCAAAAGAGAGAAGATAAATTAATAAAACACAACATCATTAGCTTGATGCATAGCATTGCTAAGTGTACATGGTAGCCAAAGTACCTAGGTTATTGTTGTCTTGTGGAAGAATTGTTCGAGATGCAGTGAGAGCTGTAAGAGAAAACAGGAAATGTAACACAAAATCAACAATGGCACGTGCCAAAAAGTTCACTTCTAACAAACTGTAATAATATTTTCTATCATTAGCTGGATGCGTAGTCTCTTGTAAAGTCAAACTAATTTGAAGTTTTAAGGGTACATATATTATGTTTTCTCAGAAAACATACGGTTGAGAAATGTTAGTGCGATCATTGAAGCAATGTTGAATAATACAGCATACGCTAATAAAGCACCAACTCCAATCCAATACCAATAGTCCTCGGTGGGTAAGCTATGAAATTGTAGGATTGTGTATCCGAGAGAGGTGTTTTGGGCTGTTAATCTCTGCAAAAGGGAACGTAATAATAAACACAAAAGATAATGCAAATTCAAGCTGAACTTCATTTGGAGAATAGGCATAAGATGATACAATGATAGGTGTGTTGTCATTTAATGGTAACACAGAATGTTCAAAGTGATATATCTTGCCACGTGTTTTAACTTTCAAATGAGATGGTGTCATTTAACAATATGTATGCAAATACAAACCTCTACCCATCGTGTAGCTAGAAATTCATTAACGGCAATTGCGCGTTGCGCGTAAGACAATGGAGATACCAAATATGCCCATACCCACCATGGCTTGATCATTCCTGACATAGAATCATCATTATTTTAAAGAAATAAAACTAGTAATGACTATAATATCGACTGCAAAAGTTATCAAACCTTTGGGGATGATAAATCCACCAAGCAAAAACATTGTCATCATTGCAATTGACCCGTAAGTGCTAGAAACAACCATATCTCTCGCCAGAGAGGCATTTAGCCTGAAGAGACCTAATGTCATTTGATGTAGTGAAAAGAGTAGCAGTACAAACCGGAAGAATCTGGAACACAAACAGATTTGAAAAGGAGGGATGAGATTCGAATATTTCATTATCATCAACTGAAGTTGAAGAGTTTTCTGGATTGTTATTATACCTCGCAAATCCAGGAGCAAATCCGACGCTAAAATACACCATGCAAGACCATGCAACAGATTCAATCATTGAATAAGGAATCCGGCTTAAGAAATTTGAGATAGACCATGACCATGCAGGATGAAAAAGATTATCCCTTTGCTTGTAAAATACAGGAAGTCGAAATATCATCAGAGGTAGCTCTGCAAATCCGTTGGATAGCATGACTACCAGGCTGAAGAACAAGCAAGAAAGATAAAGATCGCCATTCGTCACATCAACTGGATTTAGTCTTGTACGAAGAAATGACGTACATGCTAGAGTTGCTACATACACAATCTGAAAAATATAAGTAAGATGAATTTATGTTCGTGTGGATGTCATTATCATTAACAGCTAGGATGAAGATAAATTATTCTGTACTCATTCACCTTGAAATTTCATGGATTATAATAAAAGTTATACTATTTAAGCATATTAAGATACTATTGGTCAGTCTACACAAAAGCACTATAGTATACTTTTCGAATTTCTAATCAAGCGCTTAGTTCCTAGAAGGATTTGACAGCTTAATTCCTAATTCATGTTTCATTAAAGACCCAATTGTCCCTATGCTAAGAGAAGCTGAAAAATGAATCATCTAATTGTAGCACAAAATTTAGATTGCTCAAAACTACATTCATTCACTAAGGGTGTGTTTGTTTGAAAGATTTTGTTGGATTTCTACTATTCATTCTATTTTTTCCCCCAAAAAATATCAAATCAAACACCTATTTTTAATTTTTTATATTATACTAAAAATCAATTTTACATTCAAAACATCACATCAACCCCTATTTATATCACATCATACAACTATTCAAATTCAAAATTTTTACTATTCAAATCCCAACTCAAAATCCAAACCCCCAAACAAACACACCCTAAATGCATTTCAACTTCACTTATATGACTCTTTTAGTTTACTATACTATACCTGCACTCAATGAAAGCTAAGCTAATACAACTGTATTATCACACTAAAATTGTAAGAAGTTGACCATTCAAAATGAAACATAGCATACCTGAAGTACTTTAAAAATATACAAAAAGCGGTTTTTATCGATTAGAAGTAACTCTCTGGAGAAACAGGCTTTAAAGAGCTCCCATCTTGAGATTGCATACTTAGTTTTGGGTAAAGCTGAAGGATGAGATTTAGATTTATCATACGGAACTGACAGAAAAGATCGCAAATCTTGACCATGTCGTGATTTCCAAAATTCTTCAGATATTCTTGAAGCAGGAATATACTCATATGGTCTAAAACGATCAACCCAATATTGCTCCTGGTCCTTTTTTGAAGTTACCTAAGATGTGCAGAAATTGCTTGAGTGATTAAAAGTACATACTAATATGCATAGAATCTGAGGGTGGTAAATTCGAAATCATTTTTTACCTCTTGTAAAAAATCAGCAGTATTCTTACGCGGGGGCTTTTGAAAACCCAAAGACTCAAAAAACTCAAGAACTTGAGTACGTGGCCCTTGATATATAATGTGCCCCTCAGAGAGTATTATGAGATCGTCGAAAAGATCAAATGTCTCAGGAGCAGGTTGGAGAAGAGCCATTAAAATAGTTCCTTCCATAATATGAACAAAATTCCTACCACACTTAACAACCTGATATGTGGTAGAGCTATCAAGTCCCGTTGATACTTCATCCATGAATAGAGTTTTCCGTGGCCCAACCACCATTTCTCCTACGAGCAAAATATCATCTTCATCAATACCACATGTGAAAAATTTTTGAGACACAAATATGATGAACAAATGTCGAATATATATTGAGCCTAAATCACAAGGTAATATGTTTTTGCTAGGAGAAGACCTGTAGTAACTCTCTTTTTTTGGCCCCCTGAAACACCTCTGAGCATGTCATTACCAACTATTGTGTCCGAACACACATCGAGGCCAAGAATTTTCAATATGTATTCTGTTGTGATGTTGTGCTTTTTACCCCTAATGGATGATGCCTGAGTAGTTTGTTATTAGTCAAAAGGATATAAGTCATGAAATAAACCCAAGTACAAGTGCTAACATATAATATCAGTTAAATAAATTGCACCTTCATATAAGCATCTATCTCAGGGCGGGGACGAATATTCATCTCCCTTTCATGATGGTTAATCTCCTTCAAATAAACTACAATATAAACATTGAAAGTTGAACATATAAGCACCCTTTACAAATTAAATATTATAGAACTGAAAATAGCACCATGTAATTACACAGAAAAACATAGAACTTCAATTAGTTAACTGCACATGTCCAAAGAACAAAAGAGAAACAAATAGCACATACCTGGAAATTCTTCACCCGAACCTTGGCATCTTGCTGCAAAATCAATTGTTTCCCTCACAGTCATTTCTGCAATGTGATTATCCGTCTGGCTTATATATGAACAAGCTCTCCGTACATAAAATTCTTCAAACTTGTGACCATTGTATGTGATAGTTCCACTTTCCTGAAACAAAAGAGAAGAGTCAATTCAACAAATATGAAAAGGATATGGCTCTAGCTACAATTTATACCAATCATATCTATTTGGTGCAAATGATTAACTAGCATATGCTTACCTTCAAACCGCTGTCAAGCTTCCCTGCAAGAGCCTTAAGTAGCGTTGACTTGCCGGCACCCGGAGGCCCCAAAAGTAACGTCATCCTAGCAAGATACAATAACATATACAACCACACTTCATTTGTCTAAATCATGAGCACAGATCATTATCATTCTACAGTTCTTTACTGGAAAATTAAATTAAATTTGAAAAACAGAAATAAAAACTGTCTACACTCACGCACCTTCCTGGTTTAACAACACCGCTAACGCTCTTGAGGATGGTGAGCTCATGTCTCGTCGGCTTGAATATCATCAATTTAGTTAAAATTCCCTGCAGTGCAGTGCAGTTAATACAGCTTGTGTAGTATAGTGTAGTTCACATTTCACAACTGCAAAAGGAGATGACGAAACAGTTGAAATGCGGTAATTACCTCAACCAAATCCCTGTAGAAATTCAACAATGTGGGGAGAGCTCGGGAGCCAATCTGCACATCGGCAGTGATCTCAAGGCGCTCAAACCGAACTTCAAGTTTTGGAACCTCCAAACCCAGCCTGAATCAGTACACAATTTCAGTAAACTCTCAAGAGCCATGTTCATATTTTTTGTTACGTTTAATTTTTTGCTAATGCGAGTTTTCCGTGGGTATAACCCACTTTTACAGTGCCGATCCCACTTCATACAAAAAAAATAATTATAATAAAAAAAGCAAAAAATATATTGTTTTTATATGAGACGAAGGAAGCGATTTATATTTGAATATTTGATAGATACTGCTCTCTTAATATTTCACATAAATTTTTATCTATTTTTTAAATATAATTATATAATTTAATTATATTTTTAAATTTATAATTTATATATTATTTATTTTAATTAAATTATTTAATTTTAATTTATAATTTATTTTATTATATTATAATTACTTTTACTATTATACATTTTAATTTTTTTACAAATTAGTTGAGACTTATAAAATATTTAAATAAAAATACACTCCATTTCATAATTTAGTTTGAATAAGACTGTCTTTTTTCATAAACATAAATATACATATATATAATAATAAAAATTATAATGATGAAAATACTAGATTATCCTTTTTATTTATTAGTATAATTATAAATTTATTATTTATCTTTCTTTTTTGTAATAAATTAATTATCTAATATGATTTTTTAATAAATAATAATAAATTAAATATAATAAAATTTTAAGTATAAAATAAATAATAAAAATAATAAAAAATACAACGATATTTTGATTTCAAATAAATTTGTATAATTATTCGAAGATACTTAATCAATATTAATTTTTTATTTTTTTATACTAAAATTAATTTTATATACAAATGTCACATTAATATCTATTTAAATTAAATTAAACAATATTTAGATTTAAATTTTTGTTATTCCAAACTCTAAACCTTCAAATAAACACACTAAAAAAAATTATATATATATTTTTTGCTATTACAATTAATCTATATGTTAAAAAAATATATATTTTATATACCTGTCTAAGCGTGCCTTAATTCCCGATAATAATTTAATATTATCTTGTCCAACGGTATCAAGTGCTTTTTTAACGAGATACTCACGTTTAGATCTATTGAGTTTTCTTACATCAATAGTTTCGACGTAACTTTTGTCATGTCTAGACTCCGTACGAGTGTTGCTTCTTACAAGGGCAATATTTGTTCGATGCTGCGACGGGAGACGGTCGATGGCTGCCCATTGAAGCTCCAACTCTTCCTCTTCGATTATGTCTCGATTCGACGAACTTTGAAATGAAAATTCAGAATTACTATGCGAATCAACAGCAATTAATCCAGCCATACTTGATAATTTTGTACAATGTAAAAACTATCGTAGAATATTTATAGACGAAAAAAATTATAGAAAATATTTTGTAATTAATATTTGGATTATCATCATCACTTACGGAAATTATATAAATGCAATAAAAATATGTGCATAATAAATACCTTGCCTTTACTAGGTAATAGTTTCCTTATTCTTGTTTCTCTATATGTCCATAAAAAATAAGTAACTATTAATAAAATCTATTTAATTGAAAATGAAAAGAAAGAAGGTAAAGGGAAAAAAAGATGAAAATGGAATGGATCCATACTATTCTTTTACACATATTTTTTATTAAAAAAAAAAAAAAAGAAATTAGTACATTCGTAAATATAATTTTAAAAGTTAATCAAAACATAATTTTCTTATCATTTTTAAATATATAAAATTAATTTAGTTTATTTTAAATTGGTAAAATAATAAATAATAAAAATACCAAGTAAACCGTCATTGTCGCTAGAGTCGAGTTTTTTTAACAATGTAAGACGTAACATTTTAATTCCGAATAATTTAGTAGACTGTAGATATAATAATGTAGGAATTAGTATATGCTATGGTAAGGAAAAAATGTATATATATATATATTTATTTGAATGGTGTTATGAAATAAAATATAATTAATTATTTTTGTTTTTAAAAATATTGCAAGTACATAGAATATACTTGTTGTCATAAAAAATCCCCACCGACAGCCTATTCGAAAAGATCATCCGGAATTGATTTGTTCGGAAGGTTGTCCGGCCTCCTCAAAAACAGATCTGAGCTCTCCTGCGATATTTCCGAGGATTCATGTAACGATAAGGACAAAAAAATCAAATTGAGAACGTAAAATAAATGTTGAAAATAAAATTTTTTAAAATAATTAAAATCTACTGAAAATTGCAAAAAATATAAAATAAAATTGTAAATCAATATATGAAAAGAGATTAAGAAAATTGAAAGAAAATTATTCTGGACAATCTAGATTACATATATAATATTAATAATAATAAAAATTGATTATTTTTGTTATAGATTATTTTTATTTTTATTTTTATTTTTATTTTCTAAAAATATTTTAAATATTCCAATAATCTAATTTGAACAGTACTAATGATATATTTTAAAACTTAATTTTCAAATGAATTATTTAAATAATTATTTTCAAATTACGTATTAAAAATTACACTCTCCGTCCCAGATACCGTGTCTCTACACTGTAGAAGGGGTGTAATTAGTAGATAATTAAGAATGTATTAGTAAAAATAATTATTCTATAATATAAATAATTATAAATTAAGATTAAGATAAATAATTAGTTTAATTAAAATTAAAAAAAATAAAAATTTAAAAAAATTTAAAATGAGATTAAAGTGTGTAATCATTTTTCAAAAAAGAAAAGTAACATAGTACGTGGAACGGACAGAAACGACAACAGAAACGACAACGTGGATATAATATCTGGGACGGAGGGAGTAGAAAATAGTACTACAACGTGAATAGGTTAAACTAGGTTAGGTTAATATTATTTACTCCCTTCGTCCCACATATATGTGCTACATTGTAGACAAAAGAGTCTAATCAGTAGATAATTAAGAATGTATCAGTAAAAAATATATTAATTATAAATTAAAATTAAGATAACTAATTAATTTAATTATTTAAGAAAAGTAAAGTACGTCATGAAACGGATAAAAACGATGTAGAGATACGGGGACGGATGAAATATATATTTTTTTTATCGGAAGGTTAATATTTATTATTAGGCAGACTTGTTCAGAATGGAAGAAACAGAACCAGAAACAGACATAAGAAGAAGACGAAAGATCAAGTGACATGCAAAAACACCGACACAATCGAACAAACAAGATTCAGAAAAGCCTTTGGGTTTGAGTTTGGGTTTGGCAGATGAAACATGAGAATGAATTGAATTGTGCGTTTGTGTCATTCTCTGCTTGCCTCGGATTCGGAAAAGCACAAATTCGAATTCTCCACCACCGCTGCTTTTTTTGGCTGCATAGATAGGAGCATATAATCCACCCACTCACCTGCAAATTGATTGGTTTTAATGGCGTTTCAATGGATGCCAATTTGTGTTTGACGCCTGCTTCAGAATGAGGCATGATTCAGAGCACACCTCCTGCCTCCTTGTCGGCAACTACTGCCACGACGTTCTGCGCAAGGACGGCGTCGTTTTGACGGAGTCCCTCGGCGGTGCCGCCGCCTTCATCTCCGCCGTGTTTGATGGCCTTTCAGTCCCCTGCACTTTCATCTGCAAAGTCGGTTCTGATTTTGCCTATTCCGTCGCGCATCCGCCGCTAATTTCTCCATCCTCGAACACGACCTTGTTCCACGCTAATTTCTCCTCCCAAATCCAGCGCCACGACCGCGTCCTCCACCGCGTCCATGCTTGCGATCCGATTGTTCCGTCCGACCTCCCCGAATCGCGGAGGTTCGAGTTTGGGCTGGCGGTTGGCGTCGCCGGGGAGATTTCCCCGGCGACGCTGGAAAAGATGCTGGATATCTGCGACGCGGTTTTTGTGGACATCCAGGCGCTGATTAGGACCTTCGATCCGGCCGACGGGACGGTGAGGCTTGTCAATTTAAGAGATTCCGGATTCCACCATTTGATTCCAAGGATTAGGGTTTTGAAAGCCTCGTCGGACGAGGCGCCGTACGTTGACGTTGAGGAGGCGCGTAAGATGTGCTGCGTGGTGGTGACGAATGGGAAGGAAGGTTGCACGGTTTACCACGAGAATGTGGAGCAGCAGGTCCTTCCGTTCCCCGCAGTTCAGGCTGATCCTACCGGCGCCGGCGATAGTTTCCTCGGCGGGCTTGTCGTCGGAATTTCGCTGGGGCTGGCGGTGCCGGATGCTGCCTTGTTGGGGAACTTTTTCGGATCGCTTACTGTTGAGCAAATTGGGCTTCCTAAATTCGACATGAAGTTGCTGCAGGTTTGATTTTGCTAAAACATAAATCGTTTCTTGAATTGCATTCTTGATTGCATCTGTTTGTGTTGTGCTTAGGGTTGTGTGTTCTTTGAGAACAATGAAATTTTAGCCTTTAGATGAGTGTAGTTTTTAGATAGCAAATGTTGCTTCTGTGGATGAAATTAGATTTTAGAGTATTGGTTTTGAGAAGGTTATGAGGCTGTAGCTGCTCTTGTTTAACATACTGAGTTCATCCTAATGTTGGCTGCGTAGATGATTTGATTGATGTCTGTGTAGCAAAAACCGGAAACCTCTGTTCTTACACATCTTTAAAATCGAAATTAGAAGTTCTAGTTAGAGCTGCTTTAGGAATTTTTCTGAATAAAGTTGGAAGTTGGAAGACAGTTACATTTGGTTGTTTGGATGTTTTATGTCAACGGGTTTAATGGTTTCACTCTTTCTTGATTGGTTGGAAGCTGGAATAAGAATCCAAAAAATATCGTGGAAATGCTTATGTTTACGACACAAGTGCGCAGTGCCTTTTGCTTTCTTTAATAATCCTAAGCAGTATCATACTGTAAGCAATTATTTGAATCTGTTGTATGTGTGATAATGGTGAAAATGTCAAATGAATTTGTTCTCCATGCTTTGTGTTGTGTTCTGTGTATATGCTATTTATCTATTTGTGCATTATGACAAGTTACCGAATGTGCGAAGTGGTTGCGGTGGCTCTTGAGATAGCACTTCTTTAGAGATCGTATCGATGTAAGGCATTAGATGAAAACCACTTGGTATGAGGCCTCTTGGGGTATGTGATGATATTTCATGACTTAGCTTGAATTCTTTGCTACTAATCTCGAATAGCTACTACTTACTACCTCACATTGTCTGCAGAGTAGTAAGCCATGAACTCAGTTATGTATTTTTGTTTAAATGCCTTGATAAATGTTGAGAACTTCTATTTTGTTGGAGCTTTAGATGTGATGATATCTCATATGTTCTTAGGATGACCATGTAGCTTGAATTGTAGGAGAGATAAACAAGACCCGGCCGGAATCGATTAGCTTGAATAATGCATAAACTTACATTATGTGAAAAAAGTTGGTAGTTTTTGTCCGAAGTTGCTTACAAAACTGAGTGCTTGGGCTTTTGAGGTTAAACTCAGGCGAATTAGATATGCATTGCTTACTGATTCTAACGAAGATCAAAGAACCTCAGCTCTTACCTCTTCGATCTGCTGCACCATAGATATATAAGTCCACAAAATTCGTAGATGGGGCAGGAACCTGCATAAGGCCTTTCGAGCGAGTTTTTTAAATTTCTTATAAATGAGAACAGTAGATTCGAGTTGCTATGTATGCTTTATGAAGGTTTTTATTATTATTATTATTATTATTATTATTAACATACTTGAATTTCATGTCTATCATCTTAACATTAGGTTGCAAAATATGGATTCTGTATCTATATAATAAGATTTGGTTTCCTTCCGTGTATATAAATTTCCAGGCAGTCAAGGACGAGGTTCACAGAAAGAGATTGCAGTTATGCAGCAGCCGGAAAGATCAGTCGAAAGACAAGCTGGAGTCAGCAAAGTCATTAGACCACGAAGCTTTTCGAGCAACCCTTGTTAGAACAAGAGCACTACCTTTGTATCCAACTCCAGAATGCCAATCAGAGTTGTCTGATTGTTCGAAAGGAGGAGAAGAACATCATCCGAATGGCCTCTGCAACGACCAAAACTGTTCTCAGACAGTGCTCGTGAAGAACCAATCATAGACAGGTGAAAGGATGGACAGGATGTCCGAAAATTCTAATAATCAAACATCAAGCTTACTATTACATAGATTTTTGTCTCAGGAAATTCGGAAGCACCGCACAGTGACGAGCAAAGTTTTCCCGGCAAAGTAGGCGTAGTAGCCGAGCAGAAATGTCTTGGTTCACGGCATGAAGTAATCTAACTTATCGATCGATGGAAGAACACGGGCATCTATTTTATTTTATTTTATTTTAGTTTTTTTTTTTGGAAGGTTTTTTGTTTTCTAGATATCTTTGTTTATGGTTTAGTTCGGAGAATGAAATGGAATCGAATTATGTATCTATTTATCAAAGTGAATGAGGCCATACTTGAATTGTGTAAAAAAGAAATAAGGAGCTTTGCTATATCAACAAGCTTAGACAAAGATACATTTTTTATTTTGTTAATTAAGCTTTTATTTTCTATATTTGTAACTTGGGATTTTTATTTATTTATTTATTTTGTATATTTATTTTTTTAAATTAATATTTAATCGACATTATTTTTGTAAAATATAATAAACACCACTTGCCTTCCATACAATGTTGTATTATGTCTTCAAGCTAGATATGTTCCTTGTTCATTGATTACAAAACAACAGTTCAATTTTTATTTTATCTTCGTTTTTTCATAATGATATAAAGTATAAAATATGGATATTTTAGTCTTTTAAAAATATTTTTACACGTATTTTTAATATAATATTATTATTTCTTTAATTTATGTGCTGATCTCCCGTTCATATTGTTTTGTACGATGAAGTATTAAACTCTCTAGCTTTCTATTATATTGTCAAAAAAAATTGTTAAAAGAACATATTTTAAAAAATATAATATTATTCAAATTTTTAATAGTGAATTAATAGTATTTTTTCTATCTCGTAAGACTTCATTTTTATTCATCCCAAAATAATTAATCTTACATCTTTATTTAATATATGTGGTCCTCATTTTATAACAATTATTTTTATTTTTTGAGTTTATAAGGATCATATGAGGAGAGAATGAATGATTAAATAACTATTTTAATTTTAAAAAAATTAAATCATAATAGAATAAAAATTATAGAAAAATAACAACATTTACGGAGAGATAATATACAAGACAATAAACAATAATAATAATAAATGGGAACTTGCAGACGCTATTCGAAAATGTGCACTGGTAAACATGTGGTCGAATCTAATACTCTGCAAACTAGTCCCACAAGTCACATTAGGCGAACAATGTGTGGCAGATAACCTGGTGGCGTCTGAACCGTGATTCGTCTACTATGATTTGCCAGTCGAGCCTAATTTGCAGGGTATTAACTTTGGCCGAAAGTTTATCTAATGTGCATTTTCGAGTAGCAACTACGAATTTCACGTTATAAAAAAAAAATAATAATAATAATTAATATTCTAGTAGCAGTGTAGACCTTAGTCTATTCATTCCTATTACTTTTTAAGAAAATAATTAATTATATACTTTAATTTTAATTATACTAATTAATTTTAATTTAAAATTATTTTTATTAAATAATAATTATTTTTCATGATACATTTTACTAATTATATTTTTTTTAAAAAAAATTTGGATATCATACATATATATATATATATATTAATAATAGTAGTATCTTAGATACGATACAAAGCAAATACAAGGGGTACTATAATGGAGTGTAATAGTATAATTAATAATAGTAGAGTATACGATACGAAGCAAATACAACCGTTAATTTCCGCCCTTTTTTCCCTCTGTGAAAATATTTTACTTTCCCACTCCTAAATTTTTACAGCCTCTATAAAAGTCTCCTAAGTCTAATCTTTCAAGAGATTTGGGGAGCTTCAGTCAAACGCAGCCGACCACGCGTAGTTGTTTCTGAATTTTGGGACTTCTCGACATCTGAATCGGCTTTCGCCCACGCTCGTTTGGATTCTTTCGCCGTCATTCTTCGGCGTATTTGTAGGAATTTGATCTGAATCCTTCCCCCGAGGCACCCCAAATTTATCGAATTAGGGTTTCTACCGTCAAGATCGAAACCCTGGTTCCATCTGTTACTCCTCCGTTGATCGATTGGGCGCTATTTATTGGCGATTGATAGGTTGATTTTGGACTTCAATTTCTCGGTTTGGTTTGGTTTGGTTGCGATCAGCTTTGGGATTAATTGTCGCAGGGGTGCCTTGAAATTGGGGGGGGTTTTATTTAATTCTAAATATTTTGTAGATTGATATTTATGCAATCGTGTCTGACTGGAAGATGAAGCAATCTAGGAAGAAGAAGAGACCGAGGCCTTCTGGGAAGGGGAATGCCAATGCTGCAAATGGTAAAGATCAGAAGGTTTTGAAGAATGTGGTGGAGACGTTTGCAGAAATTTCTATGGAGGATACAAATAAGGCTGTGGGAATCCTTCCCGGCACTAGTTTAGCATACGAGGATCAGAGCATCAGGAATTTTGATGTGGGTTCAACCTCGAGCTCTAATGGGGGTTATACTTCTTATGAGGTGGGTTCAAGCTCGAGCTCTAATGCATCTATGACGCTTGGTGTTGCCAATGATCTCCTTCGAGATGGGATGAACCAGAAGAGTAGACCCAAGGTTAAGAAAGTTGTTGCCTCAGCAGGGTGTGTATCGGTGGTTTTGGGGAAGGATTATGTGAGGTCTGCATCTAAGGGTTCAAGTAAATCTAAGGTGTTTCATGAGCAGAAGTGGATGGAAGAAGCAGAGGAGTTCCTTTGCTCGGTGCTCGGAGATGACTGTGAATTAGGCATGGCTGTTGTTAGTGATGTTCTATGTGAGTTTGCTTGTATTTTAATATGTAGTTTCTGTTCTGGCTGCACATTTTTTGTTAATCTACATTTATTATTGATTGGTTATTATGAGGGGGTGAGAGGAGATGGTGACCCATACTTACATGGTTGTGATGAACTACGATTGGTTATTATGTAATATAGACATTGTAGGGTGACCTGAATGGGGAAATATATTTTCTGGTGGGTTTGTTTAGTTGTTTTGGCATGTTGTGGTGTTTTGGGAACAATAAAATCGAATGTTTTAAATGGAAAATAAGTATTAAATGCAATGTTTTGAATAAAGAGCATGTTTTTTGTTGTTTTGTTTGTTTTAATGTAATATTTTTAATGAAAATAAGTGTTGCATGTGCTTTCTTTTGGAGGAAGAAAAATAAAATGATTAATAGTGCAAAAATGTAGTTGAATTGAAAGCATAAGCAAGCAGAACTGTGATTGCTATGTGGTGGATAGCGTTATCTGGGTTTTGATTTGAGATCATTTTTACTTTTACAGGTCAATGCGGATACAATGTAAACAAGGTCAGGACACTATCTCTCTCTTTCTCTCTCTCTCTCTCTCTCTCTCTCTCTCACTCTCACTCTCTCTCTCTCTCTCTCTCTCTCTCTCTCTCTCTCTCTCTCTCTCTCTCTCATTCAAGGATTTGTACGTTTTAATTATTAATTCTACTGGAGCTTTAACGTGTTGCCACTTCCACTCTTGAATCTTGATATGAATGTGCTCTGTCCCTTCAAAGAAAGAAAGTGTTAGATATGTTTATATTGAAAAAGCACTTGATTAATGATTTGTATTGATTAAAGTCTTCCTCGGACAATATTATTTTCTCAGCAAAAAATTAAAAGTTCTGCTACTGTGTTACATTAGGATTTCCTGAAACAGTATAGTTAACTCAATATATTTTTATTGGGAAGTGCGAGATGAATAGTGGAGTTTTTATTGGGAAGTGCACTCTAAGTTTTTTTCCTATTTTCCTTCTGGTCTCTTATTTACTTAATAGAGTGTTGTAGATCTTGTAATATCTAATTAAGATCTGAGGCTCAAGTTTTTTTACTTAGGTTTTTTTTTCATTTTCCTTGTCCAGGCTTTGGATATATTGCTCAAATTGTCAGCTTCCACTAAAGAACAAGCTAGCAGCTATTGCAAGTCTATCATCAAGGAAGATATGCAGCATTGCCTTCAATTCAATAACAATGTATGTTTAATTTAATTCATTTCTCTATTTTGATCTCTTTTAAATTGGTACGGCTTAAAATCTAGGTGAAATAAACAATACATGAATAATCTTTTAACAATCATATTCTTTTAACACTGGACAGGACACATCCTGTCATACACATGTTGAAATCTTGATTAAATGGAGCATGGATCGCAAGTTCTTTAAAATTTAACACATCCTGGGATGCATATGTTGAAATCTTTATCATTAGTGTCTATTGTGCATTTTCTTGATGGTTGAATTAGTTACGTCTGGTAGTTATTTGTTATTTGATTTGTGCTTCTAAATCAAAGTCAACAACTCAGTGTTAAGGATTTTTTAAGGGCTTTAGCATCTCATTGATCATCATTATTGACATTTCCTTTTCCTTTTGGGTTTTGAATTCAATTAACACCTACATAAGTGTATGTGTGAATGGGTCAGTGTCAATTTAGGCTCCTCTATTATGATAGATGGCCGATACTTATTTACATGTTTTAAACTTTTTGCAGCTAACTGATGGAACATCTGACTCGACTTCCCATTCATCCGATAGTGAACCTCCAGAAAATGTATGGTTTTCTGGTCCTTTAGGCAGGTAATGTCAGTTATGCTGTTGATGATTGATCTTATATTTATTTCTGGCATGAGGGTGTACACTATAAACTGAGGTCTGCATACATAACTTGATTGGACTAAAATGGTTGTTTGGACTATAAACATAGAGCATGTTTAGTAGGGTAGGAAGAAAAAGGATAGGTTTGGTGGAGGTTAGATTCTTTTAAAAAGCCCTGAACTTGAAATATCTTTCTTTATCTTAATTCATGTTAAATGATCTTCCAAACTAAATGTTTAATCTCAAGAAAGCTGTATGATGTATAGTTTGAAATATTTTCAAACTGTTGTTTAATTCTATCTCGGATGCTAGCATGCAGGTATTACTGAGGAAGCTTGATGTGTGGATTATTTCTTAATTATATATTTCTTTTTTGTTGCTTCAGCAATCTTTTCCAATCTAATCAATCTCTCCGATCAAAGAAGACAAGAACCTCCAAGTCAGAGCTTCCTCAGAATTTGTTGGAATCTTTGTTTAGTATGCCCACACCCAAAAGTGTTGAACATGAACCCAACACCATGACTTGGAGAAATGTAGTTAAGAAGATGACATCACTTGGTCCAATGTCTGAACCTGCCAACAATGCATATTTCCCACCAATTCATGGTAATTAAAATTGTGTTGTGTATTAGGTGTCTCTTAAACAACTTTAGCCATGGTGATTCTGAATGCTGAGGGGGGTCTCTTGGTGATTTATGTTGCATTGATTTCATTTTTCTTATGTATCTCTGGATAACTGGAGTAACTGATGCAATATTATGTGTTTTCTTCTCCCAATATCATTTTTTTTTGGCATTGTTATGTTTTTGTCTTCTAGCTTAACCTTAATTTAACTTTTTTCAACAATGTAGCTAAAGAAGACGAATATCTAATGCATAGAGAAGCTGCACAGCAGCACTGGGCTTCAATGAAATCTTATTATCAGAGGGTAGTATCTGTCGTGAAATCCATCTAGTTTGTTTGGAAGATAACCACCCAGGCCTTTTTTCCTCTATTGGAGATTGCGAGTCTGATAATCTGATTTTGCTGCAGGCTGCCACAGCATTTGCAAATGGAGAGAAGGAACATGCATCTTACCTTTCTAAGCAGGTAGTTTACTTGAAACTGTATCGAACATATCTAATTGAATTTTAGTAGGTCACATAATTCTATCGATGCGAATAATTTCAGGGAAAGTTACAAAATAAATTGGCTCAAGAGGCAGATCAAAGAGCAAGCCAGGACATATTTGCCGCTAGGTATTCTGTAGTTAGCTAAATTAAATCAATTTACTTACCGCGCTCAAGATGAGAAATTCACTGTGCCACACCATTCTGAACTGCAGAAACAAGAGCATAAATAATATGATCACAATTGATCTGCATGGGCAGCATGTTAAACAAGCAATGAAGCTTTTGAAGCTCCACCTTCTCTTCGGAGCATATGTCCGCTGTAAGAAATCTTTACCTTTTTTTTTTAACTGCATTATTTCCAAAAGCATCTGTTTGATTCTTTTCTTGGCCTGGTATCTTTAGCTGTGCGGTCATTTAGGGTTATCACCGGATGTGGGAGCCATGGTCTCGGCAAGTCAAAGTTGAAAAACTCGGTAAGATTCTCAACCTTGGGATTTCATATTGTTTTAGCTTAATATGTACGAGGCTTAGGAAACCCAATTTAGCTTGATTTGAAAGTAGCTGATAGAAATCTCTTGGTTGCAATAACTTGATTTTTATATTTTATTTAAATAGTTTGAGGAAATAATGTATTGTTTATTAGAAATTCCGAGAGTTATATATAGTAATGAAATCAAGAAAAAAAAAAGAAAAAACTCTTATAGTACTATCAATGAATTTGCAAGGATTCACCCCCAAAACATGAAATGATGTAACAAAAGCTCTAAATTTTGTATGAGTGAAGTTTTTTACAATTTTATGTATAAGGAACTGTGGCACTAAACTTGAAATTAGTATGTTTTGCGGTGTTTAAGCATGTTTTAATGTTGTTCCGGATATATTATGATGTGTTCTCTTTTTTCTGTCGGAATTTGAATACGAGCAGGTGATTGATCTTCTAAAGAGGGAAGGCATCTCTTGGTCTGAAGAGAATCAAGGAACCCTGCTCATAAAGCTCGAGGGACAGACGGATTTTAGCTTCCTAGATTCAGGCAGCGACAGCGATGATGATTAACAGTGTCTGTTGCGAAATTCATATGCTAATGTAGTTTCGAAAAATAATATATCTATCTATATCTCTATATATATATATATGTATGTGTTTGTGTGCGTCTGGTTAGGCTGTTTGCTGCCTGTAAAATTATTTGTCATGATGTCCTGTCCTTGTGTCCAGATTCTCATTGTTGTTGTGTTGTGGTCTGATCCTGATCCTGATCCTCTGACTGATAGTAGATTATTATTTATAATATGTTTCTCCAACAAAAGAGAAATTTACAGTCGGAAATGTGAATATTGTTATTGTACTGAATGAAATATTCTTAAGTGAAACTTTGTTTCAAAGTTGATTTGAAATAGTGTATTAAATTCAAATTTTTATTTGAATAATTTATTTACAAATATTATTGTATTAACATAATAATTAATATTACAAAAATATATAAGAAATCGATGACAACAGCGGTTTGTTTGTGTGTGTTTATAGATATATTGATGCATGTTTTCTTAGAAATTTGTACTCCATTATTTTTTTTTTTAAAAAAAAGACGATTATGAGTGGGTTCATTCCAATTTCAATATTAATATTATTAAAAAAATAATAATATATATTAGTATAATTCTAACATTAAATATAAAAATGAACCTATCCTATATATATCTTTGATAAAAATTTTTACACACAACAATAAATCAAATTCTAGTATTTAAATTAAAAAAAAAAAAAATAGAATCAAGAACACAAATTTTAAGACTATATCCTTCAAGTAGACTTGCCCATTCGGTTTCGAACCGTCGGTTCGAACCGCCGAAACCGTCATTCTGACGGTTCGGTTTCCGTTTGGAATTTTTTCAAATCGTAAACCGCCTGTTTACGGTTTGAACCGGCCATTTTGCGGTTTTTTTTTTTTTTTTCCTCACCTGCGCAGGCGCAGCAGAGCGTTGAAGAAGAAGAAGGCGGAGCGAAGAAGAAGAAGGTGGAAGAGGAAAGGAGGAGGAGGAGGAGAAGAAGATAAGAAAGAGGATAACCTGGTCGATGGTGCGGCTGCGGCGCCGTACATCTGATGCGTTAAATGTTGATTAGGCCATTAGGGGAAAATATAAATTTGTGTGTATTGTATAATAATGATAATATATTTATAATTATTATTATTTTTTTTTATAGATTATTAGATTTTTATAAAAATAAAATTAATATTAATAATATAAATAATTATTAATATATTGAAAATTGATAATATTATAATATTAGTTTTTTTTTAATTTTAATTTTATATTTTTTTTTATATAATATAATTTAATTTAAATTATTTTATTGTTCATTACATCTAATATTTTTATAATTTATTTTATTTATTTTTTAATTTAAAATTTAATTTAATTATTAACTAAATTTATAATTTAAGTATTTTTATATTGTAATAACCTAATTAATTATTTATATATATGATTTTAACATAATAAATAAATAATAAATGTATCTAAATAAAATTAAAATCGAATTTAATTATTTTTAAATAAAATTCAAAAATAGAAAATAAAAAAAATTGAATATATATAAACCGGCGGTTCAGTAATCTACAGTTTTTAAATAAAAACAATCGATTTATAAACCGTAATCGAAACCGTCAAACCGTAATCGTTTTGACAAATCTATCATATATATATATATATAAATAATTAATTAAATTTTTATAATATAAAAATAATTAAAATAATAAATACAGTAAATAATTAAATTATAAAAATATTGTAATAGATAATAAAATAATTTAAATTATATAATAAAAAATTATAAAATATAAAATATAAATAAAAAATATTAATAGTATTATTATTTTTCAGTATTATTAATAATGATTTATATGTATTAATATTATTATTGTTATATTTTAAATTTTAATCATAAATATAATAATATTATTATAAAATACATACAATTTACCTCTAATGTAGCTATCACATCCACAATCCACGGACCCTGCGCCAGCCTGCCCCTGCCATGGCGAGAGATTAAAAAGAAAAAAAAAAAAACTAACTAAACTGCCTGTTAATCGGCAGTTTGCGGTTTGAAAAAATTCCAAATCGAAACCGAACCGTCGAAACAACGATTTCGGTTCGAACCGTAATCGGCGGTTTGTAACCGAACGGGCAAGTCTACGTCTAATTCGCTTAAAATGGATTTGGTGCAATTCCACGTACATAGTTCCGATCATCCAGGATTTTCTGATTTTCTCCTCCGCCATGGCCAGCAGTTCCCGACGTCAGAGCTCCACCAAGCGCGGCGGTGCGGGAGAAGACGCCGCCGCGAAGGCATGGGAAACCCTAAACAAGCGCTTCAAGGAGGTCCAATCGGTGCTGAATCACAATCACACCCTGATCCAACAGGTGAACAAGAACCAAACCTCTCAAAACCCCCGCAACCTGGCGGAGAACGTCCAATTGATCCGCCAGATCAACGCGAATGCATCGAAAGTCATTCGCCTGTACTCCGATCTAAGCGCCGATTTCTCCGGCATCGTACATAAGCGGCGCGGCATGGCTGGGAAAGCGCCGAAGAACGCCGAGGCCTGACCGATCAATATCCAGTAATTTCGATCCTCTATGCTAATGCGAGATTTAAGCATTTCATTCGCGCATCGGAATAACAATTTTTTAGATCTATGCGTACCGATTTCTGAGAGTGATTTTACTGATGATTTCAGCGATGAAGTGCATTTTGTTGAACTTCGTCACATTTTCATAGAGTGGTGATTGTTGATGGCTTGATTGATGAAGTTCCTGGCTGCTGCTGCTTATGATCAGTTACCATACAATTTTATGGATCGAATGTAGAGAACGTGTGAGGTAAACTTTTTTGCCTTTCTTTCTGCCATGGCATGTTTTTGTTTTGAGTTGATTTACAGAGGAAATATGTGAGGGAGATGTGTTGAAGCTTATCTTCATTTGCAGAGGAAATTGTTACGTACTTTCGCTCGACACTATTCATTTTTTTCAAATAAAACATTGCATCAAATACATTTTTTCTTTCTCAAGATATCAAATCAAATATTATTACATTTTTATTTTTATTTTTATTTTTATTTTTTATTTTTTATTTTTTCGAACTTCCAAAAATCTCAATCTAAACAAAACTAATTTAGTTTGTGAGTTATCGTCTAATTTCAAGTTTGTCAAATCACATTGAGTCATCTCCAATCTTCAGTTTCGAAAATTGGATTGAAGAAATTTTTTTGGTCTGACCACAGAAACAATAACAATTTTCAGTTCATATTGTTACCACTAAATAAACTTTTGTTCTTTTGAAATTAGAATTTAAGTTAAGTGTTTTGAAAATAATAGTAATTTTCTTCTTTTTAAAAAAAATAAAATAACATTTAATGTGATATAAATAAATACAGATCGATTACATCGAGGAAATCAACACCATGTTTAATAGTGCAAATCAACATTAGGCTGGTTTCCTTATCCAACATATGAAAATAGAATAAATAGAATCTTTTTATTTAGATAATCACGTGTTTTGTTGAATAAAAGTATGTAGCTCTACTATATGAATACAATAGATATGCTGAAATCAATTATAGATTGTATTGTTAAGTATGACATATGTGTTTTCCGTTTATATATTATATTTATATTTTGTTAACATAAAATATACAACACATGTCATAGTTAAAAGTAACAAAATCTATAGTTGATTTCAGTATTTCATATGATATTTGTATTTATGCGCTGTTTTTACTATGGGTTATTAGCACGTATGTTATATGTTGTCTATCCTCATATCATGTTAATGTATATGTAAATGACTATGTCATGTGCTGCATTTATTCAAAAACAACATAATTTATGGTTGATTGCTTATTCAAATACAATATAATTTACAGTTGATTGCTTTTTATGTATTTCATTCATACAGCACATCTACGGCTCTGTAGTTATGATATTTTAAATATTTTTTTTAATATATTAAATAAAATATATATTTATTTTTTGAGAAATAATTTTGATGATCGATATGAAGTTAAATTCAGATGATAAAGAGATAGATCCCGTTGCTTCCATCTGTTCCTTTTTCTTTTTAATATGTATATTAAGTTTAATAAATTATTTTTTATTAGATAAAATATATCTCAATTATTTGTCTTCTTTTAAAATTTGGTTCAGCATTCTTTAATTGAACAATTTCGATTGTGTCGTATTAATTTAATTTTGTTATTTCATTCATTTTCATCGTTTAATTTGACTGTATGTTACGATTATTTTAATTTAAATACCCTTATTTTTTTTTAAATAAATTTTAAAATAATAATATTTTATTAATTAATAACGTAAAAAAAATTGATATTTTTATCCAGTTAACAGATATATAAGTGAATCTGATAACCACTCAAAAGAATATAAAATCGCATAAATCCTAATTATTTATTATTTCCAAACTTCCAAATTTTAAAAAACCTCAAAAAAAGGCCGTCTAAACAAAGCCATAACTAATTTTAAAATATTATATTGGTAACTATATAAAATAAGTACGGTTTTAAAATAATAAGAAAAATGAAATTCTATAGAATTATTGAATAAGGTTGAAATAAATCGACGCGAGTCTCCAATTGGAACCACAAATGTTAGTTTTAGCACAAGAAAGAAAATTCCATCTGGTTGCACCACATTAATTACTTGTAGTTGTGATCACATAAACGAACTGCAAACCCAACAGAACTTTAGCACAAAATTAAAACTAACGCCACTGCATATAGCTTATAGGTGTGTGTCATTTTGTGTCGATTTCGAACAACTTTTTGTGCTAGTTTACTTACTACAAGCACATAAAACCCGAGGAGAGAAAGGGAGGGAGGGAGGGAGAACGTACTCTGCAAGGGGAGATTACAGTGGGAGCTCGCCGCTATCTGCGATCACTACTTTGCTTTTAGGCGTCCCGCTTTGCCTACCTTCAGCTTCAACCTTGTACACCACATCCATTCCTGACAGCACCTTTCCGAATACTACATGGCGCCCATCCAACCTGTGGTAAAACAGTGGTCTCAAACTTAGAACTAGACACGGGTGTTTAATAAAGTCAATGATAGTCCAAGCCGAAGTTTGAAAAAATTCCTAGACTCAAATCCATTTCAAGAACCAAACTCTAATGCTCGCCAAATATGAAGACTCACTGGGTATCGGGAGTTTGAATCTAACTATGTAAATGTTTGTCTTAACCCCTTTTTATAACTAAGCATGCTCAAGTTATCCCAACAATAAACAAGTCGAGTGTGAAGCTCAAGCTCGAATCTATAAACATATATTGAGATTTACTTCAAATTTGATTCAGCGGGGCAAAAAGGTAGCACTCACCAGCTAGTAGTCACAGTTGTGATGAAAAACTGGGACCCATTAGTGTCAGGGCCAGCATTTGCCATTGATAGAAAGCCTAAAAGAAACCAACGAATATTAGAAAAACTATGGCAAATCATACTCGAGTTTTAAAACTCAATCAATATAACAGAGAAATTTCTCTTCCTTAATTTTCTTTCCACTGTTTTCATTTGATTTGCAGCAATCATACCAGGTCCAGTATGTTTGATCTTGAAATTCTCATCTTTAAACTTATCCCCATAAATTGACTCGCCACCACGTCCATCTCCAAGGGTGAAGTCGCCCCCTTGAATCATGAAGCTTGGTATAATTCTGTGGAATGCGCTTCCCTTGTAATGTAAAGGCTTCCCATTTTTGCCAACACCTTTCTCACCTGGATGTGCAGATTATATGTTTGATCAAATTTGAACAAAGTTTTCGGAATTATATTCAGCTGTAAGCACAAATCCAAACTTTCACTGCCTCTGAAACAATTGAATATACACTAATAGGCTCTCAGTCACAATACCACAACTTTATTCAACTTGAGAAACATGTAAGAGATTAAACCTGTGCACAGAGCTCTAAAATTCTCTGCAAGATGAAAACAAAAACACTCATCAGACATTTGTATTATGCCACGAAGCTTCGCAACATTATCCATATTAACATTGCTACCTGCTGTTTTCGGAACTGTTTTTCCAAACAACCCCATGACAACTCGCCCTAAACAACAAGGGTGAATTGCATATATTAGAAGAAAGTCTAAACAATATATATATATATATATATATATATGCACAAACACACATATACATTCCCATTTGGTAGGCATAAGAGCATACCAGCAGGTTTTCCATCAATTTCTATATCAAAGTAGACTTTATGAGTCACTTCCTTCAAATCCTCCTTTGATTTCTTCGCCTGCAGAAAGACCAATTGTTCATTGAATATTTTAGGGCAAACAAAATTTTGCAAAGATCGGAACAATATATTCACAGAACCGAACATAATCTCAGAGTCAAAATGTTAGATCAGATCATACAACAAGTTAACATACACTCGTTTTTGCTTTCCGAACTCATTCGTAAAAAAATTGCATTAAAAAATCCAACACTGAATCATATGTCATAGCAAGGCACTGATACTAAATCGAATTGAATAAAAAAAAAAAAACCGCATACAAGAAATGGATCGCCAGGAATTCTAGCATATTACAAAATAAATCTGAAAATGTACAGAAGGCATCAATTAAATGTATGTGTAATTAGAAATTTCAGTAGATCGAGATAGGACCTGTGTGGAAACTAAGGAGAGGAAGAGTGCTAGGCAGAAAACGAGAAGAACTCTCCCGCTTATCGCCATCCTCGTCGTTGAAGATCGATCCTTAGTTCTTCGGATTCAGTTTGGGTTTTCTGTGTTGTGTGGGTTAGCTCTCAACTCTCTCTTGTGAACCGTAGAGGGTTTATTGTGGAAATACATACATATATATATATATACTCATATGTGGATGACCAATTAAACGCTGACACGTAGACACTGTGACGTGCAATTGGGTTTAAGACTGTCGCGCATAGTTTTTTCTATTTTTGCAGAATTAAGAGCGAGTGTGTCTGTCGATTTTAGTTTTTAAATTTGGATTTTTAACAATAAAATATTGGATTTGTTATGATATAAATAGAAATTTATACTTGAATTTAAAATAAATTTATAATATAATAAAAAAAATTAATTATTTAATTTGATATATATATTTTTTAAAAAAATAATCTTAAATAGTAACACTATGATAAAACTAACACAACCTAACGGTGTCAATCTCTATTTTTGCATATCATCTGAAAAATATATTTCTAATTCAAAATGAATTATATTCTGAATCAATGAAATCAGCTGTACAGAAGTTGATTCATACTATTAATTAATTATAGATTGTTTATTTAATTAGAATAATTAGATTTAAATGTAAAGTATAGATTCATTTCGGCTTATGCTAGAATTATTTATCATTTCAGTAATTGATTTGAAATTTATTATTTTTATCTTTTTTATTTTAAAATATATTTTTTTAAAATATAATTATATATTAATATCAAAATATATTTAATTTTTATTTAAATTACAAATTTATGTAAATAATTTATACAAAAATATCAAAACTTTATTAGTCATTTTTATTCTCTAACAAAATACTATAAGTTCCAAAATAAAGATATGGTTTAATAATTTAGTATAAACTGAAATCAATCTAAAAACATATGTTTTTTCATATCTATTTATTTGTATATTTTGATATATATTTTTATCGATTCATTCTTACTTCTTATTTAAATATTTTTAAGGATAGAAAAGAATATTGCTTACTAAAGCCGAGGAAATATTCGAGTCCGACTTTTAAAAGTCCAAAGCCCACGACTAAAATCCCGAATTGGGACCACTGGTCCTGGGACCTACCAAGAATCTGGCTTTTGCCTACCCTCCACCGTCCCGTCCGGAATCCACTGGTTTTCTTTCGTTATTTCTCTCCAACTCCACGTTTTAAGAGCTCCTCAATCTTCTCTCCCGCCCCCACATGAGCAGCAATCAACTGATACAGTAGATGAGAATGGGCGCAGCCACATCCAGGAATCCCGACAGTAGCACCAGCAACTGTAGTAATGGCAACGAGGAGAGAGAAGACCAAGCCGGCGGGCAGCTCTACGTCTCCCTCAAAATGGAGGACTTTAAGCTCAAAGGGGAACTCATTCCTCACGTCTATGGCTCCGTGCCACTCGTCGGATCCTGGGACGCTTCCAAGGCGGTATGCTTGTTCGCTTATCTGCTCCATCTTCCCCTGCTGCTTCTCGCCGATTCCATTTAAGTTTTTTTGTTATTTTCTCTTTCCTTCTCACTTTCCCTAATTCAATTGCAGTACATTCCATGGCGTATGTATGTATATGAATAATTTTGTTTTTGAAAACATTTGATTGCGCTTGTTGATTAATCTTTCGGTCTTTATTGTTCAGCTCCCGATGGAACGTGAGTCGACATCTATGTGGGAGTTAAGCTTTGTTGTATCTTCTAACCATGGTAAACATCTCTGATTTTAGTTTACTTCATCTCCATTTTAAGGTAAGGTTCAGTGCTATCATCTTCTCAAACAATATTATGTTTGTGCCTCTACATACGCCATATCGTTTATTGGAAACAGCATAGATTGAAAGAAGTGCTAAATGGGTCATATACTATGATTTTGCCACTTTTTCTAGTGATTTACTAAGATTATATTTGTAAATTCGTGTTTCTGAAATGTGTAAGCTAATGATTGATCCTTTCTTTTGCTGTCTATTTCATTCATTTCCGAAACAGAGACATTGGATTTTAAGTTTTTGTTGAAACCAAAGTATAGTAATGTCCCTTGCGTTGTGGAGGAGGGTCTGAACCGGCAACTTACCGGGGGTGCACTAAGGGGGGACAGGGGAATGGCTGTATTTAATTTGAGTGGTGACGAGATTCTTGAGTACAAAGTATGGATTAAAGCGGATAGGGTTTCGCCATTTGATCTTGCTGCAAGTTGGAGAGCACATCAGGAGAATTTCCAGCCTTCCTCTGTTCGTGGAATACCAGATATCAGTATAAATTCTGCTGCTGAAAGTAATGTGGTAGGTGCATTTGAAAAAGATATAGTTCTCAAATTTTTGATTTGCTCCCTTGTCAAATTTATGGCATTGAAATGATCTCTCACATTATACTGTGATATTGTAATTCTTCAATGTTATTTTGCAACTTTCATTATTTTTTTTTTTGGAGTTTCGTTTATAAAACTTTCAACTTCATTTCTACACTTTCCAATTTAGAATGAAAGGGCAAGTTTGGAGCTTGACATCGAGCACTATGTTGTCCCAGCTCCAGTTACATCTGCAAATTCAGATATGGTTTATGCGGCTAACATGGCTGCAACTCCTAGGTCCCTAAGTAATGTAGGAATGTTTTCCAAGATTGATGGATCAAGTGGGGCATTGCAAATGGCAACAGATACTGGTGTTTCTTCAGATCAACCTGATTCAACGGTAGTGTTCTTTTTCCTCTGTATCATTTGTACTTTATAACTTCTCACACTTCTATGTTTCTTTCTACTTGTATTGTATCTGCTTCCCTGAAGTTTAGTTACCCAATTGGCCAACACATATAACCAAGGATAAGCAAAGGTCTTAAGACAGCTCATTCAAATTGATATATATATATATACATATATATACACACACACACACATATATAATTTTTTCTTTCTTTAACCCCTTGGACAAGGATTTACAAGCAAACCATGAATAGATTAGCATTGTGATGGTAATCATGTAAATTAGAATCTTGAACATATTTATTGGAATTTAAAGTCTTTTTAAGTTTATGGTCTTGGTTATGGATTGGAGTGAGAGATGAAAATTTTGCATTGCACCAACTTAGGTGGGTGTAGCATACCTGCATCTTCTTACACAGGCATGGCTGTGCCGCTAACACCTCAAAGAGGTTATGGAAGTTGACCATAATAAGTAGTTGGAAACCAGAGTGTTACAAAGTCTATCCAGGAAATTAAATAGTTACCTTAGTTGGATTGTACCAATCTTGATGGAGATAATTAATCTTTAAACATGATTATATAATTCTTCATTAAACATGGTTCCTGCATTTTTGTGTCATTTATTCTGCTTGTATTGTGTGTGTTATCTTAATATCAGGGAACAGAAGTCGTTCCATTGAAGCTATCTTCTCGATCTGGCTTGGTAGAGTCAAAGTCAGTTGGAACACTTTCATCCATGCAGAAACAAGAAGGTCACAGAGGACTGTTTGTGGATAGGGGGGTTGGATCTCCCAGACTTGTCAAATCAGCAAGTGAAAAAACTCTCTACATCAATGACACAGAGTCTGAGGTTTGTGGAACCTGTCCTATTCAATTGTGAAATTTGTTTCTTATGCTGATATATACCTCTGGGCTTTGGGTAATAGCAATTTTTCATGTTATGTTCTGTTAGAACTCTATGCCAGCAGCTGCAGGAGCAGTTGCAGCTGCAGCTGTAGCAGATCAGTTGCTCGGTCCAAAGGAGGATAGGCATCTAGCGATTGTCTTGGTATTTTGCTAATATGATATTCATATGCTTGAGGTTTGGATTGTTACATGGGTGATAAAACTTTCCTGATTAATTTTATGATTTTCCTCAGGTTGGATTGCCTGCTCGTGGCAAAACTTTTACTGCAGCCAAACTTACTCGATATCTTCGTTGGTTAGGTCACAAGACTAAACACTTTAATGTTGGAAAGGTATTTTCTCTGCATTGTTAAGTCTTTATTCATTAGGTGAAATTGGGTATAAAGAAAAAGCTGCATAATTGTGTATTTTGACTGCAGTATCGAAGGCTTAAGCATGGAGTTAATCAGGTATTTTGTGGTGATGTCTTATCTCCTCTTGTTTTCCATATATAAGTTGTATACTTGGAATTCATATTTTACATTTTAAAAATAGGTCATAAAATTGTTGAACCTTAATGTCTTAAATATAAATTTGTAAAATTATATATTGATACTGTAAAAGTGATGGCCTGTTTAAAGAATTTTGAAATCAAGCAACTCAAAAAGAAAACGTTATTGGGAAGTTCTGAGGTTGGAATATGGGGATGGAATATGAAAGGCAACATTGGAAAAGCCTTGATCCAGCTCACAAACTTGTGACCAGGTTGTCACGACATATATTTGTTCAGAAGAAGAAACATATATTGTAATGCTAATGATGAATCAGTATTGACTCATGGGAAAAAGCAAAATGAGACAACAGAAAAAAAAAAAATGAATTGAACTTTCTCTTTTTGAGGGTTTGATTCCTTGGATGTGCTCTGATCTTGTGGCGAAATTTATGAAGAATAACCACCCTGATCTGTCCATATAGACTACCTGCAAAATCTAAAGTTCTTGCACGGGCAATGTACTGTTTTACATGAAACTTATTGATTTTTGTAACGACTATGTATTATTTAACCAAAATTTCTCTCTCAAATGTCATTTATAAGGATCTGTATTGTTGCTACATATTTCTTGGTGTAGACAGCTGACTTTTTTCGGGCCGACAATCCAGAAGGTATGGAAGCGCGTAACGAGGTAACTGAAATGCTGAAAAGTTGTCAGAATTGGAAATCAACTTGTTTCTCTTTTGTAATATTTTTATATTTGTAATTCATGAACTGCTGTAAGGTTGCGGCACTTGCAATGGAGGATATGATCTCTTGGATGCAAGAGGGTGGCCAGGTATGTTTTTTGCAAATTTTTATTGTGTGACTATAATTGATCCTTTCTTAACGTGTTTTATGACTGTATTTAGGTTGGGATATTTGATGCAACAAACAGTAGCCGGGAAAGAAGGAATATGCTTATGAAAATGGCAGAGGGTAAATGCAAGGTACAGTTTTACATTGCTCAAATTGATGTGTTAGTATTATTTTGAAGTCACTTTGGATGATATCTTTTGTATTTTTGATAATGTAGATGACATGATTGTACTGGTGTCCATTCTCTTTGGCAGAAAAATTGATGTAGAAAAATTATTTTGTATTTTTCCATCTTCAACTTGTTATAACTAAACAAATGGTGCACTTTTATTATGAATCATTTCAATAGATGTTTGTTAGATGGTGAACTTTTTACTTTCAGATTATCTTTTTGGAGACACTATGCAATGATCGCCAAATTATTGAAAGAAATATTCGTCTAAAAGTACAACAGAGCCCAGACTATTCAGAAGTGTATGGTGCAACAAGATTTCTTGTTATTTTAGCATACATTACTATGAATTTATTGTGATTCATCGTTTGTTTCAGTCAAGATTTTGAAGCAGGGTGCCATGACTTTAAAGTCCGTCTGGAAAATTATGAGAAGGTAGATCCTTTGACATACTTGTGATTGTTGCTGATTTCTGTGGTTAATATTTTTCCTATGAATATCAATTTTATGTGCCTAGTTTCATATGCATTCAGGTGTATGAGCCAGTTGATGAGGGCTCTTATATCAAGATGATTGATATGGTCAGCGGCCATGGAGGGCAAATACAAGTGAGTCCCCTTCTCATTGTTGCTGCAGACTCCCAAAATCTTAAACTCACTCACCAAGAAATGGAAATGTATCATTTTATACATTTTTATATTTGATTCCTTTAACATGTCTCCTCCTCACATGACCATCTGACTTGTAAACTTACGTAATAAGGGGATGTATTATATTATCTTTATTTACATACAATTCTTTCAACATGTGTTATTGTCTAATTTCTCTTAAAAGTTGATGAAATCTGGTGTTCACAGTCATAGTTGAACATAAGGAGCATGTTGTTGGGAAATCTCATGATGCTAGGGATAAATCTTCTTTGATGTAATGAAATAATACATTAGAGCAGAAGCCATATTGTTAATGCTTCATAATCAAAATTTTTCTTGAATTGCATGCACACAAAAGGATTTGCAATCTTAGGAAATTATTTGAAAAAACTAGAACTACAAAATGTAATTCCAACTGCTGACTATCAAACACTGCTTCTGTTAAATCTTTCCTGGGTGGATCATTGTTAAAACTTTTCAGAATGAATATAGAATGGTTATCTGATAAATGAAATGTCTTCTAAAACAGGTGAACAACATTAGTGGGTACGTTCCTGGGCGGATAGTATTCTTCCTGGTATGTCTCTTTGAACTGCAATATCTTTCTTGTCTCATCTACGTGGGTTGAGGCTCATGTATTATGTATGGCACATGTCTGAAAGAGTTTTGAATTCTTAATGATGGTCATGTTTTGTATGTGTTACGCCGAGGGTAAAATATTCACTTATGTATTTTGATGTTAAGCTTTTCTTGAATTCTGAAAAAATCTGCCTGTCTGGCTGTAAAATTCTGATGCTACGCTTAGGGATTCTTCAACTGCTTTCTTTTTAGTCACTTAATTGGTATAATGTAATAACACTGCCTAGTGCTTGTTGTACACGTACGTGACAGCCATGACTCTCATAACTTCTTGACTCTTGGGTGATAATTGTCAGCATCATTTGATAATCGGGCTGTAATAACTATTTCCAATTTTTATGTCATATTTCTGAAAGAAGGTGTAATGTTTTGTTTGGTGCTTATGTAAATATATTGGAAGATTGGTTAATACATCAGGGTTATAAAGTGGTAGCTGCAGAGAGCAAGTTGATTGAAGTTTTCACTTCTGAATAGATTTTTCAAAAATCTACACTTTAAAATACAAGGTCACATTTGTTTTATTCTGACTTAGCTTCAGTTAAATGACTCCTAAAAAATGTTGTGAGAACATATTCTCTTGAAGAAGTACTTCTCTCCTCAATTATGTGATGAGAACTGTTTCCTCAATTAAATTCTTCTTATATCTTTCTTTTAAGTACTCTCCATTTCACCCTTTTCGAAGAATGAGGATGGTGGGTGTTGAAGTGTGACTTCTAGTGGCATTGCCTTTATGTTTCAGGTCAACACACATCTGACGCCACGCCCAATTTTGCTAACCAGGCATGGAGAGAGCCGGCACAATGTCAGAGGGCGAATTGGTGGTGACAGTGTGATAAGGTTATCACATATGTGAAGTTTAAGTTGATGGTTTTACTTAGCTTGAGTTTTACTAATATGTATCTATACTGATTTCTCATATACTAAGTATATCTACATTTTTAGAAAATTGTCCCATTGATGTCCAGAAAAGTATTCAAACAAGTCAGATCTTTTTTGTTTCAAACCTCTATCACCATCTTACTCTTTAAATCAAATAACCAGGTAATTTTCATACAGCTGTGTTGTAACCTAAGAGAAATTGATTACACTAGATTGATATCTTTCCATTAAGTTTAGTTGAGAAAAGGGAAGTGCTTAAAGGTTCGTTATATTATTCAAGGTTGCTGAGACCTTTTTCCAAAGTCTATATCCTGTTTCAGATTCTACACACACACACACACACACATATAGCTCCACTAAAGTAGAGCTCAAATTTGTTTAGAGATGACCATTTTTCTTTCTTGAGCTCCTTTTCAGTTAGCGATCATTGCAATATGTGAGCATCCACTTGTTATGTTATTCATTTCAAATTGCTGGATTACGTTAATGGCAGTGAGTCTGGTGAACTATATGCGAAGAAGCTAGCAAACTTTGTTGAGAGACGTCTGAAAAATGAGAAGGCTGCTTCTGTAAGTCTTCCTCCAATTTAACAAGTTCGAGTTACAAGATTAGCTGGATAGCATCCATTTGAGTTATTAATTCTTTTGCAAGGTCTTTCGGATTTTGGTGTTAGTTTGCCTTTAAAATTATATTTTTCTTGTGCAGTTATCCACAGATAATTGGAATTGAAGCAGTGCTTATTTGTTTCAGTAGATTTCACTTATGCTTGAACTTACATATGTAACATATGAAGTATATCCAAAAGGAAGTCTTGTTCCACTGCAACGCCTCCTTTTTATGATTACACGACTGAAGTTATCCTTATTTCCTATCTGTTGCTTTCATTAATTACGGGGATAGGGATTCAACATTAATTAGGGATGGTAGCTGGATCAGGGACTGACTTGCCCAGTCCCAACCCTGGATTTGAAACCCAGTGGTCACCTATCAAATGTAAATAAAGATTTCTCCGGTTCACTTTCCCCCAATAATAGCTGGCACATTTGTCAATTTTTAATGGTTTTCCATTTGTGCAGCTTGAGTTGTATTTAACTTTGTTTTTCTCTTGCTGTTGGTAGCCTTTGACCTGCATTTTATCTGTTGAAATAAGTTGCATTGTACATTGCTAAAATACTACCAGAGTTTGATTGTTGTAAAAATTGGTATCTTTTGTTGCATAGATATGGACTAGCACATTGCAGAGAACGATCTTGACAGCAGGTCCAATTGTTGGCTTTCCAAAGGTAATTTTACAATGATCATTTTTTCCTTCCTGTCTATCTAGTCATGTTTCCAAGCTGACATTTGAACCTTTTGTTTCGTGATATACTTCTGAAGATACAATGGCGAGCTCTTGATGAAATCAATGCTGGCGTATGTGATGGAATGACCTATGAAGAAATAAAGAGAAACATGCCAGAGGAATATGAGTATGTATTAGTTTTCTTTATATTTATATATGTATGTATGTATTGTCCATTTCCACACTCAAAATGTGCATTCTTCATCAAAATTAAATTGTTGGTTGAAAAGAAGGTAGTGCAGCCACAACTATTTTTTTTTCTTGATTATTATTATTATTTTGGTTTCAGCATGTTTTGTGTTATCATCTATGGGACGATGCATTAAAACCTAGATCAACAACCTGGCATTTCATCAACAATATAGCTAGCTTTTACTGATGCATCAGTCAAGTAGATAATGATGGAAATGGAAAAGTTTGCTGAAACAGATGCTTATTTTCTACTTTTGTTTGTTTGCTCTGAGTTTGAGATCAACATTGCATGCAGTGCTAATTCAGAAACAAATTATTCTCTCTGTTTTTGTTCGGTTTAGCTATTACTGTTATTAATTTTCTTCAAATTCGCCCTTGCATTGATTACTACCTTCCCCCACTTCTGAATTACCCATGACTTCATTTTGTACATCCCAGATCACGTAAGAAAGACAAGTTAAGGTATAGATATCCTCGTGGGGAATCTTATCTTGATGTCATACAGAGGTTTGTGCAGTAAATTCTTATACAGATACTAGTTACTGTGAATAGCTCAATTATCAAAAAGCTTTGATTATATTCATCTGTTTTTTCTTCAATCTTCAGGTTGGAACCTGTAATTATCGAGCTTGAACGACAACGCGGTCCAGTTGTGGTGGTATCACACCAGGTAACACATTTCAACACTTGAATAAATTTGAATTGCCAACACACTTCTAACAATATCATATTATTCTTTTTTTGGTGGGATCATAGGCGGTGTTGAGAGCTTTGTATGCTTATTTTGCTGATAGGCCTCTGAAAGAGATACCCCACATAGAGGTAACACCATTACTATGACTATCAATCACCATGGTAGTTCGATCATTTCTTTGCATCCATTGGGAAAGACTTTGAATATACAAAAACTAATTTATTCTTGAATACAGTGTAGTTTCTTGTAATTGCAATGTTCTTGGCCCTGATATGAAATCCTCATTGGAACATACGTGCTTAGCTTTTGGGGAAATTGTCATTTTGAAATCAAATAAGCTGCATGAAGAACTTACATAAATATCTTATCCTTGCCGGGTTTTGTCAATTTTATTATTTTTATAATTTAATGTTAATTTGAAAAAGAGTTTCAAAGCAATGCAATGCTGTATTATGTACACAAATGGTTTGTTTTCTTTTCAATCTGCTAGAGAATCTGCATAGTTTAGCATCAACACGGAGAATCAAAAGTATATAGACATGATTATATCTACTTTTGTTATACATGCAGATGCCACTCCACACAATAATAGAGATACAGATGGGAGTTTCGGGCGTACAGGAGAAACGATACAAGCTCATGTAATTTACTTTGAGCATTAATTCACATTGGGATGCTATAATCAACGTTGATGAAGTTCATCGAGGCACTGCAAAAAAACCTTTAGTCTACTGGAACTTCCTAGATGCAGGTTAGCTTCTTCACCTCATAATGGCTACTTGCATTATACATATATATGGCTTGTGCACTTTTTGAGGACAAAATTTGAAATTTGATTGATGATAAGACTAGAAAAAGGGAACACATTAGATCTTGTGAGACAAATTATAGTAGTTTAAATTGCAACACAATATTAATACACCTTTGCAGCATAATATGTTAAAACCCCCCAACATATGTGTATGTATTGTATAGTTGAAATGAAGAACAAAAAGAAGATCACAAGAACCCTTTATAGACACACATAGACATAGACATGTATGATGTATATTTATACATATTTTGAAAGAGTGATGAGAAGTGAAGAGTTTTTGTTTTTAGTTAGATGGTGGTAATTAATTGGAAGATGAGATGATCAAGAATGTGTGAGGCTAGTTCGGCCCCGATCTCCTTGACACACTGCTGTTGTTGAGTCTTCTTCTTCTTCTCTGCAAATCCTTCATCATGTATCATCCTCCATGTACATTTTTCCAACTCCATTGCTGCCAACCTCCCATGTATCAACTCATCATCTTCATCATCATCTCCATAACCATTCTTCTTTTTCTTTTTCTTCTTTGGACGGAAGCTTTCTACTTTCTGCATATTTTGCTTTGGCCTTCCACAGCTTTCAAGCTCTTCCCACAGTGTTCTTCTCCTCCTCGTTCTCCTTGTCCTCATTCTTGAATTTCCATCCCCTGTCATGTTTTTCATTTTGAAACAGAAATTCAAAACATGAGGCTACAACTGAAGTGAATAATAATAATAATAGTGTAATATATATACCTTGGGAAGCAGCAGAGGAAGTGTGATGAAGATGATGATCAGGTGATGAGTGGAGCAAGTCGAGAACAGAATTGGGGCTGGAGGCATCTTCTGCAGTTTGATCTTTCCTCGTTGTCCACCGAGCCTGAGCCTCAGCTGAGACAGTACTACTACTACTAGTGCTAGTGGAAGAAGAATTCTCATTGCTAATTATGGTGTTATTACAGTGAAATCTCCTTTCCTTGAAATGGTGGGCTCTTGTTTTTCTGCTCCTCCTTTGTTGTTCTTTGTTGTCAAACCTGAGAATGTAGAATCTTTCATCTTGTTCGAGGTCTTGGCAGGTGGTTGTCTTTCTTCTTCTGCTGGGTGGATAAGGTTTGTTGTTGTTGTTGATCATTAACAGAGGTTGGGTGTCTGCTTCTTCTTGTTGTTGATGTTGCTGAATGGGTGGTTTCTTGCTGTGGTGAGGGAGGGAGTCGAGGCCCATGAGTCTGGCCACTACTCCTACTCCTGGACTGCAACTCTCTTTCTGTTTCTCTTTGTCCTGATGATTAGGGTCTTGTAGAAGGTGCAGCTGGTGGTGGTGATGTTGATGAAAAGAAGTAGTCCAGAAGGGGAGGCGAGGAGGGGAATTGGTGATGGTGAAACACAGGATTCTGCGGAAGATTCTGGAAATGCAGCATCCACTGCCATTGTCATTAGAAGAATAAGGTGTCTTCTTCTTCTTCTTCTTCTTCATCATCATCATCTTGTTGTCAGAAGTCATAAATAATGAATGGAACTCCAACTAACTCACAGCAACCACCACTAACAATAACTCAGATCAGATCAGTATAGCAGAGAGTGAGAGTAGAAAGGGAGAAGAGAAGATAAGAGAGCAAATTAAGAAAGAAGAACACACCAATCCCAATCCCAATCCCAAAAGCTAGCCTAAGCTTGATGACTTTTATTTGAATCAGATAGATAGATAGTATTGGCGGGCTAATCATTTGAGTTTGAATTGTGTTATTGTATTGTATTGTATTCTAGTATAAGTCAGAGAATAATGACAGGAAGATATATGTCACACACACATATATATATATATATTTGACTTGTTTTCCTTGATGATTTGATTTGAGCAGTAGTTTTTTGATTTGAGGGGGGGGGGGGGGGGGGAAAGAAAAAGGTCTGTCTGTTGTCTGTCTGACTCACTGTCTCCCACGCCTCTTTTTTCTTTCTCTCTCTACAAATCAGTGGAAACAAACAAACAAACATTACATATGCATGGTCATGGTGATGGTGGACCATTCCGTTCAACCAAACCCCACTCTTTTATTTTACTACAAGTATTTTATTTTATTTTTTGTGTGTGTCCTTCCGATCCTGCCTCTACAATTTTCTTTACTCTTTTAATTGGATTGGGCCAGTGTGATGGGCTCATTTGAATCCATCTCCTAGGCTCACTCAAATACATTCATTCCATGGACTATTCTTACTCTTATTATTATTATTTTATAACATGGGAATATTTGCACTGGGATATGTAAAGTAAATTTTCGGTCGAATATAATACTATGTAAAGTATGCTCGATAAGTAACTTGGAAGGATCGAAAATTTGAACCCATGGTTTATGAGTGAGAAATTCATTCAAGTCATTCATTAATTTTAATTAATATTTTTTTTTACCAACATCTATCTATCTATCTATTTGTCCATATCAATATAATATGTTCTTTTATGTTATATTTATATTAATATAAATAATGGGTGTTCTATGAAATATGTTCAAATATTTTTTAGAAATTTCAGAATGGCTTGTTATCAATAATGAAATCGATCGTATACAAATTTGATATACACAAATCAAAACAGCTATAATTAAATACTTAATTTAACGGATATAATCAAATCTCAATATCCGTAGATGTGTTTATATTTAGATTTTGATTAATTTAAATCATGATTTGTTTAGATATTTGATTATATTTATTAGACTATATTATTTTAAATTAAGTCAACCAATTTGACGTCTACTCCAAAAATTCTCAACAGAATACACCAAAATAAGTAATTAACTATATAAAAAGTAAATAGATAAAAATTTTGGTAAGTACTCATAAATATGGATGGATATGCCAAATACGCCCACCACAAAAAAATAAAAAATAATAAAAAATCATTAATTTTTTATTGTAAATAAATAAAATATATTATTAATAAATTAATTAAAAATAAATAGTAAGGTGTATAGTGTGGCAGCGAGCCACCGAAGGCCCTCTATAACCACCCATTAACCAACCAACCGCCTTCCTATTCAATCATTCCTTTCCATTCAATCCCCAAATTCCCAATCCCCAAATCCCTAATTCCTCCTAAGCCCTAATTCCTCTTCTCCCCAACCCTAATCGAAATCCATGGCCGGAAGTGGAGTGGTCGCCGTCTACGGCAACGGCGCAATCACCGAGACCGCCGCCAAGCAGTCTCCTTTCTCCGTCAAGGTCGGTCTCGCACAGATGCTCCGCGGCGGAGTTATTATGGACGTCGTTACCCCGGAGCAAGCGCGGGTGGCGGAGGAGGCCGGAGCGTGCGCCGTCATGGCGCTGGAGCGCGTCCCGGCGGACATCCGCGCACAAGGCGGCGTCGCGCGGATGTCGGATCCGCAGATGATTAAGGAGATTAAGCAGGCGGTGACCATCCCGGTGATGGCGAAGGCGCGGATTGGGCACTTCGTGGAGGCGCAGATCCTCGAGGCCATCGGGATTGACTACGTCGACGAGTCGGAGGTTCTGACGCTCGCCGACGACCAGAACCACATCAACAAGCACAACTTCCGCATCCCCTTCGTCTGCGGCTGCCGCAACCTGGGCGAGGCGCTCCGCCGCGTCCGGGAGGGGGCGGCGATGATCCGTACGAAGGGGGAGGCGGGGACCGGCAACATCATCGAGGCGGTGCGTCACGTGCGTTCCGTGATGGGCGACATCCGCGTGCTCCGCAACATGGACGACGACGAGGTGTTCACCTTCGCGAAGAAGATCCAGGCGCCTTACGATCTGGTGATGCAGACGAAGCAACTTGGGAGGCTCCCCGTGGTCCACTTTGCTGCCGGAGGTGTCGCGACGCCGGCCGACGCGGCGCTGATGATGCAGCTGGGGTGCGACGGGGTTTTCGTGGGGTCCGGCGTGTTCAAGAGCGGCGATCCGGCGAAGAGGGCTCGGGCGATCGTCCAGGCGGTGACGCACTACAGCGACCCTGAGGTACTGGCGGAGGTGAGCTGCGGCCTAGGGGAAGCCATGGTTGGAATCAATCTGAACGACGAGAAGGTGGAGAGGTACGCCAACAGGTCCGAGTGAAATCGGGTCAGGGTCAGGGTCAGTGTCAGGTGATGGTTATTTAATTTACTGCTAGTAAAGTAGTAGTACTACTACTGTACTAGTATATTACTCCATTTAAGAGCTGCTTCCCAAATCCCAAATGGGTCTGGTCTGGTCTGGTCGGGTCTAAACCTAAATCTTGTTACTGTGCTCTGCTCATCTCCTTGGTCGTCCTTGTTTAATTTTAATGTGTCTGTGTGTCTGTCTGTTTTCCTCTTTATATTTAATTTCCCTTTGGCATTAAAATTGAACTCCTTAATAGTAGTAGTAGTAGTAGTATTGTCAGTCAAGAAAGGGTTTTTGGCATCATAATAAGGTTTTACCTAATAAGCTTATGGTCAGGATATGTTGATTGTGGTGATATTTATGAATGTGTGCAAGTGGAATCGGTAACAGTAAAGTAAAAAACACATGATGGAATTGATTTCTTGCTTGCTAGCAAAGTAATTGATAGGATTTCTTCACTGCTTGCTTGTTTTTCCTATTGTTAATTACTACTCCTACATGAATACATGCAAGTTGGCGTTGCTGCTAATATGAGTATTACTACTATTATTAGAGAGCAGATTGATTGTAAGATAATACTCCCTCCACTTACCATGTATAGAGATAAAGATAGAGATAGACCTATTAGTATATTGAAATATAAATAATTATGTAGAGGCTAGTCGAATTGGTGCATAAAAAATTTCACATTATAATAATAATCATAGCTGTATTTCTATTATTTTAAAATAAAAATAAAATAGCTATTGATGCTACATTATTATTAGTAGTAATTTTTATTTAATTAAACTAGTATAAAAATGCACTACTGTTTGATTGATAGTACTCTTTGTGCTGTGTTTGTTTGGTAAATTGCTGACAAACCTGTCCATTTATCAAACTTCCATTGATTTATGCACGTGCATCTGCATGTACAAATCCATGATAATTTTAATAATAATGTTATTATTACTATCGTTTTCAGATTTAATTTAATTTAATTACACAACAACATATATTATTTTTTCTGTAAAATATTGACTAATGTTCAAAAACAAATCAAATATACCATTCTCTTTTATTATTATTTGGTAGTCTTGTAATTAAATAAAAATTGAATGGGTTGTGTGATGAAAAGTTGCCCGTGAATAACAGTGTCAGTAGTACCATATACATATCAATAAAGTGTCAGTTGCAGTACATTAATAAATGATTTGTGAAAACGACAACACTAAATTCTGTTTCCTTTATTTATTTATTTATTTTTTTAATTCATATCATCGAACACGCTTCGGATAAATTTATGGTTCGGAAATTTGAACCCACTCATTGAATGCCTTTGGGTAAACCTATGACCGAAATTCACCTCTACACTATCTTGTCATTTCTTTAAAATAAATAAATAATGAAAAAGAAAATTAAAATAGTCATATTTAAACTCGTTAAATAATTTCTATTGTACAAATATCCAGACATCATATATATACTCTTTGTATTAGTATGAAATAAATAAAAAATAAGAGGATGACTTCCACTTGAATTTTGCAAAGCAAGAAACAATTGAACACATCAATTTGGATTTGGCAACGTATAATAAAAGGTCTGTAATATTGTAATAAATTATAGTATTCAAATAATAATAATAGTTATTACATTGTAATTTCATTTTCATATTTGCTGTCACAATCCACCCAATAATTATCCAACTGATAGAATAATAAGTCACTTAATATTTTCATCCTTTCATTCGTCTATTATTATAAGTAGTAATTTTATTATCCATTTGATTTGATGGGACGTGTTCTCTTTTGGTCCTAAAATGAATGAATTAATTGATGGTTTGGATCTATATATAATATTAATATTCCAATGTTGTGTAGTGTTGCGTTGCTGCGTGTGTATTTCTACATCTCACAGCTAAAATCCATTGTTATATATATCTATATCATTCATATTTCATTTTTATTTTTATTTTTATATTTACTTCTTGATATTTATTAAATTATTGTTATTTATTTTTCATTGTTTGAGATTCTGTTTAATTTTGTTGTATGGTGCATTATAAATAATACTCCTATTTGTTACATTTTGGCAGAGTTTCAAAAATGTATATAATTAATAATAAAATTCAAGGACCCATAAATGCATAGTCAATAAACTCAAATAATAAATAAAATAATAGAATTTTAATATAAATAGTTAAAATATCTCTAACACTAGGGAGTTCATTGTTCAAAAGAATTTGTCATTGGATACGAGAGCTTGTAGAAGATAAAGATTTGGATTCAGGATTCAAAAAATTAAAAAGGAAATCATTCATACCTTAACTAATTTTATTTGAAAATATTTCGAAATATTGAAACAAACTTTTGAAATTTCCAAGACGTGATAGATTGAGACATTATGTCTTCAAATGATCTTAATATGTCAATCCTCTTTTTATTATTTATATTCAATCATTTAGTATAATGTATTTTATTATTATCATTATTTATTATTACAGACAGATTGATGATCCAAGAGCAAAGCAAATCCAAACAAAACAATATCAGCAAACTAGTCATTTCTTCCATTACTACTAATTACTAAAACGAATCTGAAATCAGAACAACTCCTAAAATCTTACTTCTAGTCTACACATGTTTCTAAGCTACAATTTGCATCAAAACATCATTCCAATAAGACAACATACACTCTATTTTAAATGAATCCCAATTCAGAACAATCTTTCTCAACACACACACAGAATTATAAGGATGCCGGGGCGACCATAGCCCGGGAAAAAAAAAAAAAAAAAAAAAAAAAAAAAAAAATCCATCTCATCTGTACTCATGTAATTACCAAAACCATAATAGTTGCTTGTACTTGTATCTAGCTGCCCAAATGATCTCTTTCTTTCTTTCTTTTTTATATTTATATATATAAAAAATCCGAAAATGAGTACCTTTGGCGATGAGTGCTTCAGCAGGAACGGGTGGAATGCTTCCTACGCTTGTAGCATAAAACGCTCTCACTCGACGCCCGGGTTGGTACATCATGGGAACTACTACCTTTGGGGTAGTTGGGAGAAACTACAGCTTGGACAGGTATGGTTTTCGTGAGACCAACGTTCTTGTTTGGCTGCGATTGTCCATCAGAACCCTGCCAAGATGGAGATTTATTACGTAAATGAGCAATTAAAAGATGACTGTGTCGAACAAGAGTATCAAGTACCACAGATCCGGCCTCATTCGAGCATTTTCTATCCTCATTGTCTACCACACCTGCCCCGCGCTTAGCACCCCTGATGGAATCAAAACAATGGTGACATACCCAAGAAAAAGATGTTTAATACAATCTGACATATTAGGAAACAAATGCAGAACATACTCTTTCGTGTTTTGAATTGATATTTTTTGTAAGATGATGCAGTCACTAATAGATTCATAGATGAAAGTATCATAATATTGCACTACTATAAAAACATATCAGAAGTTCGAAATAAACACAAGTATGGAGTCATAACAATATCCTCAAGTCAAATTTTGCTTGAAAATCTGAATATCAACAATGCGAAAGTTCTATTAATGCAGTTAACTTATCCTTGACCTGTTAAAATCGATTTGGAAAGGTACAGAGTAGGTAAAATAAATTCTCAAGGCAATTTAAAACATTGTTTCATCTTGCATCTCAATTTGGCCAAACAGATCAATATATTTATAATTTGCCAATAAAGCACACCTTTTCGACTTTCGCTCAGAGAGTCCAATCTCAGTGCAGTTCCCAACTAACTCCATTACGGGATGACTTTCAGATTGGCCGCGTCCGGCATTGTCAGTTCCTTTAAAGAGAGATGTTACATTGAGCCTATTGTATGATAAAAAGCATATTGTACATTTTTATCAATTTTTTATACTGGTTTGACATTGGACATTTATTGCCTTGGAGTCGGATTTAGGTGCAGGTTTTGTTCTCGTTTACATCGTATGTAAGTTCAGTTCAAATTTCCTTTAAGGCAACTACTTTAATTTCCGAAAAGTTCTTTTTGTAGCATTTAGTATACCTGTAGATGTGCATGGGGTTGATAAGCCTCCTAACATTTTCTGGCAGGTTATAGTATCCTGGAAGTGTAGGAAGATATGATCACGCAATTTTTGTCTCTCGGCTTGATTCATCACCGAGAATCCAAATGACGTGGTCCAGGTGTTCAGCACACCCGCGACAGCAGGCAACACAAGCCTCTGCACTCCTAATTCCATGAGATTCTGTAAATGAGATCAGCAACTAAATTAGTGAATAATCCAGTGCCTTTCACAACTGCAAATTGTCGAATATGGCAATTACCAAACTAAATAGAGCTGTGCAAAATCTTTTGGCTTTGCATCAGTTTAAACAATACAATCTTTTTTTACAAAAATAAAAATCTATTCTCTTATTTCTGAAAGACAAATAAAACAAATATTGAATGTGATATTTTAATTGAAAAATAAATGTTGAAAAAAAAAAAACGTAGTTTAAAACACAATCGTGCTACATTTATTGCAACTAAGAGTAAGCTGTGCAGGAATGTATACAATGAAGGACCAGATTCATAATGAAAATGACACACACATATATATACACTAATTAAGAGGAAACTTGTATGGCGTATAAAATTTCCCTTAATTAATTGCAAAATATGACATTCATAGAAAAGATTTAGCTGAGAATGCAAAGAGAAAGAAAAGCATGTCTGGCTAAGAGATTCTTGGAGCATATTGTAATGTCCTCACGACACAATACTTAGTTGCTTTATTCATACCCCAAAACATTTAGAGAAATTCTTGATTTATGTAATTATGATAATAAGTGCCAATATAGCATCCAAGGTTCTAACTAGCAAAAACAGATTCAGATTACCTTTTCAAGTTCATTCATCAAGATCCGACACATCCCAAGTCGACGGAAGTGGAACCGTGTCGCAACAAGAGGGACTTCCGCCACTTTCTCCCCAAATATCCTGGTGTCATTAAGGCCTTGGATAAGTTACTCCATTTAAACAGAATCCAATAGATTAAATGTTAAAATGCAAAGGTATAACATACCTCACTGAAGCAATCGAAATTACTTCATCATTCTTCTCCAACAGCACGGTATAAAACCCTTTGAAATTTAGCCGGGGTAGATTCGACCTAAAGATTCAGATATGATTAGGACTTAATGGATGATAGTAATCATGACAAAAGTGAGAATCCAATCAAGTAAAAACAGACATATCAAGCGCAATTACTAGCGCCTTTGACAACATGCACAAGTCAATTAAATTTGGGTCGAGTCAAAGCTGTCGGTTCTGGATGTGCACACAAGTTGATCACCACTTCATTTGAGTGGGCACAAAGAGTCGAAAAGTCCATGGGGACAATTATAGTAATAACTGCACAAATGATTTTTAAGAAAAATGGCAAGCCTATCTTTCTTGAAAAAAAATGAGATTAAATAGGATCATCTCCTCCTGCCATAATCGCCATATGAATTACAAAAATCTACTTTCTCCGAGAGGCTCTTGTTGCAACAGGTTGTGAAAAACCGAAGAATATACAGTGTACTTAAAAAATGAAAATATAAGATGCACGTACAAGAAGAAGAATCATACCATCTACCAAAGATAACATCTTCCACAAGATCCCTGCGGGTACCGGGTATTTTGACTGGCTCAAAACATTCATGCATCACAGAGAGGGCAACATTAAGCTTGCTCGAGTACTCTACTGAGCGCCCATCATCGGATTTCATGTCTTTCAATAACGTCCAGGTCAAATTTTCGCCCCCCACAGGTATCGGTCTCCCCAAAATCTTTTGAAGATCATCAAATATCTGCAAGCCACAAAACCAAAGAAATATTAGTTTAAATTTTGTTACCATTTTAAGATACTCATGTCATTCGCATGCTAACAGTGTAAATGCTACTTAAATTTACGTTTTTACCTGTTTGCAACTGTCTCGGCAGAACCACTGTCCTTCAGGACGACCATGTGCGTTCACAACTTCATTATTTTCAAGGCAATCAGCATGATCTACATAAAGTTTTCAGAAAATTCCATCAGTCGAAATTGAGTTGTAGCTCATGAGTGCATGAAAAAGAAGAACAGTTGAATAACTTACATCTGTGTTCACACTGGGTGCAAATGAGGGCAGGGGCTGGAATTCTTACAACTTTCCTTTCCAATCGGCAAAGCCCACAAACTTGACAGCAGCATGATGGACAGAACCAATCACCATCTGGAACTCCCTGTGCAGCAGGAAAACAATTGTAAGAGGTCGCTCTACAATTCATGACTAAGTGTTTATTCGCAAAGGAAATAATGGTTGTGGGAGAATAAAAAATGTCAACTGTCACATGCTAATGAACCAAAAAATTTACCTTTAAGCCAATGCAGGAGAAATGGTAAGAAGAGGGGCATTGATCACAGAGGAGTAAATCACCTCCTTCATGACAGATAGAACATATGCTGTCATTTTCTTGATGTTGCGATCCTTCCCTCTCAAATGACTCTGATCGCAACTGCTGGTTCTTCCTCTTTTGGCTGAGCTGCCTCTGATGCTCCAGTAAGGATTTACCATCCTCGAAGAAAATATTCGCTGCAGGTCTTTGGGCTTTGCTTCCAGCATGTGCTCCAAACTCACTAATAGAATAGATTCTATTACAACAACTGCACATGATTCCCTCCCTCAGTATTCGGCCTTCTTTCAGCGGAACGTCATTAAGCTTCCTATGGTACCGAACTTTTGCTTTTGGTTGCACAGCATGATTATCAATCAACCAAGACAACACTGTTTGCGGAGCTTTCTCAGGTGTAGCAGCAATCCTAACTCTTTTACTTGATCTCTGTGCAGAAGTTGAGCAAGACGCTTGGATATCTTCAGTTGTCTCCATTAATGCATCTTCAGCTGCGTCCAGTAATGCACGGGGCTTCCTTCTTCTCCTGGGTGGTAATGATCTTTCAATGTGATGTGATTTACCATCCTTTCCCTTCTTCCTCAAAATTCTGTCTGATGCTGAAGCATCAACATTTGGCTCCTCCACAGAAGTTCCAGACCCCACAGTAGGCAATGGAAGAGGAGATTCAGAAGCACGCATGGCATTGTCAGTTTCTGCATTTGCACTTCCAATTCTCCCTACAGAAGGAGAGGGCTCCCTGGAAGTGCTAGACCAGTTTTTCACACACCAACTGCATGCTTGAGCAAGGGAGGAAAAGGTCCGTCCGTTTGGTTCTCTGTATCTCAACTCCCTCCTTTCCCCCTTCACTTTGAAAGAAAAAGTCCAACCGACAGAAGCTAAGTGTTTCTTTGCTTTCAGAAGTTTCAACTTTGCTTCAGAGCCAGGGTGCTTATTATCTTTAGAGTATAAATCGTAGTCGTAAACTGCTTCAGGGCAATATTCAGGTTCGATGAGAATCTGTTCACCAAGAGAATTGCATGACTTTGATAACTCTCTGGAACATTCCTGGTTTTCAGGAAGTGAAGGTGGAAGTTCTGCTTCAGGTGAAGTCACAGAACCAATCTTGTCCTTTCTCGATTTCTTTTGAGATCCAGGTCCGGAGGCCTGACCTTGGGAATCAAACTTTAGGCACACTTGACGAAGTGAATAAAACAATTCATTCTCTGGTGAAAAGTAACGGTATCTTAATCTCCCCTTGTCATTCAGCACTTCAACTTTCCAGCCCAAGTATAGTAAATGCTTCTTAGTATTCGACATCACATCATCCGAAGGCCGTTTATTTAACTTCATCACCTCTTTACATTCATTATAAGCATCAGGGCAACACTCTGCAGAATATGACCGGGAAACAATTGAGAGCCACTGACGATTATTAGTTGAATACTCGTACTTCTTAGGTGGCAATTTAGAACTCCGGTTAGGAGATTGAACCCCATGCTCAGAACCAATTATGGCGCCTTCACCTGGACTGTTAGTTAAGTTTGGCAAAGCAGGGCCAGAAGGGGATGGAGCTTGCTCAGAGGCAACCATGGCTGGACAGGCCTGATCATTACGTTCTTGAACCTGGAAATGGCCTTCATCATTCAGATTAGGTGCTGAATTTCCTTCACTGTAGAATGGCGCAGTCTCCTCAGAGGATACAAGTGCGAGAGAACTATTATAAAAAATTCCTCTATTCTGCAGAATTTCATATAAAGCCTTCTTAGAGAATTTCAGATACAGAGGCTTCGATGAGCTCCCCAAATGATTCGATTTCAGGAATTGCTTAGCAGTTATTTGAAAACTATCCAATAAAACCTGCAACACCAATTCTTCCCAAATCTGTCTTCCTGAAGATGTCCACCAATCACCAAGCTTCTCGAAATCATCCTTCAACCTGACATCAAACCAAATCTGTTGCAGTGATGTCAGCTTCGGCAAAGGCAGCTTTACCGTTAGTTCCTCAACTACTTCGATCAACAACCAGTTGCCACGCGGCTTCCACTCCCCAGTGACCTCGTCCCAATCTGCGCTGATCCTCAGCAGGTCCATCGTGGCATCCCATACGTCCCCCAATTCTGGGAAGAAAATCTTTCTTCTATCACATTTATCGTCATGATCGAATACGACACCTTCCCACCATGCATCATTATGATACATATCCACACATTGTCCATATCTTAAATGCGGCTGTGGCAGCTCCCGAACATTCGGAGGTGGCAAAGGCCTTATCAAGCCCTTACATTCACCTGGCTCAACAAGCTCAGTTGTAACACTCCCTTCAACAGCAGCACTAACCTTAACTTCTTCAGTCAGATTACAGTACTCTTCATCATCCAGAATGTAATCATACCTAACCAGGCGAAGAAAATTTTCCCAACCAATCACTTTAGCAGAGTGCCATGAACCTAAAAATCCATCCTCCTGACTCTTCACCTGCAAAAAAAAATCAAAATGCAAACAGATGAAGAAATAAGAATCAATGCGCTGGAGAACACCTAAAACAAAATTGCCCTTTAATGAAACCCTCTCGATTTATAATCTCACAAAAATCCCAAAATGGATTAACAGTTACAAATACAATCAACGCTAAATCGAAGTACAAGATCAAACCCTAACTCAAAACTCACGATAATCTATGAAAGCGACTTGATTTAAATCAACACAAGTTTTTTATATATCAAAACAATAAATGTCTAATTCGATTCAACGCCTCGACAACTCCGCCGTCAATCGTCGCTTTCCAAATGACCATTGCATGACAATCCGAACAAGACCACCATGCAAACGCAAGAAATCACCAGACATACTTACGACGGTTCATTAAAAATAAAAAAAATAAAAAATCACACAAACAGATTCATCGGAAAACCAAAAAGTACCTCGACTCTTTCATTAATCAGCAGCTTTCTCCTACCGCTTCCAGCCATGACGACGGAGACTCCAGACGAAACGCCAGAGGATAAGAAAAAAAAAAAAAACACGATCCACGACGCCTCAATGCAATATCTAGTCCGCGCCGGTCGCCGGACAAAGATTTTTCATCTATCGCGGCGTGGCGTGATGATCAAGAACTAAAATGGCTTCAAACACTTCCTCGACTAAAAAAAACCAGCAGAATTACAATGCGAGAGAATGGCGGCGGCGGTGGCGGCTGCGGCGGAGAAAGCGTGGCCTTATGGGTTTTTTAATGGGTTTGCGAAGATCGAAGTTGTTTGGTATAAAAAAAAATAAAAAAGGGTTTTTCATGAGGGAGAAAGCTGAATGACGGAGTCCCAATGCGAGATCCCGGTTTCAACAGCCTTTTTCCAAGTCCTGGACCAACTTTTATAGGACGTTACGGTTCCCAGATTTTACGGGTGTGGGCCCCAAGAAATCCACTTAAACATATTGGCTAATATCATAATTAATTACATTATAGAAATATTATAAGAATATATAGTTCACTTATTAGATATTTAGGAAAATGAATAAATTGAATAAGATATAAAACAAAAGAGGTCCCGCCAAGTAAAATTTTAAAATATATTTTTGGTAGTATAAGTTGGTTTAAAATTTAGATCGGATAGGATTTGGATATATTTTGGAATGTCTTCATCTGCAAGGCACTCGTGTGGATCTTTGAGATCTCCGCCAGTTCAATCACAGCCGTTCATTTTTGAGCCAATAAATGGGCCGGGCCGGCCCATTTACGTTCCATAATCATTTATTGCTTTGAATTTTAAAAATACGGCTTGGATTACATGCTGATTAGATTGCTGAAATTTTATACAGTTTTTAATAATCTAAACATATTAAATTACTCTTATTTAATTAAAACAGTTAAACAACTTAAGTTAAGTCAGCATATGCTGAATCAATTACCAGTTTGGTTTAAAGGCTGGAAGACAAGAAAAGACATGAGACAAATGCATGCATACACGCGTTTTATTACTAACACTGAAACAATACTTTAAAAAGACAGCAACAAAGAAGCCAAATGACCAAATCCTTACATAAGTCATACATAACAAACTTAAATAAGAAAGAACTAACATGTTATGTTATGTGTCACACATAACATGTCTACAAACTCAAAAGATCTCAACTTGTCTTCATTTGTAGGTCTCCATAATATAGCATCTAACACCTCCACAGCAAGAACTCGAAACTACTGCGTTTCGATGGCGATCCCGGGGGACGCGGTTGGGGCTGCAACGACGCCGCTCATAATAGCAGTGGGGGCCGGGTTGTCGTTGGCGGGTATCGGGTTCGCAGGGTTGGGGTTGTTCTCGTAGGAGGAGTTGTGGACTCCGACGGCGGCCCTGCCTGACGGGTCGAGATTTGTCGACCAAGACGCATCCCATGCAATGGCTGCAGCCGTGCTGCACGCAACGCTGGCGCCTCCGGGGACGGTCAGCCTTGCAGAGTTCTGGATCGAAAAAGATCGCTGATTTAGACAAACGATGCGTTTTCGAGGTGTAAAGTTATTTATCGGAAAATGTGGCGAGGTTTGGTTACCTGAGGGAATAAGCGCTCGAATATCATGCGGTAGTAGTAGGCCTCCTTCGTCTTTGGTGTGTTGTGAGGGAAAATGTTTGCGGCGTTGTGCATCATCCTGTCGCTGACCTGTTCGATCGAGGGATTAATCGTTTTTTTTTTTTGGTTAAAATAAGATCTTAAATTGTGTAATGCTAGAGTTCCATACATGCTGTTCGGCATGAGCTTTAAGGCCATCGATCCAGCTATAGCCCACGCCATCACTGAATTGTTCTTTCTGCCGGTAGAGAATATGCTGCGAAAGGAATTTAACGAAGTTAGATAATCAATATTCGATATCATATGACGATGTTCGAAGAAATAATGTACCTTTGGAAGGTACGGCTTCTCCTCATCATCAAAGGCCTTCCTCAAAATCCACTTCTCGATTCTACCTTGGTCCGGCTTGATCTGCGATGGCAACGATCAGTATGCAATCAGCGCGCTCTTTAGAGAGATATATATATATATGTGTGTATGTAATTATGTGTTGTTACCATTTTCCACTCAGGGTCGATGCTCATTGCAACGTTGATGAACTCCTTGTCAAGAAAAGGGACCCGAGCTTCCAACCCCCAAGCAGAAGTGGATTTGTTTGCTCGGAGGCAATCGTATTGATGAAGCGCTTTAATCTTGTGGCAAGTCTCGCGGTGGAACTCTTCCTTGTTGGGTGCCTTGTGGAAGTAAAGATAGCCACCAAAGATCTCATCGGATCCCTCGCCGGACAGCACCATTTTTACCCCAAGCGACTTGATCTTACGCGACATCAGGAACATGGGAGTACTTGCTCGGATTGTGGTCACATCGTATGTCTCGATGTGATAGATGACATCCTCAATTGCATCGATTCCATCCTAAAATAAAACATTGTGCGTCATTTTTCCGATGTTTCTACATCCCATCTACTCATTTGTTGATTCGGATGCTTACCTGAACAGTGAAGTGAAATTCATGGTGCAAAGTACCCAAATATTCGGCAACTTCTCTTCCAGCTTTGAGATCGGGCGAGCCCTACGCAGTAAACATTCAAAAATCAGTTAAGAACATGAATAACAGACAAAGCAAAGCGATGAGAAGTTAGATCAACCTTAAGGCCAACACAGAAAGAATGAATCTGAGCTCCCCATTGTTTCGCAGCCTTTGTCCCAGCCAAGTAACGCGAAGCAACAGAAGCGACCAATGATGAATCAAGCCCCCCGGAGAGAAGAACTCCGAAAGGGACATCAGTCATTAGCCTCTTAATAACAGCCTGCCATGAATTATTACCACACCAATAATTAGCATAATACCATAGTAACGACATAAGCAGATAAATGCAAAGCCTCACATTTTCGAAAGCGCGCCTCAGAACTAATGGATCGTAAGGAGTTGAAGGAATGGCCTCAGAGAACCATGGAGGGTTGTACCATCTTCTAAAACCTCCATTCTTGCTCGAGTAGAGATGTCCAGGTGGGAAAACTTCGAAATGCTCGCATTCGTCATTCAATGCTTTTAGCTCAGATGATATCCAGACAGAGCCTACAAGACGGCAAGAAAACAAATCATTTATGTTTTAGATTTATTGAGTTCTGCTTTTGTCCTGAAAATAATACAGATACAATACTAAAGAGAAGTACCATCAAGTCCCCAACCGATATACAGGGAGGTAATGCCAATGGCGTCACGAGCCGCGACAAAGCTGTTATCACGGGTGTCCAGCAGCACAAATGAGAACATTCCATCCAGCATATCAACACAGTTTTCACCATACTCTTCATACTGAGAAAAAATTGAACGGTCACAGAATAACGAAATCAGTGCCACGTGTTTACATCGGGATCTGCAGAAAAATGCTGTTAATACAACACTCACTAGATGCGCGATGACATCACAATCGCTTCCAGTATGGAATTTGTGATGAGACAAATGCTCCCGCAGTTTCTCATGGTTATAGATTTCGCCATTCACCTAACCATAACGAAACACGACACTAATGATTATTCAGTAGTAATAATCCTTAGGATATCATGATCTCAGTCAAATTATCATCCAGAAAAAAAGGTGATGGTTCAGGAGTCAAGACTCATGCCTGTGTCTAGATCAAAAGAAGAACATAAATACAAAACCGAATGGTGACAAAAAATGAACATACTGTGACCACAATTGATTTGTCTTCATTGTAAAGAGGCTGGTCCCCTGAGGCAGGATCAACGATGGCAAGCCTCTGATGTGCCAAATAGTTACCTCCAAACTGATGGATCCCGCTCCAATCAGGACCCCTATGCTTCAACCTATTTGATCATCAAAGTACAATTATGTATGCATACCATCAATCGAACACTTTGGAGTATGTGGAAAACAAAAGCATAGACCAAAAACTTTGGACTATATAGAAACAGAAAGCAATCAATGAAACTTTTTGGAGTGTATTAAAACAGAAATATAAGCAAAACCAGCTGGTTAGCAAAACCAGAAGTTTGGAATTTATGGAAAGTATATTATTTGATTCTTAGTGATTTCCAAAACTAGGGTTGCAGAACCACTATAGCAGAATCATATTAACTCTCCAGCATGTTTTGGGCATAATTTTTAAGAGGAACGACGGAAATGTTTCTAAATTAACCAAAACAACAGAATGTAGAAACTTCAGTACAACAACCATGGCTTGCTCTTAAAATTGGCAACGAGATATTAAAATCAATCAAAGCATGAACATAAATATATATATATATATATAGTCCTTAAATCCAAATTTTGAATCACTTTCTGCAGATAAGCTCAAAATCCTTCCATGTTTATCACTCGATGCTCAGGTAACCATCATCGACTCCTTAAAACAAACACAAATTTAATCTCCAGATTACTGCGAATTTAACTAATCAAACTTAGATAACTCAAAATTCCACTGATTCTTCAATCACTTCACATACATAACAGCCTTCCACAATTCTACTAAATTTCCCCCATTTTTTAAAAAACGATCGTAAAAACACATCCGAATCACAGTATCATAATCAACTAAAAAACAAAAAATAAAAAGAAACACTTGCCTGCGACAAAGCTCGAGAACACGAACTCTCTTCGCCTGAGAAATCTCCGAACACCCCAAAACCGCTAGTATTCCACACATTTTAGCACCAGAAATTGGCGCAAAACCTTGACAGATTAGGGAAAAGGCTCTGAACAGAGGATCGGAGCTCAGTGCGAAGAAACCGAGAGAAGAAACACGCGTCAACAAATTGGTTGTGTACTGCTCTCGTGCTCTGCAACGATGGCGAAACTACCCTTTTTATAGGAGGAGAATGCAAGCAGCCATAATAATTACAGAGAATATTTATTATTCACAGTTTTTTATTATTATTATTTTTTATTATTTTTATTACTGGCCATTTTTCTACACTATATCACCGTTCATAGTTCCCGGGTCCACATCACCATCCATATGCATTTTAAAAGTTCTAGGAAACGAAGGATCCGTTTTGATTTTAAATTAATTAGAAATGAAGTGACCTGATTGAAATTTTATTTAAATAATTTATATATTATTCCTTGTTTCAATTTAAATTTTGTTTTTAATTATTTTTATCTTTTTCATTCTCAAAATATGTGTTGTTTTTAAATAAAAATATTATAAATTAATATTAAAATAATTTTAATATATCAAAATATGAAAATTTTTTATACACTTTCACTAACATCTTATTAAATACTATTTCATATGTCTTTTATCTATATGTTCATCTGTTTTTTTCAAGTAATTTAAAAATATTAATATTATATTGAGATATAGTAGAAATAAAAATAAAAAAAATTAAATTAACTAAGTATTATATGATACAAAAGTTACGACATTTGTGTAATATATTATAAATTTGAAAAATATTTGTAATATTAAGTAGTAATACAATTACTAAAAAAAATGAAATAAATATTGTTATCGACGGATCAAAATGAAAAAATTGATAAATTATTAAAGAATAAAGGAAGTATTATTTATTAATGTACTACAAAATTCCAAATAATCTTTTCAAAATGAACTAAATGAGTACAATATTTTAATTTTTGTATGTTTTATATATTTTGTAATATTCTAAAATAAAAAATAATTATTTATACTTTAATGTTATTACATAACTCAAATAAAAGAAGTAAAAAAAATTTCTCATAGTAGCAAGTAGTATCATTTAATTTTCAATTTATTATACTTAATATTATCCATTTAACTTCTTGTATAAAAAATTGAAAGATTTGTTTCTTTTGTATTTTGGTTTAAAAAATATTTTTTTTATATAAAATATAAAAATAATGAGTATTTAATTTATTGATTATTTTTAAAAAATATAATATTGAATTTTTTTTCCAAACAAACAAAAATATTAGAACTGATAGAGTATTTTAATACGAGTGAATAGTCACAACCAAAAACACCCTAATTTTGTTTGGGCGTCAATTTATTTTGTATACGATAATTTCTGTCTCGACGATTTGGTAAATTCAATTAAATTTGATGTTTTTTTCTTATTATTATTATTATTATTACTATTATTTTTTTTTATTTTTTTTTTCCAATGCGATTTTTTATGATATATGTAGAAGAATATTTCCTTGTCGTATAAAACATTAATAGACCATTATTCAGACTAAAAAACAAAATAAGGAAAAAAAAAAAAAAAGGCTGCTTTATCCTATGATAGATTTTAAATTTTGTGACAGTAAAAAATGGTCCACTGGTATATATGATCAAGATTATCTGTACTGAAAAATATTTGTTGCAAATATGCCCATATTAAAAAATAAAAATAAATAAATAAATAAATAATCGCTACATATTTTAATATTTTGTAATTATATTAATTTTTTTTATAATATTTTAAATTTATTTAGACTATGTTTGTTTCTAGAGTTGAAGGCGTGGTTGTTTGTGGGTTTGGATTTTGAATTGGGATTTGAACAGTAAAAATTTTGAATTTCAATAGTTGTATGATGTGATATAAATAGGAGTTGATGTGATATTTTAATTGTAAAATTAATTTTTAGTATAATATATGTTACGTACGAAATTTAGAATTAGGTTAAAAGCCCAAGGTAAAAAGAAGAATGGGCCTGGCAATAGGGTTGATTGAACTGGCTGAAGGACACCGTGAGGAAATCAAGGAAAATAAATTTATTTATTTATTTCTAAGGAAAATACAGGACGGAAGGTTCTCAGGTCGGTAGGTCCTCAGGACGGAAGGCCCTCAGGTCGGTAGGTTCTCAGGACGGAAAGACCTCAGGTCGGAAGGTCTTCAGGTCGGGAGGCCCTCAAGATGGAAAGACCTCAAGTCGGAAGGTCTTCAGGTCGGGAGGTCCGCAAGACGGAAAGACCTCAAGTCGGAAGGTCTTCAGGTCGGGAGGTCCGCAAGACGGAAAGACCTCAAGTCGGAAGGTCTTCAGGTCGGGAGGTCCGCAAGACGGAAAGACCTCAAGTCGGAAGGTCTTCAGGTCGGGAGGTCCGCAAGACGGAAAGACCTCAAGACGGAAGGTTCTCAGGTCGGTAGGTCCTCAGGACGGAAGGACCTCAGGTCGGTAGGTCCTCAGGACGGAAAGACCTTAAGTCGGAAGGTCTTCAGGTCGGGAGGTCCGCAAGACGGAAAGACCTCAAGTCGGAAGTTTTTCAGGTCGGGAGGTCCGCAAGACGGAAAGACCTCAAGTCGGAAGGTCTTCAGGTCGGGAGGTCCGCAAGACGGAAAGACCTCAAGACGGAAGGTTCTCAGGTCGGTAGGTCCTCAGGACGAAAGGACCTCAGGTCGGTAGGTCCTCAGGACGGAAAGACCTTAAGTCGGAAGGTCTTCAGGTCGGGAGGTCCGCAAGACGGAAAGACCTCAAGTCGGAAGTTTTTCAGGTCGGGAGGTCCGCAAGACGGAAAGACGATGAGTCGGAAGGTTTTCAAGTCGGGAGGTCTTCGAGACGGAAAAGTTGTCGAGATAGGATATCCGCAGGTCGGGTAAACTGTAGGTCGGATAGAAGGCGGAGTCGGACAAACGCGGAGGCCTTTGATCAAAGACAGAGGGCGGTTGATATGGAGGTCGGCCCAAGTGGGGTCGGGCGAAGAAGTAGGTCGGACGAAGGACGAAGTCGGGCCAAAAGAGCGGAAGGTTTGTGGTCGGCTCAAGGAGCGAAATATAAGGAATTTTGGTCTGCTGGGGACACGTGTCAGCATGAGAAAGGTTGGAAGACGGTTGAGAAGGAGACGTTGTAACCGTTCGGGTGACGGTTTTCAGTACGGTTTCCCAGGGAATATTTAAGGATCTGAATCATCATTTGGCAAGGTATCTTCAATCAACTTCAACAAAGCAAAGTCAGATTTGGGGATCACCACTTTAAATTTCAGTCTTTTATTTTCCAGTTTATTTTCTGTACCATACAGTGTTTAGAGATTCCTAATCTCAGGCACTAATTAATCAAGTTTAAGGATATTTTCTATATCTTTGAATTTTACTTTATTTTTGTTGAAAAATTACATTAACAAATTGGCGACCACAGTGGGAGCAAGACAAAATTGCTCATTCCAATTCCGGCGATAATTTCATACGTCTTAGATCCGGCCGAATCATCGGAAGGGTTATGGCAGGGTCACAACCGCAAGCATCTTCGACACCGGTGGGAGAATCCGTTCCACCACCCATTGTGCCAAATGCCGGGGAAATCCCACAACCACCAACTGATTGGTGGTCTTATGTTCAACAAATGAACAACCAGCATACCTTGGTTATGCAGAATATGTTGCGTGAGCAACAAACGAACATGTTGCGTGAGCAACAGAGTCAGTTGCAGAACATGATAGATCAAGCACTGTCAAGGGTTAGTCTTCAACCCACTCAAACGCCACCAGGAGTGTCACCGTCCAGACCACAGGCAAATTTCGCAGGGCCATCATTCGTGGATAGTGCATTCCCAAGTGCCACAAATCCCAACCGAATGGATCGGGGAAAAACTCCTTTGACTTTTCCCAACAATGTTCCACTGGGACCAAGGGTTACCAATTCGCAGCCGAACAATACAAGGGAGGACAGGCCTGAAGGATATATACATGATCCGATTCATATTCCTGTGCAGGATCCGTTCCAGGTTCCTGATCATCAACGCTTTCATGTAGATCCCGATGAGATTGCACATATATTAAGGGATCAGTATGGATTAACTCCTCAGATGGCTAACCGCCCTGCATATCAAAGACCTTTCCCAGAAAGGATCATTCATGAACACCCTCTCCCAAGGAATTTTCGACCACCCGACTTTCATGCATTCTCAGGGGAGGACGGATCTTCCACCATAGAACACGTTGGTCGGTTCACAGCACAATTAGGAGAAGTTGGCAATAACCCTTTTTATAAGTTACAGCTGTTTGGTTTATCTCTTACTAGAACGGCGTTTTCGTGGTTTGTAAGTTTGCCTCCAGGACAAATTCAGACATGGGAAGGACTGGAGATGGCATTTCACGCTAGATTTTTTAATCCTTTACCAGTTGTTTCTTTAACTGATTTACTTGAATTGAGACAGTATCCAGAAGAAACTGCTTCACAGTTTATAGAAAGGGTGCGATTGTTGAAGGGACGATGTCCTACGGTAATCAGTGAGAAAGAGATGACCAATTTAGTGGTCCGGAATATGCATACTCGTTTAAGAAAGGCACTCACTGCCCTGGATGTTGAGGATTTGGCAAGTCTTGCATCCAAGGCAGGACGTCTAGAATCTTTGTTCAGAGAGGAAGATCAGCATAACAGGCGTAATAGAGGCCAACATATGGCGAGTATGGGAACAGAAACATGCGACTTTGATTTTAATCAGTCAGAAGAGATGGCAGCCGAAATCCTTTCTGGAAAACCGTATGTATGTCCTAAATTGAAGCCAGTACCAGGATCTGAAGGAAAGGAGCAACCGACCTTTGATAGTTCGAAAGCTGATGAAATCTTTGATATCCTACTGACTGATGGGCAGATCCGTATTCCAAAGGGCCAAAGACTTGCCACTAAAGAAGAAATCAAAGGGAGACCATATTGTAAATGGCATAATTCTTTTACACACACTACAAGTCAGTGTACTCATTTTAGGAAGGAAATTCAAAAGGCCATCAAGACAGGTCGGCTCAAATACATCACTCTAGGTGTAGACCAGCAACCGTTTCCGAATGTAACAACGGCAATGGTTGACATCCAACCAAGTTCGGAAACAAGGAAAAGTTCGGCCAACGATGGACAAAAAGGGGAACGAAACCAGCCAAGCCCCGAAACAAAAAAAGGAAGTCGGCCAAACAGCAGCCGACCGGAAGAACGACTCAAAGTTTGTGAGAAAACAGTCGCTGAAAAATGGGACCATCCAGACGGTTCTTTTAATGTGGAGGTGAAAGAAAGGGCGTTAGTTCGTGACCACCCGACCAGAAAAACAGGGTCAGTCGGGAATAATTGGGCTCGAAATAAAAAGCCTTTACCAGTTGATATAGATCCTCGTTTCCCAGGTATGAATCGTACACAGATTCGCAATGCCAAACGCAGGTATGCTGCAAAGTATGGGAAACGAGTTCCTTCAGCAAAAAAACTAACCGACGAACAAAAAGCAGCCGACCACTTGGCAGGAGATCAGTCCATTCGGAACTTTACAGAACAAACGACCAACGAGCAGGGAGTAACCATTCAGTCTGCAGTTGGTCGGTCCAGTCGGGTCTGGTCAGGAAAGCAACCGAATGACAGATTAGGCGCTTCCGACCATACCAAAAGAAGTTCGTCGGGACTGGGGAAAGGTAAAGGTGTGGCAGATGAAATAATTAAAGGTTTTAGATGCCAACATTGTGAACGAATCAACATCAATCCATCTCTTGAAGACTTCCGTATAGAATCTTTGACGCTTCAACCTCACAACAAGACGAAGGAAGAAGTTATAACTACAGAGGAAAGTTCAAGATCTGTTAAATCTCGTCTGGGACCACGAATCCCTTGTCGAATGACAGAGATTAATCAGATGAGTGATGAACCGACGTGGGCGAGTCTGGTAGATGAAACTATGGACGAACCTTTATGGGCTTTCTTGGCAGATGGTGAATTAGAGGAGACAGAGGGGGCAAAGACCTCAGACTCTGAGCCTCAACCGGAGCCACCTTCGATTGTGTTTCCTCCTATTCCAGAGGGTGCGATCTCCCATTTGAAGCCTCTGTATGTTAATGCTCATATTTGTGGGAAACCAATCACAAAGGTTTTCGTGGATAATGGAGCAGTTTTTAATGTTATGCCATTGAAGACTCTCAAGAAGTTAGGAAAAGGAATACATGATCTATCTCCTGTGGAATTCGAAATGACAAGTTTTACAGGGCAGCCGACCAAGCCTGAAGGCATGATGGTTGCAACAATTGAAGTCGGACCAAAGAAGATCTCCACTGTTTTCTTTATTGTGGACGCAGATACTACATATTCTCTCTTGCTGGGAAGAGACTGGATTCATGCCTCTCGATGTGTGCCATCAACCTTGCACCAACAATTAATGTTCTGGGAAGGAGATCAGGTCTTCAAAATGGAAGCGAATGACAACCCATTCGATGTATCAGAACAAGTTGAAGAGTCAGTGTTTTATGCCAGTCCTTTGGCTCCGATGTCTCAATTGTATATGGCCAGGGAATACCCAGACAAGGGTTATAAAGTCACTGGCCAGAACTCGATGTTCTATTAAAAGAACACCTTTATTGTATGGCTCATGATAAAGCCACACCCATTCCCGTATAATTTGTTTGTAATGGAAGATACAAGCTTAGAAGTATGTAGTTCTCTTATTAATAAGTTCTATTTAAAGCAGTTATTACATAAAGCAGAAAATAGTAAAGAGATTCTGGATGTTCACCTCCAAGAAGATGAACAATTTCGCTGGCCCGACTTATTAGAAAAAACAGAACCAACAGCTTCATCACAAGACCCATTATTGGAGTTTAATTTAGGAACCGAATTGGTTCCAAAAGTGATCAGGTTAAGTGGTTATTTGTCTAAAGAGCAACAAACAATGATGCTCGAAGTTATTAGAAACAACATTGATTGTTTAGCATGGGATTATTCAGAGATGCCTGGTTTGACAAGAAGTCTAATAGAGCATCGATTGCCCATCAAAGAAGGTTGTAAACCTTACAAACAACCTCCAAGGCGAATGAGTCCAGATCTGATGCCTCAAATCAAGGAAGAAATCCAAAAACTTCTCAAAGTAGGTTTCATTCAACCTTGCCGTTATGCGGAGTGGCTGGCTAATATTGTGCCAGTGGTCAAGAAAAATGGTAAGATAAGGATATGCATCGACTTCAGGGATTTGAATCTAGCTACCCCTAAGGACGAATATGTGATGCCTATGGCCGACATGCTGATAGATGCAGCAGCAGGGCATAAAATCCTTAGTCTGATGGATGGTTATGCAGGTTATAACCAAATATTCTTGGCAGAAGAAGACATTCCTAAGACAGCATTCAGATGCCCAGGGGCTTTGGGTATTTATGAATGGACAGTCATGCCATTCGGGTTAAAGAATGCAGGGGCAACTTACCAAAGAGCCATGAATTCAATCTTTCATGATTTAATTGGCAGATCTATGGAAGTGTATATTGATGATGTGATAGTTAAATCTGCCAGTTTTGACGAACATTTGAGAGATCTTGAAGAGGCATTTGAAAGAATGAAGAAGTACAAGTTGAAGATGAATCCAACCAAATGTGCTTTTGGAATATCAGCCGGGAGCTTTCTAGGTTTTTAGTTCATGAGAGAGGAATTGAAATTGATGCCAATAAGGCTAAAGCCATTCTTGATAGTCGGCCACCCAAGACGGTTAAAGAAATCCAAAGTCTGTTGGGTAAGGTGAATTATTTGAGGCGTTTCATTTCTAATGCTGCTGGCAAGGTCAGACCCATTACTAAATTGTTGAAAGCTGGAAAAATTGCCTTTGCATGGGGTCCCGACCAACAGACGGCTTTAGATGCTATCAAGCAGGCATTGGTTCACCCTCCAGTCTTGATGCCTCCCAAACAAGGTCGGCCACTCAAACTTTATTTGGCTAATACATATGAAGTGGTTAGTTGTTTATTGGCGCAGGATGGTGATGACGGGAAGGAAAGGGCAATTTACTATCTCAGTAAAACCCTTACAGGACCAGAACTGAATTACACTATGCCAGAAAAAATGTGTTATTCATTGGTCTTCGCTTGCACTAAACTCGAGCATTATTTGCTGCCCAGAAGAGTTGAGGTCATATCAAAGGTGGATCTCATCAAATTGATTTTACAGAGACCTACTATGAAGGGCAGACTCATGAAATGGGCCATCAAATTGGCTCCTTTCGATCTTCAACATTCCCCGCTGAGGGCAATTAAGGGACAAGCAGTAGCCGACTTCTTGGCAGAATTCTCACAAGTCGGGTATTCTCTTTGTGATAGTGTCCGACCATTTAGTTGCTCATCATATCTGGATAATCTACAGGTCGGATGTGTGCCATATATAAGTACCAGAACATGGTTGATGTTCTTTGATGGTTCTACCTCTGGAAACAAATCAGGGGCAGGGGTCTTTTTGCAAGGACCTGATGGTCAAAAGATCAACTTACAATTACGATTGGAAGCCATGACCCATAATTCGGCAGAATATGAGGCTTTAATTTTGGGTCTGGAGGCTTTAATAGCCAGGAAGGTCCAGTCTGTAATCATAAGAGGGGATTCTCAACTAGTAATCAACCAGGTAAACAACCAATATGTTTGTAATTACCCTCATCTTCGCAGATATAGGGACATTGTGAGTCGGTTACTGACAAAAATCTCAGAAGTAATAATTGAGTTCATTCCGAGGGAAGAAAACCAACGTGCTGATGAATTGGCTCAAAGGGCATGTAAAGGAATTCTGGAGGATATGTGGTCGGAGGTCAAGTCGGGCATAGAAGGAAAGACAGACCCGATCTGCGAAGTTACGGTCGGGCAAGAGGATATTGGACAGGACCCCGACTGTGAAGTTACGGTCGAGCAAGAGGCTGTCGGTCAGGAGCCCGATTGTGAAGTTATGATCGGGCAGGAGAGTGTCGGACAGGAGCCCGACTGCGAGCCTGTCGGGCAGGAGACGGTCGGTCAGGAGCCCGATTGCGAAGTTTTTATCGGACAGAAGTCCGATGGCGAAACAGTGTCCGATTGGAGAACGGAGCTTATCCTGTATTTACAGAATCCTGGTGCGAGTGTTTCAATTGCGATACGATTGAAGGCTTTACGTTTTCAATTGATAAATGGAATTTTGTACAAGAGATCATTTGAAGGTTTACTTTTGAAATGCTTGGGATCTAAAGAAGCTCTAGAAGTGATGACAGAAGTACATGGTGGGATATGTGGAGCTCATCGGGCAGGTCTCAATATGAGATGGGCTATTCATCGCTTGGGTTTTTTCTGGCCTAAGATTTTTGAGGATTGCATACAATTTGCAAAGGCTGCCAGGAATGTCAGAGACATGGAAATTTAAATCATTTGCCAGTAACCGAATTACAATTCTTGGCAAAACCATGGCCTTTTAAATCGTGGGCTATGGATATTATTGGTAAGATACATCCTGCTTCATCGAAACATCACTGTTTCATATTGGTCGCGACTGATTACTTTACCAAATGGGTGGAAGCGGTTGCTTTGAAAAATGTGGATCAGAAAGAAGTGATAGACTTCGTTTTGCACCAAATTATTTACAGATATGGTATTCCTCAGTCTATAACAACCGACCAAGGCTTGGTCTTTACAGGGGAAAGGTTCTCTAATTTCTTGGCAGAATTCGGTGTTCGGTTACATCATTCTTCACCTTATTATCCCCAAGCCAATGGACAGGCGGAAGCAGCAAATAAGATTATCATTGGGATTATAAAGAAGATGATTGAAGGGAACCCAAGAAAGTGGCATTTGTTATTGTCTCAGGCTTTATGGGCACATAGAAATACCAGAAATACGGCCACAGGGTTCTCACCTTACCAACTTACGTTTGGCCAAGATGCTGTTTTACCAGCCGAAATTCGAGTATCATCCGGCCGAACAGAATTTACTGATAGTGATCTTACAAAGGAATACCAACAACTTATGTTGCAGCAGTTAGAAGATTTGGATGTTAACCGTCTCCATGCAATAGATCGAAGTGTGAAACAGAGTGAAATCAGAGCAAGGAGTTACGGAAAGAAAGTTCTTCACAGGACATTCCAAAAAGGAGACCTAGTCTGGAAGACCATTCTTCCTACATATAAGAAAACTGATCAATTGGGAAAGTGGTCACCGAATTGGGAAGGACCATACATTGTTCAAAAAGATATTGGAAATGGCGCGTTCATTATTGTAAATCATGAAGGTAGAAGAGTACATGATTGTATTAATGCTAAATATCTGAAGAGGTATTATCCTGCCTTTTCAGATAACAAAACTGCCTGAAACAAAATATTATTCAGAACCCATTCGTAGGGTTCGAACCTATTTAAAGGTTCATTTCAGTTAGTCATCATGTATTGGTGAGAAATTTTCTGCCTCTGAATCAGACTTTTCATCCCAGTGAGTGGATATTAGCTCTGGTTCTTCTTCAATAAGATCTTCCAAATCTGGTCGGTACCTTTCCCATTGGCTTTGCATTTCATCTAAATCTTGATGGGTACGTGCTTGCATGTCTGTTATGGCTTGATGTTCACGATCAACAATGGTCCGTAATCTTGAGAAGACTTTTCGTTGATTGGAAAAGATGTTATCCCAACCAAGATCTGGAAGTATAGTTGCTGCGTGATTTTCTATCATTTCCATGTGGTGATGGAGATCAGGAATGCGGCTAAGGATGTCACGAAGAGGTTCATACCCCTCAATGACTTTTTCCATCAGGCGGATGACGCGATGAATGGTTCTTCTTCCTCGTTGGGAGAATCGGAATTTGAAGTCTAGTTGCTTGAGTATATGTAACAAGTCTTCTGCATGGCCTCCAATAGGGTGATTACCCACAAAGAAGGGTTGAAGAACACCCTGCCAGTTGTTTGATGGAACATAAGGTCGGTCATTCGCCATGTTTGTTAACACTTCAAGTGTTTTGATTTTCAAAATATGCCTTGGAATGTGCTTCTTAAAATGTGAGAAACAATATTCTTTTAAAGAAGGAGTTTGTTTCGATTCCTACAAAGTTGGGAATTGAAAGGTGATCCTTGTTTTGAGAAGAAAGAAAAAATGGATTACTAAGTCAAGTATTGTTACAAAGGGGAAGCTATTACAAAAGTGCCCCTAGAGCAGTTTTTATATTTGTCCACTTGATTTCATCCCTGGATAGCCTTCTGGTGTTGGCAGCCGTTTGATATCTTATGATGAATTGGGATCGGGCTTGGGTTTTCAGCTCTTGATCCAATTCAGCCTCATTCTTGGTATATTTCTCAAGCAGACGCTGCTCATTGATAATTTGCTTATCCAGGGTAGACTGTTCTTTCTTCAGCTCCCGCAATTCTGCCTCCTTTTTCTGAATGGCATCATCAACCAGAGCTTTCGTGCTAAGGAGACCACCCAGTCTTCCAGTAGTCTGCTGAAGGGATTCTCGAGTCTTGGCCAAAGAATTCTCCAGCGTTGTTTGATCGAAGTCGGGCTGGGGGGTTTCGGCTGACAGAAGGCCAATGACTACCACTTCAGTCTTGAGCTCTGTAAGTCTCTCCATCAGCCGATGCAGAATGGGGACGGCTGGTGATTCCGTTGGAGTGTAAAAAAGAAGGCCACCAACCGTCTGAATCAGTTTGTCCAATAAGTCGGACCTTAATTCGGACAGGGGACGGTTAATGGCCTCAGTGAACACAGTCTGGGCCTCCGCTGGAACCGGAACAGTCGATAGGACAGCTAAGTCCGAAGGCCCCTGCAAGTCCTACAATGTCAATAAATATTCCAAGGGAGTTGCAAATTTGTTCGAAGAAGATAATGTGGTACCTCTGGGCGGACTGCTGTCAGTGAGGGGGGTAGCAATGAGGTCGGTCGAGCTGGGCAGACAGCTGGTATAACAGCAGCCGACTCGTCGGCTGCTGCGAATGGTCGCTGAGGTGCCGACCTGGGTCCCTATAGAAAGTAGTATTTGAAACAGTTAGTGTTTTTCGAAAGAAAAGTTATGGCATGGATTGGTTTAATCTTACCAAATTCACAGAAGTCTCCGAATCGGATGAAGACATTTCTTCCATTTCTGGAGGTTGGGCTGCCACAGGTGGTTCTTCTGCCTGCCATTCGATAGCTAGAGGGAGCGCCGCTGCTGGTAGGGCGGCTGCAGGTTGGACGGCTACATCTAGAGCCACTGCAGCCAGGATCTCTGGGGCACCTTCGATTTCGGGATCAGCAGCATCAGGGATGTCATTTTGAGGGTCAGCCTCGGCGAGGGCGGCTGGTTCTTCCTTTGACATAGATGAGTCTGATGCCATGTATGGCGGCCGACCCATCTGGGAAGTAGTCCCTTCGCTGTCAGAAGAGACCCCTGCTGCTGATGGGATGGGTGAAGGTGTCTGTGGAAAATCATGAAAATGTTTGTTGTTAACTATATCAAGGTTGATCATTAGAATACTAAGGAGTGCTGGTGAGCGAACTTACTGGTTCTGTAGGCACTGCTGGTAAAGATTGTCTCCTGGTCGGGGGCCTGGCCCGACCACTCCTCGGTGCGGGAGGAAGAGTTTGCCTCCGCGTCGGGTCCTCCGCCCGACTGCTCATTGGCAAATTGGTCTGGACCAAAGGCCCGATTGAATGGTCGGTTGGTGCTGGCGTCGGTTGCATGGTCGGTGTCACCAAGGTCGGTTCTGGGGAATGAAATGAGTAGAATCAAAGTTACGATTTAGTGAATTGGTTCACGGTGTTAAGAAACATTACCAATTCGGGGTCGGGTCCTTGCTGACGTCCTATTTATTCCAAGGTCTGCTAGTGTTTGCTGGTCGGTCTCCGAGGTCGGGGGTGTTTGCAGCTGGGAAGTTTTTCTTTTGCTCGTGGGACCACCAGATCCGATTCCCGGGGCGGCTGTTTGTTGTTGGGTGCTAGTATGTCTCGCCGTCCCTAGAACCAATCCTTGGGGGGGGAGGAGTATGTTCAGCAACCGATCCTCATCAGGGGATATCAGGGACCATACAACCGACCACCATTCATTGAAAGTATCTACAATCTCAGGGTTGGAGCGGAAAGGAATATAAGAATTGGAAATTATATACGTGGTGAGCTGGGAGATATAAGAAGGGATTGAATTAGGAAGGACTCGTCGGTCGGGACTTTGAAAAATTATTTGGGGACACGCGACGGGTCCAGGGATACCTTGGCAACAGCCGAACTGGCGCGCCATGAATTGAGGTTCATAGTTAAAGGTGTAAAAAGTTTTCTGTCCTTTTTTATCAAGTTTCTTGCTACTAAAAAGAGACCTGGGTTTGAGGGCGACGTCCCAGGCGAAAGGATAGGTGGGATGAGGACAAGGCTCAGGAGTCGGAAGCGGGTTTGGTACTGGAAAGGGCCAAAAATGGTCGGGAGCATAACCCGCATACTTTTTATACATAGAAAATCGAGAGTTACTGCGGGTATCTGTTAAAATGGCGGTTATTATTGGATCGGAAGATTGGAGTTTATTGCGTCCTGAGCAGAGTCGGTTGAGGACTAATCCTAAATGTTTTTCAGATGTTGGCATAGTGGGCGGAGATCCTAAGTTAAACGCGTTGGGGAAGTAAAGACGGAACCAAAGTTCTAAAAACCAAAAAGGACCCGACGCGGCAGTGTCTAATTTCCTATTATCGTTATCTGTTAAACGAAGGCTAACCCTGGTGAGTCCTTCAAACAGATTGGCTAAAAATAGGGTGCCAAGGGAGAAGAACCGACCTGACGCAATATGAATGGCCAGGTCGAGGTGAGAAGGAAGAACACTTTTGGAAGGAGAAACAATGATGTACCTACAAAGCCAGAACAGAATAAAGGCAGTATGCTCCCGGTCGGTTACAGGAGTCCCTGGAGCCCCTTGCTGGTCGGTTGCGAACTTTGTCCAACCCCATTCCTTCACACCTTGTAAAGACCATCCCGGATGGTCTTCTGGTGGCTCCTGCCCATCTAGGGCTCCCATTACAGGGTCTTCACCCACGACTGGGAGATGTGCGATCATGGCCACGTCCATAAGGGTTGGGCCAAAGGGGGCCGAGGGCAAAAGGAAAGTCCCATTTTCCGCATTCCAGAAGGCGGACATGGCCAACAGCACCTTCTCATGCAGGTTGATAGGCATGGTAGATAGTAGTATTGCTTGGTCGATCTTTTGGGATCGCCATTGGGTCTGGAAGTGTTCTGCTACTCGTCGATACCAAGCACGATACAGATCTTTTGGGTCTGTGAGATGGGTCTTGATGCTGTCTCGGATGCGAATTGCTTGGTAGTTGGGATTGTTGATAGCCAAGGTGTTGCGAGTTTCCAAAACTTCCCTCATCCGATTTGAATCTTCAGGAGTAGTGCAATATGGACGGATCGTCGGAGTTAGTACTTTCGAGGCTGAAAATGGACCTTCTGGAAGGGTTCCGTCGAAAGGAAGGGCAGGAATGTATTGATTCGCCATAGTTAGAATGTTTTGGGATTGTGATTCACACAGGCTTGTATTGCGAAGAAGGAATAAACCAGGAGTGTTGCAGTAACTGGTGTAGTTGCTAAGGGAGTTTTTCAAGAAGGTAGTGCTTTATGAACTTCCAAACATTTATTGGCGTTTGAAAGTCCCTTGGCGGCGGGCAAGTTGTTACGTACGAAATTTAGAATTAGGTTAAAAGCCCAAGGTAAAAAGAAGAATGGGCCTGGCAATAGGGTTGATTGAACTGGCTGAAGGACACCGTGAGGAAATCAAGGAAAATAAATTTATTTATTTATTTCTAAGGAAAATACAGGACGGAAGGTTCTCAGGTCGGTAGGTCCTCAGGACGGAAGGCCCTCAGGTCGGTAGGTTCTCAGGACGGAAAGACCTCAGGTCGGAAGGTCTTCAGGTCGGGAGGCCCTCAAGATGGAAAGACCTCAAGTCGGAAGGTCTTCAGGTCGGGAGGTCCGCAAGACGGAAAGACCTCAAGTCGGAAGGTCTTCAGGTCGGGAGGTCCGCAAGACGGAAAGACCTCAAGTCGGAAGGTCTTCAGGTCGGGAGGTCCGCAAGACGGAAAGACCTCAAGTCGGAAGGTCTTCAGGTCGGGAGGTCCGCAAGACGGAAAGACCTCAAGACGGAAGGTTCTCAGGTCGGTAGGTCCTCAGGACGGAAGGACCTCAGGTCGGTAGGTCCTCAGGACGGAAAGACCTTAAGTCGGAAGGTCTTCAGGTCGGGAGGTCCGCAAGACGGAAAGACCTCAAGTCGGAAGTTTTTCAGGTCGGGAGGTCCGCAAGACGGAAAGACCTCAAGTCGGAAGGTCTTCAGGTCGGGAGGTCCGCAAGACGGAAAGACCTCAAGACGGAAGGTTCTCAGGTCGGTAGGTCCTCAGGACGGAAGGACCTCAGGTCGGTAGGTCCTCAGGACGGAAAGACCTTAAGTCGGAAGGTCTTCAGGTCGGGAGGTCCGCAAGACGGAAAGACCTCAAGTCGGAAGTTTTTCAGGTCGGGAGGTCCGCAAGACGGAAAGACGATGAGTCGGAAGGTTTTCAAGTCGGGAGGTCTTCGAGACGGAAAAGTTGTCGAGATAGGATATCCGCAGGTCGGGTAAACTGTAGGTCGGATAGAAGGCGGAGTCGGACAAACGCGGAGGCCTTTGATCAAAGACAGAGGGCGGTTGATATGGAGGTCGGCCCAAGTGGGGTCGGGCGAAGAAGTAGGTCGGACGAAGGACGAAGTCGGGCCAAAAGAGCGGAAGGTTTGTGGTCGGCTCAAGGAGCGAAATATAAGGAATTTTGGTCTGCTGGGGACACGTGTCAGCATGAGAAAGGTTGGAAGACGGTTGAGAAGGAGACGTTGTAACCGTTCGGGTGACGGTTTTCAGTACGGTTTCCCAGGGAATATTTAAGGATCTGAATCATCATTTGGCAAGGTATCTTCAATCAACTTCAACAAAGCAAAGTCAGATTTGGGGATCACCACTTTAAATTTCAGTCTTTTATTTTCCAGTTTATTTTCTGTACCATACAGTGTTTAGAGATTCCTAATCTCAGGCACTAATTAATCAAGTTTAAGGATATTTTCTATATCTTTGAATTTTACTTTATTTTTGTTGAAAAATTACATCAACAATATAAAAAATAAAAAATACATGTTTGATTTGATATTTTTTAGGGAAAAAAATTGAAATGAATAATAGAAGTCTACCAAAATCCTTCAAACAAACACACTAATATCAAATTCATTATTACAGTTGGTATTAAGTTGAATTTCAAACTTTTAAATTTGTTTGTGATATTGTCTCCATCTACTTGAAAAATAATATAAATGTATTTTCAATATAAATTTTGAAAAAACCAATATTATATTTAAATGGATTTAAAAAAAAAAAACTTAAAAAATATTATAAAAATATCATTACTTTTATTTAACTAAACTATAAAATATATGGGTAAGAATGCCTTTTTTATTTACTCCTATATACTTACATACATATACATTAATTCCGGAGGGATTAAGCATATACATTTTATTTTGACAAATATAAATAATAAAATATTCTTTCGATTTCAACTCAATGTACTTTTATAATATATTCGTATATCATACTCATAATATATTTTTAAAATTATAGTAAAAGTATTATATCTGAATACTAAAACATTTCTAATTTTTACAAATATCATTTTTTTTCCAAAAATTAAAATTAAAATAATAAAAATCTAAAAATACAAATACAAAGAAATACATATATATATATATGTGACAAAGTTATTTTTATAGAAAAATACAATTTATAATTATCGCAAAAATCTGTTTCATCCACTAATGCGTGAGAGCCACCACCATCGTCGTTCATCACTATTTTCCGGCGATCGCCTCTTAGAGTATTTATTTTGTATTATTTTAATTTAGACCTAACTTTTAAATGAAAAAATCTTATTAATAATATAAAAAATAATATTATATATTGAATGTTATTTTCTATGAAATGATAAAATATATACTTTTACGTTCCATAAGTAAATATCCATTTGTTTTTTTACGTAGTTTTAGAAATATTAATATTATATTATGATATAGTAGAAATAAAATAAAAATGACTAAAATAACCTAATTAGTATGTGTGATATAAACGTAATGACATTTGTGTAATATATTGTAAG